ACTCCGTTCCAAAATAATACTTCATATTGAGTTCAGTATAAAACTTAAAACTCAATGTTGATTTTTTTTTTTTTTTGGGGGGACGGAAGGAGTAATAAAAAAGAGATGGAAGAAATTAAAGATGCATGTATACCAAATTGCAAGAGAGAGTGGTGTGAGATAGAGAGAGATAGGTAGATTAGTTAATTTACAAAATGATTGATACTAAGGGTGTGGTTGGATTAAGAACTAAGCAGAAAATATTGGATATCCCAATTCCCATGCACACGAACTACTACTACATTATCCCAATTCCCATGCACACGAACTACTACTACATTCATCGTATCCACCATCCTGTTTGTCAGTTATTCGGAGCTAGTAATTATTTATGTCAACGTTTTCCAAGTTCCAACAACACCCCCGCCCCCAATTTAGTTAACTAACTCGGTAATAAACTAAAAGTGTGTCTCCATTGCCTTCATCTGCACAGCTCATTCTGATGATGTATCCTCTGTTCTGTGTTATTAGTAGCATTTAGTTCCTTTTAATTTTGTCCAACACCATGATTTTGCTTCAATCTTTTGGGGGTTTGACGTTCAAAACTTCCAACCTGCTTCTTCTTCACACATGCATCTGCATCCACGGATCCAAATATTGTATCATATTCCATAATCTTATCGCATTTCTTCCCCTCATTGCTTCCCGCAATTAAATCAAATGATTTTGTATTCCTATATAATCACTCATACAAGGAACATAATATAAAAAACTGTAAAACACAAATCCCTACAAAGCCAGCCGTTTCGATAGTACTACTTTTGTTTTGGTTGGTTTTTTTTTTTCTCTTTTGTTTCTTACTCTCGTTCTGTATAATAAAAGAGACCAGCGCTTGAAAAATATGCTATTTTTGTTTTTTAATTGAACTAAAAATGTGTAATGTCATAACTATTATGATGAACACGGACAATACTACTAAACGACTTAGCTCTATATTAGCATTATGAATCATAAGCTAGGGAATTAAACACACTTTTAATGTGTCTTTTCTATTTGTCGACAGTAGATCAAATCAATAATTGATCAAACTTTTTAAGCTTTCTACGTATGTACGTGTGTGTGCGTGAGATAATTTGTCAACACAACAGTAAGCAAGCTGTCTGATTAATCTCAAATTAATGTCACCATAGGATAATGTATGAGTAGACTATAAAGTGCATGGGTTTAAAGCTTAAAACAGCAAATGTTGTGTTGTTGTCTGTACTTAATGCTTCAAAGGCTAATCATTTGGTCGGTTTGAAAAACTCAATCATTTTAATAATTAATATCCATGGATGGTTGAGAGTAGAGTACGAACTACATTTTAATAATTAAAACATTTTGATTGGATTATTGGACGCAGCTAATCACAAAATTGAAATATTGGTAAACGTACTTTGCAAGCTCGTGCGCTTAAAAGTTAACTAGATGCTTGCCCGGGCGAATGCCTGGGGTATCGCCTTTATTTTTAAATTGATTAAATAAAAAATACGGATCATTTTTAAAAGAATAAAAAAAATTAGCATAATAAAAAATCGATTAAAATTACAGAAAGTGAGCTATTACACATAAATCTATGCCCAAATTTACAACATTTAATTTATAACAGTTAACTTATGCCCGTGTTTACATAAATCATAAACCAATATCTACAACAGAAGAATAAAAAAAAATCATCCTTAAAAAATCAAATTTCTTTCATGGCAACTTATTATTTCTCTGTTGTAGAAAAAAAAGATGGATTGATAATTAATATCAGATTTTAAGTAATTGATTTAAAGACCCGGGTGTGAGAGAGAGCGGAATGGAAGAGATTCTTTAAAATTGGGATTGAGAAGACATTACTGGTGTTTCACTTGATTTAAGGGGATTTCCTAGTATTTGATTTTATCTACTAAATATTGTTATTTTAAAGAATTAATATATACCTATAATTAAGATGTTTTTATGTAGCTATAATTAAGGGATTTATGTATTTATCTATTCTATTTTTTTTCTGATTAGTTAGAGTGCCACGTATCAAAAATGATTTTGTACTGAAAATAGTTTTTGACGGGAAAATTTTCATTATGGTGCTGACACATATCCTTTTTATTTGCTACTTTAATTAAGTACTTTAGATATGTACTACAGTAGTAATTTGGAACTCATAATGAAAATGTTGTTTTAGACTTTCGTTTGTTGAACATGAGGAAGTGACAAACAACATGTATAGATGATGGGGGAACAAGAACAATATCTTTTTTGACTTTGTTAAACCTCTTTAATTGTTAAACCTTGGATTAAGACGTATATGGTCTTGTTTAGGTGTTTAACTAGGTTTAACTGACTTATTACTACCACTTAGCCTATATTTGTCTTCGTCTTTCCAGGACATATATGACTTCCTCCTCGGCCCCCCCCCCCCACCCCTCACCCGCTCCTCGTGGGTGTGCCTTGTTCAATTAGATCCCAACACAATGTTAGGTTCGATATTATTACTGATCATGTAATCATGTATTACTACTGAAGTAAGGTTTTTTTCCTATTAATTTTGTTTGTGATTAATATTGGTGTGATATTAATCAAAATGTTATTCAAAGAAAAAGTTAATCAAAATTGTTTTCAGATTGCAATTCTCCTAAATAAACTTTATTTTTTTTAAACCAGATTCGCAACCTTAAATGCTAAGCCAATATAACTCAATCAATTTTTCAATCAAACATCCAACCAAAAGTCATAATATACATGTAAGATTAAGTTTTTTTTTAATAGAAAAAGTGATATTCCTTCTAAAATAATTGTACTGTTATAAATAATAATCCCAAGAAAGCGTTAATGGTTACCTCGGGATCGAAATATAAAACAACAATGTACATAAATGCATAAACTATGTTTCACCCTTTTATTCTCCCTCAACTTCTTAATTGAGATTATGTTCGACTTTGTCAAGTAAAAATTAACAGGGGAAACAAGATTTACTTTGATAACCTTTTTTTTTTTTAAATTTATAGAATATCGGTCAAGGAAATGATTAATTTTTTAAAAAAGATTTTACATTATTGTGACGGATGGCAAGAACCTATTATTCTTTAAATTTAAAACTTATGGTAATTAAAAATGGGTTGAGATACAAATATTGGTATCTATAGACGAAAAGGAAACAAAAACATTGAAGTTAATTTACTGTTTCATTTTTTTAAGAGTAACTTAAGTTTTTATTGATTTACACGATGAAAAGAGAGCACGCAATTGATGGTTTACTTCAGTCATTTCCCACGTGCTGTTTGTAATGGCATTCGTAACCAAAAATAAAAAAAAAATAAAAAAAAATTCTGTAATCAAAATGACCTTGGGAGGTGATACAAAATCATCAAATTTGTTTTTCACTGGTTTAATTAGTCGATGCTTTATACGTAGGTCATATTCAAAGGCCAGCAGCATAATTCGTTACGGAAATAAATAAATATAAGGGCGTATGTAATTGAAAACAAAGGAAATACTATTTGCTTTTGGTGCCGATAATCATGTAAAAATTGAATTAACCCCTTTTTTTTCCCCTAAAGAAAATGAAATCTTGGAAGCTCTTTGTGTTAATTTTTAATAATAAAAGAGACTAAAATCTATAACAACTACATTTTAAAAGTGAATATTTTCAACGAATTCCAACCACATACATGTGGAACAAGAAACGCGCTAGCAAAAGAATAACAAAAACACACGCTATCACTATTCAAGGAGGATCCCTCTAAACATTCCAAACAATTAAACTCATAAAGAAAAATTAGATCAAATTCTTACCGTAACTTAAATATTGGATGTTACACCAAAAATATTATAGGAGATTCTTACCGTAATTATACAGTGAAAATCATAGAATAATGCGGCAATATCGACCTAATTTTCAAGATCGCGAATAAGATTGGGAGCGAAATAGATACTAAAATGATTGGATTTAGCGAAATCTCTAAAACCATCCATCATCACCCATGAACCGAAGAAAGGAAGGAAAAGAAATATATACTGCGGTTACTTTGTTTATAAAAAATATGAAAAAAAAAGAGTATATCTCATATACTGCTCATATAGATGAAGATTCCAATTCCCAACATTTTCCAAAACTTCAAGTCAGCCCGACAAACCAATGGTCCATATTACCTTAAAATATCATTATTGATAAATATATAAGCATTTTTAAAAATCTTCTGCATATTCTGCAAATCTCACCCAAGATATTAAATTAATTACCTCAGTTAGATTACAACCCACAATATAAAAAAATAAAAATTCAAAGGTATATTTTTTTAATTTTTTATTTAAAAAGTGCATGATAAAACCAAATTTAGGTATAATTATTTGTATCATTGCTTTTAGCAACTAGGTATAATTACAAAGATGAATGAGAAATAATTTTTTGATATAGAATGTGTAGCTCTACAAAATACAGAGCTATTTCCACCATATATATATCTCGTATATCGGGCCACCCTAATATTTCACGGTTATCAATGCATTTCCCTTTCTCATTTCTTTTGTTATTTTCACTTTTTTAACAAATGTGTAATGTTAGAAATTGAAAAAAGCCAAGCATTTATATGTTTGTGTTGTAAATTACAAAAATAAATTACAAATATACATATAGTAGTATTATAAAACAATAAATTAGCAACAAAATCAACAGAGTAGGCATGATATATATTAAAAAAGCCTTTTCCCACATTATGTGTGATACATTTCAATTTACACAATCTATTTTTTCACCTTACTTCTTCCTATTTTTGCAAATGATCTTTTATCCTTATTAGTAATAGTAACATCTAACACAGTAGTATTGTATTAAACTATTAATTAATCAAAATGAAAAAGTAATTATAAACCACCTTCAGTTTACTACATTGTTTATAAAGCAGGTTTGTACCGTGTAGTAACATGCAGTAAAAAAAATTGGAATTCCCCTAACATTTAACCCCCCGACTTTCCATTAATTAGGCTGTGTCCCCTCTCCTAAATTTATGTTTCCCGTAATCACTCCACCATTTCTCCCTTCTTCCCCCATCTTCTCCTCCGCTTCTTCTCTTCCTCCTCCTCCTCCTCCTCCTCCTGCTGCCATAGGTCAATTTTTCTGCAGAATTATCCCATAAAATTTGAACACAATTCCGATGTGAGCAAACCCTTTTCCTTACCCTCTTCAATTTCTCATCTATTTTCTGTTTTGGGTGGTGAATTTCGTTACCTTTGAACCTGCATATAATCGTTTGATGAATGTTCATTTTCTTCTTCAGTTAATTTTTAGTCAATTTTGGGTATTATGTCACTGCTGTCGTCATCCGGAAAATTTTCTTTTTCGGTTCTCAATTATATGTATAAACAATATACAATTTAGTGAGTTATTATGATTTTTTACAGGCCAGGTGTGCAATGTGTGTTAATGGCGGGTTTTGCTTCGTCTGCTGTCTGTTTTGTAGTTTTAGAAGTTTGATCTTTCTCTTTTGTTTTTGTGTTGGGAGTGGCCAGGTTCAATGAGCGTGGATAGGGATTTGGGATCCATGTTGGAGATCTCTTTGCTCATATTTTTATGAATATTTGGTGCCTGAAGTTATGGTTTTTTGTTTTATATTTTTTCCTGGAGTGTGTTGTGCTATAGTAGTTTAAACAAAGTTGTGTGTGGTATATATTTATGTTTTCACTTACGGATCTTTGGTAGTTGTGTTACTTTGTCTGTTGTTTAGTTAATACTTTATTTCACTGCATCTTATGCTTATTCCATTATCTTCTTCTTGTTTAATTTTTTAATATATGTGTTCACATAGGTTTTTATATTGTTGGCATTTACCACATTGCTTAAGGCTTATATAAGAAGGTTGGTTTTTTTTGACCTGGGGTTTCATGGGTTGAACCCCAGGACAAGAAAAATTATGGGAAGCTTCAGCGATGAGGATGATGATGATGATGTCAGTGTCAGTACTGAAGGAGAATGTCGATTCTTTGATGCTGAGGAGAGTATTGCAGCATCAGGGTCCGAATCAGAATCAGATTTAGACCTTGCCTGCTGCTCCTCTACCGCCGGCTTGCGTGGTGGTGATTCTGGTTTGGGTAACTTTCTGTATGATTTCTGGATTAGAAGTCCCAGAAGTGTCAGGGAGAGAAGAAATGAATTCCTTAGCTGGATGGGTGTTAATAATTTAAATAGGGTGCCAAGAGCCGAGTGTAGTGGTGATATTAAGGATGATCATGAGCTTACCGATGATGGCTCTGGTATCAATAGAATAACGGAGAAGAGTGGGGCTGTGTTAAGAAACTCTGTTGGCCAAGATGAATTCTCTTCTAGCCGATCCAATATGTCAAGTTGGTCCTCAGATGTGGGGAATTCAATGAGGAAATCGGGCGCCAGAGGGAATTTCTTGACAAGTTGTAAATCAGATTGCAGAATATATAGTAATGGCTACCCTCAGGCGGTGATCTGTGATGGAAGGATGAATGCGGACAATTTTTTGGACACCTCGAGAGAGGGTCAGGGCTCAGCCACTTTACATTCCGTGTCGCAGAGACATGTTGACATCCGATGTGGTGGGAACAGTGGTAGAGCTACAGTTGGATTGAGGGGTCGTTTGTTGCGTAGAATACGTTCAATGACCTGTATGATGAGTCAGCCAGGACACCTGGACAACTGGGGGATTGGTGCAAGAACTAAGGTTCAGAGGATTAAGGTTCGGAAAAATAAAAAGCGAGTGAAGGAGCTTTCTGCTTTGTTCAAGGGGCAAAGCATCCAGGCCCATGAGGGGTCGATCTTGGCAATGAAGTTCAGCCCTGATGGCCAGTATTTAGCCAGTGCTGGAGAAGATAAGGTTGTTCGAGTCTGGCAAGTGCTGGAAGATGACAGGGCTAATGATATTGATATCCCAGATATGGATCCTTCATGTTTGTACTTTACCGTTAACCATCTTTCTGAATTGGCACCTCTAGTAGCTGATAAAGAGAAAAATAGTAATACGAAGTGTGACTGGAAAAGTTCAGAATCTGCTTGTCTCATCTTTCCCCCAAAGGTCTTTCGCATATTGGAGGATCCATTGCATGAATTTCAAGGACACACGGGTGAGGTCTTGGATATATCATGGTCGAATAGTAACGTAAGTTAATTATTATTTACCTGATTACCTCTTACTGAGTTTTTTTTTTTTTTTGAGGAATTCATTTTATCAATGAATCAGTGTTTTCTCATTGTATTTGCTCTTGTAGTGCTTGCTCTCATCCTCTGTTGATAAAACTGTTCGGATGTGGAAAGTTGGATGTGATCAGTGCCTTGGTGTCTTCTCACATAGTAATTATGGTATGGAATTTCTTGTTTGTAAATGTTGGCACTTGAGTGATTAAAGAGTTACTTTTTTTTTTTTAATATATTGCGAGTATAATAAGCAAGTAACGGTGGTTTTATTTCTTTTCCAAATTACTTCTGTTGCAGTCACTTGTGCTCAGTTTAACCCTGTGAACGATAATTATTTTGTTACCGGTTCAATTGATGGCAAAGTTCGTATATGGGAGATTAGTGCCTGCAGAGTTATTGATTGGTGTGATATAAGAGACATCATAACTGCCGTTTGTTATCGGCCTGATGGAGAGGTACTCAATTGTGACCTTGTTTCCTTTCTTCATGGAGAAGAAAATTGTTTCATCTGCTAACAGAGTAGCTTGTCCTCTTTTGCAGGGAGGAATTGTTGGTACAATAACAGGCATCTGTCGCTTTTTCACTGCATCAGGTGACTATCGTTTGTCCCCTTTTCCAGAACTTGATGCATCCAGTCAATCATGCTTTCACTATTTTGACATTAGTTAGCCTCCTTTTCTTGTGGGAAAAATACCTGGCTTACAAGTCATGTATCTTTATGTCAGTTTTTTCCTGTGTTAGATAATCGCTTGCAGCTGGAAGGCCAGATTTGCTTAACCGCTAAAAAGAAGTCTCCATGCAAAAAGATAACTAGCTTTCAGGTTATCACCTGTTACCTAATTTCTCTACACAGCTGTTGTCATTATCATGTTAGTTTCATCCATTTCCTCTGTTCTCCTGTTAATACTTGTTTCTCTAAAATTGTCATTTATTTATGTGCAGTTCTTCCCCAAAGACTCCAGCAAGGTACTGGTTACTTGTGCCGATTCCCAAGTCAGAGTCCTCTCCGGAGGCAATGTCATCAGGAAGTACAAAGGTATGTGTGCGTGGCATTCTTGTTTTGTGTCGTGAAGCTTGGTCTGCTTCGATCTTCTGTTAAATGTGCTTCTTCAATCATGTAAGAAATATAGATGTTGGGTTTGGTAAATGATCGCTTCTCCTGTTGAAATCCTGCTGTCTGGGTTAAACTTCAAGCTAAAGCTAATCTTTTGTTCTTTCGCTGTTTCTGAATTTGATTCTTTTCTTCTTGTTCTACATTCTATCTTTTAGGTCCCCGAAGTGCGGGTAATCAGATCTGTGCTTCATTCACATCTGATGGGAAACATATGATCTCGTCCTCTGAGGATTCTAGTGTGTATATATGGAATTCTTTTAATCTGGATGATGATTTTTTTCGATCTCAACCGAAAACAATAAGGTCATTCGAGTGCTTCCGAGGTGATGCATCTGTAGTAGCTCCATGGTCTGGACTGAAAAGAGGAAATTCAGGCGAACCTTACCGGAATTTAACCGGAGAATTGCCTTTTTCGCCTGGCTTTTCTCTGGGTCAGGAGTTCTTCTTAGAGTCCATACCCCGTGGATCTGCAACTTGGCCGGAGGAGAAGCTTCCTGATCCTGGCTCTCCAACAGTTGCTTCCATTATGTCTAAATCACAATTCAAGTTTCTCAAGACTTCCTTTCAGCGTTCATCTGGTTATCACGCCTGGGGTATGGTCATTGTTACTGCTGGCTGGGATGGACGAATTAGATCATTCCACAATTATGGGTTGCCAATTGCTACTTGAAAAAAGGTTTTCCTTGCTGTCAATGCAAGTGTTCATGAATTTTTTGGTGTCCACTTCTCCAGCAGATACCCTCGTTTGGAAGCCTGGTTGGGTAACAAGTTTTATCTTGGTCATTTTACAATGGCTGACTGGATTCCAATTATCTCCCAATGGAGGAGACCCTTCTGATGTTCCTGGTAAATATTTGATTCTGATGATTACGAGGGGTTTCTCATTGCGTCTAAATCGATGTCAGCTCATCTCGTCTCATCTGCCCTGTTGGGAGATAGGAGTTTAAGGATTCTTTGATTTGTTATTGATTTAAGAAGTGTTGGTACAGATTAATTGTCCACGGGAGATGAAATCGAAAGGGATATCAATTTGCATATTGTTTATCTTTAGGATTCATCCAGTGGGTCCTTTTACAACCTCTTCCATTTGTTCATGGATTGGGAGCTTGGGCGAGAGTGAGCTGGTGGTCGAAAATTGTTGAGGGAAAAATCAGTGGGATGCTTCATCTTTTTCTGAATGATTGAGGTTTTTTGTCTGCCATTTCATTCCAATTGATGAAAGGATCTGGGGAAGCAAGGTTTGGTTGCTGTTAGAAGTATGGAAATGACCCACAAGGGATTTTTCTATTTCAGGGGTCTGATTTGGTTCTTCGTTCTTAGTCCCAGCAAATCCATTTGAGGTCCCTAGTAGCATATGCAAAAGTAGCCCTTTTTGGTAGCACTAACACATGATTGCACTGAATAAGTGCTGTCTAACATATTTGTAATTTGCATAGTTAGCTCTTTGTACAGATTAATGTCCATTTGGGATGTAGTAGACTGGTGATGATTTTCGCTGCCACAATAATACACGAAAAAAGAACCAAAAGTTTCTTTGGTTCATTTCTACCTCTACATTTCTTCTCCTACAAATTTTGGGATTTAACTGTTATTCACAAGATGGCTGAAACACAACAATAACCAGTGTCTGCTACGAACTACGACGTTACACTAATCTAACAAAAAACCCGGTATCAAGTGAACCGTTTATATTTTTCTATTTTTATATTACGCCGTTAATTTTAATACAAAATAAGACTGGGGTGAGGGAAAAAATTATAAACAAATTTAAAAAATAATAATGTATTGATCATATAAACTATGTTTTAACCTTTTAAATGCATAAAATCTAAATGAAAAATATTAAAAATTAATAAATATGACAATTCCTTATCACTTTTTCTAATAAATTCTTCCCCCTATTTTTTTCCCCCTTATGTTTTATTATTACTAGTTAAACGGTCCGCTACGTGACTGTTTATACTAAAATCAATAGGACTGTAATAATGTGGTGTCTGTGGGATTAGGCCCCCCGTTACAGTATCAATAGTGCCAAACTGTCTATTGAAATGGCAAATGGATGGGCGCATCGTTTATGAATGTCTGGAATTGGTGTATCATGGCCATGTGCTCCTGTGCGCCACATAAAATTGTGCTTCGACTATAAACCTTTGGTTGATCCCATTACCACCCATCATGCGTCTCACACATAATCAATAGATTCCCCTTTGTCTATGAGCGTCTGGGTTTCCTCTTTTTGTTAGTTATCTTCTTTTATTCATTCGAAATCAAAACGATGATCCCTTGCACATAATATCCATTTGGAGGATTAGGGCCTTTTTCCTTCAACATCAGCACACGAACTCTCAAATAAAACGATCCAAGTCTAGGATAGACAATAGAGAAAATTTGTACCGGTTATGATGACTTTTTTTTTTTTTTCCCCTAATAATACTAAAATCAGAAACCACAGGAGGTCAACCTTTGCTCTACTTGCAACCAAGAGACTGACTCTTGCTCCCTTTACCCTCATGAGATGAGTTAGCTCTACTTGCAACCAAGAGACTGACTCTTGCTCCCTTTACCCTCATGAGATGAGTTAGGATCATGCAAAATTATGTACCTTGGTTCTAACCATAGCCGAGATGGGCCAGGGGGGACAGGTGCAATCTGAGGGACTCCCCCTCTAAGCCCTCTTCGTGGAGCAATCTGAGGGACTCCCCCCCTTGAGCCCTCTGTATTTATCCCGGATTGGTGTTCCAAGATTGCATAGCAGAATAGCCAAACACTTCCGTAAATAGACAAGGTTATGAATTTAGGTATATAGGATGGTAATATAAAAACATACTCCCTCTGTACCAAAATGATTGTCCTAAACTTAACAATAACTTCAAGACGGAGGGAGTATAAGATATCAGTTTGCACTATACTAAGTTTAAGACTCAGAAAGTGCCTAGACCCTCAGTCAACAAAATCTTCAAATCAAAAACTCTAGCATGATTTAGTAAGTAAATACAAGTCTAAATGACCACTTTCATTATGTGCTCAAGAATCTGGCACCGATAAGCATAAGGTTTACAACCACATAAAACAGCAAACTACACAAAGTCTACATAGGAAATGTGCATTCCATAAACAAAGAATCATTAGAACTTAACAAATCACGCTGGACAGTTGTTCAAAAACCTGGCCACGTAGCACTTCAAAGACAAAGTAGATAGAACGACCCCAAAATCCATATCCCTCATCACCTGCAGAAAACTTTCATTAGGAGAAAACGGTTGGCCTAATCATCTGTATACAATCAGGAGCATATAAGATAGATACACATCCAACTCACGGAATACAAACAAGACGTGGAGTATCATGATCACACTACAAGAACAATCAATAATTGGTAGCTCAAAAACCGATTGAAAGAGAAAGACTCTAGAGATAAGCTCAAAATACAAATTTCGCGGAAAGAAAGAAATTCTATAGGTTTTAGCCTCAGCCAAGCCAGCCAACTTATAAGAAAAAAAATGAAATCCTTAAAGCCTTTATGGTAAAATGCCAGATGCCTGCAATGCTTCTAGATGTAACAATCTCCAAACATATCACCGACATCCACAGCCATTAATAAACATCTCCTTTGCATACATGTAGACTAGTATTTTAAGCTTTCCACTCTATATCCAGGAAGTTAGCCATATTATGATCTCCAAATAAACATTTTCTACAAACTGAAATAGAATCTGGAGTCATCCACATTTTGAAATCTTCGGGCATTCATAACACTGATCATGTCCAAATTACTATTCCACTTCATTGTTTGAAATCTTTGGCCATTCTTAACACTGATCATGTCCAAATCACTATTCCACTTCATTGTTTGAAATCTTCGGCCATTCTTAACACTGATCATGTCCCAAATTCCTATTCCAATTATTGTGCGCCGAGAAGGTAAACAAATTAGACAAAATTGAACAATGAATTGATGTCATCCAAGGTTATATAACTTAGAGAATACAAAATTATCCGATAAAATTTGGTATCACGCCAACAAATTCAATTATACAACCCTAATAGAATATGAATTACTCTTTTCACATAAAACCCTATATTGCATAGGTTATCAAAAGTACCAAATCACGAAAAGGAAAAAAGGAAACAAAAAAAAAAGGAAATGAATTAAGTCAATAATCGAATTAGATTGAGATTAACCACATCATTTAGTACTCCAAGGTCAATCCATTTGAAACAAAGAAAAACATTACAATAGTAAAAGAGAAAAAAAAAAAAAAACAAATTGTAGAACCAAAGGAGCCAAGAAACCTTTATAGATCCGAGAATATTTTCCTTGAAAAAGAGCTCAGACGGGGAGATTATCGACAGGCTGAGGTTTGAAGGCGTTATTGACGGTGGAGGAAGAGACGGAGGAGGAACGGAGGTTGGTGAACATGAGAGGGCGGTCTTTGGCTTCTTCTCCGTCCTCGTCGTCGGATTCGGAGGTGGAGAGGTTGACGCAGGAGCAACGCTCGAGGGAGGCGAAGAAAGCGGAGGCGACGCTCATGCCGAACCACCTGGCCAGGCCGTCCAGCTTCTCGTAGGTCGAATTCTCCATATTTTGTTGATTACTCATAATTCAGAGCTCGATCCAGAGACACAAAGATTGAAGAGAACTAGCTACGATTTTGGCAATGGCGGAAAGATTAATGGACGGGAAAAATCGAGCTGGGTACCGACGATCTGATTTTCTGCTTCTTTTTTTTTGTGGGGGTGGGGGGGGGGGAGAGGATTAATTAGAGGAAATATTAATAGGAGCATTAAAATTAAATAAAACAACAAAAAGCAATTAGGAAAAGGTAAATGATATGCTGTTTTCCTTTAGTTACGTTATATTTTAAATAATTACAATTTAACCCCTTCTTTTTGCAATGAAGCCCCCAAAGGAGCCACGTCAGTAGATCGTCTATCATACGTGTGTTCTGGAAATCAAATCAATGAGTCGAGTTGGCTGAATGAATGGATAAGTGGACAGACCTTTCTTTCACCCGAAAAAATATGGAAAACTATCCAAAACTAAAATGGCGTCCCTCTCATACTCAATCCCAATTCCCCGCAAATTCTTCTCTTCACCTGCAACTAGAACGACCCACCAACGTCCTTCATCTCACTCTTCCATCCAGATCATCAAATGTTCCGGTAAATTACTTGACCGAAGATAATGAAAGAAGTGACTCGGTGTTCATTGATTGATTGAGCATAACGGGCTAATGGATTTCTTCCTTTTGCAGATTCAAGAAGAGATGATCATCAGCATTCCCAGTTCAAGGAACTCAGGAACGTAGCTTGTGGGCTTCTTGCTGTTTGGGCTATCAATGCTGCCTCACCCGTCATTGCTGCTAACGTATGTTAATTGCATTTTCATTTCTAGTGCCTCTGTCGTTCATTTTATGTTTGAAATTTACCTAATTTGATAGTTGATCCTAGTATTATATATACGTCAATTAGGTAAAGTGGTGAGTATTGGAATGTGGAAATTAACCAAGCTTAGTTCGGGAATTCTGTTTGGTTTGGGCAATGAGTTAATTAGATAGCATTTCCCCTTTGGTCTGCAAAATCTGTTTGGCTTATGATAGTTTTATGTTCTAGGATCAAATGTGTTCATGATTTATGGAGGATATCTACTGTTAAGTCTGTTCTGTCCATGTTGTGGCGGGATTCTTAAACGAGTGGATTGGACTCCTTTTTGTCACCTCTCTCTATCTTTGTGATAAATTAAGTGTGTTTGCGTTGCATTGATATGTGCGGTTGGCATATAACCCCTGCATGGAACTTGGAAAAATTACAAGATGAATCAAGTGAGTTACATAGAGTTTTGGTTGTTTGAATTTATGGTAACGGATTACTTTGTGATTTGGCGATGAATGGTTGATGCAGATTAGGTTGCCTCCTTTGTCTACGGAGCCCAACAGATGCGAGCGTGCATTTGTGGGGAACACCATCGGTCAAGCCAATGGTGTTTATGATAAGCCACTGGATCTCCGGTTCTGTGATTACACAAATGAGAAGTCTAACCTGAAGGGCAAGTCTCTGGCTGCAGCACTCATGTCTGATGCTAAATTTGATGGTGCTGACATGACTGAAGTCGTTATGTCTAAGGCCTATGCTGTTGGTGCCAGTTTTAAGGGTATTTCCCTTTTGCATTTTCCTTCTTTCTATTTTTCTAGTTAACTCTTTGATTACATGCTGTTTTGTTTCAAATGTAGTTCAATTGGAATGTGAGTCTCTAAAATTTGATAGCTCAATAGCTCAGAATGGTGCCGTGTGATTGTAACATGGGAAAGGAAGTACTGTATGTCTGCTTTATTGGTCAAAATTAAGCCTACATTACCTATGCTGTTTTACATCTGTAATTAGTACTTGTAGATTAAATCTGCAAAAGCATGTCTGAAGTGTAAGTGGTAATATAGATTGACTCTTCTGACTTTGAGGACAATGAGAATTGATTGAGAAACTTCTCTGCACGTATCACCCGGTATAAGCTTACAGTCCAGTAATGTAGGGATACTTCTCGAGGAACAAACAGTAGTTATCTAGTCTTGAGTGATAAAAAACTGTCTTCAGTGATTAATTTTGATCAGCGGATCCACTGCTAATAAAAAAATTTGAAGGAAGAAAGTGATGTGGTGGGAAAAAATGTTGTGTTCTACACCTATAGCTTGGATTGAGAGACTTATTTGGTCTTCATATGTTGAGTTGTTGCAGGCACAGATTTCTCTAATGCAGTTCTGGACAGGGTAATCTTTGACAAAGCCGATCTGCAGGGAGCTCTGTTCAAGAACACTGTATTATCTGGATCAACTTTTTCTGAAGCTCAACTCCAAGATGCGGTATTCGAGGATACTATTATTGGATACATAGACTTGCAGAAGCTTTGCACAAATACTACCATCAACGAAGACGGAAGAGCTACTTTGGGATGCCGATAACAACCTCCGCCCTCCTTTCTGTTTTGTTTTAGATCTTTCCTCGGATCAATTTTTTTAAAAACCTTTTTAATAGCCAAGTATAATTGCTATACTGTGAAACCAGAAAAGAATGACCCAGTTTCACATTTGTAATATTCGAGAAATGAGATGAAGCATAACCTACTTTATCCTCTTTTTTAAAGAGTTTTTTACGTCTGAAGTTTTGTCCATCAACTTTTTCAGTTTCCAGATGCGCAGGTTTTTCAGTCACAAGAACAGACTCAACGATCTTTGAAAGATATTATTATAGTTAAACCTTTATTTAGCCTAATGATCCAAGAAAGGATGCAGATTGATTCCAATTCATTTTTAGAAGCCAATTCAGCAGGGCCATCAATATTCTTTTTATCTCCTGACACAATCTTATACTTTACTCCAAGAAAATGCTCGAGTACAAAGAAAGGAATCCATATCGCAAGAAGTAGTCATAACCTTCTCCCAAACCATTTCTCCATCCCCAATCACTACCATTTCATCATTCCTGATCCTGATATACTGATACACATTCCCTAGCTCTCTTAAACAATGGATAAAAGTAGGGACGGACCCTCCCTAATTCAAGCTGTCGTCGGAATCTTGCCGTTGTTCCTCCTTGCCTCAGTTGTTGTCATTCAAGGTATCCCCGCAATCTCTTGACTAATATTACGAAATTGACATGTACACTAAACTATAATGTTGTTGAGAGCAGGATAGGATACATGATTTATGTTGTCTGACTCCCTGCAGTGGGGTAAAACTTAGTTGTGTTGATTTATTGAACTGCAACGTCATCCTTGTTTATCATTTTCAGGAACTGAAGGAAATATTGGTGTTAACTACGGCACAGTTGCAGACAATCTTCCTCCACCAGCACAAGTTGCTCATTTTCTCCTGGACAACACCATCATCAACCGTGTGAGGCTTTTTGATGCAAACCCTGAAATCTTAACAGCATTCGCTCACACCGGAATCGCCATCACAGTAACCATCCCAAATGATCAAATTCCACACCTTACAAACACAAGCTTTGCTCAACAATGGATAAGAACATTCATTGTACCTCATGTTCCGGGCACCAACATAGTCCGAATTCTCGTTGGAAATGAAGTAATTTCCATGGCTGATAAATCATTAATATCCAATCTCGTCCCAGCAATGCAGGCTGTTCACACGGCCCTGGTGGCCGAATCATTAGATCACCGGATCAAGGTCTCAAGCCCACATTCACTAGGCATTCTTGCAAGCTCAAGCCCTCCATCCACCGGAAGGTTTAGACAGGGCTATGATACACATGTGATTAAGCCATTGCTCAGTTTCCTGAGAGCCACGGATTCTCCTTTCATGGTGAACCCATATCCATTTTTTGGCTGCTCCTCAGAAACTCTTGAGTACGCGCTATTCAGGCCTAATTCGGGCTCTTTAGATGACAACACGAAGCTCACATACACAAACATGTTAGACGGACAGCTGGACGCTGTTTACTCTGCATTAAAACAACTAGATTTTGCCGATCTGGAGATTGTCATAGCCGAAACTGGGTGGCCTTCCAAAGGTGATGCAGGACAAGTAGGTGTCGATGCTGAAATCGCGGCTGAGTACAATAGGAAGCTGATGCAACATGTAACCTCAGGGATTGGAACTCCCCTGATGCCCAACAAGACATTTGAAACTTACATTTTCGCGCTATTCAACGAAGATTTAAAACCGGGGCCAACCTGCGAGAGAAACTTCGGGCTTTTCCAGCCAGATATGACTCCTGTTTACGACATAGGAATCCTCAGGCCAACGGTAGCCACCCCTATCTTCTCCACTCCCAACACCTCTCTGGCCGACAATCATCATCAGCATCGTTATCGCCATTATACTGTTGTACTAACTGCATTCATCATCACATTGGCTCTGGCAGGCTAAGGCGAATTTCCCTTCGGGTGCAACTCCGCCTTCTCCATCTTCATCTTCTTCATCCGGGAAGAAGAAGAAGAAACAATGGTGTTTACCCAAGGCTGGAGCTAAAGAAGAGGCGCTGCAGAACAATATTGATTATGTTTGTGGGCTGGGATTGGACTGCGGACCCATTAAAGAAGGAGGAGAATGTTACTTCCCTAACACGGTTCGGGCCCATGCTGCGTTTGCCATGAATGCCTACTATCAATCTACTCAAAAAAATGACTACGACTGTGATTTCAGAGGAACTGGAGCCATCACCAGAAATGATCCAAGTATTCTCCACCCTCTACTTACATTTTGTCCAAGTTTAGAATGTTACTTTTATTGAATATGATAAGACTAAAAACAAGAAATGAAGAAGTGACATAGAAGTATATGGTTGAGAACTAACACTTGGGAATTGGACATTTTTTCAGGTTATGGCAACTGCAAATACTGATGAATTTGCTGCTTTACCTATGGAACCTTGTGAATTGCCAGGAGCCATGGAAGCTAGTCGGAGTCGGCCACATCTTTTTGTTCGATTGTGTCCTCGATTCTACTCTACAATATATATTCAAATTGTTATACAGTTTTTGTGTTCTTTTCTTTTGTTAGATATGTCCAGTTTTCCCGAGTCCACTGCATTGAGTTAGTTGCAATTGTATGTCCGAGTTCTGTATCAATGTATTAGTATTATGGTAATGGTTATGTTAATGTAGTTGGGTTGATCTTACATTTAATACACACACAAAATTATATTACTAGTATAAATGTACAAAATTATTATGTTTATTGTTAATTGATTCTACCTCTGTCCCATTGAACTACACATTCGGGCACTCATCAATCATATGGGATGTGAAATGAAAAATAATGTTAGAAATGTGACATCTTCAATTGAATGTCATATACAGTTAAACTTAAATGAAATCCTAAATCCTTCAATGAAATATTTTTTTAATGTTTGATCCTTAGGATTTCTAACAATTTGGGGGGGGCTGGAAGGAGATTCAAAGAGGGAGTGTGGGGCCAATGTGCAACACAGAAAAACATTAGGGGACATCTCTGTCATTTCCTAAAACACAAAATCCCCCATCCCCTCCAATTCCCTCGAAACGCAAAATTACGCCATTCATTCGGGAACTTTGGGCACCCTTTTCCGCCCCATCCGCCATCCACCGCCACCACCCCCCGCCACAATCCAATTCTGTTATTTCTGCTAAAGATTTAGGGTTCCGCCGTAGGTTTAACTGATAGGGGCTCCAAGCACAATACTTTAAACTCCAAAATACAGAAGAAAAACACAAGATTTCAGTGTACGGAGAAATAGAGGGGAAAACAAAATGACGGAGTGGCAACCTTTCGTTCAGTCAGTCTTCTTTGGTTTATTATTCTCTTATCTTCTTGCCAAGCTCTTCTCCGTGATCTTCGCTTTCCGAGAGGATAATCTCCGCCTCACCCGCGGCGATTCTAACGAAGCTCCAGCCGATCCTCCTCCCGATTCCAAATCACCCGCGATTCCGCCCGAAAACATTTCCGGGTCATATTCAAGGGTTTCTGAAGTGGATACTGACAAGAACAACGAAGCTGCTGATTCTGCTGGTTCTGGCGGCGACGGCGGCGGTGACGATACCGGTAGTGATAGTGATTGGGAGGGGGTGGAGAGCACGGAATTAGACGAGGCCTTTAGTGCAGCCACCGCATTTGTGGCGGCCACGGCTGCCGACAGGTCTTCGGCCAAAGTCTCCAATGATGTGCAGTTGCAGCTCTATGGTCTTTATAAGATTGCCACCGAGGGACCCTGCAGCTCACCCCAACCCTCGGCTCTTAAGATGACTGCCCGTGCCAAATGGTATGCATATATTGGATCTCTTTCTCTTTGTTATGGACTTTTATTATAGGTACGATTCTTTGTAAGGATATCTTGATCACTCCATGCTTGGTGCCCAGGAATATTGGTTATCTAGGGATACAAGTGTTTGATTTCTGCCCTTTCCCCCCCTGAAATGCCACGGAATTTTTTCTTTATGAGTTATTTCAAATGAATAATTCTAGTGATTTTTTTAAAAATCTAATGAACATCTTATGTGCCTGGTAAAATGTTACTCGTAAAACATAGTTATTTTGAGGTATGCCGGTGATAGTGAATGAGTAATGAGTACATTATTTGATTCCTTTTAGGCAAGCATGGCAGAAGTTGGGTGCTATGCCCCCAGAAGAAGCAATGGAGAAATACATTGACATCGTCACCGAGTTGTACCCTTCATGGATCGGCAGTGCTTCTACTGTATGATATCATTAAACCTCTGATTTCTCTTGATGTTCTGTTGTTTCATATAGACATGCTGATCCTTATAGTCTATATGATTTATCACAGAAAAAGGACCACAAAGATCCCACAGGTGCTTCGGGTACAGAATCTAAAGGGCCCATGGGACCTGTTTTCAGCACCTTTGTTTACGAGGATGAACCCTCCAATGATCTGTAGGTTTTCTAATGCTTTGTCATTTGAATGTCACCTTCAGTATGATTTTGATTTCTTTTACTTGATCTTTTGTTGAATTTTTATTTTATTTTTTCAACTCTTCATTATAAGTCCAGGATGGTTACTTTACATCTACCCTGTATTAACCAGTCTCTTGTCTTAAGGGATGAACAAATTTGGTTTTACTCGTTAGGTGCTGGTTTGTAAGAATAGAATTATTGACATCCTTATCTGATGAGGACAGATTAAATAGGCTGCAATTGTGATCTTCAAATGTAACTGTCGAAGCTATTTTTGCATTATGTTATGGACTTCAGATTTTGTATGTTGACAGTGCTTGTGGATCTACATTTCTGCCTTCTGGTCTCTATTCTATTATCTTTAAATGTTTTCAACCCTCCCAGAGACTGAAGGGTTGGAGGAATTATCCACTTATCTACTTTCTTAGTTATATGTCTCTAAAAAGGATAATCGTGCCACCAAGTTCCTCAGCTTATGTTTTTGACCCGAGGCCTCTGCTTGACCAATAGAATTCTATCAGAAATTATAAGATATTCATGTATAAGATATTGGCTTGTTAAAGAAATGATAGCTTTCAGCCTGTTGTACTGTGTTTGCTCGCGCTATCCTGACTCTGTTTGTGCTTGTTTACGCTGGTAGTTGAGTTCTGTAGGCTCATAGACTGAAAATAATTTTATGCAGAACATTGGATGCATTACATGGTTTTGCAAGAGAAGGAGACAAGGACAATTTACTCAAATGCATTGAGACTGGTGTTTCAATAAACATTAAGGGTAGGTATCTATTTTCATGTTTAAATTTGAGAGGACTACACTTCTTTTCCCTCTTATAACTGTTGAAGGACATAAATTGTAATTATTTTTAAGGAGTTTCTTCCATGCTTTTTCTCCTGTAGAACTACTTCACGATCTCTTTAGGAATAATGAGAGGCGGACTGACATTAAAAAATGATTATGCTTCCATGGTGTAAAATGTTTCAAAGCTAATCTACACTTCGTTGAAATGGATGGCAAACTTGTGTTTTAGTTCATGAACTGAACAAAGATTGATTGTAGAGTATTCTAATTATTGCAGATAGTGAGGGTAGGACACCACTCCATTGGGCTGTAGATCGGGGTCATCTGAATGTTGCAGAATTACTTTTAGACAGAGGTGCTGATGTTAATGCGAAGGTATGAATAACTCTTTCATGGTGTGAACTTCTTTATTCCTTGAGTAACTATATATTTTCACTTTGCCAGTTTGCTGTATAATCAGCACACTGTACATTTTCCTTAATCCTTATAGGGTTTATATTGGCAAAAGCACATTTCATAACTTCGAAGCCATCTTAGTTGTAGTCCTTATTAAAAGTTCTGATGGTTAGTACATGATTTTTCAGTTGAGTTCCTTGAAAGATAATTAGTTCGTTAAAAACGCGGACTTGTTTTTACTTTTTGGGTCCACTGTTGTTATTTTATTGCTTCTCAATCTGTCCTTTTTGGGAGGGTAATGCTAGGCTTTGAACAGCCACTTTTGTATTGAACTGTTTCTGTAAAGACTTAGTCTTTAAATAACTTTCTGGCATAAATTCTTTTCGTGCCGGGCTGCAGGATAATGAAGGTCAAACACCACTGCATTACGCTGCTGTCTGTGAGAGGCCAGCCCTTGCTGAACTACTTGTGAAGCATAACGCTGATACAGAAATAAAGGACTCTGATGGCAGTTCTGCGGCTGATCTTAGCGAATCTAACTGGCCTTGGATGCAGCGGGTTGCTAGTAGTGTTACTGGCTGATGAAATCCCAGTTCCCTGTTCCACTTATTCTGAAATTTAGCCTTGTACATGTTACACAGAAACAAATATCAGGATGGGGTCTCTTCGAGTTTCATCTTTTGCTGGGATATTGATTGGATCATTGATCCTTTGTTTTGCTCTTCTGTGGTACAGGGTTTGGATAATTGTTGAATTAGTTAACTAAAAAAAAAGAAAAGAAAAGAATAATGGTGGACTTAGGAATCTTAAAGAATCTTTCTGTGTCTTGCAATGGGTTTTATGAGCACAAAGATGCAGAAGAATCTACCAGTCTATTATTGGTTTGGGCTGTGAAGTTTAAATGTTGCCTCATTCCCTACTCTCTGATGCAATGTTCTTAATCGATTCTGATTTTACCGGCTTATTGTCCTTTGATTTATAATCTTGCAATCCGTTAAGAACGATTTTCTGTAATCGCACAGGACCCGTGAAATCTCACAATCTCTTCTATAGTGAGAATATTAATGGAGCGAAAACCTTCCCTTTGAAAAACATGATCATCTTCGACACCACATGAAGAAAACCAAAACAAAAAACATTCTTAGTGACGATCGGATCAGACAATTATTTGAAACATTCTTGCTAAAAAACCTCGCGGACTTTCCAGAGCTAAAGTGTTTTTTCTTTTTGAAAGAAAAACAGATCAGTTCAATCATCTATATTTGGATCGTTTTTTGAGTGTGCTTTTTTTTGTATTTGGGAATGTAAAAAAATATATTGAAAATTTAAAAATATGCATTAGTAATGTAAAAAGATATGTTGGGATGGAACAGATATTAATTAAAAATTCTGAAAAAACTAATGAAAAAACGAACCAAACATATTAAGTTCTGTGTTTCGACTGCTTTTTACTTAGAGAGCTTAATCATGTGGGTTCCGGTTTAGAGAGCTTAACCCTGTCATTATTCTTGTCGTATTTAGTTGGCTCAATTAACGTTAAATTTAACGGATTTTCGTTATTTTTTAACATAATAAAAAAATAACCCCCAAAACAGATTTCCGTTAAACTTAATGAATTTCCGTTAATTTTAAAAAATTATAAAATAAAAATAACAATATAATTCTTTTTACTTCTATTCATTTTTTCCTATTTTATCTATTTCTCTTTACTATTTTTCATAATCATTAAAATATATTATATGATCTCAAAAAAATAATTATTTATTTTCAAATTCTTTTTCATGTGTAAAACACATGTGTGTCCTGTCCAAGGGTAATTTCGTTATTTTATATATATTTTTTTAAAAAATAAATTTTTTAATTTTGTTTTACGATTTTTCATCTTATACTTCTTGACTTGTATACGCTGGTATATCTGGTACTAGAATAATTACTAAATTTCAAGAAACAATTTTACCTTTTGTATTTCAACTTTGAGGTTATAAAAAAATATTACAAAGTTACACTCTTAAAGAATACATGATTGTCTTGAAATTTAATGATTATTTATATAGTTTAGTGATATACAAATCACGTGTAAAATATGTGCAAATCACGGATATATACCTATAAAGTTGAAAAAAAAATGACTGATTGATATATGTTATCTTTGGGTCCCAATGAAAAATATTTCTAACTTTACCACTGATCATAGTCGTTCTAAAATGGAGGCATTATGTCGTCCTTCCGCTTTTGAATTGTTAAAAAATGGTTCACATATGGCCATCAACGTTTTGCACAACTCAATTTCAAGGGTGTACCAGATATTCGTTGCAAAACGCATACACAATACATGGATTATGGCCTGATAACTCAAGCGTTATTCTCACTCCATGTAACAAATCCAAAACATATGTTTTACTAGTAAGTTTGTATCCAAGTGTAGTTTGTTGGTGTTTTTTGGTTTTTGGTTTTTGGTTTTTGTCATATGTGATTGGATTTTAACATGTATGGCCTAACTGCCTACTTCAACCTTGCAATGCAGTTGTTTGACAATTTTGGCATGAAGGGAATACTTCAGAATGCAAATATAGTACAATAAACCATCTATAAATTAATATTATTGGGACTAAAAAGTTATTAATTTATAAATATATTTATTTATCGATAAATTAATAATGTTGGAATCAAAAAATTATTAATTTATCGATGAATTAACAGTTAGTTAATAAAATATTTAGAGACATTATTATCAGTGTCACTACAAGTTAGATTTAGGATTAAAATAACAATGATTCAATGTTTTCATAATCAAACACATGAATGGAAGCACTTAAGACGGTAATAATTCTTCGAAATATTTTGTTGCATTACAAAAAATCTGCACCAGAGGTTTTGAAAGTAATGAAAAAATCAAACATGAAATCTTTTTAGATGTAAATTGCAAAATATATATATGTACATGTAGATATATATATATATATATATACATATACATATACATATTTTACTAGTTCTTAATTTTTTTTAATTTCAAGTCATTATTAATTTATGATATTAACGGAACCTATATTTAGATAAGAGTTTTCTGAAAAATTAATATCTTATTATTTATCGATTGTCTTTATTTTTTTGTTCTGTTCATGGCTAGGGGCCAGATAAAATTATTAATTATTGATTTATATACATTATTAATTTATCGATTATTAATTTATAAATATTTTATTGTACTAGGATGACATTACGGTCTACAAAGGGCTGCAATCAAACACTTCCTCTCGTCCTAATTATAAGCAATAAATTAAGTGCTTAACAAAGCCAAATGCTCAACCTCGAAAATTGGCATTTGTTCTAAAGGTTTTCGATTATTAAATCTCAACACTTATGAGAAGTGTATACATCATTACTCTTCGCTGATATTTGATTTTTTCTATTATTGGTTTTCTGTTTTGCCATTCCTCAATTCTGGTCTTTTAATATTGATCTAAGGAAAGCAATCGGGTAAACGTCAAAAACCATTTGGGCCTTGATTAAAATTTCTAGAACATTGCTCCCAAAGAATAACCTACTTACAAGTTACAGCTAGCATAAATCCAATAATAATAAATCATCGTGGGAATCACCATCATCATCATTTCCTTGGGATGTAGCTCCAGTTTCAGACCTCTCATAAACAGCTTTGACAATCGGATTACAAACATCTTCAACTTCCTTCAACTTCTCCTCAAAATCCACCTTCTCGGCCTTTGAACTTTCATCCAACCAGCCAAGTGCTTCCTTGGTTACTTCCTCAATTCTTTCCTTCTCGTCTTCCTTCAGCTTGTTCGCCAGCTTGTCCTTGTCATTCACCTGGTTCCTCATGTTGTAAAGGTATGTTTCCAAGCGATTTGTGGCGTCGATTCTCTCCGTGACCCTCTTGTCCTCCTCGGCGTACTCTTCGGCTTCCTGAATTTTTTGTTCAATCTCTTCTTGGCTCAAACGACCTTTATCGTTAGTGATAGTGATCTTTTGGGATTTCTTTGACGCATTGTCTTCTGCGGTGACACTAAGAATACTGTTGGCGTCCACCTCAAATGTGACCTCTATTTGAGGTGTTCCCCTGCTCAAACCAAAAACGGAAGTTAGTTTCAGCAAGAAAAAAATATTAATATCGTACAAATCCAAAAATTCAATATGAATTATTTTAATGTGGTTTTTTTTGAGGGAAGGGGGGGAGGAACAGAGATAATACAATTAACCTTTTGGAACAGAAATATACAGTATTTACCTTGGTGTTGGGGGGATCGAATTTCCCTAGTAGCCTACAGTCCTTAGTAAGAGTCCGTTCACCTTCAAAAACATGCATTCAGATCATTAGGGATATTAATGAACGTGTTACATTTCATGAATATGAATGAATCATATAAGAAATCGGGTGTTTGGTCGCGAGTTTAGGAATAATATGGGGGAAAACAATCATGGGTACCTGAATGGAGACGGTGGTTTGGTGATCCTGATAAGTGGTGAATACTTGTGATTTCTTGGCGGGGATTTGATGATTCCTGGGGATCAACTTAGTCATCACCCCTCCAACCGTCTCAATTCCAAGCGTAAGAGGAACCACGTCCACCAGCAGAAGTTCTGCTCAAACAACCACCAACATTGTTTTAATATTTTGTTATTATTACATACATAAAATCATAAAATGTAACTAAAATCAGGACCAAATGTACTGGATAAAACTTACTGTCGGTTTGTTCACTACCGGCGCCGCTCAAGATGGCGCCTTGTACGGCAGCACCAAACGCAACAGCTTCGTCCGGATTCACGCCTTTACTGGGCTCCTTCCCGTCAAAGTAATCTTTCAACAGCTCCACAACTTTTGGGATTCTAGTGCTTCCTCCAACCAGTACAATTTCATCAATCTCACTCTTCTTCAATCCAGCATCCTCCATTGCTTTCTTCACGGGCCCCATTGTTTTCCTGAACAGATCATTGTTCAGCTCCTCGAATCGAGCTCGCGTTAATGGTTCGGAGAAATCCACACCGTCGAATAGGGACTCGATCTCGACCCGGACTTGGATGTTGGTTGCTCAAGGCTCTCTTAGCGCGCTCACATTCTCTTCCTAATTTTCCGAGTGCGCGGTCTTTGCTGAAGTCCTTGCCTTGATGAAATACTCCATCACCCTTTGGTCGAAATCCTCACCTATTAATTTAACCATTAGTGCGAAGGCATTACGTATTGTACGAGATATCATAGAGATGAACATACTTTTTATCTAAACTAATTACTCCCTCCGTTCCATAATTATTGTCCAGTTTGTGTTTTCATTTCTAGTTCAAATTATACTAAAACTGAAATCTCAAACTGGACAATAATTTTGGGACAGAGGGAGTAATTGATTTATTGATGTTTAAGATATCTTAAAGATTGATGACTCTTTATACCTCCCAAATGAGTATCTCCATTGGTGGAAAGGACCTCGAAAACGCCGTCAGAGATGGTCAAGATACTGACGTCGAAGGTGCCACCACCAAGGTCAAACACCAAGATGTTCTTTTCGAGACCGGCTTTATCCAACCCATATGCAAGCGCTGCTGCGGTGGGTTCGTTGATGATTCGAACCACATTCAATCCTGCAATGGCGCCCGCGTCCTTTGTGGCTTGCCTCTGTGCATCGTTTAAGTACGCTGCGTACCCCCATTCATTTATTCATTCACATAATAATAACGAATTAGTTACAAACTTTGAAAATAATAATAGTAACAATTAACGATGGAGGGGTTAATTTGATTTGATGGAGACTAACCAGGAACAGTGACAACGGATCCTTGATCTTGGTACCAAGGTAGGCTTCCGCAGTTTGTTTCATTCTGGTGAGAACCATGGCGCTGATCTCTTCAGGGCTGAAAACCACCTTCTCTCCATCTTTAACCTTCACTTCTTCTATGTATGGCTTTCCATCCTTGTTCACTATCTTGTAAGGAACAAGCTTCATGTCCCTCTGAACTTCTTTATCCTCAAACCTAACAACTAGCACCCCCAAAAAAAAAACAAAAAAAACACATGTTGTCCAATGTCCACCTCCGTTAGATCCAAATATAGGAACATAACAACTCCACACGTGACATAATGCACGCGATCAATAATACAACAATAGTACTTTTTTAAAATTTAATGTGAATTAAGTTTACCTTCTGCCGATAAGTCTTTTGACATCAAAGACGTCCTCTCGGGGTTATATAGAAGCTGCTTGGTTGTTGGCTGCTTCGCCGATCAATCTCTCGCCGTGGGTGAAACCCACCCACGACGGAGTGATACGATTACCTTGGTCATTAGCTATGATTTCGACGTCACGGATGCTTACGTGGACCAATGATATTTCTCAAAGTCAGGTTCTATTTGTAATTGGTCTTTTTGACTCTTTGTCCTCAACCCGTTGACGTAATTGAGCCAATCAGGTTATAGTTTGTGTTGTCCCTCGCCCTGTGACCATGACCTGGGCCGTTCGTTTTTCCCGCCTGGAACCTCCGAAGTTTAAGGAGGTTCTCTTTTGTTTACGGCTTCTTTTCTTTTTCTTTTTTTGAATTAATGTTTTCTGGCTTTTTTTCGTGGAACTAGTTTTTGTATTCTTCTGCACTTTGTGCTTTGATAAGGAAAAAAGAAAAAAAAAAAAAAAAAAGAGAGAGAGAGAATGTAAACGTGCTATAACCTTTGTGTCTAATCTTCTTTTGGGAGCTAGTTACACCTACTTAATTTGCATTATTTAATATTTATACAAGCTAAACAAGACTACAAGAGTAGTAGTAATATAATTGTACCAAACAAAAGAAAAAAATAGTAATAATAGTACTCCCTCTGTCCCAAAATTATTGTCCAGTTTGAGAACTCACTTTTAGTACAATTTGAACTAGAGTGAACCTCAAAACAAGTCATCAACCTTTAATATATTTTCGCTCTAGGTCATCAATTAAATTTATTTGTAACACAGGTTACCTTACTAAAATTCTAATCTATTTCAGATTATTCTGTTAATTTTGGCCGTTAAATAGTGACGGAAATCCATTTTTCACATGCTTTTGAGTTTAGGGGTATTTTTATCATTTTATTATTTTTTTATTTTTTGATCTTTTAAATTTTTATTTTTTATTTTTTCCAATTCTTCTTCTTATACTTCCTAACTTGTATATACTGGTAGTATAATTCTAAATTTTAAAAATTTATTTTCCTTTTGTATTTAACTTCTAGATTATAAAATTTTTTAAAAAAATTTAAGAAATGAAGAAGAAAAAATCGAGTTAAAATAAACATGAAAATTAATAATTTATTATTTTAAACAAAAAGAAAAACTAAAAGAATTAGCTAAGACAAGTTATTTTTTCTAGGTTATTTAATTTTTTTCCACTCGATTGAATTATTTAATTATTAATTTTCACGTTTCTTATTCTTTTTTTTTTCATTTGTATCTTAACTTCTAGATTATAAAAAAAAGGAATAAGAAATGTAAAAATTAATAATTAAATAATTCAATCGAATTGAAAAAATTAAATAACCTAGAAGAAACAACTTGTCTTAGCTAATTATTTTAATTTTTCTTTTTGTTTAAAATGGTAATTATTAATTTTCATGTTTACTTTAACTCAAAATTTTTCTTCCTTATTTCTTAAATTTTTTTAAAAAAATTTTATAATCTAGAAATTAAAATACAAAAGGAAAATAAATTTTTAAAATTTAGAATTATACTACCAGTATATACAAGTTAGGAAGTATAAGAAGAAGAATTGTAAAAAAAAAAAAATTAAAAGATTAAAAAATAAGAAAATGATAAAAATATCCCTAAACCCAAAAACATGTGAAAAATGGATTTTCGTCACTATTTAACGGTCAAAATTAACAGAATAATCTGAAATAGATTAAAACTTTAGTAAGGTAACCTGTGTTACAAATAAATTCAATTGATGACCTAGAGTGGAAATATATTAAAGGTTGATGACTTGTTTTGAGATTCACTCTTTGAACTAGAAATGAAAACTCAAACAGAACAATAATTATGGGACGAAGGGAGTAATTCTTTTTTGGGTTATATATTGAGGAGATATTGTTATTGAGGGAATGAACTCCTGAGATTAAGTACGGTTTTTGGGAGTCAAGTTTACGGTTCATTATTTTAGTTTTTTATTTAGTGAATAATCATGTGAATTTCCAATGTCGGTATGCGCCAAAACAGATAATTATAACTTGAAACAAATAAGCATGTGAATTTCTTTTTACTGTTGTTCGGACGGTGACAGTCTCATATGCGCAAAAACAAATAGTTATAACTTGAAAATCCCACCTATTTACTTTTTTTTTCCTTTATTTTTATTTTTCTGTTTCGGAAAGGGGTTTGTGAAATTGAGATGTATCAAATTGATATCTTATTTAAAAAAATTGATTTCTTTTTCTCAAAAAAAAAATTGATTTCTCAGGTGAATATCAAACTTCGCGGAAATGACTGTTCATAACATCCGTAGATAGTTAGCCACTCCTTTAATTATTTATTATTTATTTTTAGTCACAACAATTTTTTGCATTCAAACGTAAAAAAAAATAAATATAAAAAATAAAATTTGGCGCTAAAACACGCAATATAAACACGTAATTAACACACTAGCGAGGCTCTCCTTCCACACGGGCTCTCCAATTACGATGGCCTTCCATACCGAACCGCCAAATCACGGTTTTTCGGGGACAACAATGGAATCAACGAAACAGAAAACTTTCCCCTATTAACCAAAACAACTAGGACATAGAATTAACATTTACCCACACGGAAATCTCTAAAGTCGCCACCTTAGAACCGGAATTCAAAGATCGATGTCGAGGGCGGCGGCTTTGTTCACGATTTCAGCCACCGCCTTCGTCCTCGTCGTCTTCTTCTTCCAATCCACACCACATTTCCAGGCGAATAGGCAAAATGACCAAGTTGCCCACATCAGGCGGTTGGGATTCCAGATGATGTCTCCCATTTTCGACCCTGTCATGGCTAAGGTGCAGCGAATCGCCGAGGAGAAGAAGTCGGCGTCCTTTGCGAGTGCCGAAACGGAGCTGGAAGAACAAGAGAAGAAGTACTTCAACGACGACGGAACGCTGAATTTGAGGCTGCGGCTGATGGTTCTGTTTCCGGTGTTGGACCGGAGCCCGAAGGACGGGATGCTGGAGACCAAGGAGCTGGAAGTTTGGCTCACCCAACAAGCCATCGACAGGTTGTATTATAAGACGCTGAGGGCTTTGAAATTCCGGGATCAAGACGGCGACGGTTCCATTTCCTTCTCCGATTACTTCCCTGATTTTACCCAGCAAGACATTGGTACGTACGTTAATTTGTTTTCCCTGTTTCTTTTTCTCCTTTTTCCTTTCCCCCCCAATTGGAATTAATCTGCCAAAGATTTTTCAATTTGGCCTGAATTTCCAAATAGAGAGGAACGCGACGGGGCATGGAGAACCTGGATGGTGGATGCAACAGTTCAGGAATGCTGACGTCGATAAGAGTGGAACTCTCAGCTTGTACGAGTTCAGAGAGTACGCCATTCACCCCCACTCCCTGCTTCTTCTTCTTTTTCTTTTTTCTTTTTTTTTTTCTTTCTGGATTGTTTGATAATTGATTTTTGTGTTTTTTTTTCGTTTATTTTTTGGGTTTTGCAGTTTTCTGCATCCAGAAGACAGCAGGAACGACAACATTCATAGATGGCTGTTGACAGAAAAGATAAGGTTGTGTACTGACTGCATTCTTGATTCTTATTTTGTTACTCCCTCTGTCCCAAAATTATTGTTCAGTTTGAGATTTCACTTCTAGTATAATTTGAACTAGAAATAAAAATCCAAACTGGACATATGGAATGGAGGGAGTAGCAATTAATTTGTTATTCTCAAAAAAAATTACGTAACTTTTTTCATTTCTTATTTTTTTAAAACAAATGTAGGCATATAGACGAGAACAATGATGAAATCCTTGATTTGGATGAATTTACGTATGGAGTCTACAACACCTACAAGTCTTACATGGAGTACGAATCATCCGGCGGAGGTTACATTCCCACTGCCACGGAATTGTTCGCCAAGCTTGATCTTGACAAAGACAAGTAATAATTACGTCGTATCACTCAGTTAACCAATTGTTAATTTCTCTGTGATGACCTTATATAGTACGAGTATTTGGTTAATGACCATTACATGCACACACGTTAAAAAATAAACAGATTTTTCAGAATGTTTGGGGTGCTTCACCACGGATTGTAGCAAAAGTGTCAAAACAAACGGATGTTATTCTTTTTCTTTAATTAAAGTAGGCGATGAACAAGTTTATATCCTTAAATCGACCTATCGATTTTGGATATTCAGTTTAATGTAATGAACAGATTGTATGTTCGATTTTCCGGTGCAGGTTGTTGAGAGTGGAAGAATTGAAGCCACTGTTTCGGTACCTATGCCCCGGAGAATTGGTGTATGCCAAACATTACGCCATTTTCCTTATTCAGGAGGCAAGTTTTCTATCTTATTCAGTAGTACTTATTCAGGAGTTAATAAATACTACTACCTCCGTCCACAAAAATAGTCCACATTGAGTTTTGAGTTTTGTACTCCCTCCGTCCCATAATTATTGTCCACTTTGCCCAAAAAATTTTGTCCCAAAATTATTGTCCAATTTGACTTTTTATGGATTAAGTTACACATTTGTCCTTAGTAAAAAACATTATCCATAAAATCTTAGTGGTTAAATAATTACTTATGTAGGGGTATATCCGGTTGTTTAAGGTAAAATATAGTTAAGTTTGACAAAAAATAAAATATTTCATTTTAGTAAAACTGGACAATAATTATGGGACGGAGGGAGTATTATTTTTAGTACAAATTTAAAAAATTAATATAAACTATTTTTGTGGGACAGAGGTAATAGTATTTATTAACTCATCATAAACAAGGCACGTTTCAAACACAATGTGAAAAGGTAAATGTGAATCACTAATTTCTATTTTGTACATCCTTGGAATAGGGTGACGACAATGGAGATGGGAAATTGTCACTGGAGGAGATGTTGAATCATGAACATATTTTCTTCAGCGCCGTTTATGACAATGGCAAAGACGACGATGACCAAATTGATGGCTACCACGACGAACTATGAAGACTGATAAACAAAACTGAAGAATCTTTGTCTTTTTTTTTTCAAGTCAATGCACCTTAATCCGAGGCATGAAATTTTGTTCGGTTCATGCCGTTAAAAGGTTGCATAAATCGTCAGTTATCTGGCTGGTGACGAAGAGTCGCCTTTTAAGTTGACTGATGATGAACAGGACATTTTGTGTATAAAAACGTAGGCATTGCTAATTTTCCTTCTTTTTCGTTGTTTTTTTTAATGATTGTTTATGTTCATGAGACAACAACGCCAGAGCCCATTTACAGCCCTTTTATGTACATTACTTTTTTCTTTCTGTTTATGTACATTACTTTTTTCTTTTATGTACATTAATTATTGATTGTACTCTTGGTATGTTTATTTGCATTAGAATAGGACAGGTTGGACAGATCTACAGGCTCAATAGATCTGTTTTTAGTAAGCCAATGGCATATAAGATATACGTATACAATTCTGATTCCTGAACATGGTACAACAATTGCTGTTGTATTAGTAATCATAACTTTAGCTTCGCTGGAATTTTTAGGACAACAGCCACACTTCCATTAACTAACTGACATAATCATAAGAGAAGCCCAAAACCGCAGGTAGTTTGCACACTTGCACCTAGTACATATTTCGACTCTGATAATTTAAAACATACTACTACCATTATTATTATGGAAAAATTGCATGTAGATTGGTAGAGATATCCAATTTCGAAACCTACTGTAGGAGAGGGAATGCTTTGACAACGTAACACTAAAACTACTATACTAATTACTAAGCAGTGAAGGACCCAGCCCTCGAACATTGCAGGGGCCATTTTGAAAGGTGGATCGAGCAAATTTTTTAAAAGGAAAAAAATGCTTAAAATATGAAGACTTTAAGAAAAAAAAAGAGCTGTTAAAATAAGTCTTTTAAAACAAATAGATTGTGTTCAAGGTATAGTAGTACAAAAGTAAGCAAAATAATGTTTAGGCTTTATAAATTAGATAAGAATCCCAGCCCAAAAGGGCTGAAGTCTTTTTTTCATTAGTACTGCGCACTTCTTCTTCAAATCTGCAGGGGCGGTGTTCAAAGAACGGCACATTGAAAATGCAATTAGAGATACCTAGCAGGGGTTTCTCCCGGAGGCCGCAGGGTCGACGGACTCTGCGGGCCCTTAGCCAAGTCCGTTCCTGTTACTAAGTACATTTGCCACAGTACATTTAAGGAAAATTATAATTCTATAAATTTTAACATACGCTTCTATTTCATTTGATGCTCATCCCTTCCAAAATTAAGGTGCTCTGCAAAAAAATAAAAATAAAAAATAAAAAATCAACATTATTTTTTTGTGGTAGGCAACTAACTTGTTGTAAAAAAGAAGGCAAATTGATAATTAATATTTATTGAACCAAAAGGAAGACGTGGCTTTGTGAAAAATTATTTTTTAGTTTAGATTGTAGTTTGTAAGATACTTCTTCTGTCCCTCAAAAAAAATCACATTAAGTTTTCACATTTGAAAGAGAAGTAATACTAAAAAATAACTATATTATTCAAAAACAAAAAATAACTATATTATTCAAAAATTGTAATATGAATTTTTTTCTTGGATGAAGTAGTACTATATTTAATAATAATAATAACAACAATGAATTCAAATTATAAGTGTTAAGAAAGGCCAAAAGCCAAAAGTGAGAAAGCGCATTTGCATTGGCCAGAGCTGCACTATTGAAGTCAGCTGTCATTGAGTCACCTGCATTAGTTGTAATCTTACGATTTTTCATTCTTTTGTGGGGAACTCAAGATAATGAGATACCCCTTCTAGATCCTTTTCTTGCACCCTCCCTAATTTCATCCGTTTGTTTACCCATGTAGAGTGTTTTCTTTTTTTCCTCTCTCGTCCCAAAATTATTGTTCAAATTAAATTTTATTTTTAATATAAATTGAACTAAAAGTAAAAATTCAAAGTAGACAATAATTTTGAGACAACAATAATATTAATTTTTGGTTGGAATCATTGAAATAGTGATACATTCACAGAACGATAAGTACATTTTAAACTATTTGGCCATAAAGAAAACTTTAGTATTTCGGTGAGATCAGCATAAATGATTTTTTTTTTGACTCAAAACAAAAGATTCATGTCTCTTTTTTTATCGTCTAACATAATGGAATAAAACAAAACAAGCTGTCGTGTAGCCGTTTCTTTTATTTTCTAGTTAATTGTCTTACAACAGTTCTTTTGGCTTGGAGGTAGCATAAGTTATTATTAATATATACTATACAGTAATTATTTCCTCGAAGTTATCCTGCAGAATATTTGCTAAAAAAATAACATTAGTGATCTGATGATATTTTTATACTACTACTGGTATGATAGCTGGAAAAGAAACCTTAAATTTAAGAAAAAAAACTCAAAAAGGAAAAACAGGAAGAACGAAAAGGAAAAAAAAGAAAAAAAAAAAAAACAAAAGAAAGAGCAGTTGCGTACTCGCGTTTGGGTGGGTCCACACAAGTTAACTCTGCGAAACTGCTGCGGACTTCAACAGCCAATAATTTCCCTTCATAATTTTTTAAAATACTAATATTGAGTTCTCCCATAATTAATTTCAATATAGAGATGGGCTAATTTCTCATTTTCTTATTTTCTTTTTGTTTTATTGATAAATTTTTAATACTGTAAGAATTGTATATAGTATCATTTTTTAATTAAAAAAGAAGCTTAAAGATTAAAACTATAATAATTAATTACAGTTAATGTTTGAGTAGGATTTATATTTTTTTTGGCAAACAATGTTGTTTCAAATTTAAAGTGTTATTAACGATATATTTTTTAATAGAAAAGTAAGATGAACTAATTAACGATGAAACAAAATTGTAATTGTAGAATGACTTGGATACAAAGAAAGGGGAAAATAATACTCCGTAATAATAAAAATTAAAAGGCGCAGCAGATACTTAAGAAAATGATTTAATTTCATAATTCAACTCCTGCTTTACATCCGCGTCCCTTCAGTTTTCCTTCTCTTTCCCCCTTCTCTCTTCTCTCTCTTCTCTCTCTTAGGGTTTCGGAGCGCCGCTTGTGTCCCTGAAATCGATCTGAGAGTGTGATTCTCTCACTCGCACTCTCCTCCATTAAATTCCTTCGTTACCGTGAATCTTCAGGTTAATCTCGTCTCCTTTGAACTGTCTAGTTTTGCCGGAGATTTCCATTATTTTTGGTCTTTTTTCCCCCTATTTCGGGAGGTTAAATTTTACTGAAGGTTTCTCTTTTTTAATCTTGATCTATGTTTTGTTTGAATGATTAAATCTTGCTGCACTTGAGTTTATCCTGATCTAGCTGCTCACTTCTATTTTTGGTTTCTTTTTTTGTTTTTGTTTTTATTTGTTTTATTTTAGGCTCGAAAGCTGAGTTGTTGGATCGGCTTGATATCTATGCCTGTCTTTGAGCTATTTGTATAGATTATTTTATTGGCTAAGTGAGGTGGTTGTGAATATGGTTTAGCAATTATCCGCAGACTGGTTAGCTTTTAGGATTTTAGGAGTTTGCTGTTGGTTGTTGTTGGTTACTACCTGTTAGGAGCCACTATGCTATTACGAAGTTAAACTATGATGTCTAGTTTGCTTTTGTGCCTCACCCAATTCCTTTTGTTTTCCTCCCCTTTGATACATAAGCGTATATGTAAGTGTGGTTTAGGTTACATGTGAATTTTTTCTGGTTAGTGAATTGTTGTGAAGAATATGCTCCTGAGTCAACATTGTTTGACTAGGATCTTCGGTCTTGTATAAGAATATTAAGAAAATCTGACTTTGCGCTGCTTCAAAATACTGGAAGAGAGGTGAATATTTCAGAATTTACAAAGGTTCCCAGTTTTGCCTCTGTTTAACCCATAGTCATATCTGATGAATTGGATGTGTTTTGGTGACCCTTAATAATAGCATTTCACTTTTGTGTTTTTGCTCTGTTTTGCTGTTGAGTTCTTTGTCATTTGACCCGTGGCATTGATAGATGTTTTCACAATGCGCTGGTCATATCTGAATTTTTGTAGTTTCTTTTACTTTTAGGCTGAGGTACTATGGCAATGGAAGTTACCCAGGTCCTTCTAAATGCACAATCAGTTGATTCAAATGTGCGGAAACACGCAGAGGATTCATTGCTACAGTTTCAGGAGCAGAATCTTCCGGTTTTCTTGTTGTCTCTTTCTGGGGAACTTTCTGGTGAGGACAAACCTGTTGACAGTCGCAAGTTAGCGGGACTGCTTCTTAAAAATGCTTTAGATGCTAAGGAACAGCATAGGAAATACGAGCTTGTCCAAAGATGGTTAGGCCTAGATCTGGCTGTCAAATCCCAAATAAAATCGTGCTTGTTGCAGACTCTTTCTTCTCCTGTGCCTGATGCCAGCTCCACGGCTGCACAAGTCATTGCTAAGGTTGCAGGTATTGAGTTGCCTCAAAAACAGTGGCCTGAGCTTATCGGTTCACTTCTTTCGAACATTCACCAGGTTCCTGCACATGTGAAGCAGGCTACATTGGAAACACTAGGGTATTTGTGTGAAGAAGTTTCTCCTGATGTGGTAGACCAAGATCAAGTAAATAAGATACTGACAGCTGTGGTACAAGGTATGAATGCAAATGAGGGAAACAATGAAGTCAGGCTTGCTGCCACTCGAGCACTGTATAATGCTCTCGGTTTTGCTCAAGCTAATTTTTCGAATGATATGGAGCGTGACTATATTATGAGAGTTGTTTGTGAGGCTACTTTGTCCCCTGAAGTGAAAATCCGGCAGGCTGCTTTTGAATGTTTGGTCTCGATTTCCTCCACATATTATGAGAAGTTGACTCCATACATTCAGGATATTTTCACTATAACCGCTAAGGCAGTCAAGGAAGATGAAGAGCCTGTTGCACTTCAAGCTATTGAATTCTGGAGTTCAATTTGTGATGAGGAGATAGATATTTTGGAAGAATATGGGGGTGATTTTACCGCAGACTCAGAAATTCCTTGCTATTATTTCATCAAGCAGGCCCTCCCTGCCCTTGTCCCTATGCTTTTGGAGACACTTCTGAAACAAGAGGAAGATCAAGATCAGGATGAAGGGGCATGGAACATTGCTATGGCCGGAGGTACCTGCCTTGGTTTAGTTGCTCGAACTGTTGGTGATGATATTGTCCCGTTAGTCATGCCATTTATAGAAGAGAACATTACCAAGCCTGATTGGAGACAAAGGGAGGCTGCTACATATGCTTTTGGTTCCATTCTAGAGGGCCCATCACCTGATAAGTTGACTCCCATTGTCAATGTTGCTTTGAATTTTATGCTCACGGCTCTGACTCAGGATCCTAATAGTCATGTAAAGGATACAACAGCATGGACCCTCGGCCGAATATTCGAATTTCTTCATGGTTCAACCATGGTTGCACCCATTATTACTCCTGCAAACTGTCAGCAGATTATCACTGTTCTCCTCCAGAGCATGAACGACGCTCCAAATGTTGCTGAGAAAGCCTGTGGTGCTCTTTATTTTCTTGCACAGGGTTATGAGGATGTTGGCTCATCATCTCCCATCACTCCTTACTTTCAGGAAATTGTTAAATCCCTTCTTAATGTCACTGACAGGGAAGATTCTGGGGAGTCACGTTTAAGAACTGCTGCATATGAGACACTCAACGAAGTGGTGAGGTGTTCTACTGAAGAAACAGCACCCATGGTGTTGCAATTGGTTCCTATTGTTATGACCAAACTTCACCAAACACTGGAGGGTCAGAAGACATCTGGAGATAGGGAGAAGCAGAATGAGTTGCAGGGCCTACTTTGTGGGTGCTTACAGGTCATTATACAGAAACTTAGCGTATCAGAGGCAACAAAGTATGCGTTCATGCAGTTTGCTGATCAGATCATGAATCTCTTCCTCCGGGTATTTGCTTGTAGAAGTGCAACTGTTCACGAGGAAGCTATGCTTGCTATTGGAGCACTGGCGTATGCTACGGGTCCTGATTTTGCTAAGTATATGCCTGAGCTTTACAAGTATTTAGAGATGGGTCTTCAGAATTTCGAAGAGTATCAAGTCTGTGCTGTCACAGTTGGTGTCGTGGGGGATATTTGCAGGGCACTAGAAGACAAAATATCACCATATTGTGATGGAATCATGACCCAGCTCTTGAAAGACCTTTCGAGCAATCAGTTACACCGCTCTGTGAAGCCTCCTATTTTTTCATGCTTTGGTGACATAGCTCTTGCAATTGGAGAGAATTTTGAGAAGTACTTAATGTATGCCATGCCTATGCTCCAGAGTGCTGCAGATTTGTCTGTTCATACATCGGGTGCCGATGATGAAATGATCGAGTATACCAATCTTTTGAGGAATGGCATACTGGAGGCCTATTCTGGAATCTTTCAGGGTTTCAAAAGCTCTCCTAGGACTCAGTTGTTGATTCCATATGCTCCTCACATTTTGCAATTCCTGGACAGCATCTACATGGAGAAAGACATGTAGGTTATTGTACCATGAATTACAGTTTAATTTTTGTTTCCCAGTTTTATCACTCTTACTCTGTTTATGACCGACTTCGGTTTTTCTTGTTAATATCAGGGATGATGTCGTGATGAAAACTGCTATCGGGGTTCTTGGAGATCTGGCAGATACTTTGGGAAGCAATGCAGGTTCTTTGATTCAGCAATCTTTGTCATGCAAGGACTTTTTAAATGATTGTTTGTCCTCAGATGACCATTTGATCAAAGAATCTGCCGAGTGGGCCAAGATGGCCATCAGTCGGGCTATTTCTGTCTGAGGCTGCGGTCCTTGGGGTACATACATTTTTCTTTCCCTTTTAGAAGTCCCTGCATGCATATGGTTGTGTCGAGTCGCGGTCCATGATTGCATTCAACATGTTGGGTCATTGGCATTTACTGACAAAAGAAGCAACTGAAGGAGATCTTCAAGTTGTCATTACTAACTCATGCATCGGAACCATGGGGTCGGGTCCTTTTATTTCGCCATGGAAGGAGTCTGGGATGATGCTGTCTGAGAAGTGGCTCCTTGAGAAGTGTTAACTGACCTAGTGCTGGACATTCGGGTTGGATAACTGATGTTGCCATGGCATGCGGAGTGGACTTAACCGGTTACCGGGTCAATGATTAATATTTTTCTTACATCCAGAATCACCCGGTTTACCCATCCATGTGCTGCTGCTTTGTTAAAGTCTGTGGGGTGCTGGAGTTCTCGGGGGCAAATTTTGGTTCGTGATCGATTCGGAAGCCACCTCACCATCATCTCCATATCCCCCAACATAATTTTATGTCATCCTTTTATTTTATTTTCTTTTTTGTTCGGTTTTGGTTTGCCCTTTTTTGTGTCAGTCCACATCATTTGCATTGGTCTGTCCTTTTCATTTTCTACATTCGGAATGCATACAGTCACAAAATTTTTTGACCTGGATATACATAACAGAGTTGGGGGGATAATACCTTGTCTCTGATTCAATGCATTTCATTTGCATCATTTCATGTTGCATTTTTGTTCTTTCAAGTATTAGGCGTTACGCCCAAGTCTCAAAAAAAGTATTATGCATCCAGGAAATCTTGGTGCTGCCTTTATATATTTTGAAAACTTTTAGGTGTTGGGAATGTAAGATCATGTTTGATTCACGTTATTATTCAGAGATAAGGTATTTGTTGTAATGATGCAAAATTTGTCAAACGTTGAAAAAGTATTTTTGAGAAACGTAGGGGATAGTGAATCACTTGTTCATAGAGGCAAATGGTATTTTGGATGGTTGCCTTTTTCCTCTTTCAAACCCTCCAAGTATAGATTAATGATTTATGTGAATTACGTCGCTGATCTTATACACAGTAACACGTATCAAGTTTTTCTCACATTCAGAACATTGCACAAGTTTGTGACGTTTCTTCATTCCTACCCCAAAATTAAAAAGAATCGATTTGGTTAATTTCTTTTCCTTTAAATGAAGAATGTATAGTTAGGTATGCAGATTGCGCGCCTTCCTGAATAACTTTTAGGGTTTATAAAACAAAATTAAAACATTTGTAGAATAGAAGGAAGCATTGTGGAGGGCTAGGGGCATAGGGCTATGGTGGGTTACCCAGCAAATGGTTAGTGACTTAAACAGCAGAAGCACGTAGGTCCTAACTCCTACCTAGTACGTGGGGTCTGTGGTCTGTTTGTTTCGTATTTTTAGTGTGTGTTTTTAAGTGTTTTTTGTATTGAGGATGTAAAAAGGTGTATTAGAAATGTAAAAAGGTATGATGGGATAAGACAGTTATTAATATTTAATTCTGAAAAAACTAAAAAAAAAAAGAAACAAACAATATGTTTTTATTTTTTGGCAAAGTCACTTTGGATCACAGCCACCCAACTCCCTTCAATTTTAATTTTTTTTCTTCCCTGACAAATACAACTCTTGAATTTGGAAGACTACTTTGCATCGTGCTATTTGTGGTATGGAAAATTGATGCATACGTGATACAACCAAGTTTGGGTAGCTGTCATTGTAACCCATACCTTAATGTTGTTGTAGTTTATTCCTTATGTTTCATTTTAATTTTCACTCTGTATGGTTCTTTTTTTATTGTTTTCTTTTGCAATTTATTATTATTTATTTTTGGTAAAACAATTTATTATTATGTTATTATTATTTTTTTCTTTAAAAAAATCCTAATTAAATGTGAATAAAATTTTCCCATTCTAATACCAGGTTTTAGGAGAATTGAACCCAGTTCTAATACCAGGAATAGAATCACTAGGCTATTGTTCGATTTCCATAACAATTTTTTTATTATATTAATAAATATCATATCTCAATACTATCTTTTTATATCCTTAACACATTTTTAATTGAAAAAAATTGTAAAAGTACACTCCGAAAAAAGAACTTAAACAGAAGTCCGTTTTACATATGGTTTTAATTCTCGTACTTGGTAGGAAAAATTGTGACAACCACAGAATAACCCTCCTAAAGATGGTGATCGCTGGACTTGTCAAAACGCAGCTACTAACACGTTCGAGAACTTGATTTACAACTTCTACTTAATTTTTTTTTATTGTTAATAAAGGATACAACTAGTAGCCACTCAAAACTTTTTCAATATTTTCTATGTCACAAAATTATTGTTCATTTTAAATTTTATTTTTAGTTTAATTATATTAAAAATAAAAAATCTAAACTGGACTAATTTTGGCACGGAAGAAATACTTACTACTATCTCCATTCCTACTTATAAGAGGTTTTGTATATACTTTTTTCATTCCTTTTTATAAGAAGGTTTTTATTTCCAAAAAAGCATTTAATTCTAGGTCACGGGTTCGAGTTACACCGGAGGTAAGTGGGGTAATACTATTAATCCTCTTTAAAAGAAAAAAAATATTTTCAAAAAAAGTATTTAATGACTTTTTTTCTTTTCTTTATCCTCACAACTAACCAATTCAAAATTAATTCAATCACTCCTTTAATGTTATCAAGGACACCTTAGAGAATTTACAATAATTTTGAGAGAAAAAACTAAATTTTGTTAGTTTTATTGGAGGTAGTATTAAATTATCTGATACTACTAAAAAGCCCGCTGTTTTTCAGTTTCCCGACAGCATCAAACTCGCTAAAAGCTTAAGAGAGAGAAGTAAATCATCCCCAACATTTGGTCTCCCAACAATGGGATTTTGTGACCCTAATCCCATGACTCAATGCATCATTAGGAAGGCCTTAAGGAGGCATTTAGTGTTAATAAAGGTGTGTTTATCATCCAGTTGTATAGCAAAGTGTTTCTTCCTTTTTTTATTTTATTTTTTTCCCATCACATATCCACTTCTCAAAAAGCATCATCCGGGGCTCTATTTCTTTAGTTTTGTAAAAAGTAAATCAGTATTTATGTTTCACAGACGAATCAGTTGACATCAAGCCGATAACAAGAACTTAAATGCGTAATTCATCCTCCACTAACTCGTTTCAAACGCTACTGTTTACATTTGATTTTAGGGTTAATTCCGATGGTTTACTTTGCTACCGAGTGATATAACAGGAGTGCTGATACTATAGCCAGCTAGTATTATAAATATCACCAGGTAAAAGTACTACTCCCTCCGTCCCATAATTCCCATAATTATTGTCTAATTTAGATTTTTCATTTTTAGTTCAATTTGTACTAAAAGTCAAATTGGATAATAATTATGGGATGAAAGGAGTACTAATTAAACCTTCTTTTCGCTTTTTTGGGGGTTATGGTCGTCTTCTCTTCTTGTTGGAGTGCTTCTGCTTCCCACTACAAGGAACTTTTTTCAAACTCGAAAATCATTATTGCTGATTTCATGATTTTGTCCATTTCTGTCTCCATTCCGTCAATTTTCTCTCAGGGTGACGAATGTTTATTGAAGTTTCTGGTCACCGCATATGAGGGGATTTCAATCTTCTGTCTCATTATTTTTCTAATCTTTTGGCCAAAAAAAAAAAATAAAAACTAAAATCGGACCAACCTTATTAACAAAAGCAAAATGGGGCACTGCATATGATATGTAGTGACTTTGTATCCAACATGGCCTATAAGGTATAAGCCACTATCCACATTATGTTCTTTCCAATGGTGAGGAAGAAGAAATGTTGTTGGTTGACTTATTGAAAGACACTAAAACTTTTTTTTTTTCCCTTCTTTTTTCTTTTCGGGTTATAGCTTTTCTTTTCCAAATTGAATGACAGATTGATTGAGTACCACTTATGATCAAAGGGGACGGAAAACCTTGGTTGGAACCATGCACAAAATTTGAGCCAAGTGGCCGCATCAATATATACATACATAGTAGTATATGATATACATATATAGGCATAAAGGGGTTGTTTCTAATTTTGATGTAACACATTGAATAGTGTAGTTGACTTGTCGATAATGCATCTCACCATCATCATGGTATCTCTGTTGGGTGGGGTGCACCATAATCTATAATAATGTAGCAACACCAATTCTTACATAAGGTTTGCCAAATATTTATTTGTTATATAAAATAAAATAAATATCAGCTCAAACGTTTTTATTTGAGCGTTTGATGTCGAGTATTATTGTCGCAATTGAGGTTTGCTTATAGCAACAACGTAACCGGTTAACTCTAATTAGTCATCCCATTGTCTGTAGATCTCATTTTTTTTGAGAGTAAATAAAATAACATATATGCTGTTTAAAGAAATTCTCGGTTACATTTCGAGTTGTACGGCCTAGCAAGCAACTATAAAAAGGGGCCACTCTTGACTCCATCTTCCCCCTCTCAAATCTCATCTTAGTGTTGAGGTATTTTTGACTGTATTAACAACACAAACATGGGCATGCATTCTAAGAATCAGCTGGGTTCCTCTCTTCTGGTCATATTGTTACTTGTAATGTTCAGTCTCTTAGCATCTTCATCAGGTGAGTCAATTAGATACTTTGTAAACTATTAAGTAATATTAATTCACACAATGTATATTATAATCAACACGATATTTTACGCATATGCGTGAGTCTGCTTAATCTTATCTTACACTTAAGTAAAAGAAGAAAATTAAGTAGTCCAATTTAATTACATGTTTTTTCTTTGAGTAAATCTTTGTTTCCTCCCCATGCTTGATAATATTAAAATAATCCTAACTGATGAGAAACGCTTGTATTGAGTTTTCGTAATCAGCAGCTAAAGTCTTTGGCTATGGAGTAAACCCGTTGCAATCACTTCATCATAACGAGGTACATGGCAGATTCATCGATCAAGTACTTTATATTGTTCATTTATTTATACATGTAGATTTTTCCCCCTTAATTAATTTGTAATTTTCTTTCTTTTTTGAAGGATGGAGTTTTGGGATATAAAAGAAAACTTCTCTTGGAAATGGATGCAACGCTGGATTACGACTATGCCGGAGCTAACCCCAGGCATGATCCCAGAGGGAAGAAATCAGGCGGTGGCAATGGCGGACACAATTAAATTCTCTTCCCTTTCTAATCCCTTTGGCTAAGAAAAAAGAGAGTTAGTTTTTTACTTTATATCAATGCATGCAGGTAATTTATATCACATTTGAGTCATATGTAACGTAGCAAATGAGATCATATGTTCCTTTTGTTCCCTTGTACTGCTATGATGTCTCACTTTTAATTTAAATAATTAATGCTAAAGTGCTTATTTTTAGTATTTTCATAAATTACTGTTCTTTTTTGCTTTATGTTTGTTGAATAAGCGTAATCTATCCCCCAAAAAAAAAAAAGGAATAAAAATGAGTCATAATTCAATAACATATAACCTTTCATCTTCTTATGTAAACAAGTCATGTAGAGATCAATTAGGTGTGTTTGATAAAAATTTGTGGTTGAATGCTGAAATAGAGGTGTTCGAGATTAAATCTGAATTCTTGATATAAAAATAGCAACCTCCACACCAAAATATTTAACCATTCTTGTTTGATAAACATTCAGAATGTAAAAATATTTAATTTTATTATTTCTCCCTTAAATTGTTTTGTTATAGCCTTACAGGTAGCAAAATATAATTCAGTGAATATTATATATATGTATATATATATATATATATACATTTATATCTCATTAGTTACTATACATCGCAAAGAAAAAATGTAAAATTTTTTTATGACTTTACGGAGAATGCAAAAATAAAAGGGTGAACTACATTTTACCCCCTGAGTTTTGATCTAATCATCATTAATTTTGTGTAAGCGGTCAAAAATATCCTTCAATCCATATTTTTTCAAATATATAATTTAAATGTTTCAAAAATATATCATAAATTAAGTTAAAAAATACTCGATATTATTAATTCTTTTATGTTAATACACTTAGATAATAAATTTTTAAAATGAATATATCATGTCTTTTTTGAAATAAAATAATATTCACCAATTAACTTATATATTTTTTTTGAAGCATAATAAACTTATATTATTAATCATAGATTACCTTTTATTTATTAACAGGTTACAATTTGTATGTAAATTGTAAACTATGGTCATTTTAGTTATTTTAATGTTTAACCACTGCTCAAGAGTTATATGGTAGTAGTATTAGAATTCAGGAGATTTATGGTAGATCAAGACAAAATTCGGGAGTAAGATGTAGTTCGCTCAAAATAAAAACTTATGAAAAAAATAAATTTTTAGTGGGTGATATTAATAAAAAAAACAATGAATAGGAATATATTGACATAATAGGAAAGATTGCAATAAGGAAAGAAAAAAGATGAAAATACGAGTGGAAAAGGAAAACGTTACATGAAACAGGTAAAAAGAGAGGATAATAATGGATGAATTAAATTAATGATGAGATTTAAAAAAATCAGCAATAAGTTAGATTTCACTGCCTAGAAACTTTGTATTGTAATGTAGATTAATCATCTCTTATTTGATTAAAATTTTTTTTTTTGGTTATCAGACATGTTTATATTATCTCTTAATGCAATCATAGTTACATTATTCTTTCTGTGAGCTCCTATGGCTCATAAATGTGAGTCACAGAGAGTTACGCCAGCTGAAGTGTCAGTGGTACACTGAAGGAATGGAAGGTTGAATTCACAGAGGGTTAGATTTACATTGGTATCACTATCCTGTGTATAAATATGTAGTTCAAATTCTGTCTAAAAAGAGGCTACCTTATATATGTATACACACACACACAGAGAGAATACAGGGGTTATAATGTGCTAAGCTGCAACATCAGAAGTTAATCTGAGAGGTTAACCAAATTCCAAAAGAAACCAACCCTAGTGTTGCCAAAGCTTGAACCAACTCAACCACGACATTTTGCTGCTGGATGGCAACCCTCGACCAATCTGTCTGCCTTTATTGCAAACAGAGAGGAAACAAATGAGTGAAAGAACCTAACTTGGTACATCTTTGTACATTTATTGTAGGTTTCAACTACAAGGGGACAAAAAGAAAACAAGAAGAATTCCCGAAATAGAAGCATACCCGAAATCAGCTACGACAATGCTGATGTTATCTTGTGAGCCTTGGTCCTGCGGTTTAATTCGTAACATTCTTTAGGATGAAATGAAAAACTAGAAAATAAATCAATTTCAGTGTTTAAGCGCTTCATTTTAGAGAAGCATTTCCAGGTCCTGGTTGCCGAATATTACCAGCGCTTTCTGGGCAAGGGCTTCACAGGCTCTCTGTGATCAATAACAATTAAGTCAGATGAAAGCCAGACCAAAGCAGACGAATTTACGAATCAAGGACAATGTATAACCTACTTGAACATCTCCATGTTGTTGAAGTTGGTTCCTAATGAAATCAATTGCATCTGAACTGCAACAGCATAGAGTTTCAAGATCATTGATATGTCATGGATTACTGTTAATAAATGTAAGAATGGCTCAACTAAACCTGCTGATATAATCCCACAAGCCATCGGATGCCAATATTGCACATTCAGCATCTGATCCCAGCGCAACTTGGGAAACATCCGGCACGGCTGTAACCAAGTCCCCACTAAATTGTACCCTGAAATAGTTTCAGAAAGGTCAGGTCATCATAGAAATCCTCCGTAGATTATTACCCAAATTCATTATGATAATTTCTAGATCTAACTTGGCATAAAATAGGCTGTTAGCAATATCAAGGGACAACGAAAGACGATTCTATGGAGATGGTTCATGTGCAGATTGTAGAAGTGACACGAGTAATTTCAAACGATTGTATCGGCCAAATCAAATGTCCAAATCATCGTGATATATGTGACGACCAAGTTGATGTAAAGGTTCACTAATAAGAGATACTTGTTCTGAAATCAAGAATCAACACTACCTTGAAACAAACTTTTCAGACCATCTACCTTCTTTGACCCCCTTCTCCAGCATCCTTCATAGTGAAAAGAAAAAATGATTTATTCAATAAAACGCCATTAAATCTCGTGAATTCACAAAGAAAATCGACCAGCTATGCCACAGCAGGGTACACCAATCTTGTGACAAGATACTACATAAAACATACTCATTCTTTTTGGTCTTAAACCTCATGTCCCCGAAAGCACGCGATACAGCGATATCTCCACAAATTCTGCCATTATTAATCTGAAGACATCATAGAAAATATCATCGAGTCGGAATTTCCAATATTTTAAACCTTAAAAGGTAATTTCAAGTTCGGGAGATGTTCCAGAAACAAGAAGAGATTTAGGCATTAAAGGAGAAACTGAAGAGAAGTGTTCAAATCAATTATAAGAAGAAGAAACACACCCATCCACCTGCTTCTCTAACTCGCCTAATTTCTTGGAGCGAAGTTTGATCACGTCCGTACGGCCTATGAGAATTGGTAAGCACTTCTGCTTTTCCTGACCGAGACAAGACCTTCAGGAAAAGAACAATAAATCGCATTAATCTATGTTCTGATCCCCGGACAGAAAAACAAAAGTCACAAAGAGTACATGAGGATACCACACTAGAGTCGCCAACATGGGCAATGATCATCAACTTATCTCCAATAAGAATAACAGTGGCGGTTGACCCAGACTCGACCTCCTCAGCACTACTTTCAAGCCTTTACAAAATCAAACAGCGTCTAAACCTTCAATGCAATCATGTACAATATATATTCATATTGAGACTACACACAATAATCCATTACAATTAGCCAGAATGAAACTAAAATTAGGAGATGCATGGAGGCACGATTTACCAGGTCAAGAGTTTTCCATCTGCGCTAGCAAAAGCCTCCTCTAATGCCTTCTTTACTGTATCCAACCCCTTATCCTTCAGTAGGAGCCCCCCCTGTAATGCCACTACACATTCTTTGTACAACTCGTTCCTGTGGGCAATATATCAAGTTAATCTCCCATTTCTTTATTCCCTTTACAGTAAAGTAGAGTGATTTAACCAGGTTTAGGAATCATGAGATCACAAGAAGACTAAAATTTCACATTTTTAAGTTATCAATAATCAAACGAACTACAAAGCTGAAATTGCCACCACCACCACCACCACTAACAACAAAGCCTTGCATTTAACCCCCTAACCAGGCTACATGGATCACCATCAAATTATTGTCAAAAACATGATCTCATCAACGTCTAAAGAGATATTAGGTTCTATCTTTGTTTTCAATTCTTTTTACATACTAAAAGTTGCAACCAGAAAAAGAAACAAGCACAACACAGATACCAGACGAATAAGTTACACAAAGGATTTTTTAGTTTGTTATCAATACATGGTGAAACCAATACAACTCCAATGATAGATTACAGAAGTAAATAAGGGCTTAGATAGAAAAGACTTAAAAAATTTAACAGACACACAGCTTCAAACTACAAACCTTAAAAATTTGACAGAAGAGAAACCCGCATGTCCATCAAACACAGCAGCAAAAGAAAAGCCGCCAAGATCCTCTGATGACTGAACAACCACAAGATCATCCTCCATCTCTTCTCGGGCACCTTGTACTAAAGCTGAACCCCATCTAACAACATTTGAAAGAGAAGATGACGGAGCATCAATTGCAATGGCCGAACAGCATCTTCCTCCTCTTCCTTTAGATGGGATGATCACATTCTTTGTTGCTGTACTACTACTTCTGTTACATTCATAGTTGGAAATAAACAACCTTTGAAGTTGTGGGCTAAATAACGCCATTAATATTAAGTAGGAAAACAGGTCCTAATCACAAGAAACTAAAGCTGAAGTTCAGTTGTTGAATGACAACAGAAGATACATTTGGGTGGTGAAGCTGTTGCAGAGTTTTGGACAGTGATTCACAGTTAAACTAAGTAAAGAAAGGAAGAATGAATTTTTGTGTTTAAAGGGATAAGAGTAGGAATCTGTGAATGAAGCCACACCTCTAACTGATTTAACGGCCTGGATTTTGTATCCTGTCCACTCCTCCACAAGCCTGAAGTATTTCTTTTTTCTTCTTTTTTTTTTAAATTTTTTTATGCTACCCCTGAAGTTCCTTTTATTTTTACTAAACCCATCGAGATTTGTTACATGCCCAACTAAGTCCTCATAGAAAAAAAAATCTAAATGCTTCAAGAATTGGATGTTGCAGGAGGGAATGGATTAGCATAGTAGTAAAATATCAATACCCAGAGGCGAACCGTCAAGTCATGAAGGGCACTTGATTTTCTTTTTTAGTACTAATACTAAGAAAAAAAGTTTATAATAAATAGCGAAATCTCTGTTGACGTTCTGTACACAAAATATGAACAAGGGAGGATAAAAATAAAACAGAAAATATAAAAGTATCCAACTGCATTTCCCCTACAATAAAATTCGTTACATCCAAATAAAGCCTCTAACAAGGTAAAAATCTCAAATAAATACAAATGAGGTAAGGGGGGAAAAGAAGATACATAAATCATTTACGATAACTGTTTTTTTTCCTGAAAAAAAAAAAAACAATCAGATGCAGCTAGAGCATGGCCAGCTTTCATAAAATGCATCATCTCTCAGGCCCACGTCGTCAGACCTCAACCGTATCCAGGAATCAGGAAAAACCTCAACTGCAGAATCAAAAGCTCTTCACCCTCAACCTTACATACCCCAAGCCAATTCATACTCAAACCATATATATTACAAACCCAGTTCAATTTTGAATTACCGGGAGAGGGAAGTTGCGACATAACGCTGATACATGGAGTCAAGCACAGAGAAAAAGAATTGGACATCTATAAATTTTAGCCACCATGCCGTCTTTGCTACACTTTAAGCTCAACAAACTACACCATCTTCAGGTAGCCTCTTTGAATTAGCTATCATTTGAGGAAACAACAGATTTTTCCAGCAATTCTGAAATTCTTATAAAAAAAAAACCAGCAATACACGAAGCCAGACATACCGATAGTATGTCCATGTAGTAGGATTAGATCAGAGTAAAAAGAGTGACGCAGTAAAAATCATTTCCAGTAATCCAGCGTTTTTAATCTCCAAAGGGTTGTCACCAAGAAAATAATCAACAAACTGTAGTGTTAGATTAGCCTCCAAAATTCAGTCGCCAGAACCAACTTTTTGTCCAAAAACACAATCATTCACTCACTCCAACATCTACCCGTTCCAGAAAAGACAACCAAGAAAACCCCACTGTATCATGGAGAACAACACTTACTTCCCGGCAGAACATATCAAGCAGAGCCATCAATATTGGAAAAAGAACCAGGCAACTACTGTGTTGCATGTTAACGAACTAGTATGTGATAAACCTCAAAAAATTAATAATACACTCTTTAGTTGATGTTTGACTTGAAAAACATACCAACTGTTTAAATGGAATGAAAGTTATTGTGATTCGCACGACAGTAAACCAGATGAAAAACACAGAACAAAAGGCTGTTGCATTATCACATCATAATAATAAAACCTAAAAGTCAGTAGGCAAGCTTAGAAATTATTTCATAACACTTCAGAGATAATAAAGCACAACTAAATATCAACCAGCTACAGAATAACGGTTACAGTGGTCGACAAAAAAAATCCTATCTGTCTGAAGGCCCAAAAGACATCATCATCATGACGTGGATCATAAACTATGCCCCTCCAAATGAAAAGAGAAACAAGAACATAAGAAGGAAAAAAAAACACAACGGCCTCCAGTAAGCTTATGGTACATAAAGCCTTTAAATTCAGCAGCCACCCTCGAGTAACGGCAACCCACCCTATTCACGATGAACCTAAGGAAAGCATCCATTTCGACATAAATATCCGGGAGAAGCCCTGAGCGTCTTATCGTCTCTCACAGTCAGGTCGTCCAACTCGAAAGCGTCCTACATAATAAGAGCGCAGTTCCTCAGTTAAGTCCGTTTTCAGTGCCCACTATAAGTCTATCAAACCTGATGGCCATAAATATTAAGTGTTCAAGCGCATCGAGATGTAGCGTGTGTCACCTGAACCCAAGTATTCAACGTTTTCCTCGATGCCCGCCACCTGACCTAGCACCAGGGTAGCGAGCAAATTGCAGCCTTAAACGCACGGAATCGCGATCATGCTCATCAAATTTATAACCTGCAAGATTAAATTTGACTAATTTACGCCTCATCCCAACATTGCTTCAATGACAATTGCGGTTATCAACTATTTTAGACCGGGAATCATATCTCTCTCCCAAGTTTAAAAGTATGTTGGTCCATTTAGATCATGAACCCGACCAGCACCTACTCACAAGCCACCAGATATTACATTAACAGACTCATGCATTCTTACTTGAAGGCACCTTAAAGCAAGTCCAGAAAAATAAGTGGAGCTTAAAGCCATGTGTGCCAGAAACTGTAGAATCCTGCCAAACCTTTTATCCCTGGCTAATAGCAAAGTGTTTAATCGTCAAACAGTGCTTCGGGTCTGAGCGCAGGAAATTCCCAACGAAACAGAGCAGAACAGGTTATCTGCTTCCTTTAATACTAAAGTCTCTGTGGTGTATGAATGAATAACACGAAAAAGGATATTGGATGCAGCCGGGAAAGTGGTTATGGAAAAAGGACAGCGAAGAAGTATATCTAAGACATTGATCAGGATAGACTAGCGTTATGGTCCTACCAACAAGATGAATGGAAATCTAAAGTAAATTGCATAAAACAATTTCACTAAATCCGACTTCGAAGAGATGCAGCTGCAACTGTTTCCTCTTCTCAACCCACATCCATATGATCATTTCCCCTTCTCAACCTCAATATAACACAGCCAGGGAAAACATTTCCAGATGGCGACCATCACTATAACTAGCAACAGTTCAAGACTGATCTTCCTATCTACTGCGAGTACAGAATGTTTCACTTGGACATACACAAAGCTCTATACCTGTCAGAGGCTATTAGGTACAATCATAAAACGGATTCTTGAACCATGTCTACATACCCATACAAGATCCCCCAGAACATCTGACCTTTGATGGTATTGCAGATTATAGCGTTACTAGGGACAAGAAAAACTTAAATGTAAACGTCAATTCTACTCGTTCTCGAGTCAAATCTTATAGTTAACTAAAATTTGGGGGTATAGATAGCGGTACTAAATTTTCCTATTCATATAACATACTATCCAGTGTTTTATTTTGGAAAGGTGAAACAAGCAAGAGGATAATGTGTTTGTATAAATCACCTTGCAAAGCATCCATGGCGGTAGCTGCATGTGCTGGACTCATAAAATCAACAAAACAAAGTATCACGAGCTCACCGGGCTGCACAAGTTAGCAAAAATTATTGGTAGCGACATAGGGGATGAAATCCCAACTTGATTGTTACAGCCATAGGGAAACATATGTAGGTACTTACCTGTCTTGACTCTTTGGTTACCAGCCTCACTTCTTTGTAGCCAACGAAAGGGCGAAATATATCTAAGATCAGAGTGAAGGAAACAAAACAGAAACTGATTATATCTACAAAATCAGGGCATAATAAAGAAAGGCACTTGACTTAATCAGTTGCCGAAGGATACGAGCCACTTCTCTGCGCGTACAATTTGCAGGCATCCCCTCGACAAACAGGGTACTGGAAGCATCAGGGGGAAGAGGAACTTCAGATCTTCCACTACCTACCCCCATACTCCGACTCTTTGAGCTTATTACAGAGTCAGATACTCCCATGCCAGTGATGCGGGGGTCGTCCATGAGATGTCCACCGATTGCACTGCCCATTGACCTTGTTGACTCTCCACTACCATAAGAAGGCACCTGCATTGATATTTCTCAAACAACATCAGAAAAAAAAAATCCATCTAAAAGAAAACTCAAGGGTAGTACCCAAATTCATTAGGGGCAGTAATATAACAAGGCATTACCGAGTTACGAAGATAACGGTCGTATGATGCTCCAATTGGGTCTGTATCCCTGATGATACGGTGCGAGACCCTCTCATCTTCATGAGCATAATAGCTAGCTAGATCATGGCCACTAGGGACATCTGGTTATGTGGCAAGCAAAATGAACTCAGGCACATTGATGAACAAGAAACACACAAAAAGCACACACACAAAGTAAGGCTATAACCATACAGCCCAAATTCATGGCGTAATAGTAATAACAGAGATATCAACCAATGGTCCCATAGTACCCCATCTACTTGTCCTGTTCACTTTCGGGAATCAATTAAGTCTAGATTTTGCACTTTAGAAATATTTCAAGGAGTCTTCTAGGCATGAAACTTTTGATTTTTAGTTTTCTTTTACCAAAAAGTGATACAATTGTTTCATTCGTCAACCTTCCTCAATTTTCCAAATGCATCAAACCAACCACCTCATACCTGAATTTCCCAAAAACTGGAAGACATCAGCATAAGCAACCAGCTAATTTAACCAATGTAAGCGATGACTAGCAAATCCAAGGTCAAAAGTTCACTTGTCTCAAACCCAAATCTTACAAAATCAAACCAAGGTTACCAAAATGAAGAAATAACCCCATAACAGATACATAAAAAATCAAAGATCAATTTTTTCATGAATTCGCACAGAGGCAACCGCCATACCGAAGAGGAAGAGAAATTCCCAAAGCCCTAGCTTATAACCGCCAAGAAATTCAAGGTAAAATATTTAAATTCCTGAAGCCCTAGATTCTGCTAATTGAACAAATAATTAAACAAAGGTTGTATTTGATTTACCGTAATCCGAACGAGGACGTTTGGAGGGCATCTGAAAAGCTCCCCCAGACGGCTGCCGGCTGTCGCTGTACCTCCAATATGCGTCGCCCATTATTCCGCCTCACTCCTTACACAGAGTTTCTAGCGCTAAATTTACTCTCTCTTTCGGTGGAGAAGAATTGAATAGTCTTAGACCTGGGAATAATTTACTGCTGGTTTACTACCAACTACTAGTATTTATAGTCTCGCGTTTCTCGTGTTCTATTTACTCATGACCACCATAACTTTTCCCTTATTTACTTTTTGCCCCCAAAACGTTCTAATTATGTTATTTATTTATTTATTTATTATTCGCTCCGTCCAAAATTATTGTCCAGTTTGGGTTTCAATTTAGTAAAAATTGAACGAAAAGTGTAAATCCAAACTAGACTATAATTTTGGGACAGAACGAGTATTATTATTAATTTCATGTTCACATTTTTAAATTTAATAAGACGTTATCAAAATTTGATACCAAAGAATCAAGAAATGATACAAAAAAGTTTTGACTAATGAATAAAGGTCGCATAAAATGGGATGAGATGAACTATAAATTGAACGAGCTCCAAAGGAGAAGGTGAAAAATAAGTTCGAAGTTAACTTGCAGCGTACATCATAAAAGGTGAAGAATTGTACTGTAGGATCAAACGTGTTTCTCTGATGAAGTTTTTTGACAGATGAAACTACCCTAGTTGACAAGCAGTACTACCTGACCTTGAAAACAAAATTGATTCCATAAATTTTCATAATTCTTAGCCTCTCGTTTCAAAATGCTAATAGGTTCTACCATCTAAAAATTTTCTTCTCTCAAGTAACCAGGACCAGGTTTGAATGGATCAGTTTCCATGTAAGCTTCTGGACGATAAACTCCAGTATCATTCATCCGATTACTCAGCACATGAAGGATGGCCTTTTTAAATCCATATTCATCTCGGTTCTTTTTCACGTAAGATATAGCCTCAGCCGCTACCTCATTGACAAAATCAAAGCGGTTATCCTCCGACAATAGCAGCCTCTCGACATCCATTGTCCATAGCTTTCCACCATCTCTTATAGTCCTCACCTGTTCTTCCAGGAATGGAACTCTTTCGAGTTTGGCTTCCATAAACTCATCCCTTTTTGTCTGTGGAAACACGAGGAAAGAAAAGGGTATTGTAGGCGGTCAGGGTTCATTTACCAAACACAGAACAAACTATTTTCCCTAAAGGAGATTTGGCCCAGGATGGCTGGCATCTTCTTTCCTATTTCATGATACATTTCCAGTTTACAGACACCTAACAATTTCAATAACTTTTTACATTCACCATGCAATAAAAAATGCATTCCAAAATCCAAACAAAAAGAATGTCACAGCATAATAGTGTAGCAGCACACAGTTTACTTAAAGCACTTTGGTTGAATGAATTGAGTAGCGGTCATGGAACCACTTTCTGCACTTAGAAGAGATCATAATCTATGCACCTACCCCCTATGTTCCTTATTCTCATATGCACTCGATCCATTAGCCCCAGACCAACTACACTCTCCAAAGCTCGCTATACCAACCCTTTTGCAAAAAGGATTAAAGAAACTATCCCTACAGAGGAAATCAAAAAGTCGAAACTGATAGGAGTATACAAGACCAATATACTTCAGTAAGTAGAGATGGTAATAATGACAAATCAGATCTGCATGATGCCTCTAAATTCTTAAGGATCCATTGGAGAAGACTAAACATAGGCAAGGAACTCCTCAGATTTGTAACAAGTACACGTGTTACAGTCATCATAAAAAATAAGTCCAGACAATCCTCATCTGTATGACATGCTCAGGGCATTCACACTCCTACTATATTTAAAGAAGAAACCTCCATGTTTTCCGAATCGAAAGGTACACAAAAACAAACAACACCGTATTGTTGAACTGTAAACGTCTACCAAAATCACTTACTAATAATAACAATAATAAGAATAAAATTCATTTGGATAGATAAAAAACAGGCTTCATAAAACCCTTCCGTATTTTTAGCTTTTAATTAAACTTTTGGCACCCTTTCCTATTTTTTATTTTTTGTAGTGAGCCACCGGATACACAGATGACAACTGCCTACAGATCTTAAATATTTTAGGCAACTGATCAAAAGTTCAAAAGAGTAACTCCAATAAAGAACATTTTAAATGTCTCTTAAAAGTGATCAAGAGAAGGCATCAAACATGAATTGCTATAACAAGAACTAAACAAACGACGAACTTTTCGAGGAAACAACGATACCTTAGAAATAATTGATCAATAAAACAAGAGGTGAGATTTACCAATTTCCTGCGCCTCCACACACGGCGGCGTCCACCACCACCGCCATCATTTTTGCGGTTGGAAATGGGCTGGTTGTCGAACAACAACTCAATTAGTTAATTCCATGATTCACCGGTACTGGAAGGCTTACAAAAATCAAAATTTTGTTTTCAAACTTTCACCTGAGCCCTCACGTCGAGGTTCAACCGCCATGGATTTCTTCCAGTACTTTTTACTTCAAGTCTCTGCAGTATAGCAAAAACAAAGAGTATAAACATTCCAGTAAGTGAAAATAAAAGAAAGAAATAATAAGAACGGAAATCCAGGAAGGCTGGTTTACTGGTAAAGATGGTGAAATTTGGTACAGAGAAGAACATAAGGAAGTCATGGCTGTATGTGTTTTGAGTCCTCTCAGCCCATTTTCATCTGTGGATAAAGCGCTCAAAAACTGCCTGGTATAATACTGTATATGCCACCGTGTGCTTTCTTTAATTACAAATATGCCATTATTCTACTTCCAAGTACGAAACTGGATTTAAGTTAATGTCCATACGGGCCGGCCCTTAAAATCCTGAAATAGCCTGGAAGTATCAAGGGCTCAAACAACCCAAAAGCCTACCCTTAACAGCAACAGAAATGGCTAATTCTTAGAATCAGAACACAGAACAGAGTTTGGTACAGTTTCCGGGCAAAAGTGCAGAAAAATGGTGGCTTCTATCGTATTTACTACTGCAGCTTGTTCTTTTCACGCCTCTTATACTAAGTTCTGCAGGTAATTCTCTTTAATTTTCTTATCCATATTGCTAACTTGAGTTTATAGTTGTTTAGTAAGTACATTTTTATGGGGTTTGCTTGCACTTCGTTTTCTGAGTTTATCCCACTTTCGGAAAAGATAAGAATTCTGAGATGAGAGTGCTAAATTTTGCAAATTAGATTAATGAAGGCACCAATAAGGTTTAAGAATCATGATTCTGTTGTGGAATTTATGATTAATTAATTATCATTGAGGTTGTGAACCTTGCAGATAATTAGCAGATACAGGGTATGAAGGGGAGAATACTCTTTAACACTTGTGTTAAACTTGTTGGCATGATGATTATTTGACTACCGGGGAACCCTTCAATTGAATTTCTTTAAGGGTTTGTGTTGTTTAACTGGTTTGGACTTTGGATTGCTGTTGTCTCCGTGACATAAAACCGCTCCGTTGGAGCATGCCGGGTGCATTTGTGGGCAAGGGAAAAGTTTTCATTGCTGGTCGATACATTATTATCAGGCATCCGACTTAGTTTTCTGGATTTTTTCCCCCCCAGGACACCTGCATATCTAAGCAAGCATGCCAGCTACTTAATCCCCCTTACCACATCTTACTTTCCGAGTCAGACATCCAATGTGAAACTTCACATCGCACCCAGTGAAGCCTCTAGTCGATCTTGTCTTTCAAGACTTGCAGCTGCTGGTGCGGTAAGAATTGATGGCAGAAATAGAAAAGGAGACACTCCTGCTGAAGCTCTAATCCCAAATGATTTAAGAAGGTATATACCTACATTCAGAAAGTACTTTTATGTGGTAATATGAGGTTGAAATACTAGAGTTTGCTACAATAAAAAGAGCAAAGTGAAACCCTTATCAAAAAAATTCCTTCAGCAGAATGATCGATGTTGAAAGACAACTGGATGGTCTGTTCTCTGAAGTTAAATCTCTGATCAGTTTGGAGAAGAAAAATGACGCAGCCGATTTGCTTGAAGCTAATTATTTAGCTGTAAAAGACCAGATGGATGCAGGTTTTAGGTCCATAGAAGAAGCAGCTATTCTGGATGTCCTGGCTTTGGGATACATGGCTCTTAATGACACAAGGACTGTTGTTTCCCTTTTGGATCTGGTGAGTTTTCAAGAAATGATACTTATATTTAGTCACTATTTGACTAAGAACCTTTCCAAAGTTTTTAGAATATCATCTCAGGTGATATGTATACAAGATGAAGTTTGGATAGATGTTGTTAGTTTTCAGCCCTTCGACTCCTTACACTTCAGCTCTGCTATCTTTTTTTTGTTACTATTTTATACTAATATTTGTCTATCCTGTTTCCAGTTGAATGGAGTTGTTAGTGGCTTAAAGGAGGAGGAAGAATTTTTGGATTCAATACTTGTACATATGGGTAACATGTACGAAAAGTTGGAGAAGTTTGAACTGGCTGTTGATCATTATAGGAGAGCCCTTGAGATCACGGAAAAGAAGTATGGTATGCTTGTTCTTTCACCGTCTTATTTTCTTTGTTGTGTGTGATTTTAGAATCTAATAGTGATGGAGGGTTCATTAAAAGTGTTTCCTGTGAGTAATTCTAGTTTAGCTTATCAATTCTGCATTCTTCTTTATGATCAGCTATGCTCACAAATGATTTCCCTCTGTCAGGAGTTAGAAGTTCATTGCTTGTTTCACCGATGTTGGGGATGGCTAAAGCTCTGGGTTCTAATAAAAAGGTCACAGAAGCAGTAACTACCTATCAACGTGTAATCGAGTTATTGGAATATCACAAGGGTCGCTTATGTGAGGAATTGGTGCTGCCATTATTCGCACTGGGCAAGCTTTTTTTAAGCGAAGGAAGAGTCTCTGAAGCTGAAATTGCATTTGAAAGGTATCTATATCCTTTATACATGGAAGTTCATTAGATTTATGTTACAACAATTGATATAATCTTCTTTGGCAATTTGTAGAATTTTAAATATATATTCAAGATTATATGGTGAAAAAGATGGACGAGTAGGAACGGCGTTGTGCTTCCTGGCTCACGTAAAATGTGCAACAGGTAATTTATTATAAATGCCTGCGTAACCAAGATTTAATTTTTTGTAATAGCAGGAAGTTGTTGACCTTTTAATTCAATGTTCACCAAGAAACTGCGCATTGGATCTAGCTTCCTCTGTGAGAATTGTCATTTCATGGGAAAATAAAGTTTAGGGTAACTAACATTACAGCCTTCCTGCTTAAATACTAATATGTCTTGTTCAATGACATTTTATTCCAGGTTCTGTTGATGAAGCCATTGACCTGTATAAGGATGCTTTTCGAACTCTGAAGGAATCAAAATTTGTAGAACTAGATGATGATTTGATGGAGAAGATAAGATTAGACTTGGCAGAACTACTTCATGTAGCAGGAAGGTATAGAAATGCTCAACCGATCATAAATAACTTCTTTTCTACTTGTTGCTTTTACTTCCAAAACTTCAATGTTTTCCTGATTTCCCCCGTTCTTGGTACATGTGTAGAAACAAGAGTGACATTGTCCTTTTTCCCCCTTTTTCCTCCCTCGTAGTGTTTCCAAATGAAAATATAAGTTTTAGTCTTACAACAGAAACCCATAGCCAGACCTTAATCCTAGAAATGATCTTATTTGCATTCATTGTCTTTTTCTCACTGTTATTTTTGTGAATGCATTTTCTAGAGGGGAAGAAGGCAGAGTTCTTCTAGAAGAATGCATGTTAATCACTGAAAAATATCAAGGGAAGGACCATCCACGCTATGCCATCCAGCTTATAAATATTGCAACTTCGTATTCACAATCCAAGAAGTTTGCTGAAGCTGAACACTTCCTCAGGAAAAGTTTACAGATAATGACGAAGACAAAACCTCCTGATGATCAGTCCATCACCTATCCAATGTTGCATCTTGCAGTTACACTCTATAATCTCAATCGGGACGAGGAAGCCGAAACTTTTGCCCTGAAGGCTTTGCATATTCGTGAAAAAGTGTTTGGCCCAGAGTCTCTACCAGTTGGTCAGTATTGTCTCTAATCCAAGTGGAAATTTTTTAAGTTACTTTCATATATTGCCCTTTTGTAAATGGGATTCTTTGTTGCAGGGGAGGCTCTTGATTGTCTTGTCGCTATTCAGACCAGACTGGGGAGGGATGATAAAGATATACTCCAGCTGCTCAAAAGGGTTTTGGAAATTCAAGAGTTTGCTTTTGGTTATGATAGCGAGGAGGTTATGGAGACATTGAAAAAGGTTGTACATTTTGTAGACAAACTGGGATTGAAGTCAGAAAAGTTCCCATTGCAAAGAAGATTGTCTGCACTGAAAAGCAAATATAAACAAAGGGTTAAGTATTGATGCGTTGAAACTTGAAATGTATGGTGAATTTGCTTTTCTCCGGCCTCATCATTGGAGGGCAACATCGAGTCACTGGTGCATGCTCGTCTTTGCTTCAAGTGATTCAAATTAATGGTGCCATAATAAGGTTTTACTACTTACACACAGCTTTTAAGTTTTCACCTTTATATACTCTTTATGAAGATTACTTGGTTAGAGGTGAGAAATTTTAACTTTACCACCATTCTGAATTGAGGAGTAACCTTGTTTTTTCCGCACAATCTTAGTAAGTCAATCTTACATTATCTTGTTGCTTGATTTCTTTATCTTGTATACCCCTCAGTTCTACTGATGAATCTGTAGTAGAAGATTGTTGTCCATTTTAGCTCATCCACGGCATTCTGAATCTTTTGTGCAAGGATCATGGGTCATTTTTAAAATGAAATGGAATAGACATGATTGATGTTTAGGTGACTGATGCTTGTTTCCATTTTTGGTTCTACAAATACAGGAAACAGACTTTTGGCGATAACTATGCAGAGAAGAACGGAACTTGCAATATCATCCTCATGGTAGTTGGGGTCATGAAAAGTTGAGTCGCAGTCAAACTCATCCTCCACCTCCAGGTTGCATGCTCACAAGAATGGGTGCTAACCGCATTCTGCATTATCGGTGCTGTCCATGTGCTATACTTGGGAAAAAGCATCCTGCTTGTACGTCTCACTCTCACCCACCGGGGAGAAGATATTTCATACATCTTCTGAAGATGTTTCATGTAATTGGTGCAGCAGGGAATTTTATAGGCAAAAAGTGTGAATTTTGGGGAAAAGAGTAAAACAGGGCGCTGATGGAGCCAAAGAGTCTGTCTTCTTCCTTTGTTTTCTTTCTGTTAAGTGGTTTGGTTTGCTGCATGGATTTTAGTTTTACTCGAGAGTTGGTAGTCAAACTAACCAATTAGTAAACCAGTGGAATTCATTTTCCTCCACCTGAAAATGAAATGTTTATGGTAGTTAAAAATAATTTGTCAAATTCTCATGAAATGTTTATGTAACCATATATAATTGTCGGTTTTTTTTTGGTCTCAAACGGAAATAAGTAAGAAATTTTATTAGGAATTTAAGTATAGGTTGACTAGTCTAACAAAGTCTCTCGTATGGAGGCCAAAACGTAAATCAAAAAGGTGGAAAAAGGATAAGAGAGAAGAACGTGAGTCAATTCAACTGAAGAAAAAGATGGTGTTGAAACAACGAGAATGATTACTAGACAGATTTTGGATTGATTATGATATATGTGTAAAATATGCTGGATAAACGGATACGTGGTTGGTATATAAAATCCAGAAAGAGAAGATTATGGAGTCTGGAGGAAACATCTTTGTGGCTACAACATTGGATTGGACAGAATCAGATTAATTCCATCGTGAAAATATCTACTCCCTCCGTTCCAAAATTATTATCCAATTTAAAAATTTTTATTTTTAATTTAAATTGTACAATAATTTTGGGACAGAGGGAATATTTTATTTTTCACACCTTTAGACACATGCAAACTTCGAATCATCTAACCAAAAAAAAATAAAATTGGAATTTGAACTGTTCCACTCACCATTTGTTCCTCGTGACAATAACAACGTAAAGGATTGGATTTGGAATGGAGTGATTATCATATTGTAGTCGATTTGTAGTTTGGCTTTTATCCTTTGTTCTCATCCAATGAGTTTATGACTTTATTCAAAAGAATTTTGGCACGTTCTGCACATTAGTACACATTTTCAGTCTAATAATACTACTTTTATTTTGTTTGGTAAAATGTAAGACAATAGTACGTATAATTTGGATTGCAAATTAATACCATTTCGCGATAAAATTATTTTAATTCAACCAACAAAATGCTATCATAACAAGTTATAGAGTACTTGCATTTAATGCTGTACTTATGTGACTTTGTTCCCCACTGCGGCTAGCCCAATTTGACTTTTGACTTCACCCTCTCCATATAAAGCAAGTGTAAAAATATAAATTAACAATAATCACAAAGGCATCATGATCAGCCGACCGATTCCGCCCCGCCACCTAAACCACTTAGTATCCGCCACGTCTTCAACGGCCCACTTCTAAACCTAAATATAATAAAACCCAGAAAGTGGATTTTTTCATTTTTGTTGAGCTAATTGGTAAAAATAAAACCTTCGGCGGCAAATATGTTTTAAACCTGAATTATATCACAATCGGGCCCTTAAACTATAAATGTGTTACAAATTAGAATTGACTCACATTTTTTTTTCTCTTTTCTATTGTGAAATAAACGATATATAATTACAGTAGTAAATCTTTATGTATTGAAGCAACTCTTTCACCTCAGCATTACGCATAAGTCTTATATTTAATTTTTAATTTACAATCTATACAAGTTCACCAAAAAAAAACAAAAAACGAAAGAAAACATTTTGACAAAAGACTAATTATTTTTCAGCGAAGCAAATATTTTTCTCATGCATTTGATTTTGTGGTAATTATCAAGAATCTCTACGTTCATTGTTTCAATTTCAGTATCAATGTCAATCTCACTAAAGTTTCAAGGGGTTCATTGCAATTAACCCTTTGACATAGCTGTCCTTAGCAAAAAGGGGAAAAAAAAAAAAAAGTAGTCTTTTTAATCCGAAGTCCAAACAGAAAAGTAGTATTTATTTATTGATTTATATATATTGGGTTTCCAAGTTCCATGCGTATCACTGGAATCTGGATTTGTATGAAACGTACCTACTCCACGTCCTCTCCTCCTCTCATTGAATTCAACGAAACATGCCTTTCTGCGAAGTCAGTTCGTGTCAGAACGCTCCTGAGTCAGCTGCCGATGACAATGGAATTCGGATTTTCTACAGAACTTACGGTCGAGGACCAACGAAGATCCTATTAATCATAGGTAAAAACACATACAGTTTCTTTTCGTTTGTTTGTTTTGGATGTGTTATTTGAGGTTGGATTTTTTATTTTTATTTTTTGATCTTCTTTGGTGGGTCGTTGACAATTTCTCCTCAGGATTGGCGGGGACGCACGATTCATGGGGGCCGCAGATAAAGGCGCTGGCCGGAACATTGTCACCGAATGATGACGAATTCCCGGCCGGCGACGATGGAACTGAAAGCACCGGCATGGAGGTTTGTGCATTTGACAATCGGGGAATGGGCCGGAGCTCTGTTCCCACCAAAAAGTCGGCTTACACGTGAGTCATTTAATGAATATGTTTAAATTCTCATCAAATTCCGCAATCTTACAAATACAAATTCAATCTCATAAAAACACATTCATTGATGGAAACCGGCATTGATTGCTTCTGCATTTTTTTCCTCCTGGTTGCTTAAGAAAGCATAATTTTCCCTCCTTTTGGTCTAATTACCAGTCATAAGTCCAGAATGCTTTAGATGTCCTGGGAGTTTGGATCATAGATTTTGACTTTTATTAATTTTTAAGTTTCCATAAGTGCTACGAAGATGAAATTCAGGAAACTTGTAATTGATAATGGATTTTTATTTATTATTGTCTGTGCAGAACAACACTTATGGCAAAGGATGCAATAGCTGTAATGGATCATCTGGGGTGGGAAAAGGCCCATGTTTTTGGCCATTCAATGGGTGAGTAGGTTACTCATTGCCTGTGGTCAACTTTATTGACTTTTTCATACCTTCTCCACCTTTTGATTCATTTATTATGTTCTTTCCCACTTTCCTTTTGAATTCTACTTGGTCATTGAAATGTAATATCACGCGGATTCTGTCGGTGTGGAATGTGATTGACCGATTGAAATGCGAAACTTGATTGCAGGAGGTATGATAGCCTGCAAGATGGCTGCCCTGGTACCCTGCAGAATTTTGTCATTGGGCCTATTAAATGTTACTGGTGGAGGCTATGAATGTGTTCCAAAGGTAGTTATAAAGAATACTCCTTTTAGTGACTAATGAAATACTCCTTTTAGTGACTAATGAAATGGCTGATGTTTACTATGTAATTATCAATGGAGTCCCCGCATTCCTCATGAGTCAGTTGCTTTCTTGTATCTGCAACTCCAGCAGGTTTGGATGACTAGATTTTGTTCCCATTTTGCAGTTGGATCGTCAAACATTGTCGATTGCAATTCGTTTTATGAGGGCAAAAACCCCTCAACAAAGAGCTGCTGTTGATTTGGATACTCATTATTCAAAGGTTAGGCATTTTCTCCATTTGTTTACTTCCCAATATATCGTGTCCTGTATGTTTGCATTTTCTGATTTCTGCAAGAACCTCTTATATAAATAGAAAGACTATAGAGAGAATGAAGGGAGTCATCTGAAGAGTAACATTTGGACTGACCCTTGTGCTGATGTAGAGGGCAGACTATTTGGGTTCCTTTTTTTTTGTTTTTGTTTTGTTTTGCTTTTTTTTTTTTTTCCCCTTGCAACTTTTAGTATATGATAATGATTATCATGGATTTACAATGACATTTGATAGGAATTTTTCCTAATCTACTCACAGGAATATCTTGAAGAGTGCGTTGGAACAAAAACAAGAAGAGCAATTCTATATCAAGTAAGGAACAGTAACCCTTATTACAGTTTGCATACCAGAAATTTACCATCACTGATACTCTCTGGCTTTTACCCTGGGTATCAAAATTTAACACAAAAAGATTACAACACTTGAGCGGACCAGCAATCTACACCTTCGAGCTCGTTGACCTGCAAACTCAATCTGTGCCTGTTTTGCAGGAATATGTAAAAGGTATATCATCTACCGGAATGCAGTCAAATCATGGATTTGACGGCCAGATTAATGCCTGCTGGACACATAAGTTGTCGCTTGCGGAGTTGGAGGCAATCCGAACAGCAGGATTCCCCGTATCAGTAATCCACGGAAGGTATTTATATTTCTTATTCGCACAACAGCGAGTACTTGATAATTGTAACATTTTTACCTGTAAATTTGTTGCTTCACTAGCTGAGATTAGTCTTCTGGATTTGTAGGCATGATGTTATTGCTCAGTTGTGCCATGCGAAGAGGCTTGCACAAAAACTGTATCCTTCTGCCAGAATGGTGGAACTTCACGGTGGCCATCTTGTCAGCCATGAAAGGACAGAAGAGGTATAGACTGTTAAATGTTTTGAAAGAACTGGAAAAGCAATAACATCAAATGCAAGGGTCTTTTCCAAACACATAAGAGTACTAAAACTCAATGAATACCCGTTCAAATTTGCACAATGCTACTGCTGGCAGTCATAGAGACCATATATGCCTGTCGAGATTCATGAAATTGAACTGCAAAATAATAAAGAGGGAATGGTCTGGGAATGAAATATGTTGACAGGCAACATGGGAAAGGGGTCTATCTATCTGCCTAGCTTTGGCATCATCATACAGGGGGTTGAGATTTATTACCCTAACTAACCCATCAATTGGTACAGGTCAATAAAGCTCTATTTGATCTAATCAAGGCATCAGAGGAACATTTAACCCCGGATGAGTGGACAAACTTGTCTATTAACACTTCTGGTAAGTACTCCATATTAGCTGCAATTGTTATCATACCACTTAGTGACCTAATCCTGATGAATTCTGTCAAAAAATTGTAATGATGGCTCTTAATTTCATAGTTTGGCTCTCCAATATATAGGCTTTTTTGTGATAACCACAATATTACTTCTTCAAAGCTACAACTAACATGTCCCTTATGATGATCAACTGATATTTAATGGTTATGGGTGCCGATGCTTTCTCAGGATGGAGTAAAACTTGGATAACATACAGCAGAATCAACTCTGAGGGGGGGCCCTGTTTGAGTTTCATGGTTGACTATGTAGGGAAGATGCATGCGTTCATGTTGTATCTTTTCGGTCTCATTGTGTTAGCATTTGGGTACATTAGAAGATCAATCAGAAGTCTGCGACCTGTCAAAGTTGGATCTGCCCTCCCATAATATTTGAAAACAAGAGAAGCTCTTTTCTACTGGTAAATACGACCTATTACACCTTCTGATTCCGTGATTTTCAGTGGCGACATGCAGTTGTTAGTTGTTACCACAGAATACTGATATTAACATAGGCCTAACCTAAGCATGCATCTTATCTTGCAGGGGATTTTGTTTATTTATGAATTATGATCACCCAGTGACATGGTGCTTAAACACAACTAACCTATGCAAATTAACAATTACCGATACAGAAAGCCATGGGTGCCAAAAGGGTCCCTAACTGCAGTTTCTATTGTTACTTTGGGGAGCAACCGCACCAGAAAATGATGTGTACGGTGAAGAAGATAAGTAAAAAGGGGGAGAAATGCCAGTTTTTGGGCTAATGATTTTTATGGAGATGGAAAGGCAAGCATTAAGTGGGGGGGTTTTACATTCTTTTGCCTGAATGTTTCTTTCGCGTTTGAATGAGCAGAAAACAATGTGAAGGGAAGTCCCATGTTTCTGCATTTGCCATGGAGATCCCATTTCCTTGTGTAATCAACTCCCTACTGGTTGTATGAAGAACGTGGAATACTGTAATTTTTAACCATGAAAAGATTTCGTTCTTGTCCTCAAACGTGTTTGTAAAAAATGTAATTCTAGGGACTCGTCCTCCTACATGGTCAAGAAAGTTGTACTCCAACTAATTAAGGTATTGAACTACAACAAATAGGAGTACAACAACAAAGAATGACTCATTGAAAGTTGCGAGATCCCAGGTTCATGACCCTATAGCCATAAACGTTCCTAATAAAAATTGCACCACTTCTTAATACTGCTTCCGTTCCATAAAAAATAGTCCATATTAAGTTTTTAAACTTAAAACTCAACATGTACTATTTGAAAACTCAATATGGACTATATCTGTGGGAGGGAGGGAGTAACATATATGAAAAGCGGAAGCATCAATCAAACAAAGGAACCAAATTCAGTAGGCATGAAATTCTTAAACAAAAGTACTTGCCAAGTTACCAGAAAGAAATCTGGGACCCTTGAGTAAAAGAATGGTCACGTACTACATGCAACTAATTACGCATATAAATTTGCAAAGAGGGAGAGAGAGACTGAAAAAATAAACCGTAAAGCAATAATACCTGGTAGGAGGACTTCGGATGATCAGCATCTTCGATTCAATGAAACTAAGCAAAAGACCGCATCATCTTTTCAGCAATAACCTCGTGAAGCTGGGAAATTTGTTCTGTAAACCATCGAGTTTCACCTTGATCTGTTTCATTGTTTTGTGAAGAAGGTAGTCCAGTATGCACCAATGGAATCAAATAACATAAAAAGAATAGCTAGGAATCTGAAAACAGAGAGTAAAAAGAAACAAGGGCCTTCATTGTTCGGTTGGAAAGAAGAGCAAGGATAAATCGACGTCTAGGAAATCAGCTAATTAAAATGGAGCCTAATCATAGTAATATACTATTATGCCATCAGAATATTCTTTGTTCACTTGATAAGAAATCCGTGTCGCTTTGCGTTTTTGTTCCTTGCTGTAAGCAATTTGTCACACTATACTACTATAGTATCCAAAAATAATAATAATAATAAAATTCCCAGTTGAATATGAACCCTATTTAATTGGCAATCAAATTTTGGTCGTTGTTGTGTAATTTTAAATTTTTTATACTCCTTTCGTCCCAAAATTATTGTCCAGTTTGAGATTTCACTCTTATTACAATTTGAATTAGAAATAAAAACCCAAATTGGACAATAATTATGGGACGGAGAGAGTATCTTTTTTTTTTAATACAATCGCGGGAAAATTAAGTAGTTTGTACTTTAATATGAACGGGTCGAATTTATTTTCTAATAATAAAGTGCAGCGATACCAATCAATAGCGAAGCTCCTAAAGTTATATACTAGCTGGAGTATTATATCTGTCCCAAATAACAAATAAAAATTTACACTGAATTTTAAGTTTTGTACTACTTTTAGTACAAATTGCAAAAAATCAATGTGAACTATTTTTTTTAGTACCAAGGAAATAGTACGAAATAAGACATCAGTAACTATTTTTTTCATTATAATATATTACCATCATCCCACAAAAATAGTCTAATTTTAAAAATGTAAATTTTAAAAGAGTTATAAAATCATTATAACCTAAAATTAATTATTAAATTGGTAAATAGTCATGCAACTTAATTCAGTTTTTCATATTAACTTTTTAATTTATAAGATTAAGTCATCTAATTTTTATATTTTCGTTTTTCATATTGAACTATTTTTTTCGGGGACGGAGGGAGTATATTTTTTTACTACATATATCATTTTCCTTTAAAAATTTTTATGGGTATACTCCTGCAATATCATTCATATTTGAAAAACATTTACGTAAAAATTAATTATAATCTATAGTACTTAATTAAAGTAACAAACAAAAAGGACATGTGTCAGCACTATAATGAAAATTTTCTCGCCAAAGTCATTTTCAGTACAAAATCATTTTTGACAAGTGGCACTCTAACTAATCAGAAAAGAAAGATGGAATACATAAATACATAAATTCCTTAATTATAGTTACATAAAAATCTCTTAATTATAGGTATATATTAATCTTTTAAAATAATAATATTTAATTAATAAAATCAAACGTAAGGAAATCTCCTTAAATCAAGTGAAACACAATAATGTCTTCCCAATCCCCAATTTCAAAGAATCTTTTCCATTCCGCTCATCTCTCACACTCGGGCCTTTAAATCAATTACTTAAAATCTGACATCAATTATCAATCCATCTCTTTCTACAAAAGAGAGAAAATAAGCTGTCATGAAAGAAATTTGATTTTTTAAGGATGATTTTTTTTTATTCTTCTGTTGTAGATATTGGTTTATGATTTATGTAAATTCGGGCATAAGTTAACTGTTGTAAATTAAATGTTATAAATCTAGGCATAGATTTATGTATAATAACTCACTTTCTGTCCTTTCAATTGATTTTTTATTTTTTTATTCGTTTAAAAATGATTCGTATTTTTTATTTAATCAATTTAAAAATACAGGTGACATCCGTCCGGGCAAGCATCTAGTTGTTTTTAAAAAAGGCAACATATATTTATAGTCGACATATGTATGATTGAGAATGTTCTTCATACATCTGGGGTTTTGGTTCCTCTACGTTTCAAGCTCGCACTCTTTCAGTAAGTAAGCTTTCTTTTATCCATCTTTTCTTATTTTCGTTTATTTACTGCCTGATTTTCGGTCTAAATTCACTTCCGGGTAGTTTTAGCATCGCGATTTTCTCTCGAATTTCTGTATGTATCAATTGATATTTGAATTTTTTTTTTTTTCTGTTGTCTGAGAGTTAGTATCAGAAACTGTGTTCTGATTGATCTTAAAACTTCTCTTGAAAGTTCGATCTTTGTGTTTCTTTTCTTGTTTGAATCTAACCACCCTTCTTGGTGCTGTTGGTTTTTTATTCTATAAACAGTGGAAAACATTTGAGGTGTACCTTGTATTTTGAGAATTTATTGAATAAATTAGATTAAATATCACTGGTAATTCGATTGGACTGCTAATTACATAGCTTTTTGATAATTTTATGGTGATTTCAGACAGCGAATAGTTTTATTCGAATAGTTTTTTTTTTAAAAAAAAGGAGAGATGATATATGCAGTCACTTGTTTTTTCAGCGGACAAGGGTTAAATATGATAAAACCGCACGAATTCTTAGTTGTTACTGGCATTGTAGAAGTAGTGGAAGTGGTTAAAATGATGATTTGTAAAGGTGGTTCAGTTTGGGGGCAGATTGTTAGAAATAATCATAGATGGGCTTTGTTTGATTTTGTGGTTGTACCATCTTAACAGGTTGTTGGTGAGAAGAAGAAGAATATGGCTGAGGTTGCTGCACCCGTCGTTCCAAGTGATGAGTTGTTGGAATGGCCCAAGAAGGATAAGCGCCGGTTTTTACATGCTGTCTACCGTGTTGGAGACCTTGATCGGACCATCAAGTATGCCAGGCATTTTGTTTGATCGAAGATCAAATTTCCTCAGTGCTGCTTTATTTGAGATTGACTCTGCTGCTACTGTTGTTGCTACTGTAGGTTCTATACTGAATGCTTCGGGATGCAGCTGTTGAGGAAGAGGGATGTTCCAGAGGAGAAGTATGCCAATGCATTTCTTGGTTTTGGCCCTGAAGACTCTCATTTTGTGGTTGAATTGACTTACAGTAAGCTTACCATTTTGAAACCTTTCGATCCTGGGCATTTGTACATTGTTTACTTTTGTAAAGGTTAATTAAATCTATATTGAACACTTGAAACTTGTCCAATTTCCCTTGTCTATGCTTCCTCTCATTTGAAACATGATACTTTTTGTTGTTTGAAATGAAGTTCTCATATTTTGGCTCCTTAGCTTTTTGGGTCTCTGTAATTTGTATGGTTGCTAAACTGCAGACTATGGAGTTGACAACTACGACATTGGGACTGGTTTTGGCCATTTTGCTATTGCAACCCCTGATGTGAGGACTCTGTTATGGTAGATATTATTCCTTGCTATATAGCCGTGCAATATAGCATGACCCTTTCTGTTTTTCTCTCATGCTTTCCAGGTTTACAAGTTGGCTGAAAATATAAAGGCAAAGGGTGGAACTATAACACGGGAGCCTGGACCTGTGAAAGGTGGTAAAACTGTCATTGCTTTTGCCAAGGATCCCGATGGTTATCTCTTTGAGCTTATTCAACGTGAATCTACTCCTGAGCCACTCTGTCAAGTAATGTTACGCGTGGGTGATCTAGATCGCTCTATAAAGTTCTACGAGAAGGTACTCTTAAAGAAATGTGCCAAATAATCTGCTCTTTGATTGACTTCTGAGATTGCACGTAACACAAAGAACTGTTTATCTGTAACACAAAAAATCCTAACGGTTTGTTTTTGGTTTTTCCTCTTTCCCAGGCCTTGGGAATGAGGGTGGTGAAGAAGACTGATAGACCTGAACAAAAGGTTATACCAAATTCTCTCTTAAATTCTTTTATTCTTACATGAAGTTCAGAGTTTTAAGATTCTACATGATGCAGTACACGATAGCGATGCTGGGTTATGCCGAAGAGCATGAAACAACTGTGTTGGAGTTGACATATAACTATGGTGTGACAGAGTACACGAAAGGGAATGCATATGCACAGGTTTCTCATTATGTGCTGGAAAATGCATTGGATCTTTGTAATGTGGCGTTTTGTTTTCTTGATTATAAAAGAACGGATTTCTTTCCAGGTTGCCATAAGTACTGATGATGTTTACAAAAGCGCTGAGGTTGTAAATCTTGTTACTCAAGAGCTTGGAGGGAAGATAACTAGGCAACCTGGCCCAATTCCTGGAATCAATACGAAAATTGTTTCCTTTGTTGATCCCGATGGCTGGAAAACGGTGAGTAGTCTAAGGTTGATAAGTCAATTAAGTGCAACTGTGCATGAAAAAAGAAGGTTGAACTGTTTTGATTAAAGTTCTCACTTCTGCAACAATAGGTTATACATGAAGTTTCCATCGGGATTACTGTTATGATTTGCATTGTGAATGCTTTCTGTTTCTGAATGAAGTTCATTTTATGGTGACGGGGGTAGTTCTAGCACTAGAAAAACTAAGTAGGGTTGCATAAGTTTGAACGATGCATCAGATCAAAGACATTTGATCTTGTATGCCTTAGTTTTCTCTTCCATAAATTTCTGAAAAGATTTAGAGTAATCAGTATAAACCTCAAGAACTTGGTAGATCATCTTTAGGCTTCGAGCTTCATGATGATCAGTCTTGTGCTGATGTAACTTAACATACTCTGTGTAAAATCAAAAGCTCATAGTATAGTCGCCCTTTTTTTCCTTGCAGGTTCTGGTTGACAATGAAGATTTCCTGAGAGAGCTTAAGAAAGAGTAATTACTCTATAAAGCATTACGGATAGATGTGATGGGAGAATAGAGATGGTATTTACTTTTGAGAATGAATAAATGTCAGAAAGTTTACCAACACTGTTTTCAGATCAGGGCTTTTATATTATGATGCAATGTGACTTTGTCCTATGTTTGATTGTTATTCTGTTTGGAGCTGTGTTGACCTAGCAAATAACTGAAATTCGGTTGGGGGAACTAATCAGGGACATTAGAGGAGTTTTTTCATCAGGCCTTTTCTGCAACGAATTGGGCAATGTTCTGTCCAAATGGCAGAATTAAGAGCAATAATTGAAAGGTTGGGGGAGGATCTGATAATCAGTCTGGCTGTCTGGGTACGCAAAAGTTAACTTTTAGACCTGTTAACACATTCCGAGTTTGGACTCGGATACTTGAATGAAAATGTGGGTGAAGTCTATGGGATCTTACTGGGCCCTTGGGGTTGTTCGTAGAACTGAAATGAATCATATCTACATGATTTTGCAAAATTAAGAAAAAGGCTTTTGTTTATTGTCAATACAAAATCGAAACTATCCAAATCATTCTACACTTAACAATAAATAAAGATTTAATAAAAGGTGTATATGATCGATCACGATGTGAACTGTCTTTAGCCTATGTCGTTTGTCTGACAGGCATTACCGATTAGATCTTAACTTTGCATTAACTCCTGGACTCTAAAACTTTGCAAAATACTCCCTCCGTCCCATAATTATTATTCAGTTTTGGTTTTCATTTCTAATTCAAATTGTACTAAAAATAAAATTTCAAACTGGATAATAATTTTGGAACAGAGTGAGTATATGTTTGTTCTAGTGTGAGCTCTTGATTATGGGTGGTAATTATGCTCATTCTCAGTGAGTACCTATTGGCACTCCATCTATTGATAAGTAATTAATTCTAGTGCGAGCTCTTGATTATGGGTGGTAATTATGCTCATTCTCAGTGAGTACCTATCGACACTCTATCTATTGATAAGTAATTAATTAAATTACGTGTAAACTGGCCACTAAGTGAATAGTGTTGAATTTATGCAGGATAAACATAGGTAGGTTACTGGATCCCTTTTGAGACCCAACGGAAGTAAATCCATTAATTTGTTTATTTTTGCCTTTTTTCCCTATCGATAGTGATATTTTTCCTATCAATAGTGATATCATACCTTTCAATCTTCCTCGTATCCTTAATGATAAGTATGACCCTTATTATTGAAGACGGTTATCATACCCAGGCCTAGATTATTTCCCAAAAAGAATCAAGAAAAGCAACCAAATAAAATAATTTACTCCCTTTGTTTTAAAATAGTCCACACTCCATGTCGAGGTTTTATGGGATGGAAGATAATAAAATGATTAGTATTTATTTTCCTTAATGACATTACTTTACAAAATGACATAGTGATTCTGATAAGTACGTATGGAATTCATTCAATTGCCTAGGCGGTCGAGAATGAAGAAATTGAGACAGGCCCCGTCCAATACATCTGTATATAATAGCTCATTAATCCATGTAATTCAAATAGGTCGGCAAATAATTTGTAATAATAATTAGTTTTTCGTCAGTTAAAATTAATTTGATTAGTGGATGAACATATACGTTAGGTTTTAGTGTGTTAAAATTAATTGCTGATTACTTGATGTAGTATATACGTACAAGCTGTACAGATTAATACACGTGAATATTCATAATCAATACAGAAGATTTTTGCCAATTCCTTAGTCTACTTTAGCCTCCAGGAATCCTAGAATAATGATGAGTCTGAATCTTCTGATAGGCATAACAAATTGTAAGGAATATCTGAGGCTTGAGTTAACAAATGGGAGGAACGGCCACGTTTTGATTGTACAAAATAATAAAGGATGCATCTTCACTTGGAAGATATAAACATTAAAATGAACATAATCATTGCCAGGCAGCCAGGCAGGGTGTTGCATTACCCAACTTCAGTCTCTGTTGGCCGAAAATTGAGGGGAAAATTACCCTAAAACCAATAGAAAGAGACAATTTACATGTATGAGATCAATTTTCCTTGGGAATGCTTCTGAAGATGTGGCAGGTTCATCCCATTCTGTAACGGAGCGCCTATAGAGTTGTGTCCATAGGGTAGGAGCCGAGGACCCGGAGAAATTTTGCCATTTCCTGGAGAAATGGAGATGTAAGATCTTAATTCCTCAGAATCACACAGAAATCAGAAGTTCAATAGCCACATTGAAAGAAAATCTCAAGCAACGAGGGGTTTAAGGAAATTTTGTGCTGTTTGACTATTTTTCAGGTTCAACTACCTTGAGGGTTGTGCAAAGCATCAATCACCAATTGATACTCGGAAAACTACCATTACTCACAGTCAACCAACATTTATAACAACAAAAGATGATCATGGCAGCCTAAATTGGTACCCGAATGGATGATTTTACCCCTCTGATTGCTCTGAAAGATGATCAAGAACAAAAAAATGTGAACCGAATGTATATCTTGGTAACCCTTTCATTATGGCTGGTGTCATCTTGGATCCAAAACTTAAAGCTAGAAGATGACCACTTTCATAGCGTGGAGAAACCTTTGTTCCCGACAGAAAACAACAACAGTGTTCCTTCAAGCGTTAGATTGAACACCTTGCTACTGCAATCTGATAGATACTAAAAGGGATAAGCTAACTGGTCTGAGGAGAACCACTTTCATAGCGTGGAGAAACCTTTGTTCCCCACAGAAAACAACAACAATGTTCCTTCAAGTGTTAGATTGAACACCTTGCTAATGCAATCTGATAGATACTAAAAGGGATAATAGGGAACACTAATGTACAGTGCCAGGAAAAAAGAAGCTCTGGGAAATAAGTACATCGACCAAAACTCATAAGAACCACAAGTTAGTGATGATACTCACTTGTAGATGCCCAAGAGCATATTGGGCCCGTGGTTCTGCCATCGACGCTTCAAAATCTAGATAGAAGAGGTAATCAAAGTACCTGTCATGATGAAACCAATTACATTCAATAATGTGGGCGTTGGAGGAAAGGGGCATATTAAGAAGGGAATTTTGAGGCATCAAAAACTATCCATACGCTAACAGTATAATGAGAAGAAAAAGTATAATGTCATTTGGAAGTTTAGCTATAGTATTACATTTCCACAACGAAGAGAAAACGAACAGTTCCATGAAATATGCAATACAATCTCAGTGAAGAGAACAGAACAGATTCCTTGAATTGAATGTTCATGCCAAACAGGGCTAGATTTGAAATTCAGTGCTTTTGATTCCTCCCTCCCTCCCCAACCAAAAAAAAACATTTCCAGAAAACTTTTTGACTGGTAGATTCTAAGTTGGATCATTGGATTGCTAGTTATTACCCATATAATTCACATGGAATTATAAACTTTGAAACTGTACATGAGAAAGAGTAGTGTACAACTCACATTGCTCTACCCTTGTTAGAATCATCAACAATCCTTAGCGGCCTATTTCTTTGTGGCCGACTCTCAATCTGCATTTGCAAGTTTAAAATAAAAATATGGTCTAAATTCTCGTATTAGAAACTGACTGCTAAGAGGAACCAAGACATTATTAAGGTTACCTTCGATAAATTAATATCCCGTAAAGCAAATACCGCTAATGCTTTAAAAAGTACCCCAGGCCCTTCTTCTAGGCTGAATACAATGCTAGTCTGGACAGAAAACATTAAGTTTTAATCCATGCCACCATGACAACGCCAATATAAATCGACATAGGAATAACACTCATACCTTATAGGCTCTACCAGTGCCTGGGATAATAGGTTCTCTCGCAAGTATCAAAAAACGGGTGATATTATCAGCGTTGTCCTGGTTCAAACATCACAGCAGGAAGAAGCTCAGTGAATATTAATTAGGATCCATTTAGTAAGAGCAATTAAAGGTGGAAATAAATATAAACACACATACATAATATATTGATTGATTAATGAAGAATTCATTCGCATTCGTCAAATACTTCTGCTTGAATTATGTAGAGAAACGGAAACCTAATTGATGGTGTGTGTGTGTGAGAGAGAGAGAGAGAGAGAGAGAGAGAGAGAGAGAGAGAGAGAGAGAGAGAGAGAGAGAGAGAGAGAGAGACCCAAAGGTCACGCTATTTGGAGCCTACCACCCAATTAAGACCCATAAGGTTATAGATAGATTCTCAAGCTAGGAGGTGGCAGCTTAAAGGGGCTGAAGACATGAAGAGAAAGCTTGTACATAAAAAACCGGAGCTGCAGAAAATTATAAGTTTCTGTTCCTCCGAGTATTTAAAAATTAGCAACAGTAATGTAGTTACCTGTATATTTTCAGCCAAAACTTGAAGCCCATAAATTTCTCCAGCTCTGGCACTTGCAATGGCTCCAGTATCTCTTACACCTTCAGCAGCTACAATCTGATCCAGACATTACTAATAAATACATAACATTTATCATCAAAAGCTACAGCAAGCGACCAACTGTCTGTTCAGCAGATTACCTGAGCAGCGCCAGCAGTATCATTTGTGCTGAGCTTAACAACACCAAATTTGTTAAGAGTCGCTTCGCATTGAAAAAGGGCCTAAAACCAGCGAACCAATTTATCTTTTATTTCCTACACATGTACTCTAATTCAAGTGCTGCATCAAGTATGACTACACATATTTAACTTGCATTAATATACTGAACCATATAACATGCATTTTTCAATTATTCCAAAAATTTAAATATGCCTTTGAAGCCAACTTTTATCACCAACTTAGCTTTTATCCTATTACGTGGGATTGGCTAAGTTTATCTCCTTGTATGCAAAATTTGATTTCCAGAGCTGGAAGATAACCTGAGGATGACTTAAAACGGACTTTAACTCCTCCTTCCTCACACCAGGCAAACCGAGGAGGCAGTGATTCACAACCATTTGCACTTCCCCAACTATATGCAGCCTGTGAAAAAGGAGCAGGTCGTAATTGCGGTGGACACTGCCCCCAACAGAATTCTCCATCGGGAGTACCGCTTTGTCCACTAACCACAACTCAACAGCCTGGCAGACAAAGAACTGGGTAAGAATCATGCACGAACGCAGGTGATGGATGATTCAAAAACACTCAAGTAGGGAGGTTTAGCAGCTACTCAAACCTTGAACACATCCTCAAATTGATCACATGGTACTGTTTCACACTCTGGGTATGCTTTTAATGCAGCTGCCTCACTGTATGCACCTGGAACCCCCTGTGCAGGGCAAGAAAAATCAATCCTATATAAGGAAAAGAAAGTTTCTGTGGAAAAGATTAATGAATTTTACCTGATAAGCAATCCGTACTTTGGAACGATCACTTGGAGAATAATAAAGTTCAGTTGCAGATAATGGTCCTGAAATAATTCAGTTTTATTCATGGCACTCGTAGAAATTCATACCTTGGGATTAGAAAGGAAAAATGGTCCATAAACCAAGTCAAAGCACTGACTCAATTGACATTAAAACAAATGCAGAAGCTTATAAGGCATGACCTAAACCAGATGTTGATACCCATCCCTAGGTTTAGGTTAAAATGCATTCGCAACTTAGCAATTGTATTCACCAAATGGATCCAAACAGATAGTTCAGTGAACTAATTGTATATGAAAGCTGATTAGTTGAAGGAATCCATGTCAAACCCTAGAAGTAGATTGCTTTTCATTAACACATGCACAAATTGACAGATTGACATTATATAATCAAAGATCTCTAGAATGTGACCTCTGACAAAGAGATGGATACAACTTTTTAGCAGAGGAAGCAAAGCTTGCCAAATTAAGGTTATGCAAAAGTGCCTTGATCAGAAAATTAGCAAGTATAAAAGCATCGCATGATCTACAAGAGCCCAGTCCACTTACAATTTGCACAACGCAGTTCTGATAGAAGCAATCAGCACATTCTTATAATCCTTATTAATTGAACCTATTGTCCAGAATCTATTCTAAACACCAACAACCACCTTCCATTATCCACAACAAAGTTCAATGGTTGCTCGCACTCTCAGCATAGCATCAGAGCAAAATGCTTTTTAACAAAATCAGGAATCATATCAAATGTTAGATGTCTAAACCAAAACACAACAAACATGGATTCTACAGCAGCACATTTGGCAACCATCAGCAGCAAAATCTCCAGTCCATCTTCGAGCCCACATGACAGTTATAACAATAAAAAGAAAACTCACACAAGGCACCTACAAAGAATTCGACAATAAACACATGTATATCCACCCAGAAGACCCCGAAAAAGCACCATAACTGTAAATTACTCACTTGGGAGAGCATTTAAATCTTTGTGGAATTCCCTAGTGCGGGTGATCCCAGTCTCCTCATTTCCACCTTGTGAAACAGATGACTTGTCATCCTCCTCTACGGGAGAATTTGCCTTTTGGGTCTCAGGCAAGACCCTGGAAGCGCATTCCCATTTATTCACAGTCCTTAAGTTCAGGAAATCCTTCCTGGGCCCAAAATCCAAGAATCTCACTTTTTGAGGATGATAATTACTACAACGATGATGACTTGAGGAGGCTGCACAGTAAACCTTGCATATTGGCACTGTCCGTACTAAATCGGCCATGTCAAGACTTTCAGCACCAATCCCAATGCGACTCTTTTGGTACTACTACCTCACTAATAAAAATTACGGCAGTACTTACAGAGGTAATGTTCATCACAGTCTTACAGGCAATACATAAAAAGACACAATTTTTATTATTCCTCCTCCTTCAATAAGATAATCCCATTATTTCTGACTTGTTATTTTCCCTTCCTGGTGGGCTTGAATTTAGAGAAATCATTCAGAACTTCACCCAAAAGCTGTTTGACCTAAACCCCTTGAAGAAAACGATGCTGGGCCAATGAATGGCATCAATTTGAGTAGTTTTGAGCGGAGCCCACAAGCTGTACAGTCAATGTGACTCTGTATTTGAGGTGAATCTCTTAGCAGTGGACGGAAAAATTAGGTGAACAGAATGTAAAGCAACTTCTTTCAGCACAGAGTGGGTGTGAAGTTGAGGCGTTTGAAGAAATGATTCAGTGAAAGGAGTGAAGAAGATGAAAAGAGAAACAGATGTGGGGAAATGGGATCTCGATGTCTCCAACTAATTGAAATGTATCTCTGCTGGGTTGGTTTGTGTCTGCTGAACCTCTACTACTATCCAGCACCAGGAGGTCTTTGCAGACAGGAAATGAGAATCATGTTTTTGTTTTTTAAAAAAATAAAAATAAAAATTCTTCAGGATAAAAATAGATTTTAGTCCATCCTGCATTTTTTTTCTTTCCATTGTTCAGTTTTAATTAAACCTTACAGTTTCAATTAGAATTGAAAAAATAGATGGAGGCATAATTAAGGAGGACGAAAGTTAGGTACGAGTTATATATGGAAGAATATCTCTTACAGTAGTTGGGGAAGCATATTTATTATTAATTATATAGCCATTATTAGTTGACAAATTAATTTAGAAGTAGAAAAAGTCTTCATTGAGGCAATTACAAATTATTAGTATTATTTTTGGAAGATATATATTTTGTCGCTAGCTACGAAATATGCCACTGTCACTGTTGTTTTGTGCCCACTAATTTTTATTTTATCTTTTACAGAATAATAAGCATAAGAATTTAAAATACTGATTACATCATATACATAATTATTATAAAAATAATATAATAATGTAACTTATACTAGTATAACACAAAAATGTTTAGGTTTGAAAATGAAGAAAATCACAGTCATTTATTTCGTATTTATTTGGTGAGTAATTTAGTAAGTTTGGTGAGAAAACTATTGAGCAAAATCATGTAGTCACCAACTACAGTACTAATCATGTCAATTTGATCGAGGGCCAATTTAGCTCCTAACCTTACAAAAACAACGTGATGATTAACCATCACTATTAGCAATAAACCCTATTAAAACTGAATACACTACATGACTGATACACAAAGATTATGTACTACTCCTTCATGTCCTAAGTTTTGCTTAATATATTTTTCTAATTGAAAAAATAAATTAAAAATATTTTCTAATAATTAAGAGAGTATAATTCATGTGAAAATATAGTTAAAAGATGTTTTTTCAATGAAAGTTTATAATAGATAAAACTTATGGCAAATCAAAATGAACTGTAATAAGGACAAGTTCGGAATTTCTAAAAGAAATGCATAAGGACAGGAGGTAGTACAAAATTGTAAGGTTTACCTTGTGTACTATCGAACGGTATAAAGTTTATATCAAACGGTTCCGGAATTACTCAAGTAGTTTTGGTTGATCTAATAGCGATTTCATGCATATCAAAATTTTATTTTATTATTAATATTTTTTTTAGATGCGACGAATAATTTATATATTAGTTCACCAATCTATTTTTTTTTTCAGTACAAAGAAAGAGGCTACAGCCTGAGTTCACCAATCTATTTTAGCGAACATAATTCCTTCTGGTATACGACTAAGCACAACATAATTCTAATCAAAGAAATAAAGTGAGTAATTAATTAATAAATAATTGTAATAAAAACATGGGAGTAATATATATAAGTGGTTTGGGAACGGAACTAAAATGGCAATAGTAAGCTCCAAAACGCTTGGAAGACGCATGAAATGGATCAATAAAAGAGGGAGACACAACAAATTGTTGTTTAAAGTTTAAACTACTAATTGACGGACTAAACGGAGTATGTGTGTTAGGATGATCATCATCTTCAAAAGAGATTTGCCTCCCAATCATCAACCTGAAATCAGCCGCAAAGCTTTCTATATATATACATTCTTCTTCTTTTTTCTTTTCTTTTTTTCAAATTTATTTCCCCTCTTAAATATATATATATATATATATATATATATATATATATATATATATATATGCTCATACTGATGATCACTGAAAGGAGCGTTTGACGTCGTCTGGCTCAGTACACATATTCAAACAGGTAGCTGTTGCATGCCCTGCTTCCTTCCTTTATTTTATTTTTTTTTCCTCCCTTTGTTTATAATTCTCTCTTTTTCTAATCATTAAATTACTTTCTGCTTCCTCTTTTGTTTTTTTCTTTTTTGACTTTTTGGGTTCATCGGTTAAGAAATACTCCCTCTGTCCCAAAATTATTGTTCAATTTGAGATTTCACTTTTAATACAATTTGAAGTAGAAATAAAAATTCAAACTGGACAATAATTATGGGACCGAGGGAATACTCGCATTTCAGTCAAAAGGGGTCGTGGAAAAGCCTGCACAGATGCGTGCCCTTTTTATCCTTTAATTGATCGAACCAAATTAAGTATCTGGATATATTATAAAGTCTTTTTTTTTTTTATTCATATATAATGAAGTCTTTATTAACGTAGTACCAAGGTGCTCTATGTAAGACCAAGATTGAAGAGAAGAAATGAACTGAAAGCAAAGAATCACAGAGTAATCAGCGAAACACTCCCGCTATATATAAATTAATGAAACAATTCAAATTACAACAAAACCCTACATACTACTTACTACATGGTATGGCTTTGGCTAATGTATACCCCAAAGCTCCAATTACATGAAATGAATTCTTAAATAGAATAAAAAATAAATAAATAAATCGCTATCCACCATATATAAAGACACAAAAATAAATAATGAACTTTTTGAGAATCACATAATAAAAATGTTGCTCCCAGCAGTGTACACTAACTTCACACTCATAATTCATCCTGATTAATAATACAGATCGATGAAGAGGTTCCTCCTCCTCCTCCGGTGTTGACCTGTACTGTTGAAGGTAAGTCATGTATATTTACAAGCGAGATAAGTTGCTTCCGATGGGGTAGTATGACATTATGATTGGGGCACCTTTGGACTTAGACGCCTTATTGCTGCTCTTCCATTTCTCATCAACCCCTTTGGCGGGTTGCTGCTTCCCATTACTGGTGGCATCCTCCTTCTTCTCTCCTTCACAACCAACCCTTTTAGGATCGGATGAAAAGCACGCAAACAAACTCCACACTGATTTCATAATTAATACTACGTACTACTTGGTTTATGTCTGCAAAAAGTCTCTAGAGAGTGCTTTTAAAATGAAAGAAAAATGAGCTTATGAAGTAGAATGAATTTGCCTATATATGAAGTAGTCAGTACCTATTTATAATAATAATAATATGTGTCCTTAAAAGATGCTGATTCAAATCCCTCACTTTCTTTTTGTGTTACATCGATTGGACATGGGGGGAACCTGGAAATATCCCAAACTCTCAAATTAAGAATTTTCAACGCTCATAAATACTTGGACACCAAGGCATGTAAAGGCTGCTGCTTTGTCTTTATCTGTGGTACGTGGAAGCTTCCTAGCAGTAGTAAGGTGATATAGTATTATAATATCCCAGGATGGATATGTTTGTTATCAAGTAAAATCTGCTGCTGCTACTACTACTACTACTCTCTATTGCCTATAGTGACGTTTTAGAATCTGCTAGTGAGAGAAAAAAAATAAAATAAAAAAATCAAAGAATCCCTGCCTTGGCTGGGACTTCTCAGCGACACGTGTTTGACCTTAGAAGCTCCAAGAATTCTTCTTCTTCTATCTATGTTTAAAAGTGTGAAAAAAATTGTGGAGATGCTGATGTGGCGTGTATTTATTGGCAAAGTGTAGTCACCGCTTCAATGCGTACACAGGGCAGGGTTTACTCTGTTGAGAGTTTGTTCTTGGTCAAATTTGCTTAACCACCTGTACTATGTATGGTGATTTGGTCAACCGAATTACCGAAAGTTCATCGCGTCTTTCCCCTCAAGTATTAGGCAAGTTCCTCAACTGTAATAACTTAATTTGGTTCTATTTCCATTTCAAAATACTTTACACTTTGTATTCTTGATTTGTTATATTATTTCTGTCCCAAAAAAAAAAAAATTTACAGTGATTCTTGACAAACGTTTTAAAATTTGTACTTCCTCCGTCCTATAATTATTATTCAGTTTGTATTTTTACTTTTAGTTCAAATTGGACTAAAAGTAAAATCTCAAACTGGACAATAATTTTGGGACAGATGGAGTATATAATTATCAATCGTTAATGTAAATTTTTTTGAACAGAAAGATTATTATTTACTACTATTACAAATAAGATAATTATTTTGATCCAAAACAATAAGAGATGTCAAAGTACTTTACGCCATGGTTCTTTTCAATTATTTCATTAAATTAAAAAAAAAAAAAGAAGATAATTTAGTCGGGGGGCTTGCTGACTACATTCACCAAGACATGTAACCAGAAAGAGTCGAACATGATCAGCTCGGGCTAGTTGAAGAATCAACAGCTTTGAATATGTTACTCACGATAATTTCAATAGTACATATGTATAAAATTAAAAACTTAATATTATGAATTATTTTCGTAAAACAAAGATAGTACTGGAAATCCACGCAGGTTAATCCATCACAAAAAGTTATACTTTTTCTGTTCCAAAATTATTATTCAGTTTGGAGTTTTACATTTAGTGCAAGTCTAATTTAGTATTAAAAGTGAAATTCTAAACTGGATAATAATTATGAGACAGAGGAAGTAAAATAGAGAAGATGGCGGTCACAACCTACTACTGACATGACCGCTGATGCCTGAAAAACCAAATAAATGAAACACTTCATGAAAGTTTAAGCTAATATCTCCATTTCCAATTCGAAATAAGCAATTGGCATATAATTTATTTAATAAAAACAAACAAACAAAATCCAATCATTTGAGAGCAAACATCTTTGCACTCCACATTTAAATTTCTAAAAAATATTCCCTGAAATCTCCTCCGTTCTTTAAAGGATCAACACCTGTCAATGATAACCTACGAGGAGTTTCATATTACAAACACCGCATGCGCGCAGCTAGTATCAATTGCAAAATCTAAGTAAAACCTCTACAAATTAATACATTTGAGTTTCTAAATATTTATTAATTGATAGAGTTATTAATTTTTCAATAAATTAATTTGATATTAGAAGTAAGAAAAATTAAAAAGTTATTATTTTTACATTAAAAAAAAGTCAGTTGCAATCCTAGTCATATCATTATAAATTTCTTAATGGAACAAAAAGATAATAATCACAAATATTAACAAAAATACTTAAGTTAAAATTTAAGTTGATCTCCACATATAATTTTCTATTTTAGGTCTTATTAATTTATGAAATTGTGGAACCTATATCGACATAGAAAATTATTATCTTATAAATTAATATACTTTTAAAAAAATTTATATTGATTCCGAGAAAAATATTATTTAATGAGATTATTAATTAATAGAAAATGAATTTATGGAGGTTTTACTGCATATATTAATTTTTACACAGGATTACAAGATTAACAGAGGAAAAAAAATGAATCAGGGCATCATTGGCGCAATATGTGACAAAATTGAGGGACCAAAGTAGGTCTTTTGCAATCCAACTGCGAATTACATCAACTCAAAATCCAGTAATTTACAGTATAGGCATCATATGGAGCCAGATTAACTACAAATTCAATTTTTTTATTTTTTTATTTTAAAAAGAACCAAGAAACAAAATGAATTACAAAAATTATTAGCATGGACCAAACTCAATTTGATCCAACACCAGGAACTAATCAGTAAAAATGATCCAACGATCATCATAATTCTGGAGAAGCGAAGGACGTTATTTATAATACAGATAATCTGCTGCCGACGGGGAAATACGCCACCGGAATTGGGGGAGCATTATCGTACAGCTTCTTTATCTTCTCCAAACTGTTACTTCTTTGCAAATTGCTTTTGGGCATCTTCTCATTCTTCTTTTGGTCATCATTTCCGTCACATCCCACCCTTTTCTTAGAATCAGAAAAGCAAGCAGACCAAGCCGAAAAGAACAACGCCATCGATCGTGTTTATGTATGAAAATCAAAGGTAACCAGAGAAATTAAGGCTCAAAGTTGATTTGCTTAGTAGAAATGAAAGTGTGTGTTTAAATAAATTTCAGGTGTTGCTTCTCCCATTTATACACCCTCTTTTCATTTTGGTCAGTGGTGGTGGTAAACGTGGGTGCTCTCCAAGAAATTGCTTATTCAACTTTGTTCTTTGTCTTGGTCGCTAAGTATGTTGACTGCTTAATGTTGACCCCACTTCTTTTGATAAGTTCAAATGTTCAATTCCTCCTCAAGCAAAATTCTTAACTCCCAAGTAAAATACGAGTTCTTTTTTACTTGTTCTGGAACTTGTTAATGAAATCTATCTATCAGAAAGGTTTCGTATAAATATAAAATATGATTAAATGACATTTATAGCTAATATGTTAGAAAATATCTGATCTGTTATATTTATGCACCAGTCACCATCACAGCGCTATCTAGCTGATTTATGCATGTCATAATCGGATAAAGGTAATCTTTATATCTACTGATTTAAATTACGTATCGAATTTCAATTTCACTAAAAGAAAATTAATAATTAACATTGGACTAGTGACGAGATTGGAAAAATTTTACAGCTTGTATAATTTAACGATAAAATCAAATCGTGGTTGAAACATGATATCATCATTATTTCTTATACGCAGCTTGTGTTAAATTTAAATTTCCCTCCTTTCGTTTGTATCATAAACAATACTTCATAATCTGATCGGCACTAAACGCACGCTGATGAAGTTCTAAATAGCATTGGTTAGGAACATTGCAGTGAGGATCAAAATGTCACTAGGAAACACATTTTTGTAATTTACACATCATCTCACCTTTTTTTCCCAATATACACGATCTAAAATAAGTTATTCATATTACATAGTCTTTATGGTAAAGTGATTGTGCCGTTTGAATTTCAATACTTAAACGGGCCGGAGGGAATAATATAATCGGCAAACTTTCTTAGTGCATTTAGATTTGACATTCAACACAAATATGTTACGAAATCTGACAAATGGATGATCAAAAATAGATTCTGAAATCTTTACAATTACCTCATTTTATTACAGCAATTGGTCAAACTAAATGAATTTCTCTACATCATACAAGATTTCAGCTCGCTCACATCCTTGGTCGCCATGGTATTCAAATGTCCCTCCATATGTCCTTCTTGAACCCCAGCAGTGCTACTATTTCCGATCACAAAGACACAAACGGATGGCACAACAATGTCCTTGCGGTGGCTCGATCCTTGACCGTTCTCTTCAGACAACATCTTAAGAAACTCCTCGCCTTATCCGACAATTCGTGAGGGATTTTAGGCTTAAAACCTCCTTTGAGAAACTTTGTGATCATATCTTCCGGTGCACTTGCCGGCACAGACAGCGGCCCTTCTGTCATACCCCATGCCGGAAGCCCAGTTAACATCTCTAGCACAACACAGCCCAAGGCCCATATGTCGCCGGGAGTTTCTTGCAGGCCTTCCTCTAGCACCGCTTCTGGCGGCAAATACATAGGAGTACCCCTCCACAAAGCCTCCTGCCGATTCAACTTCTTCTTCTTCTTCGTGTTACTCTGTTTTTTCTTGTATCTTTCCATTTTTTTGGCTAATCCAAAATCGCAAATTTTTGCCCTGAATTCCAACCGACAATGCCTATGGCTCCTGGGGACAAGCAGAATGTTCTCCGGCTTTAGATCGCAATGGGCGTAACCCGCTCCATGAATAGTGATGAGTCCTTTGAGTATGGATCTCGTGTACCACCTGACGTCATATTCCGGTAAGCCCTTTCTCCCCGAGTCAATTATCTTCTGGGCTAAACTTCCGCCGGAACCGTATTCCAAAAGCAAGTTATAAACCGGAGACCCGTCGAAGCTGGCCGTGATTTCCTCTCCCAAACATTGGATCACGTTGGAGCACCCAGCAGATTACTTAACACTTTCTTCTCATATTTGAGCCATTCAGAACGTGAAAGCTTGGATGATTTTACTGCCATCGTAAAAGGTCTGATTACGGGATCTTTCATCGTAGCGAAAAATACTGATCCGTACCCGCCTTTACCAAGCAACCCGCCTCGAATCCATGAAACCCCGTCTCCGTAACTCTGATGATTTCCAACGTTGTTGGCATCGTCTTCATTGCCCTTCATCTCCATTAATTTATTTTTTCTCTAGTAAAACGTCTCTTCATCACACCGTCAAAAACTAAACCTGTCTCTTCTTTTCAGTTTCTCTCTGCTGCTAATTCTTGAAAGATGAAGAATAGTACTCATGATGCGATTGTATCGAGAAAGGGTTGCCCTGAATTTAAATACCCAAGTTTTTTTTCCCTGCTCCTATTCGGAAAAGGGATTTCCTGGGAGTAGTATATTTTGGGGTTGATTCCCTTTCTTGAATCCTATTATTTGGTGAGGATTGATTTTCAATAGAATTTCTGCCTATTGATTCATTCAGTACAAAGAGCGGGAACCGGACTTTAAATGATCGGAGTAACTTTTCTGAGATTTTAAGGGATCATCATCGGCGGGCTTTTCAAGTGTATCAGGGTAACATAAGGCCCAAACGCTAACCCATTTCTTTTTCTTTGTAACAATAATCACAGTTCTAGGCCAATAGAGCAAGTAACCTTGACTTGTGGCCATAAAAGTCACGGAATAATTTAAACAGGGTTCGTGGAAGGCTTACACGACATCTGTACAAACATGGCAAATGTTAGACCCCATATCTCTTTCTGAATTTGGCGCCCAACCAAAACCCAAACCCACCAGCCTGCTGACCAATCACGCAGCGGAAGAAATTCGCTTAGCAACATACCAAGAAAATCATTTCAAGTCTCAATCACTTGTAATTTTATTACTCAACATAAAACTTACCAGAGATTCACGTCTCAAATGAGACCAGAAACCTAACTCTAGGCTCTCATTCTCCCAGCCAATAATTTTCCGAACTTGGCTATTATCACACACAAATCTACTTTTGGGTTAGACTTCTCCCCCAAACTCTCAAAACTCAAGGCATTCTTACATGTTGCCTTCTCTGCCTCTCTCTTCTCCTCTCTCTCCCGTTTTTAGCTACACTACATCTCTATAAATAGGGATGATGTAGTTGACATTCCCCAACTACCTAGGATAAAGAATGAAACACAAATTAAATGGCTTACAAATGCAAACTACTAAAATAACTATCCACTAAGCAGCTTGTAACTAATTTGTTACCGCCCACTCTTTTTCATTCAGCCTTTTTTTACTTTCTAGCACACGTTCAAGCCACTTCCAATTCGTGATTCAAACCATCAACACTTCCTAACAATCCATCTTAGCCACCCAACAACACTTTGTAAGTATCATCTCAAAGAAAACTCATAGACAATATTTTACAACTTCAATATGAAGCAGGCCGCACCTGACAATATCAATCCGCAAACTACTTACTGAAAAACCGAGAAAAATCTACTTGATTGAAACTTGAAAACCCGAGAGAAATCTACTGATTGAAATCTGAATCAGCCTGCTTGTGAGTCTGATGTATAGATTTTGTAACTGTTCCTTTTTTCTTTTCTTTTTTTTTTCTTTTTTTTGGTTTTTCAAAGTTAAGTTTTATTCAAAAAGAAAATAAAAAAAGCTATGCTCCTTCTAATTTTAAAAATGTAATCCATTTTACTGAAACTAAAAGAATATAATAAGATGAATCGATTTTTTTTTTTAGACGAAACGAGTAGTATTAATTTATTGAATGAATAAACAGTGCCACTTTTGTGATCTTCTTGGTGCTATTTTGGTCCAATCCATGCAAAATGACATATAGGAACTCAGACAATGACTTCACAAAAACTATGGATGTACAAATCGCTGCAGAGAACATGGCAAGCCTTGATCCCTGATAGCAACAACACACAAACACAAACTCTACATCCATGTTCTTATATGTACAATTCCCTTAGAGAAAATCCCAAATTTTATTGTCTGAGCTTCTTTTGCACCAACTCTAGCTCAATTTTATTAGATGTAACCCAAAAAAAAAAAGAATTTATTAAGATATGATAACCAAGCATTCCAAACTTGATGGAGTAGAGAAAGTACTAACAATACAGTAATGAAGAGTGTACGTAGTACATGGAATCCATCGTATATATTCCAGGAATATAAAGGAAATGAAGCAAACTGTTGATCCCTGTGACCACTAAGTTAAGTGTTCACACATTGAATGGTTTAGAAGAAGAGAGCAGAAGGTTGGATTCCTTTGAGAAAAAATTAGATAAAGAAAATTTTTTTTAGTAAGTATATTTCATTACACTTTACTTTGGAACCAAGAACTCACGGGAATTCCCTCATTATTTCTTCCTTTCAGTTCATGCCTTCTAACTTTTACTTTACTTCATGACATAAAACACCAGCCCTTGCCAACCTTACCACCTCTCCTTTCTTTCTGGAAAATTTTTTTAATTATCAATTTTCTTTTGTTCTTTGCTGTATGGATATTCATACACACCCTTTTTTGTTCCCCATTTTTTCACCATGAAATCTTCCCACTACCCTTATCTGAATCCTTCTCTGTTCTTCTGTTTCTGGTGTTTCAAAAGCTTTTTTCTATAGTAATTTGCGTTTTTGTTGGTTTTTGTTGATCACTTAAACATGCAAAACTCTTTGAATGGAGAACTCTGTTTTGGGCTACCTTTATCTTTCATCCTTACATCCTCATGGTTAGTTGTTATCTACATGAAGAATAAGCAGATCCAACTTGTGATCTCTGTGGAGGACTCATGTTTCTGAATCAGTTCATGCATTTCTTGAAGTCAATTCATACTTTCAGAAGGAAAGAAATGTTTCTTGTTAATACTGAAGAAGATTATAATGAGTTGTTGGTAGAAAGGCTGCTTTTTTGAAAAAAAAAAAAGTGAAGAAAGAAGAGAGTTGGTGAAAGGTGTCTTCTTCTTATATAAGATGGCCTTTTCCTGTTTTAATCATAGTAATCCATTTAGGAAGCTGCTGCTGAGGAAGTCTGGGAATAGACAGCCATTATCAATTCCTTCATCCTCTTCCAGGACACAGTTAAATATGCTTGATATCGACAACATGGAGAGGAAGAGATTTGACAGTTTAGAGTCATGGTCAATGATATTAGAGTCTGATAATGTGGAGAGTTGGGAAGCATCCAAGGAAGATCAGGAGGAATGGACGGCTGATCTGTCTCAGTTGTTTATAGGCAACAAGTTTGCATCAGGGGCACACAGTAGGATTTATAGAGGGATTTATAAGCAAAGAGCCGTAGCAGTGAAGATGGTCAGAATTCCAACACATAAGGAGGAGGTTAGAGCTAAACTTGAACAGCAATTCAGGTCTGAAGTTGCGTTGCTTTCGCGCCTATATCACCCCAACATTGTGCAGGTAAATTACTTAGTAATTTGTCTTGTGACTTTGTGTGGTGAAATGAAATAGATTAAGGAGTGTTTATATGACACAAATGAGCATTAATTCTCGATAAATTTGTGTCTTTAAATGAAGAAAGTCCTGTCAATGTCATAAGTTACGCCATTCTGCCCTCAACTAGGAGTATTTTAAACTGCAATTCTGCTTGCCATATACTCTCTCTATCCCAGAAAAATAGTCCACATTGAGTTTTAAGATTTATAAAGCCTTGATACGCTCATTTGAAATACATAGGCATGTTAACCTGAGATACTAATTGCAAATTGGAAATTTTCTGAATCACATACATCCAAAAACAAGTTAGATAAAGTACCGCCCGAAGCGATTAATAAAATCCTCAATCGATTTGGAAATATATAGGATGAGTTCTTAACTAGTAAGGGCAGCTAATCTTGATTAAAAAAAAAATGCATGTTAGTCTCGTAGACTCTGCAATGATACAAAATTCATCCGGTGAAATGGTTCAGTGACGACGTGCCACAAATGAAAATCCCCTTCTCTAGACTCTCTAAAGTCTAAATTAGTCCTCAAATTTACTGATAAAAAAGTTGGGGATTTAGCAACTAATGCGAGTATGACGGTTTTATACCTTTCAGTTCATTGCAGCTTGTAAGAAGCCACCAGTGTACTGCATCATCATGGAGTACATGTCACAGGGGACCCTGAGAATGTACCTCAACAAGAAAGAACCATATTCCCTCTCAATCGAAACCATACTCAGATTAGCCCTCGACATCTCCCGAGGAATGGAGTATCTTCATTCCCAAGGGGTGATACATAGAGACCTGAAATCAAGCAACTTGTTACTCAACGATGAAATGCGGGTTAAGGTTGCGGATTTCGGGACATCTTGCCTGGAAACCCAGAGCCGGGAAACCAAAGGAAACATGGGGACGTATCGATGGATGGCACCCGAGATGATCAAGGAGAAAGCTTATAGCAGAAAAGTTGATGTTTATAGTTTTGGGATTGTTCTTTGGGAACTCACCACAGCTTTGTTGCCTTTCCAGGGTATGACTCCTGTCCAAGCTGCATTTGCTGTGGCTGAAAAGGTTAGTCCTTTTTGCCTTTGTGCATCCCTCCTCATTTCTTCTATTGTAGGTACATTATCATTTTACATTCTCAATTATTCCCACAAAAATTGTGTCAGAAAATACTAGTTGATGCATTTTACTGTCTCCATCCTAATCTTAAAGCATAAATAAGATTGGGTGGGAGGATTAGGAGATTACATAGAAATGGTTATTATTATGAGGTCCACAGTTCAATTCTCACTAAGATTATCTAATTAGTATATTTTTTAAAAATAATAAATAAGATTATATGGGAATAGTATGAGACAAATCTCTACTCGTGTAATCGATTCTTTTCTTTTCTTTACTTTACTTAAGGGTAAAGATTCATATTTTCTTAAATGATTTATTTGTTTTGATCCATCATACTACAACTACTCAGATAATAAGATGAAAAGAGTAATAAGGAGAAGAAATGTAGCGCTTAGGACAAGAAATTGTACTGGTGAAACAGAACAAGAATACCCAAATTGTGCCTAATAATTAATACTCCCTCCGTCCCATAATAATTATGCAGTTTTACCAAAATGAAAGATTTTATTTTTGTTCAAAATTAACTATATTTTACCTTAAACAACTGGATATACCCCTACATAAGTAATTGTTTAACCATTAAGATTTTATGGATAATGTTTTTTACTAAGGACAAATGTGTAACTTGATGTACAAAAAGTCAAATTGGACAATAATTTTAGGACAAAATTTTTTAGGCAAAATGGACAATAATTATGGAAATGAGAGAGTATAACTTGTACCTTGCTAATTCGTGTCACATGTATTTTTAATTTTTTAAAAAAAAGAAAAAGAAAAAGAGAACTGTGATGAATAATTCCCTCTAATTAGGGGAAAGGAGAATTTTTAGAACTGGTTTTTGTGGTGCAGAATGAGAGGCCACCGATGGCAGCGAGTTGTCAGCCGGCGTTAGCCCACCTCATAAAGCGGTGTTGGTCGGCGAATCCAAACAAGCGACCAGATTTTAAAGACATCGTGACGGCGTTAGAAAAGTACGACGAATGCGTGAAGGAAGGGCTGCCGTTAACGTTACATTCAGGGATAGTAAGCCGCAGTAATTTCATTCTTCACCGCTTAAAAGGATGTGTTTCCTTGACTACTTCTTCCATACTTGTACATGCCTAATTAAACCCCCCACAAACAAATATTTGTTTTTCCAAACTATTTCTGTAATATAGTAGTAGTACCAGTAGCAATATTAGTTTGACAAAGCTTATTTCATTAATTAAATTGTGTCTTTATAAATATTTTATAAAAGTTGCTTTCTAACTTTGGTCAGTAGATGGTGTTGCCACATTAGTTGATGTATGAAACCACAAAATGATACTCTTTCGTTCCAAAAAAAATAATCTAAACTCAATTTTGTAATTTATATTAAGATGAAGTTAATAATTTATGTAGCAATAAAAATTTGAAGTGTACTATTACTTGGACGAAATTGATGTTTTGTGTAGCAGCCGGAATTTATGTAGCAATAAAATTGACGGTTTGAAGTTAATAATTTATGTAGCAATAAAATTGACGGTTTGCATCAATCAGAAATAATGAAGTTTTTTTTCTTAAAAAAAAAAAAGAAAGATATGAATCCTAATTTTAGGTTAGGAAGACGGATTTAACGAAGGGGCTTTGTCCAATCTATGTGTTGAACTGTTCTGATCATCAACCATCTTTTAATTAAGGAGATATTGTTTCCTTTGTCTCGGACTTTCACAGCGTCATTTTTCCTTATTTTATTTTACAAACATATATAGATTCAGTTGGTTAGGTTTGAGGTAGGCTAGAGTGAAAACGATATTCACACACTTAACCAGTTAATATAATTATAGTATATACTATTACAACTTATGGTGACACATGACGGATGATTATAATTAGACTTGATAAAATAATAAAACTAGATGTTAGACCCGTCCGATGGACGGGGAAGGCATACACATTTAGACATTTTTACATAAATTTTGTATTTTTATAAAATATGTAATGATTTCAGTTTTAAATATGATTACCTCTGAATTTACAGGAATTTATTTTTTTTAAATGACATTTTAAATTCACTGGTGATAAGATTTATGCAGATCTCTCTAAAATTTGTTAGGATTTGGTACTCTTTCCAATCAATCTCTATGTTAGGATTCGGTTCATGAAAATAAGGGTTCGGTTTTTATTATTTTGTTTTTTTAAAAAATTATTTTAGTTGTTTTTTGTTGTTTTATTATTTTGTTTTGTGCATTTTAAATCCTATGTGGCATGTGCTCCATGCCTTTAGTTTTATCTCTCGTACTCCGTTATAAAATCAAAGTGAGACGTTGACTGCATGTAAAGGTTTTTTTTTTTTTTTGTGGCCCTGTAAAAATTAAATTGTAGTACTACAATTACATTAGGAAGAGAAACTTATATCTCATTCACCAGTCATGACTCACAATTGGAAGAACTGTGGGCAGCCTCATGAGTCATGATTTTAATCACAATTACGACGTTATTGTTACGCCTTAATAATAATACTCCTAGGTCAAAAGACTCAAAACATCTTCTTTTCCTTTTACGTTTTGTAGAGAGAGACAGAGAGTTTGATCTCATTGCTAGCTAGTTTTCGGTCAGTGTCAGAGACTCGTTCCCCATAGGCCCTTTTTCTTTTCCAAACAAAATAATTATTACAATTTCACCACAAGAAAAAAAAAAACAAAAACAAAAAAGAAGACACAATATGAAGATGATATGAATCACATGTATACTTGATGATTTTTCACGATTCCGAGGTTGAATTAGCCCCAGGAAAAAAAAAACCAAAAAAAAAAATCTATTGTTGAAGTAAAGCAAAATTCAGACGGGCACCAATATCTCTATTGAGTGAATTTTGTTTAGAACTTTAGATGAAAGCTTTGACCCTTGACCTTGACTGATTCCTTTCATGATGCCACGTTCATTTGGCGGGGGAGTCACTTGGCTACACTGACCAACTCAGTCAAATCAACACACTTTGGACTTGTACAGTTGAAACAAAATGGCAAAATTAACGTCAAAATGACTCCCTTTTCTTGACTCGGTAATCACATTTGTTACACAAATTGGAAAATTCTTCCAACTTGGGACTTTATCTTAATTTCTTCTAGCAGGTAGCAAAACTTATAATCAATCCTTTTTCTTTTTTTTTTTTCTTTTTTCCTAAACTCTCGTCGCCTGAAATTGGGTAAATAAATGGTGAAAAGACTAAGTATTAATCATTTTGCATCGTGTTACAGATAATAAATAATTTACTAATCATTTTAAACCAAAATAATAGTCTTACTCGTTCCATTGAAACAATTTCGATGTATCGGCTTTGTATGTTAAGTGTTAACATGTCAACATACTTTTTTTAATTTTTTAATACACTTTTTTATATTTTTAATACAAAAAATATCTAAAAACATATATTAAAAAAACGAAACACACGTACCCTCACATATCCGAGGCAGGCAGGAACCCATGAATTTGGAGCCATGGAAAATTCTCAAGAATATTTGGACAAATGTATGTATAAATTAAAGGAAAAAGAGAATGAGATGCCCTTCTTTTTGAGCGTTGAGGAGGAGGGAGAATATCTGAAAATTAGGAGCAAAAACAATAGGCTGATTTGTAGTACTAGTGAACAGAAGAGAGAGAGGCTTCTGACTTCAGAGTGGGTCTTTTCACTAAAATTGAGCAAAGTGTCCTTTGCTTTAATCGAAGCCTCACCTCACTTTTGCCGACCTCGGCTTTGTCAGACAAACGAACCCAGACAAACCGACCCGTATTCCCATATTCCCTCTCTCATCTCCCCGAAATTTTACTACTAGTAGTATTTTATTATTCTTTTACTAGTAGTTTTTAACTTTATCTCTCCGTGGTCACACCACTTTTTGTTACCGTTATTTATCTGTTTACATCTGATTTTGTTCGTGCGTTAGAGAAAAATGACGGTGTTTGATTTACTTAAAAGACTTTCCAATTTAAACGTAACATCTCTTTACTCCATCCGTACCGTCCTCATCGACTTCCCATTTAGTAGATTAGAGCTAAGCTAACAAACCTATTCATGCTAAGGACAGTGCCACAATTCTATCTCCAATTTGCATTGAGCTTAATTTTGCTTTATGCGCTACAAAACAAATTGTTTACATTATCCAGGGATAAGTTATCTTTTGCTAATACCCAAATGCACAAAATTCGTGCATGAATCCTCTAAACTGAGAAATCATATTTACTAGTAAGTACTAGTAGTAGTATATTCATTGGGGAAATAAGGTGCAGGGAAATTTAGGAGCAAAAGAAGCACAATCAAACATGCCTGTCTGCCAAGATTTTTGGGGGAAAGCTCCATCACTCATCCTCCCCAAACAAACATATATAATCCTCCTCAGTTCCCCAAAAACTCCCTAAAGAAAACAGTCCCATTCAACAAAGCCCCGCAAAATAACCCCCTTTTTTTTTTTTTTTATTTGAAACAGTCTAAGCAGAAACTAGCTCACTACTCAGTAGTAATTCCAAAATCATATCCAACCAAGAAATCAAATTTTCATTTTCAAGTGATAACCACAATTGCATCAATTGAGAACCAGGCCATGCATCTTGTTTAATTGTTTCATTCTTTTGTTCCTTCGGCTTTTCCAAGTAAAAGAGTTGGATCGACATGAAAACCGGAAATGCAGCCAAAAATTCGTATTCCGCATTTGACTGCATTTTATTGGCATGTAATAGGAATTTCCGGGAAGAATCAAAAGGCAAAGATGGTAGCACTGTAGCAGTACTAGTATGAGTAAGAAATCTGAAATCCTATTCAGATTCAAAGGAGACGAGACGACATTTCTGAACGACAGATTAATAAATTGTACGCAATGCAACTTTGAATACGTTCACGCCACTTTATTAAAATTTGACTAAACATGTCAACCCTGTGCTCAAAAAACAGCAGTCTTTCTTGAGAAGTCCTAAATCAAACAAACTCATTTCTAGTTCTCAAACATCAGTTTAATTATGAATGTTAAAGGCTTAAAGCCACAAAAATCAAACAATCTTCAAGGTGGCAACAAACCGATAATGAAAGATGACTGAAAACCCAGAATCATATTTTTTACATCATCTTCAAAAACGCTATCAATTTTACATAGCGATAACTCAAAAGGAACAAATTAAAGAACACCCAACCAAAAGGTTTCACGGGGAAAAAAAGAAGAAACAAAGAACAGACAAACTTCAATTGAATTACTTTCCTGGCTTAACAAACAGGTTGCTGAAGTAAAACCAACCTCTTTTCCTAATCCTGTCCTGTATTATTATTTCTTCAATTCCACATGCCCCAAATTTTCTCACCTAGAAAACCCATAAATCTCCTCACAGAAGTCCCTTCTCCGCCTTCCATTGAACTGCCATCATCACTACTCTCTCCGCTGTTCTCCACCTCATTAACTTCCTCTTCCATTGCAGGGGTACTACCACCACCGGTCGCCGGTAACGGCAGCAGCTCAGAACTAATATTTTTCTTCATTACTGCTTGTTGCCCTGTTTCATGGCCATTACTTTTCACCGGAGACCCTTTATTGTTCTTCTTCCTCTTCTCCTTCTTGGTCTTGCCCTTCTGCACGGCCGAAGAAGACGAGCCCTCTTGTTCAAAAGCATCAATAATCTCATGTATGAGTTGGCGATTGGGGGAGGAATCCCACCTTATCCAGTAGCTCATGTAGCACCCAAAGCAATAACAGTTGAAGGAAGCGGGATGTTGGTCAGTTTTAGTACTCCGTCGGGCACTCTGACTCGCGGCGGCGGAGGCGGAGGGGGAACTATTGCCGTAACTATTGTTACCACTAGAGGTATTGCTCCGCCTCTTGGCGCTGCCGTTCGGGGTTCCGGCGAAGGAGGAGGAGGAGGAAGAGGCGCAAGAGATAAGATAGGCCAAAACTTCTCTGTCTTGTGGGGATAGAGCAACAGCCAGAGTCAAAATGGTTGGCGGCAGAAAAGCAAGAGCAAGGGTGTTGTCTGATGATGATACCAAGGGCGGTGGGGACGGATGAACAGTGCCTTTTCGGTAGAGTTTCTTCATGACGGTGGTGGTTGGCGGAGGTGTTGGACGGTGGTTTTGGGGGAAAATGTATGGAGTGGAGAGGGTGGAGAATAATGAAAGGTGGGAGAAGCGTATGGGAGAAAATATAGAAAATTACTACACTACTAAGTATCAAGAATTTGAAGGGTATAGTCGTATAAAGAGATTATAGAGTGAAAATTGGGCATGGAAAATAGCAATTTATTTATTATTTTTTTATGTTGGTTATTGTGAGGGTTGATTCATTTGGGAAGATAAATAGGTAAATATTCTCAATGAGTGGTATTGTTTGGTAGGTAGTGAAAATTAAATAAATTTTGCATTTACTGAATTTTTTGCGTAAATATATATTTTTGTAAAAGGAAAAAAATAATATCAGCAATGCGAACCTAAAATCTCGAGTTTAAACTTCGCCTGCAAGTTAAGAAACAAATTAAAATTCTATAAAATAAACGGTTTATAATCAGTTACACTTATAGTTCATCATTTGTATTAAATATTTGTACAAATATCGACGCATTTTTCTATAAATATACATTCTTAAGATTCGTTATACTTATAATTCATCATTTGTACTAAATGTTTGCACTGATACGGACGCAAGTTTGGCAACCGTTTGTTTGAAGACAACTTTGACAAATATTCTCGTAGTGAGCGATGAGTGATATTTTTTGGTAGGTAGTGAAAAATTAAATAAATGTTGTATTTACTGAATTTTTCTGCGTAAATATATACTCCCTCCGTCCCATAATTATTGTCCACTTTGCCAAAAAAATTTTGTCTCAAAATTATTGTCCAATTTGACTTTTTATGGATCAAGTTACACATTTGTCCTTAGTAAAAAACATTATTCATAAAATCTTAGTGGTTAAACAATTACTTATGTAAGGGTATATTCGGTTGTTTAAGGTAAAATATAGTTAAGTTTGACCGAAAATAAAATCTTTCATTTTAGTAAAATTGGACAATAATTATAGGACGGAGGGAGTATATTTTTGTAAAAGGAAAAAGATAATATTAACAATGCGGACCTAAAATTGAGTTCAAACTTCAGATGCAAGTTAAGAAACAAATTAAAACTCTATAAATAAACGAGATTCATAGTAAGTTACACTTATCGTTCATCATTTGTAATAAATATTTGTATAAAATATTGGCACATTCTTCTATAAATACACACTGTTAAGAGTCGTTATAATTATATTTTATCATTTGTACTAAATGTTTGCACTGATATGGACGCACTTTTGGCGACCGTTAGCATGGCTAGACAACTTTGACAAATTCCAACCTCGGATAATTGACAAATTAAATTAAAAAATACTTTATAAGAATTTTGCACCATGTTTCAACTTACAAATGAATTGAATAAATAAAATCACTTAAAAGTAATAGAGAGTCGTAGGTGAAGAGATTCAAACCCCATGCCCAAAGAAAGTTACACTTTGGAGTGACCATAGCGCCAGATAAGTTCAATGGAAAAGATGAAAGCTCCCTTCAATGCTAGTCATTAGAGATTCGAAAAAAAAAAAATAGGAAAAAAAAGCTGTATTTATGCGCCTATTAATCTATAGAAGGGTGAGTACGAAAAAGTGGCGAAAGAGTTACACGTCGTGGTGAAATTCGAAATAGATCAGGAAATTACCGGATCTGCTTTTCAAAGGTTGAGAATTGTCCTTTCCTCCTCCCAAGTCCCAATGCCCAAAACTTGGTAGAAAACTAGTAGGCCTAACTTAACGAATGGGAGGGTGTTTTGGTCCTAATAAATTTATTATACAATAGTCTTATTATTACTATCACGTTTTGCTCCAACAAAAATCATCTCTCCTTCCTTTTCTTTTTTTTGCAATTTTCTTTCGTAATCGCAAAGTATAATCACTGTAAGTATTAGTATGTGCTCGTTTGAAATAACCTCCTATTTTTTTGTTCAACAACAATTCCTTTTGTCCACTTTTTTTTTTTTTTTTTGTGTCCACTCTATTAGAAGGGATTCACGAATAAAACCTATATAGAAATCACATAGAACAGGAAATCAAACTGGAGATATGCAAAAGGACACCGAATCTTATCATATGTAGTGAGGAGGAACAAAAAGAAAGTCATAAACTATGCGTAAATGGGTAGGAGAGCACGAGCCCCTCGAGAACTCAGAAATGCTGAATGCCCAAAATGATCAGCCTTTTTTGTTTGTATGATTTGTCTTGTTGAACAACTTGGAAGCCCTTGAATATATTTGATATTTCTTCAGTAAACAATGAGGGGCAAAAAAAAAAACACACTAATTTCATCATCGCGCACAACATTAACGTCCGCAGTAGGCTTATGAGCGACGAAAGTCTCATTCTGGAGGACTGGTACAAATAGATATATAAGGTCATCATTTAGTCCAGCTCATCTACTTTGCCTGGCAATGACGCAGCACAAAACGATTAAGGATGAACTAGGATCAACATTTCAATTTATCATACAAACATATATGCATGAGTTCACATGGATAAGCACTACTGTTTGCACATAGTTGATTGTGCTTCAAATTCTAAGAGTTTGATTCATTCTATTTATGCTGTGATAATCTTAACAGTCATTTTGTATACACCACAATCCGATATGATCTAAAATCCCTTCCGATGGTGTTTAGATGGTAAAGTGGATCATCAAACCTGAGGGGTTTCAGGAAGAGCTCTGCAGCCGAGTTTTGATCCATGATTCAAGGTGAAGTAGCTCCTCACTTGTTATTGAGTGACCTAGACCAGGATAAGCCTGAGAAACAACCAAATTTGTTTTCTTCATTTTCTACGAAATGCAAATCAAACATAATAGCACAGTTCAAGAAAGAAAATGCTGTATGCACCTTGAATTCACAGCTTACTCCCACTTTCTCAAGGAACGGTGGACCAGCTTGCCCAGCTTCAAAAAGTACTGTTCTGTCATCCATACCATGTGACCATAACAGTGGTGTCTGCATGTTAAGCAAAACCCGAGAAACCCTTAATGAAGGAAGATAAAATCTTCACAGGCTTAATGCAGTTTTGACGAGCTGACGATCACCAACAAGGTTCTGAGTTTTCATTGTTCATTGGTTTGTTCCAACTTTGCAAGTTTTTTGGGGGAAAAAAAAGAAAAAAAAAAAGCCCATAGCAAGTTGACATAACAAAATTTCAGTATAAAACACGTTGAGTTGATTACGGTATTTGTGGCATCGTATTGACGACAATATGTATTAAAAACTCCCACAACAAATGCCAAGTCAAAGCCCCTTTTAAAAGGAAAGAAAAACAAGGAGGATATCACATTTTAATGGACATGACATGGTCTGATCAGTATAATTTTGATTTCGCTATTCCAGTCTATAGAGTAATTAGCCTTAGCCTGGAATAAAGGATAGGAACACATTTATTTGACTCAGTGAAGCACAGGCTGAAAGCATTACCTAGACTAAGTATGTTCTCTATCTTACTCTAAAACAATGGGAAAAGCAGAAGAAAAGACTCTGCAACCAGAAATTTATAATTTAGCAAATTGGAGCAAGAACCTTTTTGGCTTCGGGTTTGATTTGTTCAGTTATAGAAGAAGAATTAAACGGAACCCATCCACTGAAGACAGCACCTCCTCCAAGAGTTCTTGGATAAAGCAAAACACTTGCCAGCGTCAAGGCACCTAAAAACCTCACGAGTATGTCCACATATAGTAATCTGTAATAAAATACACCTAAAGCATACATTGAGCTAGCCTCTGAGTGTGCACAGTGTTACATAGAGAGAGAGAGAGAGAGAGAGAGAGAGAGAGAGAGAGAGAGAGAGAGAGAGACCTCCTTGACTAAATCCACATACAAACACATTGTTTGGATCTGTTCCATTAGCAATCTCCTTGTCTATCATGGCATGAACATTCTGCACAGCTTTAAGGACACCACTTTCATCTTTAGGAGAATCCTGCAATGGAGTGCATAAATTACAAATGTAAACGTGGCTTGCCTTGACATAGAATGCATTCCTCAATGCAAGAATCGTAAAACTTTAAGAAACAGGGAAACAGATTGTAAGAAGCATAATTCTTTTGAGAAAAACAGTACATAATTTCATCCAAATAAATCCTATAAAGGAATTCCTAAAGGATTAATGGGTTTATCTTCACTTGATGTTCAATATCCAAAACACTGGAAAATATTGAAAGAGAACTGTCTTCCATTGCCAGGAAATTTATATTTCAGAACACCTCAACCTTACACAAGAGGCCAAAATCCATGCACATCACTTGCAACAATTAACTATATCAGGAAAATTACTTACTGAACTTCATCAATTGACAACAACATTAACACAAAATCATACTAATTTCATAGCTACCCAAATTTGAAGTTGTGAAGCAAATATAACTCCAAGAAAAAAAAGGTAAAATCCAACTTACAGCTGCCACTGGAATCTCATGAATGTCAAACCATGAAGGCATCACATGACCATCTACAGAAACAGTATTCAAGAATAACACACAAGTCCAGATATTAGTAAGGGTAATAATAGTAAAGATGCATAATGAAACAGCACAATACAACACCATCAAAATCTGTTTTCATGCATTTTTCAGACGACACAACTTAGATGATCATCAACTACGAAATCAAAGAGCAAATAGATGCACAAGAGGTGCAACATCTGAGCATCATACCAAAGAAGTGAACAAAAAATAAATCCCTGGGGACGTCCTGATGTTACAATCAAAAGTCAAGACCAGAAAATCTTTAGCCATTCCATATCTTCTCAGAGGCTAAACACATGGCCGATATCCAGATTCTATCATATGTTGAAAAATATGACCGCAATTGCAAGCATGATTTCTCCAAAAAAAAAAAATACAAACTTTACAGATTACTGCCAGTTTCACGACTCATGAGCTCTCGAAATTTCTCATATAGCCGTTTTAGAAGTTGGTAACTAAACGATAATGTCAGAAATGCTTCACTAAACATGAAGAAACAGAGTAAACCGACAAACGATGAAAACCAAATAAAGAGTAATTTGCAACATTTCCGTTCCATATTAAAATTCCCCTTTTTTCTCAAAAGGGGTATGGAAAAATAGGGAAAACCCGAAATGTAAAAATCATCAAAATTAATTCATGAAAAGTCAGTCCCTTTCGTATTCAATTTTTACCCATGAACTCAACTAAGGCACGGCATTCGTCACAAAATAAAACCGAATTATTCAAAAAGGCCATTACCAAAATCCAACATAAAAGAACAAGTAACTTACAATTACAAGTGACCGGATTGAAAGGGGCAGAAGGGAAAGACCAAACGGCGTTCTGGAACTGAGGGGAAGTGAAGAGGGTTTTGATGGGTTCATTTGCAGGGCCCGAATCGCCCAATCCATGAAGCCACAGAATGAAGGTTCGAGACATGATCCGGGCAGGGTTTTTTCCTATTCTATACGGGTTCGGGTCGGAAGAAATTAGGCGAACAACAGCTACGGCGAAGATAACGGTGAATGTGAGAAGAACCAATGGCTTCAACAACAGTTTGGTTAACGACGACGACGACGACGACGACGAAGAAGAAGAAGAAGAAGAAGGAGAGGAAGAAGACGACGACTTCATTTCAATTCATTTTAAAAGCTAGTAGTAGTATTACGTTTCATGCCAAACCACGCTTTCAATAGATAATCGAAGGCAACGAATTAATTACGCATTTGACGATCCGCTGTGCGTGGTATATAAAGGGAAAAATTGGCCGATCTAGCCAAAGTTAACATACGTCGTCAATTCTACCTTATTCTTTTTCAATTAGTCAATATTATCCTAAGTTAGCCAACCGTTAGCCGATTTTGTCCAATTGGCCAATTTCCGTTTAAATTAACATAATTCTGTTAGTTTTAATTATAAAAAATACCCTAATAGTTTTAAAAATTATAAAAACAACCCTAAAAATTTGTAAAAATAACCAAACAGTATTTTTACACTTTTTATTTAATTTTTTCTGTTTTCTATTTATTTTTATTATTTCTCATAACTATAAAAATATATTATATGATCTTTAAAAAAAAATATTTATTTTTAAAACTACTGTGCAAATTTATAGATATGTATATTTGTAACTCATGGTTGATTTACATAAACATATTAATTTTTTAATAATATAACTTGACAATAATAATATTAGTTTTTTTAATCCTTTTTTCAATTTAAAGAATAATATTTTTTTACCAAAAACCAATTTTTTACAAAAAAGTAAAACATTTAGCATAGATTAAAAATTAATATATTAGTACATTTTAATTTATTACAAATTGAACAAACAAACTATAGATTGTATTATCCGATTTAAAAATTACTAAACTAAAATATAGTATACAATCGAGTGTTTAGGATGTTGAACTTCATGATGGTAGATATAAGATTAATTCTCACCAAAGATTTTTAATCGGGAGAGAGATTTTATCCACATTTATGCATGGTTTACTAAAGGTGAGAGGGTTGAGTTAGATGGTCAGGTGATTTAAGATGGGAGATGATTATTAATGTGTTCGAGGCCTTAATTCTCACTAGGAAGAGCTTTTTTTTTTTAAGGTGGAGTCTAGTACAGGAGCAGATTTTTTTTATTATTATTAAAAAAAAATTTCCTGCTAAAGTTAGATATTAATATCTCAAAAAAATTATCACGAAATGTTAAACTCTCGCAATGATAGATATACATATTTTTTTATAAAATATTTTGTACTATTTTTTTTTTACTTTCTGTTTGTACTTAGCCTTTTAAAGAAAATGTATATTTTAGTTTAATTATTTTTTTAATTTTACAATACAATCTAAATTCTGTCGAATTGTATTGTAATAATACATTAAAGTATACCAAGAAAAAAAATTTAATCTATGTCAAATGTTTTATTTTATGTGCAAATTTAGGTTTATTTAAATAATCTTATTTTTTAGATTGAAAAAAACAGATTAAAAAAATAATATCATTACTGTTAAACCATATTATTAAAAAATTAATATGTTTATGTAAATCAACCATGAGTTACGAATATGCATATCTATAAATTTGCACAATAGTGTTTAAAAATAAATAGATTTTTTTTAAAAAAAGATTATATAATATAATTTTATAGTTATGAGAAATAGTGAAAAGAAATAAAAAATAGAAAAAATAAATAAAAAGTGAAACAAGACTGTTTGGTTATTTTTACAAATTTTTGAGGTCATTTTTATAATTTTCAAAACTAGTGGGATATTTTTTGTAATTAAAACTAACAGAATTCCGTTAATTTAAACGGAAATTGGCAAATTGGACAAAATCAGCTAACGGTTGGATAGCTTAGGGTAATATTGGCTAACCGAAAAAGAATAGGATAAAATTGACAACGCATGTCAACCTTTGGGTAGATCGGCCAATTTTTCCGTATATAAAGCCATTCAATTTTCTTCTTTTTTTTTTGAGTGGTTTTCTATGTGAAGAAAATAAAAATAACTCAAGAAAATAAAATAAATAACTAAATTTTTTTTTGTTTGTAATTTGGACCCCAAAAAAAAGGAAGTAGGAAATAAATAAGTGTTGCTTGTAAGATAATAGATTCGACGATTGTACTGGCTGAGGACTACAATGAAGAAAACCATTTTGTCTTTAATTTATTTTGTAACATGGTTTCAATTTAATGTCATCAGCAAAGTTATAAATAAATAAACTTGTGAATGTGGAACACGGTCAATGTATGCTACAAGTAGTTTGCATCTGCTAGACTTGGGAGGCTGATCAAATACTAATAGCTAAAAGTTGGTATACTTGATCCACACTATACCCGGATAGGGTGGCTAATATAATTTTGGTAGCTTCGCCTCCTACTCGGTTTTTTCTTTTCTTATTTTTTTCTTTTAATTTTGAAAATCACCACTCATATTATATAAGCTAACTAAAGAACAGAATTTGAGTACAAGCATTTTAATATCATCCCCCAAGTCCTTTTAAAAAAAACATGTAGCTTTTGTCACAAAAATGCAAAATGCTAAATTTTGATAATTTAACTATCCAATGAAGGTGTTCTCCAAATAATAGAGTAATTAAAGATCATTAGTACTTTTGAAACGGGGTATTCTAAATACTAGCGGCAAGATTCAAGCTCGTCAGAATCAGAAAAGTACACACCTTAGACTTTATAGTCATTGAACGGATCTCTCTGTCCTTGTAAAAAACCTCGAGGGGATTACTAGGAATGGTTTTTGCCTTTTTGGAACTGAAGTCTAAAGACGTTCCGCACTTCCGCTAATTAATTTATAATACTACCATATAGTATGATTGAATTGGAAAAACTACTACTAAAGAATAACATGATATATAACCTTATTAGCATCACATGATGCCAGAACCAGAAAGCATCAAAACCGCAAATTCTCGATAGCTAGTCTAGAGACACATAAACTTTTGTACAAGAGCTATTACGACGTAATACTAGGGGATCTACAGATCGGAAGCACGTTTCCGGCTGTCCTGATCTATTGGGCAGTTTCACTACTCCTTCCCAGCTTCCTCCTCCACCTCTACTTCTTCTTCAGCTCCCGCAGTCCTGGCCCTCCCCCCTTTGCTTCTTCCTGAAATATATATAGGAGCACATAAATCCATAATAAAATTTACCATCGGGGTAGTAGTTACACACTAACAACAATTCGACTGTGTTTATGTAAATTCAAAAAAAAAAAAAATGTCAAAAAAACATAATTAAATTCTCAGTTTTTATAAGAATGAAAATTCAAATTAGACGAGTTTTTATCAAGAATGAAAATTCAAATTAGACGATCACATGGGTAGAGCCAAGCCCCTACCCGGACAAAACTACTACATATAAATATTACTTGACAAAACAATATTTATTTTAAAATTTAAAGGTATAATTTTAGTAATACATTAAGGGTATTTAAAAAATTTTCAGTTGGGGCAACTCAATGTGGCTCCGCCACTGAACGATCATTTCGGGACGATGAAAAATCTAAATAGGAAGTGTGAACCTTGAGCAAGGTTAGCCTGGGCCTGAAGAGTTGTGCCACCAGTACCGCCGGGGACGACGGTTTCGCCACCATGCTGCACCCTTTCCTCCAACTCCCTCTTCTTTTCTGGGTCCAGTTGGTCCACCGCTTCCCTAGCCTTACTCTTATCCTCCAACTTCACCTGCTGTTCCGCCATTTTATCAATTTTGCTTTTTTGTTTTTCTGCTGCAGTGCTTGAGTTCGGTTCGAAATTCAGACCAGCTTCACTATGATCATCAGTTAACGTATATATAAGTACTCGGGGGATGCTAACTGGATTGTGTGCATGCTTCGGAGATAGGATTGCATGACACGTCCCCGGCCTTGGTCTCGGAGATAGCTTCCCACGATGACACCTACATTCTTTCAATCCTTTCTGTCATTCTTTTGGCACCTAGCTGCTGTAAAACAATGTACCTATTAATTTTTATTGTGTTTTCCTAATTATTAAGAAATAATTTTTTTTTTTTCGATTTAGAAAAATTTACAAATCATAATAAACTTATCCTAAGTAAAAAATACCTATCAACTTTTTTTCACGACTGAACCAAACTGATTAACACCGAATTTCAATGAAACAATATCTCAAAACTCACTGTATATTTTTTTTAAGACATAGAGACGTATTACTCCTTTTGAAATTATAAATTGTTATATTATATCTTAAATTTATACTAGGAATTAGTTCTAGGCATACACCCCAAATCTACATAGGTTTATAAAGTTTTCCTATCCTATTAGTTTTGTTACCTCATCTTATGTTTGGTTACTTATTACTTTTTGGATTAATTCAATCTTGTGTTTGTATATACAATGGGTAGTCATAAGATTGATTTTTAATTTTTCCTGACTAATTTTACTAGTCAACAAGATTTCTCTGCTTGCTTGTGACATATGCACGAAGGTCAAATTGACTGAACCAAATAAATACTGTGCTCGCATAATAAACCGAAATAAATTTGATGTAGTTGCTAATTAGACCCTTCTGGAATGAACCTCTAGGTCCTCCACTCTTTATTTCTCTCTTTTTGTGCTGAAAATTTTGAGTAATTTTTTTTTTTTGGTATATTACTAATCCGAATTTGAGTAATCTTTAATACAAAGTAACTCTTCCTTAAAAGTTAAAAGGTCAAATACAGTAACACGGATCCAATGGGCTGAACAGAATAACCTGTTCGGGCCGTTATATGCAGCAAACTTATGTCCTGAATTCGGACCACCTATTACTGTTATTAGCAACTAGCAAGCTCACAATGGCAAGACGAAAATGATACTCTTCTACGCACTAATTTCTTCTTCTTCTTCTTCTTCTTCTTTTTTCAATAAACTAAACTATTATATATACATAGAATAATGAATGAAAATCACTTACAATATACGTGTAATTATCTCGATAAGAGTTACCGCAATGTTTATTATTATTATTATTGTTGTTATAAAGATATCTAAAGTAGTGAAATGAAACAGTATTATTGGAGAAGGAAATAGTATTACTGGAGAGAGAAACTCTAAAACTGACCTGAACTTGTTGATTGCAAGGATGTTTCACAGTGACAATGACAATGGTTTTGCATTCATTCAACCCTCTAACTACCAACCGCATTCAGAGTTGTTACACTAAAAACTCAGCAAATTTATTTATTTGAGTAATAAATATAACGGAAATTTATATAATTTTTTTTTTATATAAGGATGGATATTTATTAAATCACGCTTTTCACATCTTCAACCCAACGTTTAGCTAATAAGTTAAGTTTTCATAATTTTGATTTAGGTTGCATCATCACTATAATTTTTCAAAAAAATTTCCTCATAGTATATCACTAATTGGATCGGATAATCCGATTAAAAGAGCACTCGACTGAACTTTCCTCTAATTATGATAGTTTAGAGACCTTTTACGCACTAATTTGCGCTGAGTTTTTTTAACCAAAAAAAAATAGCGTTTTCATTTGAAAGAAACTAACCACTTGATAATTACGGTAGAACTGATAAAAATCGTAAAGAAAAATAAATAGAACATTAAAAACCCTTTTCTTTTCTTTTTTTTTTTAATAATGAAAAACTTGGTCAGGTAGATAACGATAAGAGCAAGACTATTTTTTTTTTTAATACAGTACTTTTTCCTTTTTTTTTGGGTCAATATAGAAAATTTATTCTTTATTGAAAAATTGAAATAGTGGAAAAGGAGGAGAATCAGCAGCTCCAAACTCGAAAGTCCACGAACAGCCCATTTCAGTTCGGATCGTCGTCGGGAAAACTGGTGCTGAGATTTCATGGCAACTTCTAGACTCCACGCTATTTGGAACCACCCTGCTGGCCCTAAAACCAGTTTGTTTTCCGCTCCTTTCCCCCTTCTTTTCCCTTTTTCATGGAGGAATTTTTATTGCTTCAGGCTTCCAGATCTTCTTGTGATTTTTCCTTTCCTGTTTTGACTTTTTTATGCTGTTTGTGTGTCAATTGGTCTGTCTAATTGCATCAAGCTAGATTTTCTTTATGTTTGAAAAGATTGTTTTTATTAGGTGGATAAAGATTGAATTTTTGAGGGATTGGTTGAATTTGGGTTCGGTTTTGAGTTTATTGAGCTGGGCTGTTAGTAGCCCCGGGAAAAAAAATTTGGTTATCATCTCATTGCGAAGCACATATTGATAGAAGCATAAATGGCGTTGAATGATATGGTTAGAAGGTCTAAACTTTAAGGATGGCTTAAAAATTTTCAATATTTGTAACAGCTATTAGAGTCTGCTTCAGAAAGTAGAATTGAAGGGCAAATCTGCAGCTAGTATTTTGGCAGGATGACATTCTCTACTAAATCTGAAGGTTTGCATGATTCAATATTTTAGGAAGTGGTGGCGGAAACCTTTTTGCCTACTCCTGCTTTTGGGATCAAGTGCTGTAGGTGATTCATCACCTTCATTGCTCATTAAATTTGTGCTAAATGAGATGTGGAATTAGAAACTGAAAAAAGTAACCATCCTTTTTGGCATTCGTTCGGAAAAATGTCAACTTCTATTTGGGGTTTGCTAATGGTTGGTTGCGTTTATATTAAGATAAATGTTTTGACAAGATAGTTTTCTTTTACTTGTGGTCAAGAGGGTTATGCCCATGTCTTGAGTTTTGCAAACAGTGTTGACTGCAGTAAGTTACGTATCAACATGAGTATGCGTGGAGGATTTTCTTAGCTTCAATATAGTGGACTGAGATCGGTCCAGTGATTCAAAGACCTTGTATTCTTTTGATTAAAATGAAATTCAATGACTGTCACTTGCTAAAGGATGATTTTTTTTGTTGTTCTAGTTCATTTCTGGGCTCCAACTTTTAAGTGGGGAATTAGCATTGCAAACATTGCCGACTTCTCTAAACCACCAGAGAAGCTCTCTTACCCACAGCAGATAGGTATAGTGCCTAATGTTCTCTTTTTTCCCTCCCTAAATTCAGTTTACATGGAGATCTTTGGTCATGCTTAGCTATTACTACTTCTGATCTCACACACGTGCAACATAGCTACATGCTCCATTAGAGCTGCTTTTTCATTGTCATTTCATTTGTTCTGAAAATGTAGTTATTTTTTTGTATTGGAGTTTTCAATCTCTGGAAACATTTCTTTTGCTCTATTATTGCGTTCATTTATGTGTTCTCTTACACTTGTATTACAAATGTCCATCTCTGCAGCTGTTACAGCAACAGGGCTTATCTGGTCGCGCTACAGCACGGTTATAAAACCTGTAAGTCAGCTGTTGAAGTTGGAATCCTTCTCTTTTGGTCAACTTCGCTGTTAAGCTTTTACTGGATTTACTTGAGAGCTTCATGAGAAAAACAAGAATGGTGCATGTTTTTTTGTTGTTTATGGTTTTGTTGCCTTAGGATGTTCTGTTGAGGGTCAATTAAGAAACTCGAGGGGTTGTTTGTTTTTTTGGCTATGGCATCTGTCCATTGTAAATGGAGTAGGAAGAGTCATCATTGATAATTCTTTTAGCTTTTTGTTGTTAATGGACTAGAATGAAATGGCTTAGTTAAATTCCAGTGTTTCTTAATATTAGTCAAGTTGCTGGAAATCAATACATCAAATGCATGCATATTGGGTCACAAGGAAACCGCCTCTCTATATATTGTAATAAAGGGGAAAGGCTGCATACATTTGACCCCCCGGACCCCAGATTTGATGTTAGCCTTTGAGCGTTTTTGGTTTTTATTACCTTTGCTGGTTGGACAAATAGCCATGAATAGTTGAAGGAAAAAAGGGTACAATTGACCTGCAATTGAAATCATTAACAGTAAACACCAATTTTCTGATTCTTGTATGGAAAGAGGAAAGTGATTATCAAACCTTATTTTATATGTAAATTAAATGAAAAGTAGGCTGACTTTGACTTCTTGTTTGTTATTTACCCATTGATATTGCCTTCTTATGAGTTCTTACATATTTAATGCAATCTCATAGTACTTCTATTTGTTTGATTCTATATTGCAGAAAAACTGGAATCTTTTCAGTGTAAATGTTGCAATGGCTGGCACCGGCTTGTACCAACTCTCCAGAAAGATTAGGTTGGTTTCAAGTTCTCTAGTTAGCTAGTTTCTTTCTTCTTTTCTTTTGGGTAAGAGGTAATTTATGTTTCATCACCGAAATTGGTCCACAATCTTTTGTACATGAAAATGAGTCAAAACCTCCTATCTCTGGGTTATACAAAAGCAAAACTATACATGTGAACTGTTCAAGGTTCATGACATCAACCTGATGATCAAACACACCAATGTCCACAAAGTACCTCTGTCCACTTGGCCTTCGTAAAAGCAGCAGTTTGGCATCCTCTCCTTGGTTTCCTGTTTGATTTCAGCCACCACTCGCTCAACTGTTTTACGTTTCCCTTCGGATACTTGGTGACTATCTCCAAATATGGTAAATGCCTGCACTAAGAACAGCAAATAAATGGGCTTTAGGTTTTGCAACTGTAACCGATCCAGCAGCCTATCCCAAACCGCATTAGCATACTGAATGTGCCAAATAAATGTTCATTGGATCCCTAAGTATCAGAACATAAAACACACCTCAAATCAGGGATTTGATAATTCATTTTCTTGGTGCCATTGATCCTGGAATTCTGAAGTACAACCAACACTACTTTATCTTATTGATCGGTTACCTACCCCCTAATTCTTACCTATGAACCTTTAGTTTGGGGGTGGTGGAAGAGGGGTTATGTTTTGGAACTTTCTTTGTTTGATGTGGCACCATACATTTTATTTAACTAATTCTTCACCTTATTATCAGGCATGATTATTTCAATACTGAAGAAGCTGCTGTGGCAAAAGAATGATGACACAATCTGTATTGTTGAATCCAAGTTGCTTGGCTGTCCAAGGCCTTGAGTATATTTCATTAGTGTAGGCCCCTGGAAACAGTTGTAATTTGTTTTTCTTGTTGGATTGATTTAAATTCAAGCCCTAGTTGGCAATTGTTGTTGATGATGAAAAGTTTGAACCAATAATAATGTTAAGCATTTCAATTGTATTTGTGTTACCTAAATACAATTGTTCTTCTTCAAATTGGAAAGCGTATATTTTGAAGAAGAAAAACAAATGCATAGTTCCCTTTATATTTCGAGCCTATAAGAGTTTGTAAACAGATATGAGTTGGCTGCAAGTGTTCGAAACCTCAGATATAAATGCAGATAATCCTTTGAATGTCATGCCCATGTAAAGATTCCTGCATTATGCATAATAAACAAAATACATAACATTGCACACGATAGATACTTCAGTTTCACCATGTGTTTTGAGCATGATAGTAATTCGAAATATTGAGCTAGGGTGTCTCAGAACTATAAAGCAAACTGGGAGTGTTGGTGAGTGTAAGTGGAAAAACTTTTTAAGTGTCTCAACCTGGTGAGGATTACAATGTAATGGTTCAAAATTCAATGGTACAATAAATGGCCATCACCTCAAAAAATGAGGGAAGCATCAATGAAAACTAAGGTTACAGCCTTACAGGCATAAAATTGTCAGGTAGGACCTGCTCTGACCTAAATTTAATCACAAACATCGGTTACAAATTCAAGTTTAGATGGCTAGAATGACACTGGACTGTGCAGACTTATAATATCCATGTCTGGTCAGTCAGATATAGAGAATCCACCCTCACATATCAATGACACTGCCGCAACTGGTGGCTGACTAGCCATCTTTCGTCTGATTAGTTTTTGAATCAGAGTCATTTTCCCCTTCATGAGCCTTCAAGCCCAAGCTCAAGTCCAACGTGCTTTCATTTAGATCTTGTCTTTCCATAGGATCATCTTCATGAACCTAATTCACATTCACATTAACCTTGTAAGCTAAAACAGAGAGGTTTACATTCAACAATCACAATAACAATTTCAAATCACAGCAGAAAAATCCAAGAAAACAAGAGAAAGGAGACAATTATAGACGAGAAAAGAACAGCCTGTACCTGACTTTCATCTGCAGGTGTGTCATTGATATCAGGTTTTCCCTCGAAGTCATCATTATTGGATGTTGGCTCCATGCCCTCTGTCTCTGTCTCCATGGGCTTCGCTTCATCCTCACCTTGCTCCGAAACGTCATTCTTTGGCTCTTCCAGCACAGCTACCTATCTCAATCAGAACCACCATGAATGTTAGCTGACAATTAAAAGATGTTCATGAAAATTCCAAAACACGCACACACATACTGACGAAAAGGAAAAATAAATAGATCTCGACTATCAAAAGAACTGGAAATACATGTCACCAGCAAAGGAACTAGCAACCCGTTCTGGGAAGACCGGAAAATCACGTACCCTAAGCTTAAATGATTAAGCAAATAGTAAGGGCAAGGAGGAAGTCCATCAACCTAGCACAAACCAGCTAATATAAAAAAATCATCCCCTTCGAGCTTCACGAATAAAAGTAAGAACAAGAAAAGAGGAAAACTATATGGTTATGTTTAGAAATCTCACTGTAAGAAGACCTGGGAGAAAATAAAAACCAAAAGGGCTATAACAGTCACAATCATTACATGATATATGACATGACGCACAATAAAGATTACAAAATATTCATAAGTTACATAAGAAACGTTGAAGAACAAATCCAAATGTGTACAGTCGTTTTTGAAATAAAGAGCAACGACTTAACAATTTCCAGTTAATTTGGTACCTTAATACCAACAAAAACAGAAACAAGGCACAAATAGAGCCCTAAAACAACAGAACAAGAATCTGCTGGGAAGTGGTTAGCCACTCTCTTCAAAAGCCAAAAAGATCTTCTAAGTCTCAAATCTAAAAAGCTGATCTTTTAAATACGTCAGGCATACTTGCATACTTGATTAGTAACTCAATAAGCATGTGAAAACTAGAAAATAAAAACATTATTTGAGCAGCTCTAATTTTCTTACAACATCATTTATTTCATGCTTAAAGATACAAATTTGCGGTACCCAACCACATTCTTATCCCAAGCTTCAAACCAAAATCTTTTTTCTGCTGAATTTTTTATGCAAATTTACCGGACACAACCAACAGCAGAAATCAGTTTAACATTCTACATAGATATTACACATGGGAAAAAAAATTGAAAATTTTGTACCAAAACCAGATCTTGACAAACGGCAAAAACCATGCCCCCAATTCACAATTGTTCCAAGTTCCCCCATTTCCCCTCAGTGTCAAATTCAAAAGCCCTAAAAAGAATTCCTTGCCAGCTCATCCAAAATACCAACAAATCGATACCAATAACGGCTATCCACAAGATCCAAAAGCAAACAGTGAGAATAAAACTTTATGACTTCATGAAGGAACACCGGAAGCGAAAAATTGAACAGAGTAGTACCGGAATATACTTGAATTTACGTTTCCGAGGCTGCTGGTCATCCTCTCCCGCGCCGACGACGTCGTTTTTGGCCTCGTCCACATTATTATCGGCGGGACTCTTCCCGTTCCCACTGCTGTTACCGTTGGTGCCGTTTTGGCTCGGAGTTATGGGCGCCCACTTGTAGAGCAGGAGATGGGAGCCGTTGTTGCCGTTGGAAGCGCCGTTAGTCACCGCCGAATGGTTGTGGTGATTATGGTTGGAGCTGTTATTAGAGTTATTTGGCGGAGTATATGGGATCCATCGCTTTTTCCACTTCCGAACGGGACCGGTGAACACGGTGGCCGGACCGTACCGGGTGGAGGATCTACCCAGTCTTGCCCCAACTCCCTCCATTCACACGGCGGAGACTCTTATTATTGGCGGCGAATCTGTAGCAGTATTACTCCGCTTATTCTTGACTTACAATCACAATTAGTAAACCAGTTAGATAAACACTTAGATTGAGGGGAAAAAAAATTAAAAATTGAATTAAATCGAAACCAAAATTAGACCAAAAAAAAAATTACGGCTATTTGTATTTGTCACGGAAAAAATGTCGTTTATATAGCTGCCTTCATGCCATCAGCCTGACAGGATTTACCGATTTATAAAGGGCTTTGGTGCGGTGCGGGCCCTCTCCGATTTTCTCACTCCCAAAAATTACAGAGTTTCCAAAAAAGTATGCAGTTTTTTTTTTCCTTCACCTTCTGTGACTCAATTCTTACTAGTACTTTTTTTTTTACTACATTTAGTTTGTAATTGTGAATTTTTTAACAGCTTTTAAGAGTAGGATTTTCCTTTTCTTTCTTTATTATTTCATTTTGAATGTTAAGAAGTTATTTTTAATTTCAGAAGTGATATTTTTTTCCAAAATCCATCCCAGTGGACTTCACTTAACTGTGGATAAAATCCCCCTTACAACTCCTGGTGGGGAATCGAACCCTAATCTATTATCAGAAAATACAACAACCTAACCACCAGACTGTCATTCAATTCCTTTTTAGAAGTGACATTTTAGTGTCTTACAGATTGAATTACAGATTTTATTGATCACCATTCACATTGTGATTAACCTTTTTTTTTATTGATGTAATATTTTTTACAATTATAGTGTAAATATAATTCACATTGTTTTATTGAATTACAGATATTATTGATCACAATTCACAATGTGATTTTATTGATAAGTTATTTATTGATCACAATTGTGATTAGCCTTTTTTTTCCTATGTAATATTTTTTACAATTATAGTGTAAAAATAATTACAGCGTAAAATTTTTTTCGTTTCTGACAGAAGGAAAATCAATAATGTCAGGCTTAGAAGTCGTTGGGGGTAGATCTATTTGTATGTAGCTTTGTTTCAGCCCAAATGTCTAACCCGTAAGAAAAACGGGCTAGAAATCAGCCCACAAAAGAAGTACAAAACCCCCAAATCCACCACCATATAAGTAAGCTGCAATCCCTAAAAGAAGTTCTATACTCTCATTGCCGCCTGTCAATCACTGTGGGATTCTCCTCCTATGAAATTGTCCGGTCATTTTGTTCTGATCTTTTTAGGTTTATTTTCTTGTGGGTTTTCTTTTGTTCGATTTGTTTTCTGCAGTCAGTAAGTAAAAGAATTACGTTGTTGAATATGGAATGAATCCGACTGTATCGGAGATAGATAGAGAAGGGAAGACGTTGACGAGGATGGCGTTAGATTTAGTTATGCCATTTTTTGAAAGAGACCCTTCTCTTAGATTAAATTCATAATGGGCATCTTCCAGGCTTGCTGCTTCGTTTTTGCTCCAGCAGTATGGCGTCTATTGGTGCCTACAACTGATTCTTGTTTGCGATCTGAGTCGTATCATACTCTTTTTCGAATGGTTCAAAAACAATAAAAACGATTTGATTTTGATTTTATTTTGTAGTAACGAGTTTAAAAGGTTGATGATATTGGTTTTTAGGTTTTTATTACTAGCGCGAGGTGCTGTCGGAGGGAAGAGGAGTTGACCCGTAGTAATCTTATGGCATAGATATATGAGTATAAAATCGAAGCAAAACTGGAAAACAGTAAATATGAAAAACTGCGTTAACACAACAAGCAACATACTCTGCTCTGATTGCTGTATCTTCCCCGTCTTATCAAATTTTCTTGTCGGAAGCAATTTTTATTTCATTTGGTTCAAGCTTGTCATCCTGCAATCATGTTCCCTTTGAGTTTTGCCTATCTTCTTTGGTTCAAGCTTCTGATATGAAGTCACTGGAATAGAATTTGGTTAGCACAGTTTTAATCTTCTGGATATTGTGATTTAGACAACTTTTTGAATAACTCATTCTCACAATTTGTACCCAAAATTGGAGCACAATTTTTCTTTGAGGGCCAACAATCAAACATTTAAAACGCTTGACGGAAATTATCTCTTTTTCCTTGTGATGCAGTTCTTTACAATTTATTAGCAACTTAAACTCAAGTGATGCAAGAGAGAGATTAGAGAGCACTATTAAAGATCGATAAAGCCTCAAATTTGATAACACTTTACCAGTCTACAAAAGGAAAATCCAAACAGTACTCGCTTCTAGGCGGAGAGGATCGGAATTGCGGTCGTTCTTCTTAGCTTGAACACAAAATAAATTGGGTTTCGACTGCTAAACGTCAGAAACAAAGGGGTTATTTGTTTCTACGGATGAAACAGTCGAAATGAAAGTGAACTAAATTTTGTAGGCCAATGAGGGGTTGGCCCAATGGTAGTATGAAAATAAACTGGTGGAACTTGCATACTTAAAAATGTGAATCATGGATCACTACTTAATGACGAGGCCAAATAGGCTCCAATATTCTTGTATATATTAAGAACATTTCCAAGTCTCTAAAACCATCGAGCTTTTTTCTTCACTGAGATCACTCTATCTACCAATCTACCCAATTGAGGTATACATTGGCAAATGCTAATAAACACTACAGTCTAATACGATACCGCTACTATATATACAAACAATTTGATACATTCAACATCAACATGGTGTAACGATCAAGCGTTCATCTCCAAAATTGGCCTAGAAATATTGCATCCAACATCATTTCCCCTAGCTTGCGCCAAGCAAATCAATCATAAATACTCTCAAAAGGCACCCATATATCCTAATCAGGATAGTATGCTATTATCATTCAAAGCAGCAGCCAAATTACCCACCCTCAATCCTCCACCACCACCACCCCTAGTGGCGAAATCCTCTCTGCAAAGAAACGAAATGGTCGCATTCGGCACGAAACCAACCGATCTCTTTCTCCTTGGCTCGTATTCCTCCGATGTTTCATCACCATGAATAGAAGCACCAGCAACAGAAGATGTTTCATTAGTGGTTCTTTTGTAAGAACTCAACCACTTGGCTTGCATGTAAGCCAACCTCCTCCAGGGTGGGATGAAAATGTCCATTTTCTTCATCGACTTCTTCATGGAATTGCACATTAACCTCGTCAATTGCTTCACGTCTTCTTGCTTCCCAATAAATATTTGTGGGAACATGCTTAACACCGACAAGTAGCAATCTGTTGGTCGGGCAATGCTGAATTCCTTGGCTAATGAAACTTCAACGAAATAACGACTTCCCGATGCATAAACATCAATGTACTCATAATCTCCTGCTGGAACATGTCCATTCTTTTCCCACTTCGATTTGCAAAGACCTATATTTGCCAAGAATTTAATAAATTAAAATAATGAGACTAATACCAAAATTGAGGTGAAAAATAACTTTAAAAAAATGTAGTACTAGTTAATTTAATTAATTGTATTATTATATATTAAACGCCACTAAATACATAAATGGAGACGAGGAATTGAATAAAGAAGAAAACAATTACCGGCGTCAAGTCCTCTATGGCGCAATCGAGCCATCAAACGGCGTTTGAAATCCGTTCTGGCGGAAAGGTTATCATGACCGTTTAAATCCCTCAGGGCTTTCACAACCAGCCCGTGAATTTTCTTCTTCACCTTATCTTCATAATGACCGCCGCCACCGGTTTCTTCGTCCCAACCAAACAATCTTTTCAGTGAATCTTTGATCTCGGAGTCGGAGCAGTTATTCTCCGGCGAAGATTCGGTTTTTCCATCATCGGCGTCATCACCCAGTCCTCCATGGCCATCGTCTTCCAAGAAAGAGTTGACTAGGTAAGACAGATCGGTCAAACTCTGGTGGCCGGAGTGATCAGTGCCGCTGCTCTCGCCGCCGCCGCCGTATAACCGGGCGCGAGCTTCATCGTCGAAAGCCGCCGCGACCCTTTTGAATCTGACTGGTATTACGTCCATATTCACGGCTTAATTATTTCTGGAACTTTTTCTTGATCCCTTTTAGACGAGAATGAAAGAACTGATTGATTGGTTGATGATTATATAGGGCAACAGAAACAATCAAACAAATTTAAAGGGTTTTTTTCTGAGGATTTGGATTGTACAGAGATGTCTATATCATGTCCACATATGAGTTAAGTTTTTGAGAATAGGGATTTGGGTAAATGAAGTCACAATGAAGACATAATGGTGAATTTTCTCTGGGAATGTTTTGTGGTGCATATATATAGGTATGTGTCTGTGTGTAAAAATACAACGTGAATGTATTTGGGTTTTAACTTGAAGTACATTTTGCCTAATCCTGGCTAGGGGGAGATCTCTTAGTGTACCTGGACGGACTTTCTGACCAAGTTAACTATTTCATCCAACTCAACTTTTCACTACGTGACAAGGTGAACAATAGATTTTTCATTAATCCGCTGTGAGAGGTAATTATGGATATATTTGTAATCTGACTGATATCTTACTCTTCCTGTTGACTACATTTTCGGAAATTTATCATTCATTATTGCTATTTTAGTTTAAATTTAAATCAATCTATATAATAAAACTTTCTTTGCTCAATTAATTAGATTTTTTTTTTCTTTCAAACATGATCTTTTTGAAGGATGAAATTTCTAACGTTAATGTTGTACCTATGTTCCTGATCATTCTAAAATCATCAATGACAAATATGTTTTAGAAATAGAATATAGCCAAAAATGGCACCCAAAAAAAGTTCAGATGCTACGTCTTTTTTGGAGAAAGGCTACGTTTTGTCCTCATCAATAACTAATTTACGGCTTTACACTCCATAGTCAAAATTAAGCCAACTTAGGTGAGTCAATTCAATATACTTCAATTAGATGGCAGCTAGTGCAATGATATAGCAGCCGCACACATATTTGCATGCATCGATTGTGAATTTAGTAATTTAGCTGCCTCTAAGGCCTCTACACATACGAATGATACGATAAAAAATGATTTGTTCATATGGACTAAGTTACTCTTAATCATATTGCGAATTATATTTCTTCTTCCAATTCTTTTTAGAAGATATTTTACTTTCTCATAAATTTCATTTAGCATGCTCTTCTAATTTTCTTAAAGTTTTATTTTCAATTAAAAGAATATAAAATGAAATATATGACAAATAAAATGTCTATAATAAAATCGGAGGGAGTATATACTTTTAACTATTGTTAGCTCAGTCTAAATTAACTATAGGGTGGGATATATGTGTGATCATTTGTGCTAGCTCCCTATACCTGAAATGCATAATTGGATTAATACATAAATTAATCGTTTTGACTACACTGTTGACTCCGTCGAGAATCACGTGTTTCTACTTCGTTGCGGATAGTTTCGATTTGCTATGACCCCAAGTAAAACGGTAAAAGTTTAAAGTTGAGATTAAAGTGATTTTGAAAATCATAAAGGAAGGCATTTTCCTCCAAAATTATTCAAACACTTATTTCAGAATTAATTAACAACATGTAAACTTGGTTAACTGATTTCATAATTTTGCCATGATTATTTAGCAAACGTTTTGTAGAATAATGAACTCTAACACAAAAATTAGGGAGAAATTAATCTAACTAATCTTTAAAATGAAATGACAAACTAATATTAACAGCCTAAAACATTATCATTTGTCCCCAATGGTAAATCATTTTCCCGGAAATTCACTAAGTTAAAAGGAATGAAGGGTTACGTTTACGTACATTGTAAAGAGTTTTGCTATAAGCAAATAGTCAAAAATACTCCATCCACTACTTACATGCAAGAAAGCATATACCGGTATCTCCTGAGTCCAATTATTGCAGCTGAGATGCGGAAAATCGACCCCCCTGAAAGGTTCGCCCAGATTCAGTGAGTGAATTGTCTAGGTTCAATGTACCTAGGTTACTTGGGGACATTTTGTTTGGTTCAAGGTTTCACAGTATTGATGGACTCCTAGTTACACAAGTGATATGATTCACCATTTCAGCAGCCAAACTTTCTGCATGCATTCAGTCAAATATACGGCTTTTATTCAAAGTATCATCAGACTAAAACAAAGAAAAAGATAGGGGGAAAAAAAACTAATGTAGCTTGAGAAAAAAATATTAGTAACAGATAAAACTTAAAAGGTTTTCTTAGAAATTATTCTCGCCACGTAATTGTGTATATATATATATATATATATGTCGAGTGTGTTTTTGTCACAAAAATTCAGTTCAACATTGTTATTTAAGGACGGAAGTAATGATAGGAAGTATGGCAGAGGATCTTGGGGTGGGATCGAAAAGAAAGATAGATTTGCAATCTTTTAGCTCCACTAATACGTTACTCTAATATTGCATTCAAGTGCATATTATATCTATATTATCTCCTTCGAAAGCTTTTAGACGGTACCATATTGTGGTTGCTAACTTTTTATGTCCTTCAATTATGATATAATAAGATAAAATATAATTAACATGATATCTTTGAATTTGCCTTATTATTTTTTAATCAATAAACATAACATTTGATGTTGATGTAACGTAATTAACTATTCCAGTAGTTTGGCACTATAAAGTAATGATACTGAAGTATGTTTTGGAGTGCTCTTTTTTTTTTGGGGGTCAGTTTTCAGAATCCTAGCAATGTGTGGCCGGTTTCGAAGAATTTAATAAGACAAAATTTACCTTATTAAATATTGAAATTGAATACATTTTGGTCGGATAAGCACGGATTAATGGGATCAATTTTGGTCTTTGATCGATTTTAGCCCGGGAGGCATTTGGAACACCGGATGAAGGCGCCCGTATAGTACTATCTCCTTTTTTCATACAACTTATCCACATATATTCTATAAATTGATTGATACGAGATAATTTGATCAAACGGTCATTTTAATATGTGTAACATCCGGTGGAAAATTTCCAATTTACCAATAAATACCAAAATTGTTGCTGTTCTTCGCAAGTCGCAACAGGATCAAGAGAGATAGAGAATCATTTATCATCGTTGTTTTTTTTTTCTTATTATAAAGGATTTATTGTTGTTGGTCCAAATATTTCCTGTGTAAAAATAGCGAGTCTGATTGAGTTTCAATATTCATCAGCTTGGGAGTCGGAGTCTCGATTATTTGAACACTAATTAGACAACATTCATATACAATTAATTGGAGAAACCCTGAAAAGTGCCGGAGCTTTTTTCTTTTTCATGTTATTCCCTTTCGTGCGTGGTTCCAATCATTGTTGCATTTACAGGTTTGTTCTTCGAAACATTCTCCTCTTTTTTCTTTTTTTCTTTTTTTTCTTTTTTTGGAGTTTTCTGAGATACAGAATCTAAGTGTGGGAATCGGGATCATGGAATCTGGTGATATTGGACGATTGACCACGATTTTGGGAGTTAATTCGTCATTAGATGTGGATATGTAGATCTTCTATAGGATATGGGGGCATCCATTATCATAATTTGCATGATGGGTTATTATCTGTAGCTTGATTTGGGTATCTGGTTGTGACTTGTGATAATCAATCAATCAATCAATCAATCAAGATATGTAAAGTGGCATATTCCAGGGATAATGCTGATGGTGACTTAGATCGATCCTCTCCTTCATACTATTTTGATTACATTATTTTTTGGACCATTTCGTGATTCCTGAAACTTTTAACTGTAATCATATGGTTATTTTGTACTGCTATGCAGAAAAAGCGCTATCTTGCACTTGAGCATTCTGTGTGTAAGTGTAGCTGACGTGTTTTCTTTTAGTTCCTTCACATATGGTGAACCAAGTTACTTCTTTTTCTTTTTGTATCAAATGTGTTTTCCCGTAACTTAGTTTATTGATATCTCTATTTTAGTGCTTCAAAGCTTGGAGTAGAAAAGCTGTTTCGTCTTCTAAATCTTGATTATTCTGTTATAACATACGGAATGATGCTGGTTTATTTGAGCTGAACTTGCACATTCATCTCTTTGATCAGAGGATGTCTACTTATGCTCCTATCTATCTTTTTCTTGTGAGGGTTGATTTGATTGGTCATCTCAGGCTTTTCCTTGCATTTTACTATCTGCTTTCATCTTCCAGAAAGATTCAAAATTTGGCTGATAGTTTGATCCTTGATTGCATTGTATTCTTGATATTGGAGCGCAGCAAAGGTAGTTTAGCATTCTAGCTTGGACTACCGGCTTCTTAGATGGTCATGTAGATTAGTATGGCAGAGACAGTGCCAAGCTTCTGGGTTCCGGTCACATCCACCTCTGAGTGGTGTGAGAAGAATTATGAGTACTCTCCCTACATTGCCGAATTCTTTAATACCATATCAAATATCCCAGGCATGATGTTGGCAATGGTCGGCCTTATGTGTTCCTCAAAGCAGCGGTTTGAAAAGAGGTTCAGTGTTCTTTATTTGTCAAACTTGATACTTGCAGTTTGGAATCTCATGTACCATGCTACACTACACCGTTTGTAAGTAAACTGAGCTCAGACCTGAGAATTTCTGATTTTGATCCCTTGTTGATGCTACCTTGTTATTGACTTGGTTTTTTTCTTACTGCATGCGTGTTAATTACTACTTTCTTAGTAGTTATAGTTTGCTTCATACTGTACTTCAGGCTGCAGCAAAGTGATGAGACTCCTGTCGTTTGGGAAACACTTCTTTACATGTATATCTTGTACTCCCCAGATTGGCACTATCGCAAAACAATGCCAACGTTCCTCATCCTGTATGGAATTGTTTTTGCAATATGCCACTCATGTTTACAGTTTGGAATTGGAATTAAGGTGCACTTCGTGATCATATGTCTGCTTTCTGTCCCTCGGATGTACAAATATTATCTATACACCGAGGATCTCCATGCTAAACGGGTCGCCAAATTATATGCGGTTACCCTAGTTCTTGGTAGTTTATGCTGGCTGTTTGATCGTGTTCTTTGCAATGATAGCTGGCTTATCAATCCACAGGGACATGCCTTATGGCATGTTTTCATGGGTTTAAATGCTTATTTAGGAAACACATTTTTAATGTTTTGCCGTGGTCAGCAGCTTAGAAGGAACCCGAAAGTAGTGCAGTGGATGGGAATTCTGCCTTATGTTACCACTCAAAAGGAGAAATCCCTTTGATGAAGAGAAGGGAAGAAGGTGATAACTGCTCATTCTTTACAATGTTGCTGATCATTTCAGGAAATAGCCAACTGTAATTGGTAGGATTACTTCTGAATGATTGATGATGTTAGTAGGGAAATTTTGTTGAAATGTGCCATACTCAAACGAGTTTTTCAGTGACTAGATTAGACTGCCTCATTTTTGGTAGCTTTCATTTTGGATGTAGGGAAGAATGGAATGAATGAAATGATTACGTTATTACATTGAATGCTGATTCAGCTGTGGTTGACAAGGTGACCTATTAGTTATATTTCTGTTCTGCTGCGTATATAATAGTTTCCTATCTGTATCCCTTTCTCCTGACTGATATTCTTAATTGATATTCTAATCATTCATTTATTTATTCCCTTCCTGTTTTGCCCATTTGATTTGTCTATACAATGAAATTGAGGCGCAAGTCGACCTCACATTGTGGGATAAAAGGATTTTGCATAAGGCCTAAGCTTTGGAAATATTACTGCATGCTTTTGGTAGATTAGTTGATTGCTGATGAGGTATGGAGTACTAAGTGGGAAAGCTGAAAGTTGGAACTGGACATGTGAAGAAGACTGAAGGATCCTCCTGATTGTATATGGGATTTTAGTCTAGAACCAGCCAACTGTGAATGCACTTATTTCATTAAGATAAGCTAACAGGTAGTACTATTTAGATTTAGAGGAAAGTTCCTGATTAATGCAGACAAAATGGCAGGGTGGTTGGTCATTAAGTGATGAATAAAAAGCTGCCCTTCTAGTACAAGGTTACATGTTTGAAAAATCCATGAAATTTGGAGCGGTTGCGGCTGGTTATGGATGGATAATTCATATGTAAAGTTGTTACTCTTGTACATAGGGGAGAAGATCCGATGGGAACTGGTAACTTTGCTGTCTCCCTTTCTCTTGGGTTGTCAAAAATTCCTAATCCCATGCAGAAGAATCCAAAATGGGAGGGATGACAGTGTGGCCTTGTTGTCCTAAGAATTTGCTCAGAAAAAAGATAGCAGATGTTCTCTAAGTCCTCCCAACATTTACTTTGTTCCTGAGGCTCTTAGTTAATTAAGAAGCCAAGACAAGGTTAAAAGTCCCTCTTAGGATTCATCACCAGTTCTTGTATTGGGGTACAAATTGTCTATCCATTTCTTTTGGATTCAGGATTGCTGACAAAATTTTGGAGGGAGCGCAGTATTGTTGGATTAATGGTAAAAACAAGGCCACTTAGGAATCCAAAGCATGTTGTGTAAGGAGATTTGTCCCCTTATAATCCTCTCTGGAAAATGGTTTTCTGTCCATTTGAAGATTCATTCAAGGTTGTGATACTTTAATCTGAGAATCTTTTACTGAAGAAGATTCAATAATGGGAGGAGTACTCTGTTGTAGGACGCAGCCAATCACCGACGAAAACCAGCCAAATAAGAAGAATGAAGATGTCCCTCATAAATCATCATCGTCATCAATAGCAGCAGCAGATTACAAGCCTAAAAAGTGGATGACACTGGAGGAATGCTTAATGGCTTCACCTAACATAAATGTTCATCATCATTCATGCATTTTGGGAGGAGGAGGTCATCATGATCAGGCTCAGATGTTCAGGAAGAATTTGCCAAACAAAATCCATCCATCTTCTTCCCCTGATGATGATGACATAAATATTGAAGAATTTTTCACCCCGAGTCGCAGTTTCTCATTAGGGAGAATCGACGAAAGAGAAGAAGAAGAAGAACAGGACGAGAAGTCGTCAGCCTCAGTAACTCCATCAAGTAGAGTTGGAAGCGGGAAGTCAGGAAGGAAAGTGAGTTTCAGGTTACCTGGAGAAGCAGACATATTCATTTACCATACACCAAAAGAAACACTGGATGAAGAACCTTAGAAAACCTCCCAAAAGCTGCTTATTGATGATGATGATCACTGATCAAAAGTAGTAATAGTAGGATAGAAGTGATCCCAATATTTGTCATCTCGAGTGGTAACTATCAAGTCGTGTTTCATATTTTTTCCACTGATAATATACAAATTCGTACCCGAAATGTCATCTTTTTTTGTGTTATGTTTTACTTGGAAAATAGTAATGCAACCAATCGAGACCTCCCCCATGTGAAAAACGCACTTACACTTGAATGACAGAATTCTGTAACACATCAAACACTCGAAAAGGGAATCAAATGGGCCAATCAAAATCGGGGGACCAAAACGAAAACTTTATCTACGAAAAATCTTTGTGGTCTAGCCATTAATTGAGGGGATGAGATTTCAAATCAAATTTGATTTGGCAGTGAAAAAAACGAGCAACCTGCATTTGTAGCTACCTGTTAAAATAACCTTAGAACTGGTCTCACCCCAATTGTTGTCTAATCAATAGTCATGGACTCAGGGTGCATCTTTTAATATTATCACATAACATTCAATTTCTTCTTCTTCCTCTCTTTTTGGCCTTCTGGGTTATTATTGAGATTGGGGTTTAGGTCCCCCCAACCCCAAGTCTACTCAGACTAACCGTTCCTAATTCCTATTTGGATCCAGAATTCTCATTGAATTTGTTGTGGTCCAGTCAGAATATTTTAAGGAATGGTACAAATTAACTGTGTTATATGCCGTATATACGTACGTTAGGGTTGTTATTGCTCCACACTTCATCTCAAACATTTTACTAATGATCAGTAAAAGACTCAAGTGAAAGTTTGTAGAAAGGGGTAAACCAAAACTGGAAGTTTAAAGGCAGGAAAAAGATAAAGACTGCCATTGACTAATAATTGACTTCCAATTTTATCTTTATATTCTAAATTTCAAATTCAAATTTTAAAAATCCAAACTTTAATTCTACATTCCAATCTTAAACCTCAAACACTAATTTCCAATCTTCAATCTTCAATCTTCCTAAACTTCAAATCGATGGTCGGAGAAAAACACTGACGCAGGAAATCAAATTAAAGAGTTTATTATGTCTTTTGATAAATAAAAATCTCAATGTTCCACTTTAATAATCGATATTATTGTATATTAATTTTTTTAAAAAAATTATTTTTGAAAATAAATAGCGTAATTTTTATGTTTATACATATTTGATGATATACAATTTCCCTCCTATTTTCCACATACTTTGTGGTAAAATAACTATTTACCTGAATCTGATTTTTTTTTCTAAATCTGAAAACCGGTCGCGGCCGGCAGCGGTGACATCTGAAAAGTGGCCGGCCGACCAGCCTGGCGTCCCAGAAAGAAAAGGACAGCATGGTCGCCGTCCACCTTTGAACAAGACGGCACGGTCGCCGTCGCCGACCAGGCCTTTTTCTTTCTTTTTTTTTTTTGAATAATTTTTGTTTTAATTATTTATTGTTCTTTAATTAATTTTTTTTTTCTACATCTGAAAACCGGTCGGCTGACAGTGGAGACGTCCGAGAAGTGGCCGGCAAACCGACCTAACGTCCCAGAAAGAAAAGGGCAACATGGCCGCCATCTGCCTTTAAACAAGACGGCACGGTCGCCGTCTTGTTATTACCTTGCCTGCAGCGTCGTCGGCTAAGCCTTTTTTTTGAATAATTTTTATTTTAATTATTTATTGTTCTTTAATTAATTTTTTTTCTTTCAGTTCAGTAATTTATTTTGTTTAGTATATTTTGTTGTTTTTTAATTTATCACGAAATATTATTAGTTAGTAAATAACTTAATGATTAATTATTGTATAATCTTTATATGCAAAGAAGATTCGTAGACGTATTAAGAATATTAATAAAGAAATAATTTAGAAAAATATAGTTTATTTGTTAATAATTTAAATATTGCTTAGTAAAAGTTAAACTAATTAATAATTATAGTGTGTAAATCACTTATTTTAGGATGAAAAACTAAAAAAGGCCGAATTATCTTTTTTACGGCGGTTTTTATCTTTTTCCTGACGGCCTTTAATACGCCTCAAAAGCTTACCCTACCGATCTTTACCCTTATGTAACATATTGTCAAATTCCCTTTAAAAAAAAAAAACATATTGTTAATTTTTTTAGGGGGGAGGGGGTGTTTAAACAGTAATTTTGATCAAGTATTTTTACTACTATTATTATGTTTTTTTACATAAGGGAGATTGAAGATGACGAATAAATAGGATACTTTTGTTCACTAAACAGTTCATTTCTGAAATCCTGTGATGATATACAAAAGACAAGGCGAACTTCCTCCTTCGAAGAAATACGTATAAAATATTAAAAAAAAAAGAAGAAGAAAGAATCTAGAAGTGGCTTTACATAGATAGCATGATGTGCGATACAGAACTAGGACAACTTGTCGAACGTGTAAAACGTGTCCATCTGAACTTCGCTTAATTTATCATCCAAAATTTCAACCTTATATCGAATTGTGTAAAACGTGTCCATCTGATTTTCCCCCAATTTAGCTTCCAAATTATCAACCTCCTATTGAATTTTTATCTTCTTGTTGCTGTAACTTGTACAAACTGTAAAATATCCCCGCCCCTCCCCCCCCCAAAAAAAAAGAAAAAAATAATAAATAAATTGCAACATATATTGTCAACTTTGTTCCCTGATATTTGCAGACCAACGATGATATTTAAAGCGAAAATTTATAGCTTTGTTTGCCACCACCTTTTACTTGAATTTGTTTCAGTTTTTTCATTATGTTTGACAATTATTCATTAATTCCAACATGCATTTTTTTTTTATTTTTTACTGTCAAACAGAAAAATTACACACCAAAAGAAGTCCTCAATTAACGTTTTGTGATGGATGTAGGTTACTGCACTGAAAGTGTTTTTTTTTTTTAAATAAAAAATGACTTTTGTATCGAATCTGTGATTTATTGAAGTCGTTGTGGCCATGGAATAATATAAAATCCTTTGATCATGAGTTGCCGAGATACATATAACTCAAGAAGAGGATTAATTAAAATTATTATCGCTAGTTGATACAGCTCTATAGGTAAATATATATATATATATAATATGAGAAACTCCTTGATTGAGCAAAAAGTCAAAATAATTAATTGAACCAATACTTAGTTGTGAGTCTCAGTGTCTCAAATTTCAATTGGAACTACCATGTGCGAAGCCAAATTAATATAAGTTGTAAAAATATTGGTTTGAAAATGTGTGAAAATGTAGGGATTTGTGAGTATCCATCAATAGGACAGATTGGATCAATTGTCATGAAGTTAGAGGGGTTAATTTAATTTTATTTTTCTTTTCCTTTTAGAAAAAGAAAAAAAAAACCTAGCTAAGAAATAAAAACAGAAGACCTTTCTTCGAATTTGTTACCTACCTAGCTACCGTTTCCAGAAGAAGAAGAAGAAGAAGGGGGGAACAAAGTTTGTTATGGTGCTAGTTAGTATAGAAGTGGTCACACTTACATTAATGGACTCACCCCCCTTTCCGAAAAATAGCGTGAAACTACTAGGAAATAGGGTTCCTTTGGAGGGAAGTGACAAATGTAATGTATGATGAATACATGTATAGAACTCTCAAGTCTGAACCTTACCAAAAACCATGAGTATTTTGTGTCCACCCAATTTTACTTCAAAAAATTTTAACCAAACGCAAATCTTCATCCCCGCAGGGGTTTGTATCCAGATTTTGCAAAACTATTCTTCTAGTTGTAATTTCCTCAAACACAATAAATTGACGCCTCCGCTATATTTGTGCGAGTTCCTAGATAAGTTTTGATGTAATTTCTAGTTCCTAAATGGAAATTGAATTTAATTTTGAAACTCTTTCATAAGGTACTCCCTTCGTCTCATAATTATTGTTCATTTTGAGTTTTCATTTTTAGTTCAAATTATACTAAAAATGAAATCTCAAACTGGACAATAATTTTGGGACAGAGGGAATAGTTAATATGTTACCAGCTGACTAGCTTTATTTGGTGTCAATATCCCAGTTTTACCTTTTATTGGTTTTGTACTCTGCTATCATCATCTTTTTAAGTTATCACTTTTTTACTTTTGAGATAAAACTCTTTATTCGGGATACAAAATTTTTTATTTTAGAGTACTTTTTCTTTCAATAATAATATTCTCAGATTCCCGTATGTATTAAAAAACTGTAGTATTGTAATCACACAGTACAATCACGTAAGAATTTATATACTAAGTTTGGTTTGCTTCACTACCACTTCATTTTCATCTCTTTTTTTCTTGTTCCCAGTACTTTCACGCACGAGTTCCCACCACCAACCCCATCCACTTTTTCTTTCTGCCGTAATATATACATAAAAATACATTCCATTGTTTTTCTGGGGACAAATTAAATCAAGTTAGGTAAATGGCGGAGCTGGATAGGGATATAATTAATGGTGGAATGATTCTGAAGATGATGATGGTAGTGGTGGCTGTTTCTTTGGCCATTAACATCGTCGGAGGAAGATTAATGGCAGCAGCAGAAGTTCATCATGTGGTGGGAGATGATCAGGGATGGACTACTTCCTCAGATCTCGCTTCTTGGCTTTCTGGCCGTGTCTTCCTTATCGGTGACGTTCTCTGTAAGTGTTTAGTCTTTTTTTTTTTTTTCCCTTAAATTGAGATTCGACAAAGTGAACTATTTTTTTTTTGGAGGGACAAAGTCAGCTATTAGTACGGAGTCTGTTTAAGTGCACCTTAAACCCAACATTCACTGTTTCAACACCACATTTGGGATTTGGGAGGGAGGAATTACGAATTAGTCCTAATTTCTTTCGGTATGCAGGAGATAATATTACTAAAATTACTAAGGTGCAATACCACAGAGAAAATCTGTTAAACAAGTTTAATGTACGTACGTATACAGGGTTTGCTTATTCATCAGCATCAGAGAGCGTAATGGAGGTGAAAACACAGGAAGAGTTCATGACATGTGATCTGACAAATCCAATCAAGATGTACACCAAAGGATTGGACAAGGTATCCCTTGATACTCAAGGTACTAGGTTCTTCACCAGTTCCAACTTGGAGAGCTGTAAGAATGGGTTGAAGCTACCAGTCAACGTCCAGCCTCAAGCAGGTTTTGCCACCCAGAATCAACAAAAACAAAACATCCTACATGACAGAAATGACATTGTGGCTGATGGACCCACAAGTCCATCTGGAGCAGCCCATTTCACCAGTACTAGTCTTCCTTTGGCCGTGTTTGTTGGATTCTTAGTTTTCTACATGGGCTTCGAGTGAGTTTTTATCTTTGTAACCGGGCATATATTTGATAGAGTAGCCCAGATTTATCAGCTGTCTAGTACTCTGATAGCGTAAAAAGAGTCCAGCCTTGCTTTATGCCTGGGATGTTTATTGTTGTGCAAGTTGTAACCGTAAGCTGGTGTAGTTGAAGCAAATTCTATTTCCTGTCATAATACCTGCGTAAACCTTGTGAAGAACCAAATCCTCCAACTCTTTTTACTCCCCCGGTCCCAAACTATTTGTCCCATTTGTTGATTATGGCGAGGAGGGGAATAGTAATCAAGTTAACAAGATACAAATATCAACAAGAGTTCTCAATATCACCTATGAATACTGACCTTAATTCTCATAGGAAGAGGCCAATGCACAGTTACTACATCAACAGTTACCAAAGACTTAGCAGCCAATTCCCTGTTTCACGAACTAGAGGTTGCCATAAGGAGACAACAAGTAGTTCAAAACTAGGAAAAAGAGGCAAACAGTATCATAATTATATGATTTTCAGTCCAAAAGCTCTCTTTTTCAGGTACTTTTTTCCTCAGTTTGTACATCAGACCAGAAGGAGGTCCTTCAATAAGTCAGATATTGTACATAAGGAATTTTAAAGAATGGGCTCTCTTAACAAGCACTCAGTACAACTTACTATTCTCACGTAACCTCAAAATCCTCACCAAAATATAGTTGTGAAACCATTCTTATCCTCCTACATTGTAAAAATTTACCAGAAGCAAATCACTTCTCACTTCCTCAGAACCACATAATTCGACCCACCAGTCTTCTGTATCTTAGAGATCCTCCGTAATATAGCTGCAAAAGCATCCTTGTCCTGCATTGCCACAATGCAGTACAAGTTACAGTTTGTCAGTTGTATCCAATCATTTATGATACTACGTGATCATCCTCCATGCTAATTCATTTCCTTCTTACGTTCATATCAGAGCCAATTTAAACAACTTTGCATGCATTTTTCTCACAAACCCAAAGGGCAGACCGTCCAATTCATCAGAAAATGAAAACAAATAAATGGATGATTTTCAAGCCAAGACCTATATCATCAATGTCTAAAACCACTGAAAGGGCATTCAAAAGAAGACACCAGTAAATTACCTCTTTTGTTTTGAGTCTAAGTTTAAATTTGGCGACAAGTTCCTGCGTCGTAATAAGCCCAGTCTGCAATAGAACAGCTTTTATTTCTTCTTCAGTGACAGTACCCGTTGAAGGCGTTGCAGTAGACTTTGGAGATGGTTGCTGAGGTACGACTTTTGGAGTTGCAGTACTCTTTGTAGGAGTCTCACTTTTGACGGGCTTCACTTCCTGAAATTGAGGGAGACAGCCAGACAGGGTTTAAGAGTAAAGCACAAGCGAAAACATGAATCAAAACTTCCTTTCCAAAAACTAATAGTAAAGTGCAAGCAGAAAATCAGAGAAATGTATCACTTACATTTTCAGACTTGACCTTTTTAAGAGGTGCACCATTAGTTGCTTTTGGATCCTCATTGTTAATCTTCCTTTTTCCTTTGGCAGATTTCGAAGTTGGAGGGGTTCCCCGGGCGGATGCAGAGGCAGTTGATTTTGCTGAAGTAATGTTCTCAACTGGCTCTTCTTTGACGGCTTCCTTATGCTTTGGAGCTAACACAGGAGACATATCATCATCCATCTGGACAAACAGAACCAAAGATGGTAAGCAACGTCACTGGAGAGAACCCAATTATGGCACTGACGAGTTTATTCGTGGATTGAAAAAACAACTATCTAGCTAAAATCTTACATCATCATCATCGTCATCATCATCCTCTGCATCTGAATCATTTAGACCATTTGCACGCCCAAGTAATTTCTTCAATTCTTTTCCAGATTTGCTTAGCCCTCCTCCATCCTCTTCATCACCTTCTTCCTCATCATCTTCATCCTGCACCACGGTAAAATTATATGTGTGTGGGGAAAACAACAAAAAACAACCAGGTCTCGCAAAATAATGAAAATGTGCAGCATAAGGCACATACAAGAGCTTATTTAAGTTCTATAGGTTTCCATATTAGCCCCCTCTCCAAACAAACATTATGTTTAATCTGCGTCAACAGACCACTGATTTTGTTTCAATTATTATTGATATTAGTTTTCAATGTGACAAACAAAATTTAACTCCGTGTTCTGTATGGCAAGAAAGATACAAGAAGCCCTTCAGCAACATATGAGACAACTGAAGAGGAGATACAAATGTAACTAACATTCTTTATTTCAGGAGGAGCAGGTATTTCGGGGGCCAAATCTTCACGTTCTTCAGGATGAACAGCAGTTGCTTCATCATCATCTGTGAAGATTTCTTCATGCTCCCAATCATCACCTATAACAAATAGAAACACGATTAGATTTGAAAGGAAATCAATACCTAGAAAACGATCACAAAGTTGAACAAGTCCTAAGACTACCAAGAAGCTATCATTCAGGATTTTTACACAAAAGAAAACAGCAGAGGAAATCCAACAATCTAAAGATTTACATATCAAATTCAGGAAAAAAGAGCATGATCTTAAAATATACAAGAACTGGAAACTAAAATAGCTGATAAAGAAAACTAACAAAAATCCAAAAAGCAAAATAAAATGCATATTATGAAAGTGACAACTGCTTACCCCTTTCAATATCATCATCATTATCAAAATCACCACCTCTGGGACCTTCGTCATCATCGTCGTCACCACCTTTCTTATTGAGCCCCAACCTACTTTTTCTTGCAGCTTCTTCGTCCTCATCTTCCTCACCTCTATCCGAAGCATTAGCTTCCTCATCGTCACCCCCATTTTTCTTGCGACCCCCTCTTCCACTACCAGATCCAACCTCCTTTTCATCAATTTTTTCAACTTCACCAAATGCTGCTGCCCCGTTATTTGCAGCTTTCATCATCCATCGTTCATATCCATCTGCAGTTTTCCTCCGGTTTCTCATCTTTTCTTCTGCCTCCTCAAGAGTAAGTTGCTTGTATTGTGCAACTTTGTTGAAGTTATACCTTGTAGGAAAAAAAAGAAAGAACAATTCTACGTCAATATGGTCTAAATATGTCCTTTGACAAACAATCTCAAATCATATATACCATGAGCCTGCAGGTATGGCAACAAATTCCCTTCCTTGCAACATTAGGAGATAATATGTTGCTGATTGTGCACCCTCTAACTGACCATGATACTGAGTGCCTGTTTCATCCTCCAGTAACCAAGGTTTATTCTTGAACTTTTCCTATATTAAACAGAACATCATCATGAGCACAAACGAGCAAAGGAAGTGAAACTATTATATAATATCAATTTGTACAAATTATAAGGTAACCACACTTAATGGACCAATAAATGCATCCCCCCTCCTTTTCCTTTTCCTTTCCTTCATCTCGTTACTGGTGGTTTTTTTATGAATAGCACAGAATCACTACCGGAAAAAAGTGCAGAAATCAAAATTCAGAGTAACATTGTAAGTAATAAAATATATCAAGATCGGAAACTTCTCTAGACTACAAATCCAATTTCCGTAGAAGCTTTGTAAAACAAGAGAGTAATGCAGAAGTTCAAAAGTAGAAACATAGAAACAAAATCCCTCTTTAGAAAATAACATATACCCGCAAAGTATCCGTAATTTGGCGTCCCTGCAAGCCTTCTTTCTGCAAAGACCATTTATTCTCACTCTTCTTCTTGGAAAAATTGGGTAAACCTGTTACAAATCGTCCGATGAAATAGTTCTTATCACTAGTCGAAGCTGCCCGGACGTTATATTCCTGAAAGTGGATAAAGAATAAAGTGACTTCCACAGAGATGATGAATGTGTAGCAAAATTACAAACCAAATCACAAACACAGGAATTCAGAACCATCACCCACGTATTTGTAATGTAATATTCTTCAGAGTCGGACAAATGAAATCTACTTTTCATTTATTAACGCAAAATGCATGCATCACTGCAAAATCTCACTAATGTACAACTTCCAACCCACATAAAAGATAATCTCCATTTCGGCTTATGGTCCAAAATATTTAGTCAACAACTGTACAGTCAGTTCGTAATTAGATTAAGGCGGTTTAGTCACTTCTGTACAGAAAATCAGGAACGTGAAAAGGAATGTGAACAAACTGAATTGGGAAATATTAAAGAAAATCAGGTAAGTTCCAAACTGAAGAAAGGAACGGGAACAAAGGGAGGAGGGTAAAAAGGAATGAGAAGGCATACTCGGATCAAGCGAGTGATGGGGGCACCGCAATCCTTACAATTGATTCGGTTCTCGGCCATGGTCTTCCCACAAGTGACGCAAAGGGTCAAGTGCTTGCAGGCGCTGCCGTACAGTTCCGCCGTGGACTGGCAACCAAAGCACGACGGCTTCAAAACCAAATCAACCGACATCTTTTTGATAGTAGGTTAACAAAATCTTAGAAAGGAATTTGGTATGACTACCGCTGGCTGCTTTCTTTTACAGATATATATGAAATCAGATTGTGAATTGGCCAAAAGAAGGCTGAACTTAGGGTTTCGAATCGCGAAGGAAACGAGAATGAAAAGAGTAGGATTTAGCCGTTAAATTTCGAGGGGGTTTTGAAATTATACTTCAGTTTTGACAATTGTACAGATTGATTTGATTGATTGTTCGACTTCTGTTTTGGGTGCCCCGAGCGATCACCAGGACGACCAAGGATGATCTTCTGATACGGGAAGGCAAAATGATGGAGAGAAGTTATTTATAGATGCAGAACTCCAGACTCCGGAGCGTACATAAGTCGGGTCGGTTTGGAGTCTTTGGGCTTCAAGACCATTGAGCCTTTGGAAATTGGAGCGTCTTGGGCCTTCTGGACCTCTTTTCTCTAAAGAAACATTTGGGTGTTAATTTTCAAAACCACCGCCTTTACAACTTGAAACCACATATTTTAAATTTGGACCATTTTACCTTTATTATTTTTTCAAATCAAATAACTTGACTAGAGAGAAAAAAAAAATTTTGAAAACTTTAAAAAAAAAAAACTGACCGACCGGGCGGTCCACCCGTCCCAAGTTAACCCGGGACGGGCAATGAGCTCGCCCACTTGTTCCCCGCCCGTCCCAAGTTAAGCCGGGACGGGCAATGAACCCGTTCGGGTGAACAAGTGGGCGAGCTCATGATGCAAGTTCTCATGATGCAAGTGATTTATATTTTTATTTGTCGTTTCCCATGATTGTTTTAAAAAAGATTTTTTAAATCCTTTCTTCGTTGTACTTTTATTCAAGTACTTGGTACTTTGATGCATTTCTAAGAACAAATTTTTTTTTAGATTTTATTTTTATTCGCCTAAAATAAATTCTAAAAATTCCTGTAAATAAGAAAATTTATGTGTTACTAGAATTGCATCAAAGTGCAAAGAATTTAAACAAAAAATACAAAAAAAAAGGAAGAATAAAAAATATTTTTCAAAATAATTATGCAAAATGACAAATAAAAATATAAAATAAACTTATAATAAAGAAAAACTCGCAAAAATAAAACAAATATGTACGTCAAACTAATGAACACTGGAAGTCGTGAGAAATTTTTGAACCAAAATCTAGGAGCAATTTGTTGAAATTTGATTGAACGATAAATTTGGGTAAAATTAATAGAATTTATGGTGCAATTTGCTCTTTTCCAAAAGTTTGGGAGCAAAAGAGTAGTAGTTTAGGAAAAATTTTAGTAGTTTTCCATTTTGCTCTTTAAAAAGTACCTAAAACAACAAATTTGAAACATAAGGTACGTGATGTGGTGAGACCAATTCTTAGAATACATGATTTAGAGACCCTCTATTTATAGGGTTTCCCAATTTAAAATTGACTTAGCTAATAGAAGAGCGACTGTGAAAAAACGAAAGAGAAGAGGAGACTGACACCCGGAAGGAAAGGAGAAGGAGTAGAAGGGGAAGAAAGCGACAAAGGGATAGAAGATCCAATTATTAGGTGGCACGTAGGTAAACATAAGTTGAAACTCCCATTTAACCGTGCAGAAAAAGGTGATCCTCACCTATTTATATGTAGATATGTTAAAGAAGGTCCTAATTCAAATGTCAGGACACTAGAAACCGTTTTTACTCATTTGAAAATCAAGAATCGATATCTATCTGCCAAGCTGATAATCCCAGACAAGTCCTCCATGAATCTCTTTTTCTGATTCAACAATCCAACAGCATTTCGAGCCGACCTAACACTTGTATAAAAGACCGATAAATTATCCATTTGATCCTTCTCGCGAGCTAGGCCTATAAGGATTACAGTTTAAGGGCATACGTTTTCAATAAAGGCACATTTGTTGATACTTAAAGTTAAAGAAGGAGATATAAACAGAGATTTTCCGCCACATCATACGAATACAACAACTACCAAATAACGAAAAATTCATATTTGAAAATTAAATTTTTTGTTACCCTTGAAGTGGTGCATAAGTAATTCTTCCAACCTTTTGTGTAATTGTGACCAGTTTCTTAATTAAGGGAAGACTGCATTAGAGGGAGATTAAGAGAATAGTGTGTAGGAAATCAGGGACTATGAAAACCAACTCAGGTCATAAACTTACCATGATGCTCAAACTCGCATATGTAGAGTAGGTGGATTGGCCGTCTCGGAATCCAAAACGTACCTAAAATACAAATTCAGTGGTTATAATTCAATCGAGAGGAAAAAAAATAACTCACATCGACCATGGATAAAAAAAGTGAAAACATGGTTCAATTCTGGATACTAATGTGAGCAGCAAACATAAAGCTTAATCTACTAATTAACCCATTTATCCCGCGAGAATTAGTTGAATCAACAATAGTATGACTCAGTGCATCACACACTCGCAAGTGATACATGCAAATTAGCTGACAGCATATGACTGCATAACAAGCACAAGAAAGCAAGATATGACAATATAAGAACTGTTTATTACAGCAAACAACAGAATAGGTAGAAACTTACATGTCTATTATGAGTTTAACAAGCAAACTTTCTACCACGTCCATTAACGGCCTTCCACTATTATTACTGCCTTCCACTGTTATTACTCAATTTGGATGAGGTGGTGCTTCAGTGCAAACACAACAATAACCTCACATGCCTTCGAGGCATTCAAGCGCAAATGTTGTTGTTCTCTGATCACAAGTATGTCACATATTTTTTTTTGGTTAACAAGTAAGTATGTCACATTTTGGCTTGGTGAATTGATCCTATATCTATTTGAGCAGCCAATAAATACAGCAAGGATATTTAGCGAGAGGAAGATCGAGATGATAAAGACAAAAGTCAGAAGCATTTTAGACAGTCATTAGTAGCTTTCTGCACAATCCAGAACCAAGTTTACTGCCTCTCTATCCTTTTCAGGCCACAAATTTTCCGTTTTCTATCTAAATCACCAGTTAGTATATAAAAAATCAATGCAAAGGGACTCGCCCATTAGAGCAGGGGAAACTCACACTCAGTGTAAAACCATTAGAAAAAGTGGGAATGTAAATATTAGGAAATGTAAAACATTGCTCAGATATCAAAACAACACTAGGAATTTTCATTACTACTCGAACAAAGTTGGATAACTACTAGACAAAACACTTCGAATATAATTAGATACCTACTACTACTAGGACAGAAGGTCATCATAATTACTGTTAATTAGCACATATATATATCATAGAGATTAATCCTAAACCATCCCATAATTACTACTAACTAGCACATGTGATATATATATATATCATAGAGATTAATGCTAAACCATCCCAAAATCACATCCTAGACACCAACTGCTACACATACTATAATTATATAATCACACACTCCTATCGAGCCAGCCAAGTCCATTTTCGAAAATCAAACATGAGAACACTCTCACTGTAGATCACAACCTATGAGACAGGACATCTTCAAACTCAGACATCAGACATGATGTTATTTGTTGGTATGGGGAGGAGGCTCTCACGACATATCACGACCTCTGTAGAATCTTCGTATGAGATGGAAAAGTCTGGATATTTTTCTAATTGGCGCCTGTTGGTATTGTATCTAGCTAAATTTTTTCCGGGAGAGGTAAACGACACTAAAAGTATGTCGGTGAAGTTCCAAATGGTTAAGAACTTGGTGATACTTTGAGAAGGGTGCTCCAGTGGACCTATAGTAATCATCCAATTTGGTAGTAGCTAATTGGACAAAGCCCAAATAGTTATGTGGCTAATGAAACTATATGGAAACCTTCCCAGTCGGAATGTAGGCCAGAGCAAACCCAGTTGGCCATCTTGAGTGACCAACAATTGGGGATGTCGAATTCCTCAATTGCAAACTGAATCTCCTCATCCGTCGTTCTCTCAAACCGCTCAAAGTTCGAGTTGGCCATCCTAATCCAAAAATAAGACCCGTTGCAGAAAACTCCACTTTCATGATTGCCTCCGGGGGCCAGTTTCCACCGCCGATAGCTGATCTCCACCGGAAGTTATCGACATTAAACACCAGAGCGCCAACGATTGGATGTGCCCCTTCCCATTGCGGACCAGTGAGCATGACGACTTTGAATGAATTTGCCCACAGACATAAGAGAAGTATAAAAACTAGGTGGCTCCGTGATTTGTGGCAATACCACCACCTGCCTGGTAGATGGATTCCACAGAGTGATTCTCCCAAAGTCAGACACACAACGCCATCAATGCTGCCAGAATTGCAAACACCTCCATGATAGGGTAATTCGAGGGTGGCATCGATTCGCATGAGTTTGTTGGGAGGAAAGGTGGGATGGGAAGTAAACTTGTTGCCACTATCTCTGGTAATGATCATCCGCTCATTGAAACTTCTTCAATGATTTCACCGGAAGTAAAATCAAAATCTCTCTCAAAATATCTTCCGGTATATCTTTCGGCACGTCAGAAATAATGAAACTAGTGCAACAGTGTTTAATTAAGACTGAATCAAAACAACTATAAAAGTTGAAACAAGGACAGATTATCAAATCCATCTCTCCTGCCTTCATTAAGAAAAATTACTGATGAACCAAAGCAAAAGTTAAAAGGTAGTATGATAGATTTATGGAGAAACTTAGGATTCCCCTCCCTTTCCCGTACACAGGATTAATCCGATTATCAACCGTACACGTGGATGAGAAAGTACTATATATCAGCCGTAAACGTGAAACGATATAAGTATTATTTATTTATTTATTTAGAAAGGAAACAACATATACTTCCTATGGGCTTGATACACTATTTCGATTGGACTCTCAGTATCCAAGAAGTAAGTAGGCCCACAACAGCATGTGACCAAATTGCATATTGTTAAATCACTCTAAAAATGGACGCCAAATCTTGCCATCTCCTCCATCCAAGTTCGTAAGTATTTGAGACTCTGATTATCTGATAGATTAGCCATACCCTTAGCTTAAAGGGATGTTTTTGTATCTCAACCTCTGGCTCACTCAATTATATAGAAAAAAAAAATCACTTGTTGGTCTCGACTTGAGACGAAGAAAATTATTAGTTTATAGATATTAATTTATCAATTCTTAATTTATAGACATTTTATTATATTTAGTTATATATAATAAAAATAAAAAATTATTTTGGGATTCGTAACTTTTTCGTACTTACCGTATTATAGACTCTAATTATCGTTATTTTTGTTTCTGTTCTTTTTATAAGTGAAAAATTTCACCATGAACGTATTTTTTTTAATTCTGAATTCCTCTAATTATCCTGAAGATCCATTCCCTTTGACTAATTTATATATGCCTTTCAAAAATGACTACATTCTTCGGTGATGTACATACCTAATTATTTGTTTTCAGTACTTAATCATGATTAATGTTCCTCTATATTTTTATAATTTATTATTATTATTTTAATTAATATAAGTATAACATTAGAGGCGCCCGAGCTGCCAGCTCGGCTAAACATCTAGTTATTATTATTATTATCTATACTATATTATACTAAGAGAGAGGCCAGAGAGAGGGAATCAAATTTCTTCCCACATTGACACGTGGGACAAAATCCTGTGTCAGTTTCCAATAGGTTGCAACAAAAACTATTTTCAACAATTACACCAAATGTCCTCTAAATTTTCAGTTATTCATTTGTTACCATTTTGAAATTAATTGAATATATGAACCATTAATTAACAAACCTGCTAACTTAGCAAAAACCATAATCAACAAAAACTTTCTATTTCGTAATTGTGATATGAAATAAAAACAAAAAATCTTCAAATCTTCCATTATGTGTCACCCGAAAAAGGTAATAATTAATTTTATTCATTATACAATCTGATTTGATTTGAAATTCAAAAACAAACATATCTAATCCACACACACACACACACACACACACACACATATATATATAGTATTATACTAATAGAGAAACCAGAGAGAGAACAAAAAAGATTTTTAAAGTTACCACATAGGATAAAATCCTAGGTGTCATTTTTCTAAAGCTTGACAAAAAATATTTACAACAATTACAATAATAGTCCTTAAAATTTCCAGTAAATAAAGTTTTATCAAACTGCAATTAAATTCTATCAATTAATTTGGTGGTAAACTTTCTCTTTTTTTTTTTTGTATTCGGTCAAAAAAAATCATAACATTTAAAAAAATCAATATTATTAATGGTTTCTTTCCATTTAAAAAATGTAAACATTGATTTAATTCATTTAAAGCTTATATTTAAATTCAAACATTTTTTATTAGCACCGTTAAGGTGAATGAGCGACAAAAAAAAAAAAAAAAACCAAAGTTCAGTTATTCAATGAAAATTTACAAATTAAATACATAATCTCTTTGATTACGGCCATATCAAAATTTGTTCCGCAAAATGCCGATATGCAAGAAAAAAAAAAACAGCAAGAAAACCTCATTGAATTAATACTGATTTTTTTAACCTTCGGCCAAATTAAAACTATATATATATTTTTTTAACATATTTATTTTTTTTGTATTTCCTTTTGACAAGGCTCTGAATTTCCTTTCTCAAATTTTATTTTGGCCAATTATTTTGATTTGATGCTGATTTGACCTAATTTTGATAGGTTAAAATTTAGGATAGACACTAATTTTGATCATGCTAATTTTTGCATAATTTAGCCTCATCAAATCAATAGACCTGTTTTTTATTTGGCCGAAATATTTACCATACTATAAATGCTAATTATTAACAATACTATTTCAAATTTTAAAATAATTAAATGTGCCGCATAATTGGGAAAAGATGAAGGGAGCCGTGGTTAATTTTGGATTTCATTCAAAAAAATATAATAAATACATACCAATCTTCTTTCTTGAAATATATATACATACACATATTTGTCTTTCTACTCCATCCCAAAAAACTCTCAAACAACCCCAATCAGTATTTATTTTTGATTCGCTAAGCCTGATTTCATTGCATATATTGAGGTCTAACAAATATTTGATTGAATCTTTTGCAGTTTTTTTTGGTGATTGTGAATGAGAGTCAAAAGAAAATGTATTCATATTACGAACCAAAAAGAAGAACCTCAGAAAGAAAGCTTAACGTTATGAAATGCCTTAAAGGATGGTTAGTTTCTCCTAAGGGACAATTTAAATAGGTCATCGGTTTCAGGGAGAGGGGCAACCACCTTCAAGAAAATTCCATATCTCTCTGTGAAGCCTTGCTTTTTTGTGAAGTTCTGAGTACACCTTTTGCAGGTTATATTGCCAAATCAAGTAACTAGCGTCAATTATTAGCATTGGTATGAAACATGCTTGTTTGTTTATTTTAATGAATTCTCTCTATGATGAATGCATTTTTCTTTCTCATTGAAAAAATTAGTTTATTACTATTTAATATTTTGTTGATTAAAATCTTGATTTGATGGGTATGTATAATTTACATTCATCATGAAATTAAAATGCTTGTTTTTTAAGTGATGATACAATAACAAATGTTGTAATGATTATTTTCTTTATAACGTGTTGATAAATTAAATTTTCTGGTGATTTAATGCTGACAAGAGCCACCAGTTTATAGTATTTTATTCTTTCAATCTAAAAAAATAGTTTATGTTGAGTTTTATGAATCTCAAAGTATGGCCAAGGTATGCTTCTATCTCTTCTTCTTGGTTTTTTTTTTTTTTTTTTTATAAAACATTTACATTAATGACTTTTGGAGATAGTACGTACAATGCTTAACCTTAATCCATAGCATGAATCTCTCTTTTTCTCAACGTAGCAAGTAGTATCGCATCTCTCAATTTATAAGTATCAATTTTAGAGTCTTTCAATTTATGAATATAATTCCACATAAAACCCTATCTTGCACGACCCATCTACGGTGACGTTGGTCATCAAAGCCTTGAAAGATCCTGAAGGGACTGTTTGAAGACTAAAATATGAAGCACTTCGGGAATATTTCAATCGATGATTATATGATGTAGTTGAGATTATTTATAATAAATCACATATATATTTACACCACATGAATACACCACTCGATGATAAAGCGTAAATTCTTATATCCCGCACAATATAACATATAGTTATTATTATTATTATTATTATTATTATTATTATCTTGGTATCTTTGACTGTGGAAACGTTGATTGGCGTCGTTGTTGATTGAGGAGATAAGGAGTATTTATGTTGGTGGACAAAGATGCGGTACGAAAATAAATCAGATTGAATTTGGCACGGATGTAATTTCGCAGTAATAAGATTTTATTTTTATTTTTTATTTTATAAATTGAAATTAGATGCAGGGAATTTGCTTCCATCCAATCCAGCCCGAGGAAAACGTAAAAATACTACTGAACAAAATCCTAACGTAAAATCTGCTCTGCATTTGTGGCTTTGTGCGCCAAAGATTGTGATCACCCCTTTCACATAGACGTTTTTACGGTGCTATAAATTTCCCCACAAGTGTAATTTAATTGCAAAATCACCGGTTTTTGCTCATTCTCAGGTCTCAAGTCTCAATTAGAACTTTGGCTGCCGGAGTGAACTTTCCCCGGTGTACGGCGTCCTTATTCTGATCATGGGATTGAAGTCATTCTTAGATGTCCATCCGGATTCTCACTTCCCACTCGAGAATCTTCCTTATGGGGTTTTCAAGCCCGAACCTTCTTGCTCTGCTAGGCCCGGCGTGGCCATCGGTAACTACGTTTTGGATCTTTCCGTGGTTTCCTCCGCCGGGCTTTTCGACGGGCCCGCCCTCAAGAATTCCGATTGCTTTAATCAGGTGATTTATTCCGTTTGATTCCACTACTTGATTAAAACATCGCAACAATGAAGTGAGAATTTTACATAATATACTTCAGTAGCGGCAAGAGTGAGCTCAAAATATATACTAACGTCTGTTTTTTCTTCTGTTAAATTGTGTGGGTTTTGATGAATTTGTGACTAGCATGTTGGTGGTGTAACTGGTGTTCATGATTATTGGGTAAATTGTTGTACTTTGTTTGATTAAACGTGGTTTTTTTTAATGATTAATTAAGCAGCCTAATTTGAATAAATTTCTGGAGTTGGGAAGACCTGCCTGGAAAGAAGCTCGTTCTACTTTGCAGAAGTTATTATCAGGTTAATATTTTGTGTTTCTCCAAATGTTATTTCACATTTCTTCAGTGGGATTATGCATAGATTGATCTTTTATGATTGAGAGATGTATATAACTGCAGCAACTGAACCGACTTTGCGAGATAATGCAACCCTGAGGGCAAAAGCTTTGGTACCGATGGTAGGCTTCCATGTCTAAATAGTTGTATTCAATATCATTTGGAAGTATTGCTGAAGTTGGTTTTGTTTGATTTGTCCACGATGCTGGTACAGGATAAGGTGCAGATGCTTCTTCCAATCGCGATAGGAGACTATACTGACTTCTTTTCATCAATGTATCATGCTAGGAATTGTGGTATTATGTTTCGAGGCCCAGAGAATGCAATCAATCCAAACTGGTATACAACATTGAAAATTCTGCTCTTAGTGTTTATGGAGAAAAAAAAAATAAAAATAATGGGCTGTGAACAAATTGATAATAAAGAATGAAACTCAGAAAGTAGAGTTTTTTCATTGGATATTTCTGTTATTGTTGATTATGTTGTTTGGGGGCCTTGGTCTTGTTTTCAGGTTTCATCTTCCTATCGCGTACCATGGAAGAGCTTCCTCTATAGTAATATCTGGAACAGATATCATTAGGCCAAGGTAGCTTTAAAAGTACCATTCTTCTTTACTTCAAGTATGTCTAATAAGCTAGACCTTTGCTAAAATGGCTTGGAATCATTATACAGAATTTTCAGAGAACAAGAGTAAATCTGAGCAACAGTTATCTAGTCTTGGGTGGAAATGACTCAACTGCCAACATGTGCATTTTTTGCATAGTAATATATTGTAAATATTGTGTTCTCATATATGCCACTTCTTTCCTCTTGAATTGGAAATGATTTCTGTTTTTCCCCCTCCATGTCTCCACATTGCCTTCAGAGGACAAGGTCACCCTAGCGGCAATTCTCCACCTTATTTCGGACCTTCTCGAAAGCTGGACTTTGAGCTGGAGATGGTAAGCTTCTGCTATATGTTCAAATTCCACACTGTTATCTCTCTATTGTGAACCAAGCTCTACATCTAGAGTTAGAGCATTCTCGTATATACATTAAAAAAATTCAACTCTGTTACTAGTTTTTCTTACTTTTGTCCGGTTATTCATTTGTTTAAGGCCGCTGTAGTTGGTCCGGGGAATGAATTAGGAAAACCTATTGACGTAAATGAGGCTGCAGATCATATCTTTGGAGTTGTTCTGATGAATGATTGGAGTGGTATGGGCATTTGGACTTATGATTCACTTTCTTTACAGTTTGTTTAATGGTTCATTGTGAATTGACTTGTAATTTACCTAAACAGCAAGAGACATTCAGGCATGGGAATATGTTCCCCTTGGTCCTTTTCTTGGGAAGAGTTTCGGTAAGTGACTCTTTTATATTATCTCAAAAACTCTTGTAAGACATGCAACAAATTCCATCACTTGATTCTGCTTCTAATGGAAGTCGGTTTTTGATGGTTGTGCTTTTTCATTAGGTACAACTATATCCCCTTGGATTGTGACCTTAGATGCTCTGGAACCCTTTTCTTGTGAAGCTCCAAAACAGGTATTTATATTCTCTTTGGCACTTTATGAGAATGATCGAATCATCCAATTGTGGTCCAAATGGTAATGTTTAGCTTTGATGCAGGAACCTCCTTCTCTCCCTTACCTTGCTGAGAAAACCTCAAGAAACTATGATATTAATTTGGAGGTAATTTTGTTAGTCTCATTGTTCTCTTTTGTATCCCCACGCACAGAGATGCACAATGGGGAACTACGGTGCTTTAGTTAATGAGGATTAATATCTTATTTTTATGAAAATACTAGGTCAGTATTAGACCTGCTGGACAAGGAGATTCGCATGTCGTCACCAAAAGTAACTTCAAGCACTTGTAAGGATTCTGTCTTCATTCATTTTACCCAGGCGCTGTCATAAATGTGTTTGATTATTTATATGCTTACTGCTGAAGGTTTTTGTTCATCTTCTGTTTTTCCCTTCCCATCCCAATTTCTTGGATTTGATGTTAATAATCAATTGAACATGATGTTGACGTTATATTTGTCACCAAATTTGCTGCAATCTTGAATGTTTCTCCACACTCTGCACATCATTGGAAAAGATTTAAGGGTAATAGAAAGCCCTAGGAACAGGATTGAACAGGCTAAACTTGGACTACCATCTTCATCCTCCATACAAGAACCATAGTTTATTTTCTTCGCCTTCATAATTATGGTCACTGGCTTAAGTTCTTACTTTTCCTCATAAACATGTGATTGGTGTTGTATATGACCCATGGAAGTTGTTTGTGACCTAGGTACTGGACAATTACCCAGCAACTTGCACATCACACTATTAATGGTTGCAACTTAAGACCTGGCGATCTCCTTGGAACTGGCACTATCAGTGGACCTGTAAGATTTAATTCCGTGTTTTGTGAATTAACCACACTTCTGGTCTTGATATATTAGATTGTTGCTGCAATGCTGCTTCTATTTCTTTGTAAACTGTGAGCATTCATCTATGTCTATTCAGGAACCAGATTCTCTTGGATGTTTGCTGGAGCTCAGCTGGAATGGTACGAAATCAGTGACTCTAGGTGGAACATCACGGAAATTTCTTGAAGATGGGGATGAAGTAATCTTTTCCGGTTTCTGCAAGGTTAGTAAAATATTGAATTTTTAGGAGGCAAATTTGGGTAGCATTTGGTCTCTAATTCCATGATTCTTTGTTTTTCTCTTTTGTCTTCTGCTATACTCGTTAACCTAGGGTAGTACATCAATCTGTTGAAATTCATAAGAAGCTAAATCCTAAAAAGGCAATCAATTCCATGTGTTTTTGTAGATAACTTGACACGGATTCATTTTGCAGGGAAATGGTTACATTGTCGGATTTGGATCCTGCTCAGGGAAGATTCTTCCATCGCTACCTTGAGAATTCAGCTAGTCATTGGAGGAGATGCATACCTTGACCAGTCCTCCATATTTGTTTTTGAGGATGGTTTTAGGGATACCTGTGTGATCACCCTAGCTTCCATTTTATTCCTTGTGTACCTCAAATTCATGTGAATAAAGTGAGCAAGTGACGTTTCAAGTATAAAGTTAAACGTTTGCTTTAGCTTGTTCAGTAGTCTGTACTAAGGTGTTTACCATTTGTCTGGACCCTTTTGGCTTTTGAACAGGCAGGTTTATCTGGGCTTTGCAATTAGCCAGCAGTTTGTCGAGGGATTTGTCATCTTCTAAGCCATAAACTAAACAATTTACTCCCGAAATCTCAGTCATTGAACAAGTTGTGTACCATATGATCTCAGGAGTACCATATTAGACCTTTTAAGGACAAATCTTTTCTGAAAATTTCACTGCAAAACGTAAAAGGCGTACAATGATAAAGTAGAAAGGCTAATAGGGCTCTCTCAATGGGTGATGCATCCTTAAGCCTAGGATGTTTTTTTAATCGAAATAAAAATTTTAAAAACATTCTATAATAATTAGGAGAATACAACGATTATGAAAATATGTTAAAGACATATTAGGTGAAACCTAAGACAAAATCATAATATCTTATAATAAGGACCGGAGAAGTACATTTTAATGCATTTGTTTCAATACACTTAAAGGCTGATGAGCATTTTGTTTTTAATTTTTATTTTTTTGAGAAAGGCTGATAAGCATTTGGTTCAATACAATTGTGATTTTGGCTTGTGCGGAAAAAAAGGAACAGAAAAAAGTGGAAGCCAGTCAAAATCAGAAACGATGAAGTGGGCCTAAAAACATCGAACTATTAGAAACGACAAAAAAGATAAAAGCAAGTGGGCCTTCAGCCTACTCAATTAACGGGCTGAACTTTTTCCACTTTCCGTATAAACGGAACAAACACTAATCACCTCATCGTTGGCCACCGCCATCACCACCATTTCGCCAACGCACACCACTGTGATGAAGCCACCGTCTTCTCGCCAAGGCAGAGGTCGTTGTTCATTTTCCACCACAGCCACTCTCACTTCTTATAAATTCCAAAATGAGCACTCCACCGCCGAATCAACTGTCAAAACTATCCGAATTCCCGTAACATCGCCCACCGCCACCGCTTCCGGTGGAGTTGATGATCATGCCTCCTCACCTCCGCCGCCGCCGCAGCAGCAATCACCGCTACCTCCATCATTTTCCCGAGGCAAAACTGCTGCTCTGAGGATACAGTCAGCTTATCGGTCTTACGTGGTGCGAAGGCTTGTGAAGAAAATGTCTGCGGTTAACTCTGAAGCCAATAATTGGCAAAGGCTCATTCAGCGCCAGGTCGGTAATTCCTCAGTTTCTCCCTTGAGATTTAGTCTCTGATCATGTTCTTGAATTCTTGATTTTTTCTTCTTTTTGGAATTTTTCCGTCGTCTTTTGACGGTTTCAGTTCAGTAAGTAGTTTTATTCCTAATATTCGGCAAATTTAGTGGAACATGATTGACAAATGCTGTTCATGACTTAATTGATTGATACCAACTGGTGAGAACTTTTGAAGTGAAGAGATTGTCCGTCTTTTCTAATTTTCTTCTATTGCATATACTTCAATGATAATCCTGACTCTGTTCATTTTTTGTTTAGTTTTTTCTGTCCAACATTCCTTTCTTTGTCGCTTTTGATACTTTGTTGTTTATGAGGGCATCGGTTCGTCTAATGTCCAGGAAACTGTTGATGCTGTGCGGAGCAGTGAGCGTGAGAGGATTAGGATCAACGAAGCCTTGATGGAGTTATTGTTTAGGTTGGATTCAGTGCCTGGAATTGATCCCACAGTGAGGGAACTTAGGAGGCACTTGAGTCGGAGGATCGTGGGTTTGCAAGAGATTCTTGATTCCGTTTCAGATGCCAGGATTGAGAATTGGGATGGATTCTTAAGGGATTGGGACGATGCCATTGCATGGATGGAAAAAGATGTTTGCCGAGCTAGAGGAGGCAATGGCCATGAGCTGGAGAAATTTTGCGCCGAGCATCTTGGATTTCATTGCCTACAAAGGTTTCTTCGCGTTCAATGAAATCCTCTGATTATGAAATTTTGGTCTCCATTTACTGCCTTGAGGAACTTATTTATGATGGATGACCTTGCTAGTATCTGTTGTAGTGTTTTCACAGGTTAAGTTCTTTGTAACTTCATAATGCTGTTCATGAGTAATCTACCAGTGTACATAGCCCAGTGAAATTGTAAGTGATTACATAAACTGATAACTACTAATGACTCTAAACCTTCCCATAGAGACTCATACCAGATATGAAGAACCAGTCATGTAAAATAGCAATATAGCATACTTCATTTGTCATTCAGTTTCAGCTGGTTTTTTTTCCTCAATCAGTTAGGCAATGTGTTTAACTATGTAGTGATTTGCATTCTTTTCAATTGTCATTGATGTACTTTGAACTAGAGGAATGGACAGGACGTACTACTTGGGCTGACAAGGCTGCTGGTCTTGAGAAATTCTATGAAGGCAAGAATTTCTGTGCAGGTTTTTGTGTCTGCTTTCCCCCTTCTGAAAGGAGGGAAGAACAGCCAGAAACTGCTAGACAAGACAAAAGCTATTTGTAAAAGCCTTGATAGTGCGACAGGGACCTGAAACCTCCCACTTAGGATTCTCTTAATTCCTATTTCTGCAGCCACAGAGGCTCCCTGAAGGAGAAAGAAGCACGTAAGTTCGCCTGTTGGTTTCACTCTTCCGATGTTGTAAAGTATCCATTCGTGCATTAGGCCCGATACCAGAAATGTTGCCATCACTGCAGGAATTGGAGACCATTTCCTTCCTGCCATGGGTTCACAGAAGGATCTAACAGGATCGTAAACTGTAGGTCGCAGAATCTTTGATGCCATAAGGTTCCATCTTTTGCCCCAAAAGTCTTGAAGCGATGTGGCTAAATACGGTTCATCAAACTGTGGCTCCAGCTCTGCCCTCATCAACCCTCGAGCCAACCCGGCAGTCATCGCCAGAATCAACTCCAGCGCGAGGTAAAGAAAGGCACAGTAGATCAATAACATAAACCATGGATTTGAATGAGCATGCTTGACTGTCAGCATAACAATCGCCAAAATGGTAATCTTGGATGCATAGTTAATGGTTGATTTATGGCCATTCAAGGGCTTCTGGATCTTCTCATTCGTTGACTTTGGATGTGATTGATACTGTTGGTGAGCAGCCTTGATAGGTAAACAAGCCAAGGCTATGAAATAAGGCAGTGGAGTTGGAGGATTGGAAGACAAAGGGCCTTGATCAAAGGCAAAGAGGAGAAGCTTGAAATTGGCAAGCCAGGCTACGAAAAAGGCGGTGGTGCCCCCGAGGGAAATGGTGGTGAGATTCATGGGAAGGACAACAAATAGGCAAATTACAGGAAGTAGGGCTAAAGGCCTGATGATGGTGGCGCTGGAAAAGTGGCTTCCAATCATATGACAATAACAGAGAGAAGCCAAGACTACAACCCATACCATGATGAAGTTGACCATCTCGTTCTGATCACCATCCATTTTTTCCGTCGTGAAACGGTCAACGAATCCTTGAAGAATATAAGCAGGGGCTTAGAGTTGGAAGTTGAAACTTGGAATCCAATTTGATGTTGATTTTGCAATTTACTACTTTAGAAAAGAAAGTCAAAGAAGTGGAGCTTGAACTTTTGTTCATCTGAATTCAATAATGCAAAGATGTAGGGATATTCCATTTCCTGGAAGTAACCCCTTGTGATTAATGGTGTGTGGCCGGTAGAACAATTTAAAGAAGGGACCAAAAACTCCGTCCAAATGGGATGCCAATAACTGTCAATACTGCTGATGTTACTGCCCGTGGGTCATATGGTACAATCTTTCTTAGAATATTAGTATTGTCTAAATGAAATTAACTGGGGACAAATTTTTGTTTTGAAGAAAAGACAGGAAACAGAAATTTGAAGGCATTCATCATTACCAATCCCATCCACTCAAAATAAAAAACCATCATATCATGAGATTCCCTAAATACAGGGTCACCTCCTGGTGTGTATGATTTTGCAATTTGCGTTACAAGACTAATGACATGAAATGTTGAACTAGAGCTTATTTCCGAAAGAACCAAGGAAAAGGGGAACAGAAGAAACTAACAAGACGTCAAGACTGTAAAATAATTAAGCAGAAGAACAAGAGCACTTGCATTGGGAGAGGCATTTCTTGCAATCAAGGAGCTTAGGGTAATCAGAATTACAGTCGCATTTCTTGACACACAGGTTGCGGGAAGTGCCACGCCATAAACACCTTGCCATGCACCTCATGATGGGGACGCAGGCAGGGCAGCTGTTCTTGAACCTGTTTGCGAGGCATTTGCTGCAACCGCTGCCGTTGTCGTAGGAAGGACATGCCGTAATTACCACAACACCCCCCATCTCTGTGGCCATCAACATCATCAATATTAGTAGTACTACTACTCCCACGGTCCCAATTGATCTTCTTCTTCTTCTTCCCAGCCCAATTTCACCACCACCTTTCATTTTTATCTTTTTTTAGGCCCCCTTTCTTTTTTCTACCCTACTTTGTTTCTGTTTTGCTGGTTTGGTTGGCAGCTAGCTCTTTCGTACAGGGAGGTGTATAAATATGTCAGTTCCCATTCGGAATTTAATGACTTCGGTAATGGGTTTTCCTTGGGTTGCTCAATATGCATGAGTGTGTCGATCATATCCTCTATTTATATCCCAACTAAGTACCTAACCCACCCCCCCACGTAAAAACAATTTACATTTAAATAGCCACCATTTCTAGTGTGTTCATTTTATCAGTTTCATCATTTTCGTCATCACTATTAGAGGTTTATTAGTGAGAATAATGATTTAGGACACTCCGAATGGATAACACACCAACAAATAAAAAAAGTGCGGTACTACTCTGAGTGAAAATGCTTTACTGTGGTGGTGATGGTTTTACCTTAGAAATTTTTCTTTCATAATTGCTGGAACAATTACCCACCCTTTAGCAAGAAATATCAGTTTGGCTTAATTTGGATTTTTCAGTCTTCAGTCTCATCGACCCAAACTGACCTATTCAATTTATGTCCTCACGAGAAACTGAGTCCTCCGCCAAATTAAGCAGCTCATTCTGTCCAACCATCAACTAGTAGTATACTGTACAATCTAGAATGTCAAAATTACACCTTTTTTTTTTTTCTAGTCCAAATCTCCACCAATTTGTGGAACCTTTTTACATGACAAATAGCTAAAGGAATTTAGCAAAAATTGCAAACACCGGAAGACTAGGCGAATTATTCAAATTACATGATCATCGGTGTAATTAGGCAGGAAAGGACAGGTAACATTGTTTGGATTAACAAGTTGACCATGCTTCAAGAACTCAACAAAAGCAAGTGATTCCGTACACCCTTTCCAATCAGCCTTAGCCCTCAACAACGGCGGGAAGAAGAGCCAAAAACTCGAATAAATCACAAACCCAAGTGTCAATGGGGCTGACACCATCATTGGGGGTACCCAAATCTTCCTCCCCTTACCCTTCAATGCCCTTTTCACCCCTAATTCAACTGCTAAAGCCACCCCATGAAGAATGAAGAAACACATCACCACCCCATTGGGCTTCACCCTTCCGATATTGTAAAACACTAGCTCATGCATCAGCCCTGATACCACAAAAGTCGCCACCACAGCCACGACGCTGGCCCACTCCGGCCCAACAAACCCTTTTGAGATCCCACGGACCGGATCGTAAACAGTGGGCCTCAAGATGTTGGACACCATCAGATTCCACCTCCTCCCCCAGAAGTCTTGGAGTGACGTGGCTAAGTACGGCTCATCAAACTGCTGCTCCAGCTCCACCCCGACGGCGGCGCGTGCTAATGACGCGACAGCGGCCAGGATCATTTCTAGCATGAAGTATATGTGGAGGGCGTAGAAAAACCAGATGATCTTTTCCGGGATCGACTGTTTATACGCATAAACCCTAATGCATAAGCCCAAAAGAGCAATCTTCACGGCATAATTCTTCAGGGTTTTTGAACTCCTCTTGTTTCGTGAAGGCGAAGAAGAAGATTGGCGTTCTTGATGAGGCTTGATGGGAAAGCAAGCGACGGCTATGAAACGAGAGACGGAGGAAGAGGTGGCGGAGGAGGAGGAGGAGGACAAAGGGCCTTTGTCGAAAGCGAAAAGGATGAGCTTGAAGCTTGAAAGCCAGGCGATGAAGAAGCAGGTGGTGCCGCCGAGATGAATGGTGGTGAGTCTGAGGGGGAGAAAGAAGAAGAGGATCGGAACGGGGAGGATAGCGATTACGCGCCACCAGCTTGGTTGCCGGAATATCTTGCCGACGGTGTGACAGTAGTAAAGACAGGACAAAACCGTTGCCCACACAAAAACGAAGTTGATAATTTCACCATCCATGTCTTTCTCTCCCTTAATTCACAAAACCGACTACTACTTTATAAGATGCTTTCTGGTTAGTATAGTAGTACTAATACTTATAGTTACAGGTTCAGACAAAAATCGATCTGGTCAATAAATGCAATCTATATATAAAAAAGAATGTTTATTAATTAGTAGTAGTACTAATTAATTAGTAGACTTAATCATCAGGGTGTGACACTGCAGCCTTTCAATCTACCTTATTGTTTTTGTTGCAGTATTGGATTTTTTATTTTTTGTTTTTTGTTTTTTCACTTTCCTCTCCGGGTTTAAGGATGGAACGATTCCTTGTTTAAATTTTCAATGTTGAGTGAATCGTTAAGACTTTTCTCGCAAAAAAATTGATGCACAGTGACGAGTCACATAGCATTTGTTGACCAACTAAGGCTATGTTTGTTTGGTTTTTTGGATGGTTTTTTAGATTATTTTAATAATAAATGTCTCATTCTAGCATATCTTTTTACATTTTTAATACAGTTTTTTACATTTCTAATACAAAAAACACTTAAAAACACACATTTAAAAAACGAAATAAACATACCCTAAAATGGTATTAAGCTTCTTTTTTCCAAAGACCGAGTGACTACAAAATCTTAATAATGTGTACATTATTCTTTGGGAGTAGCAGTAAGTAATGGTAGTTTAATTGGACTTATTCTAACACTATCTCCATTCACAAATAGATGTTGTTGGAGAGATTTCACAAAATTCAAAAAGACAATAGTTATCTTGTTAAAATACTATAATATCATCATTTACTCTTAATACAATTGTAGTGCCAATAACATTTAGTTCTAATACAATTCTACATTAAACATTATTATAGTTTCCAATATAAGGGTAGTATTTGAAAATTTTGACAAAATTTGTCTCGATTTGTGATAACGACATCTATTTGTGAATGGAGGGAGTACCTTTTACGTCCCGATATAATAGATCATTTTAAAATTTTCTTTTTGGTGTTAATTATACTAAAAATAAAGATCTAAATAGAAAAATCATTTAAAAGGAAATGGATGATAAAGTAGTCTCCTTATTTCAATATATATATGTATATATATATATATTGTTAAGTTAAATAAAAAACAAATAAATTTTATCCAAATGATGGAGTATTTATTAGTTTTTGGACTTGACCCGTTATATTTTCTAATCTTCAACATCACTGTTCACGGAAGCTTAATACAAATTGAAACTGGGACCAACCACGCGAGGTGAAAAGTTAAGTGACAATTAATTAGGAAGTTCGTTCCTCTTTAACTAGGTCTCGAATTTAATTTTTTTTTTTTACTAAATATTCCATCCATTTCAAAATATAGATTGTTTTAGACTTAGAAAAATATTTTAAAATGTAGGTTGTTTTACGATTTCAAAGTAAATTAAAGATTAATTTTCTAACTTTGCCCCTGATAAATGATAATGATCACTTTTTATATAGTTTTAGTTATAGTTCTAAAACAATTAACGATTGGTAAAATAGATATACAAATTAATTATTGAATGATTGTGTCTTTAGTTTACATGCAGAGGCTAAAGTGATTTACATCTTGAAACAGAGGGAAGTAAGTATAGATGTATAATTGTAATATGTTGAATATCTTCTAGTCGCACAAAGTGTATCCATTCCGGGTCCAACACTAATATTTCACACACCCAGAGTTCTGGAGCAAGAAACTAAAAAGACAGAATACAGGATATGAAATCCTCTGACATATGCCGTTGTCACTACATCAATCATGCATATTCTTCTAAAGTAGTCTAAAACCTGAAATCTTATACTAGTTGATAATGAATACATCAGATCACATTTTCTCACTGTATGCAATCAGCTCTAATTTGTTTCATCAGGGCGGGTCAAAATACTGTAAGATTGAGATCACACCATTTGTGTGCCAACATTTCATATCATATCTGTATAGCACCCTCGAAAATCAGGCATACTACACATGAACTAACGACCTCTCTATCACCTCATTCAATTCATTACCAATCTTAATCACCTCAACTAACCCATTAAATTGACGCAACCCATGAGTTGTATTTGGCTGTCACGTTGTCAACTTTTAGTTACAGTAATAAACGTGATTCCAAAATAAATACTACTACTATTATACTAGTCCACACAATGATTTTTGATATACATTAGATTATTTTTTGAGACAAAAAAAAAAAATAATGTATAACACGCGTACGTCAATTTGAACGAATAATCATTCTGATTGCTGAAGAAAAATTTCACACAAATAAAGTAGGAAACATACGAGAATCTTTCACAGTGCCAACAACTTTCTAACCAAAAAAGTTCCCAAATCCTTCAAAAATGCACCAAAGGCAATCCATTCCTCCACAACTCTTCCTTCAACCTTATGATCCGCCATATCTTGAACCAGCAGCCACATTGCCGTGCCGATAACGAACCCGAAAATTAACGGCCCTGTAACAACACTCTTGGACATTGACCTTGTCCATTTCCCAGTGAATTTACTTGTTACTGCGGCCTCAACTACCAGGCACACCCCATGAAAGATGAAAAACATCGTAATTCTAAACGTGGGCCAGGTACGACCCAAATAGTACATCAAAAGTTCATGAATAAAGGCCGACATGAAAAAGGTCGCAATTAAAGCATTTACTAGAGCCCACTTATGCCCAACTTTCCTTGATGTTGAGTAGTTATAAATGGGCCAGAACACAACTGTACGCAGATTTTCGGAAGCTACTCTATTCCACCTTCGACCCCAAAAATCCTTCAAAGAAGTAGATTTAAGAGGATTGTTGAAGGGCGATTCGAGTTCTACACTTAATAATATTTCGCCAATTAATGTTACAACGCTAAGCATAAGGTCTAATCCAGAATAAATGTACATAGTAGAGCACAACAAGAAGACTTTTCGATGCAACCGATCCCTGTTTTGGCCCAAATAGAGCAAAATCGCTACGCCGATTGCGCAGTTAGCAAAATGTAAAGGGTCTCTAATTTGTCTTTCCCCTTTCGGAACCTTGTTTCGTTGGATGTTAAGTGGGAAACAAGTGAAGAGCACAAAGGGGATTAAGGAAAGTGATGGTGGGCCGGATGATAATGGGCCGGTGCCGAAGGCCAGAAGGAGGAGCTTAGAGTTGGCAAGCCAAGAAATGAAGAAGAAAGTTGGACAGCCTAAATGGACTGAGTTAAGCTTGAAAGGCAACACGGTAAAGAGAAAAATTACTGGCAGAAACATGACCAGCCTTACCAACCCTTCCGGTGCAGTTTCGGCCACATAATAACAGTAGATAGCAAGTGTGAAAATGGAGGCCCAAATCATGAAGAATGTGCCGATTTCTCCATCCATGGTCAAGAATCCAAAGATTTTTTTATTATTTTTTTTTTCTCCTCCAAAATGCCTTTCGAGAGGGGCTTAGAATTGACCTTGACCCTTACCGATGGAATTATATAAAAGAGGGACTTGAATCCATCCAAACTGGGGGGCTGTAATCATTTTTCCGGAATGTGAGAAGAATTCAAGGTTGCCCAACAACTAGATTTCAGCTCAGTATATGGTAAAATATGTTTCGTGCCTCTGAGCCAAACTAAAAGTCTAAAAGGGAAATGTATGCATAGCTTTATTGTCGGTGCATGCATGTTAATACATACTTTCTTATTTAAAAGAGAAATTTATTATATACAATATATAAGTTTATCAAGGAACACTACATAAAGATTGGTAATACGCTAAACTATTAATATTATTGTTTTAAGGAAATATCTTGTTTTAGTATCTTCTTTTACACCTTTTTAAACCTCATGTCAATACGCATAGGGAGAGCTGCAATGGTATGTCCATTTCATAAATTGATTGAAATTGAAAGGCAACATCAATTTCAAAAACAAAAACATGCACCTTCCTTTCGATGGCTAATCACGAATTCATGATCGTAACTTTTGCCCGTGCCCCTTATTTAAGGCCTTCTTTTAAAAAACGAAAATATCATTCAGATAATTTTTCTTCTAAACATTGAAGGCTAACAACTATATCGAGATATTTATATTCCCTCATTCTCATAATAATGTGGAATGGTTAACTAAATAATAAATATATGAAAATATGACTCGACATGATTAATAGTGAAGAAAAATTATCTCAATAATATTCAATCAATAGATTTGTTTACCTATAACCTAATGTATAATCTTCTATAACATAAATGTACCTTCAGACCAAAAATAGACAATTTTCTTACAACTTGGTTCACTATGAAGCTCTACTAGTGTATGTTGTTGAATTGGAAGGTTGTATCATATCCAAAGCCCTACTCACATCCCTAACAAAAGCACCTAATGCAGCATATTCCTCAAATGCCCTGACGTCAGCATTATGCCTCAACATTTCCGGCAGAAACAGCCAAAGTCCGGTGACCATAACAAACAGAAAAACCAAACCCGTGGCGACAAACCTCGGCAACCGCCACCGGTCGTTAACAATCCTCTTCACCGCAATCTCCACCACAAGACAAGCCCCGTGGAGCAAAAAGAACCAAGTAGCTCTCCACGTGGGCCAAGTCCGGCCCATATAGTAAAATATCAGCTCGTGCATCAGGGCCGATACGACAAATGTAGAAAACACCGCCGGAACTGGGGCCAGCTCACGGCCCAATACCTTCGCGGACAATTTGTGGACCGGTTCGTATACGGTAGGGCGTAAGACACGCGTCACCATGATGTTCCATCTGCGTCCCCAGAAATCTTGCAGAGAGGTCGATAACAGAGGTTCTTTGAAAGTCGGTTCCAATTCTGCCCCCAATGTTACCCTTGCAATGGTTGCAACTATTGCTAGAATGATTTCCAATGCAATATAGATATGGAAACAATACATAATACAAATGATGAATGGATGGATAAATTCACTGTAATCATACAACCTGATCATGGAAGCCAGGATAATCCCTTTTACTGCATAATTCAAGATCGATTTTTGACCAACCTTTTTGCTACTTTTTGCATTTGGGACTGATTTTTGGTCACTTTTAACACTTACTTCAGATGGGTTTGTTTGATTGGATTGGATTCGGATTGGGAGGGAAGCAATTGCGAGAAAGCGTGGGAGGGAAATGGAAGGGTCGGAAAGAGGGCCAAGATGGAAGGCAAACATGATGAGCTTGAAGTTTGCAAGCCAAGCTACAAAGAATGCAGATGTGATTCCAAGATGTAAAGAATGGAGCTTTAGTGGAAGAGCTATGAAGAGGCAGAGTACAGGAAGGAAAATCAACAGTCTGGGGATGCCTTTTGGAACAATCTTTGCAGCCAAATAGCAGTAGAGCAAAGAGATGTGAACAGTGAGCCATACCTTGATGAAATTAGCAATTTCTCCTTCCATCCAATACAGCATCACATTCTTTATGTCTCTCATCTCATCCTGATCCATCTTCTAAAATATCCCTTTAAATCGATACCAATTGCCAATTGGATATGTATATTCAAGTGAAATGAAACGCAGAAGATGAAGACAAAGTTGTCTGTCTTAACTGAAAACAAAGTTGTTGGTGCCAAAACTGTCTTAACAGAGAACAAGGTTGTTAGAGGAGAAAAAGAACAAGGAATGGCACTTCAAGGAAGCTGCAAGAGGGAAGAGAAGAAAGAAGAGTTCAAACTTCAACGCCAAAAGTCCGAAGCTTTGGCTGGGACTAGTCACTATTTATTGATTAGTCAACGTCTTTCTTTTAATCTTTTCCAATTTCCATACGTAGCAACTCACCAAAGCCCCAATAGAGATTTTGACGTGAAGAAGACAATAACAAGTTGTGAAATTCGTGGAGGAAATATACTCCATATTTTCTAGAAATTACCTTATAATGGGAAAGAAATATCTTCCTGGACAGTTTTAGGGTATGTTTGTTTCATTTTTTAGTATGTGCCTTTAGGTGTTTTTTGTATTGAGAACGTAAAAAGATGTATTGGAAATGTAAAAAGATATGTTGGGATTGGACAGTTATTAACTTTTAGAAGTACCACCAAATCCACCTTTTATAGTTGCCGTGGTCATGTGTTTGCTTCATTCTACCTGTGGTTTTAGTTGTGTTCTAGCTCCTTCCATCAGCTAAAATTAAGTTTCATTCGTTACCGATTTATGAAATCCAATCCCTACGAATTACGAATCAATGTAAACATTTTCCGGCAAGTCTAGTTCTGCTTCACCGCAAGGAGTTGACAACTGAAGTACAACCTCATTCGCCACTTACAACTTTTTTTTTTAATTTTTATATGCATTAAAATCCATTTTGCAAAGAATTAACAAATTGTGAAGATGTTCTAATTAGATCCCATGTTTAACCAAGTACGGTTAGTGACCGGCATAATTAGACAACCTACCTTATTGTCTGAATGGAAGTCTATAATTTACGGGCGTACCACGTCTCTGCGATCCAGAGTCAACAAAGACACGTTTGTTTTTCCCGAATCCTTGAGGAAATTTGTTTTACAGTCAACGCCAATTAGTCATTCATAGTCCACTCTGTCTTCTACACATAAGGAAATAATTCTTTGATGTGCCGCTTTGTTGCCCTCCATTGCATTTGGAGCATACCCTGTGCTCTCTATTTGCGTGATCACTTTCTCCATTCGCTCATTGGCTAATTATGGTTAAGCCAATGACTATTGCGGTAAAATAACAATTCCCCCCGACTGAGGCAATCTATCTACCTATGTGTGCATAGCTAGGAAGACTTTAGAGATCATAATTTCAAAAAATAATGGGTAAACAGATTACTGCGTATCATACTATCTATAAATCAAGTATTCAACATTTTCATCATATATAATGTGAAATTCCAAAAGCTGACTAAAGATTTTCTTCAATATGGAAGCTTCCAACCTTGAATGCGCATTGTTCTTGCACAATAGACACGTTCACATTCACCCTAGGATTGTGAATTAAATTGTTAGCAAATGAAGCGGTCCCAATCCACAAATTTAGAATAGGAAAACCATTTTAGACCTAACCCACTCTCATTTGGGACCGATAAACAGGAAGAACCAGATCTGATTGTCCAAAATCATGATCGCTGAGTATACATTACTTAGATAAGGAAAGTTCTTTCCAAAAAGTAAACAGCACTTCGAGCAAGAAATTTAGAACACAGCTGCAGACTTGCACTAAGAACAGGAAATTTTATAGTAACTAAAGGATAAACTATACCTACTTTCTTCCTAATGAGCACATTTATCAAGTACTCCGGTAAGGCAGTGACTAGTATTTCTTTTTGGACTTGTAACTGGTAACAAAATCTCACAAAATCATAAAGGCAAGCACTCAAAAGGGTCGAAAACTTTATTCTAGAAAGAAAATAGAAGTAACCTATAAACCATACTAAAGTCTGTCTTCATCCAAACTAGTAAGCCAATTCAGCCGTCACTGTCTCGCCGATACCTCATCCTGGCCATCTTAGGTCGCACAATTTTCGTCACTGTCTCACCGTTATCTCCAGCATCTCCATTTTCTTTTCTTTAAATCATGGACTGAGCATTAATTTCCCTCACTACCTCCAGTTCTCCTGTTGAACATAACATAGGATGTTAATCCATATCTAACTCCCCAAAAGGAAAAAATAAATTGTAACTGAGAGAAAAGTTAATATAAACGGCATAATAAAAGTAACCTGAAAGCACTTGTGTATGATGCTGCTAGTTTTCTTTGAAGTCCGGAGATCCGTATGTAAAGTATTAAGTAGCCATGACATAAACTCAACTGGGTCAGACTGTTGACCAATCCAAAACCGTTTTTTACTGGTTTTCATAACCGCTTACAAGAACTCATGAGAACTAACCTGCAAAAACTCGGAACATTAAAATAAAAACCAAGGACCATAGAAACCTCCTCATTAATATTGCACTTAACCTTACCTGAATACCTGTCCCTTGAAGTTTCTTGCATACCAAATTTTTCGTGTAAGCTCTCCAAACCGATGAACAAGCGGAGATTTGCTGTGCTGATAGTTCTCTAGGATAAGGAAAAAATTCCTCAGAGGAGTAACTCGCAATAAGGATTGAATAGTCACATTAACAAAATAGGTCTCCTTGATGTTATTCAGTCCCACCTGAAGATTCCAAAATGGGGGGAAAAACATCAATGAAAAATCCAGAATAAGACCTACTTAAAAATGGGAGAAAATAAAGTCTTGAACAAACCATTCCGGGGAGATAATCTGATCCGTCAAGAGCCCTAGACCACTGCTTATTCTTGTAAAGCTGCTCAACTTGTTCCCTAGAAAACCTGTACCCCAATGGCACAAAAAGAGCGGGGTTAGAAAACCATAGAGAAAGGAAATTTGGAGAAATAATTTTCACAAAAAAAAAGAAAAGAAAAGAAAAAGAGTCTGCAAAAAGCAAGGAGACAAACCTCGGATTACGAGCATGTCGTATATCATCCAGTGATTGGTCAATAATTTCTTAGCCATCAGGGAGGCAATAAACTTTCTCTCTCCGAAGATTAATGTACACATGGTGTCATGCTTCCAGACTGTGAGAATATATACATGGGATTTTTGCCCCCTCCCTTGAAAGTACTTCCCACAAGGCAAACATGCATAAACATTCAAATTGGAGAGGGAAACTGAGCAAAATTTCTCAAAGTCAAAATCCAAAACCTGCAAGAGGATTGAGACAATTATTATCTAATGTTGAAACGACATCATTACAGGTTCGAAAACCAAGCAAAATCTAGGATCCACTTCAAAGTTGGACCAAGTGTTCCTCCACTTTTGATCCGTCCATTGATTGGAAAAGATACTTTGCTTCGATTATCAGCATACTGGGCTGGTGAGTTACAGCAAAAGCAAAATAAATGAAGACAAAACACAAATGGTAGGGGAAAAGAAAACCTAGCAAACTAGCAAAGGGAAGAAGCGTGACAATAAGAATAATAAACGGAGAGCGACCAATCGAACGTTGAATGAAATTACCTGTCGATTAAATGTATCAAGATAAGGGCAATCCCTCCTCAAATCAATAGACCGATTACGGTTCCTGACATTTCCGTTTCCAAAATGCTCTTCCTCACCATCATCGTCATCGTACGAGGCCAGTGGAAGTACTGCATTTTCAACAACTGAAGCCAGTGGTGGTGCCTCTCCCCGTACCCCAACAATTATAAACCCTAGAATACCACTAATTATACGCAGAGGAGGGACTAGATTGTGAGCGGGAGAAAATTAAGGATTTGGAAACCCCATGAACTTTGGTAGGGTTCAATTCGAATTCTCCAGATGAATTTGCTGATTGAATTGGGGCTTTTTTCTTTAAGGCTTTGATCGATTGTGATTCCGCGGGAGGAACCGTGAGTGGAACTTTGGTATCTCAACCAAAATGATTTATGGGCCTTTCAGCCCAATATCAGTATAGGGCTTCAAATAACTTAAGCCTAAAACAAATCGCTCCAACTTGTTACAGAAACTGGAAAGCGAAAACCCAATTTTAAACTAGCCATAATAAAATTCCTGTGGGAAAAATAGGAATCTTTTTTTTACTTTTTCTTTTTCTTTCATGTATAATGAATAATGAGAACATTACAATGGTGGATAATTGAAGAAAAGTATATTTCTGATACTACAAAAAGGTTGCGCCTGGAGTCTGGAGATATTTTGTGTTTGGTTATGTGATCACAGTATTAAGTATGACTGAAATGAAATAAAATAAAATAAAAGTGACATCTATAAAATAATACTTAGATAGCTAAAACAGTAGTAATAGTCATTGTTTATTTTCTATTATATTCCTTTTACTCTATTAAAGCAGAAAACAGGATGCTGATGTGGCAATTTTTTATTAAAATGTTTTGGCTCCAAATGCACCATATTGCATAAACCATTCTGCCACGTGTCACCCCTTTTAAAAACAAAAAATATATTTACAATATTAACGAAGAGATCAGATGGCCATGTTCATTCAAATTTTGAATTTGACAGTGAATGAAACTTTCCTTTTCCACTTATTTAGGACTTTCAAAAAAATTAATTTTTGGTCAATCAATTATTTTCATAAAAAACTAAATTCATTCCTAATTAGTTTTGATTATTTATATATCAATTTATTAGGTGGGAGGACGCCCCCGGACATTTGCCCGGGACAAGCATCTAGTATATATATATAAATAAAAATTTTTATACTTTTTTATGCACTTACTCAGTCGCAAAATTATTCCCAGCAAATATAGTGAGATCAACTGATCATTTAGTAAAGGAGTAAGACAGTAATTGTAGTGCAATTGTTGAATTTCAAAATTAGAATTTTAACAAAAAGTGGGAAGAAGTTCGTTTTTGTTCTTGGAGCCAGATTTGATTAAATTGATGTCAAGAATTGTTGCGAATTATTCAGTGCAAAGGAAACAAGGAAGAGAAAATATACTAGCAGGGGATTGAACTGGCAAGTGAGAAAAGATTGTGTGTAACAGGACAAGCTCAAGTTTATTGTGAATTAACACTTTCGGAAAAACAATAACCTTACACTTGTGCCAAGAAAAATGAGCAAATAATAACAGTAAACACAAGAAGCTAGCAGCTAACACCCCTGGATAATCAATCAAACAAATCATGGATTAGAAATCCATTTCTTGCTTTCCATTTTTCTCTTCCATTTCTTGTCCTTTTCTCTTCCTCTCCTCCTTCAGAAACCTTGAAGCAAGACTGGCTTTAACTAAGTCTATAACCAAAACCAAGAGCTATTTTATGAAGCAATGAAACTATATATTTTGGCGAAAAATGAAAGTGTTCCTCTCAATCTTTGATTGCTTGCCATTCTTTCTTGATTTCAAATGTGTAGTTGATCTCCAAGTAGCACTTATTATCGTCATCAAGAAACTGTTCAAAAGGAAAAAAAGAATTAAAAAGGCAACATGTAAGAGAACACGAATATGCACGAGTCTCGTATGACATATAATTGCTGCCAGTATCATTTGTAGCCAATCTCGGCAAAGTGAAAATAACTTGACACACAATTGAAATGACAGATCAGGGATATAGCTATGTAAATGCCACATCTTATTTTTAATGCATTAAAATCTAAAGATAAGGAAAAAGAAATGACAAAAAGATGGTCCCGTAGTTTAAGATGAGTAATTTCACCATGTGCTCAGCTTATCAAAGTGACAAATTTTCATCAATTCAACAATGAATGTCATTCATTGGAAGGCTATACTTTATATTCTGGAGTAACAAATGCTACCCTAACAACCTCAACAACACATGAAAAGCACCAGAGGACACTTGCTTTTGAAAGTAGAGATGTGTCATCTTATAAGGTAAGCAAGATTAATGTAACCATATTTCCTCAATCGTAACAAAGAAAATGTAAGGGCAAGATAATAGCTAGCAGGTAGTTGATATTCACCTTCGTTCGAGCTGAGTATGATCCTCTGGCAAACATGCCCGAAGGGGTTGTCTCTTCTGGCATTTCATGCGTATAAGGCTCCAGCTGCGGACTAAAGGTCCCGATCATTTGTTTTGTGCCGTCCACTGAAAGCAAAATTGACGAAATCACATTCAGCCCCGTTTACAAAAAATGCTTCTCGATAGCCTTGATAACAATGTAGATAGAGAGTAAAGGGGACTGTTACCTTTAATACCAGTTTTCCAGACTGTGTTGGTGTATTTGAGGCCCGATACGATATTATTGTTGACCTGGAAGGTGAACTTTAGACTGTAGCGGCACCCTTCTTTCAAAACAAACCATGGTCCTTTGGGATTTCCATCCTCAGGGATTGGAAGAAAGATATCTTCTCTTCCAGGAGATTTGATTGCGAGACTCAAGATCCTCACTTCGGGATCCAGAGTTTCTATTTCATATAATAACCCATCAGCAAGAAGAAAATGTAAGAATTACATTTTGCTGATATAATATGTAATTATTACTGGCAATTGTCAAGTGTCCACCATTTCAACTCAAAGGCAGAAAAGTAATTATGTTCTGATGAAATTATTTACGTTTAAAAGAAAAAGAAAGGAAAAAAACCGTTGGCACCAGTATGAGGAATAAGAAAATGAAATGAAACAGTCTACTGCAGCTACATTTTTTCTTACCCTAGAGTTTTCAAACAACAAAGTTCCTAACTTTACAAAAGTGAAAGTGATATCACTTTAGTGGGTATGTTCAAATTCTGAACTTTAGCAATAAGTAAATTAGAAGTATAGTAGCTTTAACCCCAGATGGCTCAAAACTGTAATAATTACAATATGAAAGGCTTTTACCCCACACAAGAACCATCAGCGTATACACCTACACACGAAGCAAAGTTTTAAACATCATGCTGTCGAAATTCCCACAGCCGTAAACATTTACCAATTTAGGCCATAACTTGGTCACGGAAGCTGTTATTTACAAGATCCTCAATCAATATAAGGCAGATAAACGTTATTGTCTCATAATATGTCTTCAACAATTTTATCTTTAACAGTGCCTAGAACTATTTGAAATCAAATTCTTGACTGAGCTATCTGAAAAATTCGATTAAGCAAGAGTTTAACAACAGCAAACAGAAATTTACCTCCAACAGAATTGATATCAACACTCCCAAGAAGTTGTTCCTTCCACCTCCTCAAACTCTCATCATCCTACATTGCATGTAATTCTTAGATTTAAATACCGCACTAACCATTTAATGACACAAAACCCAAACAAAGCGAAAAGAAGAAACAAAAAAGAAAGGCGAGAATGCATTGCAAAAGAAAACATGAAATTAGAAAATGGAGAGGTGGTAAACCTTATCTTTCTCCTGGAGTTCTTTGAGGGTAAACTGAGGACCCAATTGGATATTATTCCCATCAGTCTCATCATCATCCTCATCTTCTGTAGTGTACATAGAGCTCTCACTCATCTGCCTGTTAATCTTTTCAACAGATTCTTGTTCAATCTCAGGGTCAGCTGCTGAATCTGCACCCTTCATCTTCTCATCATTATTATCATCAAATCCCATGTTGCTGCTGCTTGCTTTGGAACTCGAAACAACCCCAACAGCCAAAGACATTAACAATCACAACCGCATTCAAAAAAAAAAAAAAGAACCAACAAAAAACCCAAAGAACCTTCAAATTCTCCCCCCTCTAATCAACCACAACAACCCGTAAAAAAAATGTTTGCCAATCTTGGCTCCGACAATTCTACCAAAAGAAAAGCTCTCTCAGCCCCGCTAAATTCTGATTAACAATTAGATAAAAATGGTTTCTTTGAGTGAGAAGAAAACGAATCCAAGAAAATGTGATAAAGGGGCAAGAATTATTTTTTAAAAAAGTAGAGGAAAATTTGGAGGAAAACCCACAAAAGGACGAAGGATGATGACCCTTGAATCAAGAAAAGACAGGGAAGAAGTGATATAATGAAGGAAGGGAGATAGATGAGGTTGGGTTTGTAATTGTTATCTTTTGTTAGTTTTTTGTTTGTTTGCCTTTTTTTTTCCCTTTTGTTTGAGGAAAATTAAGCAGAGGAAGGAATGTTAGGAGACAGAGGAAATGGGAATTGAAAAAAGGAAACGGTCATGTGGTGATCCGGGGATTGTGAGTTAAAAATGAACTAAAAATCAGAAGGAGAAAAAAAAAAAAAGAAATTGAATGAGAGAAGAAAAGGTGTGGGGGAAGAGGAAGATCGTGAGGAGCACTAATTAGAGAAAGGGAAGAAGAGAGGGAAGATGATGACCCACAATTCGAGGAGGGGTTGTACACATGACTGCTTAGGATTGATTGGTGGATTAGATTTTAGACCTAAAACTAATTTCTTTTTTTTTTTTGACCTTTTCTATTTGGACACTCCTCGTTTTTGGATAAAATCATGTCCACTCTCTCTCTCTCACACTCACCTTCCTACTGTTCAGTTCATAATAAAATCACTAATCTGATTCCAATTCTTTTTAGCAAAATGCATACTTTGTACCTCGGATTAGGGGTGGAAGGGTGTCAATTTCTTATACCACCGCACAAAAAGACAATCTGATACAACACGATACGATTAACGAAATTTGAGTTTTTATTACATTTTTATTCCAATACTAAGTAAGAAGATATATAATACGAAATGGACATGATATCTCAGATCGACACTCATTGTATATTGTGTTCATAAATTGGGAATGGAAGTTTTTATTCCCCAAGGTTAATCAATTTTTCATCTTTTGTAGTATCAAAATAAAGAAGTGATGTTAATGACTGTTTGCGTAGTATATTCTCATACTTCATGTTGAACTAAACAAAGTATGCTGGTGTGTATTTATATAGGAAAGAGAGACAAAAATGAAAAATGCTTTCTCTTCCAAGTACGGAGGAACGTGAAATCGATTTTTTACACATTCAACGGAGTAACTGTTGCTGTCCTATCAAATGTTAACCCAACTAATTAACCGGCATTCAAGGAGAGTGACAGAATCAATTAAAAAATAAATAAATAAATTACTACAACCAAAACTATATGACTTTTTGTGATTTGTTTGGTACTAGAATATACGGATACATCACGCTTTTGACATTTGGAAAGCAGCCACCAATGTGTGTTTGTTGTTCATTTTGTTGCGTATACTTTGTCGTATATATCATCCCTGTATCCACTAGCAGTAGTTACAAAAGCTTTTAAGTCTTTTTACATTTGCGTTCTCAGCTTTTCAGAAAAAGAATTCGATGGCTACTCCCAGACCAGAAAGGGGAGAGACTGTTGCTTGGATGAATGATTTACTTGGGAAATGCATTTTTGGCCCAATGATTTCGTACCACGTTGACCTTAGTTATATAAAACTAATGAGCCCATACATAAAGATCCCGACGATATAATCCTACTACTCAGTACTTAGGATAAATGAAATGCAATCATTTGTAGCCTCTACGTGGTAAATAACATCTCCAACATTTGAGGGTCCAATGATACACATTTCTAGAACGGTACACATGTGGCATGACTCGGGGAAGGACGTACGTAAAAAGTTACCGCTGGCTATCATATCATATATCAATCCCATCCCCCAACACAAAAAAGACCAAGAGAATGAAGAAGCAGGCTAGGTCCCGTTTTGACCTATATGGTTTATGTCATTATTATTTATTATAGGCTTGTTGCCATCATTGAAAAGGGTCCATCCGATGTAAATTCATGTATAACTGCTGCTAGCTAGGCATGTTAGCTTGTTAGGTTAATTAGTTACATTAATGAATGCTTTGGTTTGATTAAAAGAGTGCTGCCCTTTTGGCAAAGCTCTTGGTGTGTGCAATGAAGTTTGTATTACTTCTCTAGATAAATGATGTACATGATTATGCGAATTATTACATCTAGAGTGATTACATGTCATTTCACGCGACCCCATCAAAGAAAACATGTAAGGGTTCCTAGAACAGTCGAGCTTTCCTTAGTGAAAAACAAATTAAACAAGAGACAGAAAGATGACAGTAGAAATTACTTCTGTTTCATATGCATTGTTCAGAATACAGTATCAACAACAACCATGCAATCTTCAGGTTGAAAAGTTTCGTAAGCTAACAAGTAACAACGATGAGGATTATAAACATGAGTCACTTACAGAGTTTTCTCCCATTCAAGGTTGCTATACATACGATACCGTAACAATTAAACAGTAGTGGTTTATCGTTCCAAACTTCCAGTATATATAACTGGACATTGGCACAGCATCATGATTCATGGGCAGGGCTCTGCCGCCAGACCCGTGCTCATCATTGTCCATCATACATATGCTTTCATATCATCTATCTAACACATGATCAGGATAAGATGTTTAACCTAATTGCTTAACTTTATTGTCAAGCTTACATATAAGAGTAAATGGTGTACCAAAACTATTACTTAACTATATAAACCATCAAAACTTAGTTTAACAGTAAAGAACTGCTACAGGTGAACAATATTCGTTTTGATAATTAACTGAGTTAGAAAGACAAACAACATAAATAAACAGAGGAATCTTCATCGGCTCATGATATATGGACCATGAGGCAGAAGCCCCAGCACAATGCTTTGGTTTCTACAGCATAGCATCAATTTTTTATGCACTCAATGAGCCGTGATACACAAGATCCCATTGGGATAAAAGGATAAGAAGCAAATTATAAAGAAAATCACAAGAAAGTACGAATTAAACACAGAAACAAAGTGGTGAAGTGTGATTAGTGGACATAAATCTGTATTCAGTGAAGAAACTTCGATTCTGTAACTGTCTAGTTTTCCCAGGGGCACCTCAACAATCAAAATTTGTTACAAGACACATCTTTCCTCTTTTTTCGCAAGCTGAAGTACAAAATAATATGAAACTAAACAGTCTAGTTAAAAGGATGGCACCGTAATTATGTAGGCATTTGGGATGAGTAATCAATCACTTCCCCATTTCTTCACCACACTCTGTCTAGCAGAGACGTGCGTGGAAACTTCCTCTTCCTGAACTTTACTCAAGTTGAAACTACTAGCTGGATTTATCTTCTTTGTAACTAATGAAGTTAAGAAGGTGAGCCCATCCCTTGTTTTCCGCAGAGAAAGCAATAAAGGATTCAATACAACAGCGAGCATCACGTCACCCTTAGCAACGATCAGAAACTGTAAAAAAGAGGCATAAATTACATAGTAAGAGATGGAACATGTGACAAACAAGTTGAAAAATCTACTATGTGAAGCACCACAAGGTGTCTGAATCAAGAACTCACCACGGTGACGATGCCCAAAATTGTTAGACCTATCTGTTGTGCTTCCTGCCAGAAATGGTCACCGTCACCAAACCATCTACTCCATCTTCCAAACCAACCTCCTCCACCAATATCACCACCTCCACCTGCCTCCTCTCTTCTCTTTATTTCTTTGTCCCATTTCTCAAACTCAGTCTTCTTCCCACCAAGGGCACTTTCTAAAGCTTTTCTAGCCTGCTCCTGCTGAGAAAATTCAACATCTAAGCCAGTCAGGTAGAAAAGGCAACTATGAAGACAGAAATGCTTAAAGAAAAAGGGAAAAAGAAAAGGTGAGACCAAAAATAAAGCCCCCCAGTTGAAATAGAAGCATCAATGCCGTCATGAATCTGTCTAGCAAGTTACTAACTTCAAACTAGCAAGTGCCTTTAAAGAACAATAAGTTATCTTCAAAGAGCTGAGCAGCAGTTTAAATTGCCCCCTCTCTCTTACACATGCAAAGATTGCATAATCATTTCAAGTAATCGCCTTAATCCTTCACAATTATCACCAACAACGCAATATCAATTTAAATTCCACGAAATGCTGATGGAACAGTAGAACACTCAAACTGAGTAGTCCAAATGCCTGCCATTGTAACACAAAATATCCTTTTCTGTGGATTTCTTAGCAGTCAGTTTAAGGTTTCCCACAAAGGGGTTACCCAGACTGTCACAGCTAAAAAAACCAAAAAAAGGTTCCTTACCAGTCCACTCCACAACTCTAACTTTGACAGGTTTAGAGAAAAAGAGACGAACAAGAGCAGTTGCTTGCACTCTCCTAGAATGTAAAAGAAATTATATTAACTAATATAGTTCTAAGACTTTGAAGCTGTTAATTTACTGATGACTGATTCCACAAGTGCCTCAGGAAACTTCCACAACACCTCCATAAGATTTTCCAATTTTCATTTCTTTGCTAGCAATAATCAATCTTGTTGGGGGGTGATTCTTCAGTAATCCGCACAAGCTTAAAGTTTAATATAATAAGAGGCACAATTAAACCCTCATGAACTTTAACTACCATTATCCTGTTAACAGCGGCCTGATCCTTCAAACCCACGAGAGCTTTACTACCGTTTATCCTATATGTTAGTCAACACCACAAAATGGAGTTCCTAGGTGGTCTCTCTCCGGTGTTTTCTTTCAAGAAAAACATAGAGATATAACATTATACCATTAAAAACGATAATAGGAGTTAAAATGCACTTGAGTTTCAACTACCATGCCATCCAATAGGCTCGGATAACTTAAGAGGTCCAAAATGGGCACGAAGATAGTCATTTCCACAAATTTCTTCCTAATAATTCAGAGAAACTAATGCCTGAAACTCTAAAATTTGACTGCAGAAAGTGCAAGGGAAAGCAAACCTGTTTGCGGTTATCAGAGAAGAGGCAATAAAATCTGGAGTTACAATTGAGGCTGCTCTGAAGAGAGTCCCAGCTGAGCTGACTACCATGTGGGTTGGCGCCGGCCGATACCGAGTCGCGGTGGTTGTAGGTCTGGTGGCGCTGTGACAGCGGAGTTGCCGGCCACTGGGTGAGAACCTGCGCCATGGTTTCTGCAATTTGGTCCTTTACTAGTTTTATTTCCACCAATGCCCTTTTTCTGTTTTTTCAACGAGACGACGATGTCGTTACTCCAAAAAAAATAATGGATTGTATTTGGATTGGAGACTTTCCTTGTTTTGGCCCAAAACATAATTTGGAATAAGCCCATTCCCGAATTTGAGTAGAGAGTTTTTTTCTTCTTTTTTTAAATTATTATCTTTTTTGGGAGAAAGTCTGTTATTTATTATCTTCCAAAGACAAAATTATAATCAGTTCTATAGTGAAAATTCAACGGTAACCTGTGCGACACAAAGTAAACTTAACGTAGTTTAAGTCTTTTCAAACTATTAATAAAGATCCTAATGCCTTCATAAAAATAAAAAGAAATTCTGTAGTGCAATCAATTGAGTTTGCTCTTCTTATTTAAATGGATACATGATTCAATTTTTAAATTGTTTAGATTACTGATTGAATGGTTCAGTTGATCTACATATATAGTCACCTCTAAAAGTTAGTTACAATTAAAATCAAAGTATGAGTACAACAAGAAAATAACAATACCAAGATTAAAAAAAAAAAAAAAAAACCACCAAGTTTGTTTGTTTCCTTTTCTTGATGGTTGTTTTAAACTAATATATTAATAACTATTTTTTACATTTCTAATATATTTTTTTACATTTTTAATATAAAAATATTTAAAAACACACATTAAGAAAATAAAATAAACGTAAGCACATCTTCTGGCTAGCCATTTTATAGTGAAGTGCAACGTTGTTTATGATGATGAAAACGTGCAATAATTAAAATAACCACCAGATTCTACGGTTTGACTCCGTTGTCCAAGTGCCTTCTACGTGATGAAGAGGGTTTTATTTACCAGGGCTTCTTGCGTTACTTCAATGAGAGGGTACATACCACACATCAATACATTATTATACATATTTCAATGAAATTAATTTTATAACTCGCCATACGGACCCAAGAGTTGGATAGGGTAGTAAAAATGAATATTTATTCGGTTAATTTCCTTTTTCATAACAATCCTAGTGTATCATGCATGTACCAATGTAGGAAATATTTGAAAGATGCGGTACTAGAGATAGGAAGTCCATTTCAGAAGGCAAAGTATGGGATGAGATTGTATGAATACATGGGCAAAACAAGAAATTCGGTGTGAGATTTGACCAAGCAATGCAGTCGATGGGAAGTGATATTATCAGGTATACCCTTCAATCATACAAGGGAATTTAGAATTTAAAGGAATTAGTAAATGTTGGTGGTGGAGTTGGGTCTACACATCATATGATTGTTTCCGAATATTCTTCGATCAAAGAATCAACTTTGACTCGCTCAAGTGATAGCAAAAGCTCCTACTTAGCTAGGTATGTAAATCCTATATTTTTATTTTTTTTTAATTTCATTATAGGATTATTACCGTCTATATTTTCATCTCATAACCTTGGAAAACTCTGATTATTACTACATTAACAAAAAGAGGCTATCCTCATGAAGGTCGGGCTACTAATCATCACAATCTCATAACCATCTCAATGTATACATTAATCGTCATTCGTCAGCTTGATTTCCATTCATTAATCAACAAGACATGGTTAATTTAATTTATTAGCATTTGCAGTTATAATTTATGATCCAACTTTATACATTGTTCCTTCGTCTTCTTGCGAATTGTTTTTCTCCAAATAGATGCAAAATGTTTGAAGGTTCTGAAGAAAAGCTGGAATGTGCTTCCCGATTCCGGCAAGGTGATCATTATTGATAATTTGATATGATTCCGGAATAAAAATGGAACAATATACTCTGTTTCTATTTTGAAGTTTTCTTGAATGATGTTATATCGAGTCGCTTACCATTAGACTTTTTTTTTTTTTTTTTTTGTAAACATAGAGTGTATTAAGACTACAAAGTTACAAAGTCACACGACGAGAATAGACAATCCCTAAAACGTCATGGTAACATTACTAACGGACCTCTAGTAATGACGAATCGATTCGTATTAATCCTCTTAGATTCGTTTTGATAGTTGGCGACAAAATTAAATTCCATATGGACATGACTAATATTAACAATCCAATTTCTATTTAAAAGCTCCCTGGTTGTCTTGACTCTTGAGTAGTCCTTCATGCGCGTACGGAGATCTCTCGGATTCAAAAATCATTGGGAGGATGCCCTGGTTATCAACTCCCGCTTCAATGCGTTTATATCCCAGATCCCAAGTCAAATTAAGACCTTGCAGTGATCCCGAAAGTTCAGCTCAAGTGATTGAACAATATAGTATTCCTTCCATTCCAAAATAAGTGTCGTCCTACACTTTGCATATAGTTTAAAAGACTCTTAAATAGGGTAATAAAATTACTTGAATATCTTCAACCAACCCCATTATAAAATTGTCCATCAATAGCATCAACTCTTTTGAGGTAATTTTGGAAACTTTTGATAAAAAGTGTATTGAAATGTGAGAACGATACTTATTTTGGAATTTCTCTATTTTGCTAAAATGATAATTATTTTGGAATGGAAGGAGTATTATATATTCATCAAAAAACCCTTCCTTACAATATCCTTTTTAACTGCTTTTACCTTTCGCCTTATTATTACATTATTATGATTTCTTTTTTCCTACTATAAATGTTCTAGAAATGGAAGAAAGAAAAAATGGACTAGGATATGTCATAGCCTTCTGCGATTCCAATATTACCCCCAGCTATCGGATAAGGTAGCACCAAAGAAAAATGGCAGCCTGGTCATTTGAAAGGGCATATAAAAAAAATAATAGAGAGAGAAAGACACGGACAAAGATAGAAGAGAGCGGGTCTCTGAGGGAAGAAGAAGAAGAAAGGGAGATAGGGAGGGAGGGAGGGGGAATTTGAATTAAACAATATAAATAGGGTTTTTTTGAATTCGCGTCAAATTGGAGCCGTTAACCACCGCAACGACGGCGATTGTTAAGCAGAGCGGCCGCCGAAGAGAATGGCATCGGACCATGAGATAGCGAAAGGCGTGGAGACTCTGCTGATGTCGTTGGACCCTAACGCCGTGACTTCCCTAGACGGCGTCGTTAAACAGCTGCAAGAGAAGCTAGGGTTCGACTTGTCCCACCGGTACGACTTCATCAGAGACCAGATTAATTACCACTACCACCGCCAACAGCAACACCGCCACCACCACCAACAGCAACAACAACAACTTCTCCTTCTCCGACAATCTCAGCAACAACAACAACAACAACAACAACAGCTGCTCCAGCAAGAAGACCGTTTTGTCCTCCACAATTTCCCGCAATACCCAATTAGCCCTCAGTTTCAGCCACAGCATCAGCAGCAACAACTTCCTCATCCTTATTATACTTTTCTTCAGCAGCAGCAACAACATCAACAACCACCACAACCCCAGCCACAACCTATTCCACAACCGCAGCCACCGCAAGCCCAGGGGCAAGGGCGGCGTCCTCGGGGTCGTCCTCCCGGACCTTCTAAAAAAGAAAGGTGCGTAGTTTTAACAGAAGTTGAGAGATTTTTAAGCTGTTTCGGGTGGGTTCTGTTCTGAATTATGGGTGAATTTGAGGTGAAGTTAATTTATTGGTGTTAATTCAGTGGTTTTTTTTTTTAATCGAAAAATCATTATGTCTTTGGTGAATAGTTTCGTTTGTTTGTGGTAATGCATGTTGAACTTCGTGTTTTGTTTATGGAATCGTTACTCCACTTGTTTGAAATGGAAGTTTGTGGGAGCAGCTTGTTTGGCTTGCTTTTATTGTTTCTTGAGGAGACGAAACGCAGTAAGTTCCTTTTTGAAAGCGAAATTCCAAATAGCTAGGTTGTTTTGACACGGGTGAATGATCTTGTATACAAGGATCTCTTGTGGTGAACATTCACGAGATATATCACTTGCACTTTTTGTTAATCATGTTTCAAAGTTGTGAACTTTACTTTTCTTGTTAAGGGAAAAAAATAATTGTTTGATTGTGAATATCAGTGGTTTTGTTATTGAGTTATTGTTGATTTTCCTTCTCATTTTGTGGCAGTAATCCGTCTGGAACCAAGAGAAAAGGTGGTTCGGGAGGTTTAAACAAAGTCTGTGGTGTTTCACCTGAACTTCAGGTGGTTGTTGGCAAGGCAGCTCTTCCAAGGACTGAGGTTTGCTACGTTCCAGATTCACTGAACCTATTTTATGTATTCATGTATCTTGTTAGTTCATTTAGCTTTCAGTTGATTATCCTCACTATATTGATCTCACCCGTTATGTTCCTGAACTCAGATTGTGAAGCAATTATGGGTTTACATACGGGAACACAATCTTCAGGATCCAGGTAATAAGAGAAGGATAATCTGTGATGAGGCTTTGAGATCAGTTTTTGAAACTGACTGCACGGATATGTTCAAGATGAACAAGCTGCTTGCAAAACATATTACATCTCTGGATCCTACAAGTATGTCACAAGAATATATATCTTATATACAGCTCATGCTTATTTTAGTCACTGCATCTTAATTATTTATTTGTCTTATCCATACAGAAGAAGCTGGTGAGGTTAAGAGGTTGAAGGTTGAACACAAGTCTGAAACAGAAACTTCTGAAGTTAACGAACCACCAGTTGTAATATCAGATGCCCTTGCCGATTTTTTTGGTACTGGGGAAAGAGAGATGCTTCAATCAGAGGCCTTGAGACGTCTTTGGGACTATATAAAGATCAACAATCTAGAGGTGGGCGGTTCATGTCCATGTTATTACATGTATAAATTGTTTAAAGTAATTAGTCGGTGGTTCGATGCTGTGCATGATTGTTTATTTTGGTTTCGTTTCCCCTCTGTGTGTAGGATCCTCTGAATACGACGGTGATTTTATGTGACGCAAAGCTTCAGGAGCTTTTCGGATGTGAAAGCGTCTCTGCTTCGGGGATACCTGAGATGTTGGCAAACCATCACATGTTCAGGCAGTAATTAATTATTGTGCATACTGGTTAGTTAATATGCTTTGGAGCAATTTTCCCCCATAATCTTTTCTACATTTCCTAGTTTATCGTGGAGCTTTATGGAGGATTTGTAAATAACAGGAATAGTTTGCTATTGTTTATGAATTTTAATTATCTAGATCACTGGATACAATTAGGCTATGTGGTGGTGGTAGTGACGATTTGATGCAGGTACTGTTGTGATACAGTGTGGAAATAATGATACAATCACTTGTCGTTACGAAAAATTTGGATCCTTTTCTATTATACCTGCAATAATGATGACTACTCTTCTATTACAGACAGTTGACTAGAGTGATTTCAGCCCTTGGAAATTCAACTTCTGGGGACTGTAATTAACATTGCTCAAGCCCTGCCATGTTGCCGGCGATCTACACCAGCATCTTTGCAGGTCTTTCTCGGTGGTAGCTGCCTAATAGTTAGTCCACAGGTGTTATAGCTTTCTAGTTGCATTTGGTAAAAATAGTAGACATCAGGACAACATGATTCGTGGTAGTTTGTAGTGCTTTAGCTCGTTGACTGGGTTAGACATTTCCAATTGTTCCGGGCATGGGAAAATATGATATTGTAAGTATGTCATGCCCTTGTTTTAGGTTTCCTCGCTCTTGTGCCACCTTGCAGCCAAGGCTGTACTGTACATGTGTCTTTTGGAATTTATGGATTTTCTTGGTTTGATTTAAATATGGTTTGCCATAGTATGCTTTCTATTTCCTGCCTGATGATTCCTGTTCAGCTTTTGTGCACATTGTGTGCATACAAATTGAACTTTTATTTGTTGCCAAATCTTTAAACAAGTAACTTACAAAGAATTTTGAGAACTATACTGCAGAAGTTGCACTTGCAGTTTGCAGCAGAACCAACTTGAGAACCGTTTATATTTTCCATGACTTTTGCCTGTACTGGAACAAAATTTAGTAAGTGAAGAATCACAAAGACTCAAGCGCTTATGGCAAATCGAAGTGTCATCTTGGCCAATAGTTTCTGCTTCCGGGAGCTGCACACAACTCTGAATAGATGCTCAGCTAGCAAAGACAAATATTGCAGCCATGAGAATTAGAAAGAGGAGAATCTTCATCAAGCCCTTTGCTTTCCCCTTGAAGACAGCCCGGGAGCAAATATGATCCATGGCATTCGTCAAGAATGTGACTGCTTGCTGTGGTGGTAAACATTAGTTCCAGTACTTCGGTGGACAAATACTAAGAAATTCAACTGTATCTTACCAATCGAAACGGTTCAATATGAAGAATTGGCTCCAAGAACATATCAACATTCCTGAAATATTGAGTTTAATCAGGTCAGTGATCTGTCTAGTTCAAAGTTGATACAACGTTTGGAGTTCTACTACAGCAGATTGTGAATGGTACTTGGATGTGGCAAAGTTCAGTGATTTCACGTTTGCATAGGGCAAGTGAATCAGGTACTTACTGTATTACCACTTTTCCCTGGTAAATGTGACACATACAGAAGCTGAAACCTTTTCCTAGAGGAACATGATTCTTGCTCCATTCTGCAGTAAAAAGACACGTGAAAACAGAGGGTGAATCATTATCGTTCCAACTATGCCTCAGCAGCATTTTGCAGAAAATCTTTACTGACTGAATATATCGGTTAGAAAACCAGAGAAATAACCTAGTTTCCAAGATATTCCGACATTCATCCCATCATGAAACGTTGGTTGCACCACGAATTCAATGTTGTTTCCCAGTATCTTCATGAGAGATGAGAAGAACGCCAAAACTTGCTGGAAATTACACAGACAAACACCAATGCAACTGAAGATCACAATTAATCAAAGCAGATTTCATTCATAAACACATAGTAGTGTTATATATGTACTAATCTAAAGCTTACCTCCTTACCATGAAAAGGTTGCAGAGATGAGGCGAAATTGCAAATGCAGAGACATTCTTCTCCAATAACATCAGACAGTTGAGTGAAGCTCTTGTTCTTGATGGCGCTATAAAGCTTCAGAACCGTTTCTAAAGCCCGGTTGTCGTCGCCGCCTCCCATCCGGTGAGCATTGCAGCCCACCAGAACTTCTCTGGCCTTGCTTTTCAACACTCTCAAACTACAACCATTTCCATTTCTTAAACAAGGTTGATGATGGTAGTTGAGAGATTTACCTGTAGGGATGCATGATCTCCCAGCATGAACTCTTTGGCGTTTGGTTCTCAATCCCATCACATACAGGGGAGAATGTTGTGCCATTCTTGTTTTTGTGAAATGGAAGGACGAATTAGTAGAGAGCATTTTGTTAAAGAGTTGTTTGCTGGATTGGGGAAAGAAGGATGTAGTAAACAATAGGTCAAAAGAATGTAATGCTCATTAGTTACACAAAGAATGTTCTATCTGCAAGCTAAGAATCTGTCAGTTACTATTAACTTCCTTTTAAGCAATAAAATCAAATTCATTGATCTTTCCTGTGATGGAAAGTGGAAACTGGGCACCCATCAACCGAGTACATACGTACAATCATTAACTTCAAAATGGTCGATCTAATTTTTGATCCGCAACTTAAAATAATTGCTAAACAAAACAATTGGCCTTTCACAGTGCCTCAATCTTTTTACACTGACTTAGAAATCAAACACGAAAGAATTCCACCATAAAACTAAAATTCCGTTCACAATTTTGAGGGTATGGTTCTGTTATTGGATTAATAACCATTAAATCAATTTAAATTAATCACAACCATAGAATTTGCATTAATTGAAAATATTAAGAAATTTATTTTTACAGGCAACCTGTAGCCCAAAGTTTGTTATTTAAGGTACGTAGTTTAATTGGAAATCTTCTCCTAATCTCTCTCTATTTTTCTTTTCCTCTCTCTCGCTGGTTTTTTTTTTTTTCCCTTCTTTTTTGTAGTGGTGCAGTTCCTGCCATAAAAATTGCTTATTTTGTTTTAACGAATAATGTACCTTAATTTGTTGCTTGTTGTTTTTGCTATTTACGAAACCGATCTATCTTGTTCTTTGCTTCTAGAAAATTTAGAGGTTTTGGAATTAGGGAGAATGGAAGAAGATGAAATGACTTTTGAATAAATGAGAGTGTCTATTACTATACTAAAATTAATTCTAATTATTGGTTATATGCAAAAAAAAAGGGTTATTTTGATATATAGTGCAATTTTTTTTAGGAGATGTGCAATCATGTTTAAATACAGGTGTAATTCTTTATTCTTTAAGAGAAATATGTAATAAATAAAATTAATTAAAAATTATGAGCAATCAATAAATTAATTGTTTACAAGTAAACTATACGCTATATTTTTTTCTTGAATGTGCCATGTTTGTATGACTATTACTATATTAAGAAAAAATAAAATGGGAAATGCATGACCTTACTAAAATTCGATGATAATAATTCTCTATGGGTAATTTTTATTCGTTATCCTTACTTTTTGTAAATACAGTGAAACTTCTCTAAATTAATAACCTTGAGCCCCCAAAAATTTATTAATTTATCGATAAACTAATAATTATTAATTTAAAGAGTTTTTCAATCCTAATAAGAGCATCCACTATAGTTTTACACCATTGTGGGTATAATAACATGTCAAATCATCATTTTGTTATATTACACTTTCATTACACTTTTTCCATTATTGGTCTTACATTATAAAAGTGTAATATAATTAATGTACTATTAAATAATCATGGACCCACTACCCTATCAATAATTAATTTAGAAAAACAAATTTAACAGAATAATTAGTATCAATTACTTGATGCCCCACCAAATCATGTATTCAACAGTGTAAGAATCCTTACACCATGACAATTTCTTACACTCCATACAATGATGATGAGTGTAATAGATTAGTAATACCTCTTATTAACCACTACTAAAGATACTTTAAGGGATTATCTTTGCCAAGAAGAAAAGAAAAGTCAATTATAAATATGGACTTCTAACTTTATTAATAAGTACTAGCATTCTCTTTGTGTGGCTGCAAATTTTGGATTTACAGAATAGAAGCACTAAAGGCAATAGTAACTCATCATAATTTTTTGTTATAGTATGATAACGTGACACCGAAACTTTTGAATGCAATGAGAAAGATCAAAGATGATGTCTCTATTGATATAAATTTTAAGAAAAAACAAAGATCAATATATTCATATTTTACTAGAATTTTTATTAGTTTTTGTTTAGGTAATTATTAATTTATGAAAATGTGGGGACCTATATTTACATAGGGATTCTTGAAAATTTATTATTTTATAATTTAATCAAAATTTTTTATTTTTTATACTAGTCCTGAGTTGGGACCGGTAAAAATTATTATTTAATAGAGGTTATAAATTTATAAATGATTAATTTAGAAAAGTTTTACTGTACCTGACCTTCGATATTGAAATTTAAATAGTCTTACTCTTCTAATAATGATATTCATAGCAATTGGTTTAAAAAATATATTAAGGGTAAAGATTGATGGTTCAATTATGTATCAAAGATTGATGCATTATATTATAAATTAACATGCAACAAAACTAGAGCATAATATTATTTCTTATCACCATTGTCTTCTTCACTTCATTATACACTAATGTGTTTTTTTTTTCCTTTGCAATATTATTAAATAAACTTATATAAGTAATGGTGCAATGTTTTTAAGCTAATGTGCAATTATGTATAAATATATATGCAATTTCTAACGAGCAAATGCACAATCACACATAATTTTTTTTGTAATGTAAAAATAAAATAAGAAAGTTTAATTAAGAATTATGAAAAGTTTTGGTATAATACAATTGTTTGAAAGTAAAACGTGCAATATATTTTTCTTGAATGCGCAATTGCATCCTCAAAAGTGTAATGCTTGGATATCAATTGTTAACTTACTATAAAAATAAAAGGAAACAAAATATGATGTAATTAATTATTAATTAATTACGTACAATTTTTTATAAACTAATGTGCAATTATATATAAGTATTTATGCAATACATACAGTATAAGGAAAAACGGAAACTTAATTATTAATTAATGATGATTTTGTTATTTTAAATATTGAAACCTTCCTAAACTATTTATTTTTTTAAATTTTGGTAAGTTTACCTGCTTAGCTGGTAAAAGAAAATTTTAAATATTAAGAAAATTTAATATTAAATTGATGTGTCACGTTCCTATTAGTTAAATTTTAATGGGATCGAACCCTCAAACTAGACAATGGGATCCTAGAATTTTTCCAAAATTATTTTTCAATTTGAATTTTCAGTTTTTATTCAAATTAATACTAAAAATAAAAATTCGAACTGAACATTAATTATGAGACGGAAGGAGTACTGCTTTTGTCACAAATAAATAATCAAATTCATCAAACACCGCCGTCGACTTGGAGAGCCCAAAAGATCAAGTCGACAAGGCTAGAATTTTCATAAACTCGTCGAACCGAATCATGTGATCAATATCAATATTGACCCAGGCCAAATTTAAACAGCCTCTCGGCCCAATAGGAAAGAGACTCCCCGACAAATGGCCCGTAATAAACGGCATCGTTTCACAGGCTTTCCAAGCTGAACCAGGATCGGCCGATTGGGATATTCTACTCTTCCTTCTCTCGTCGTAAACATCAATCTGAATGAGATCCGTCGCTTCTTCTGATAAAATTCCTCTGCAAAATCTAAATCTGGTTCGATCATAAAAGAGACCCAATTTGTGGGAGTAGGAGAAGAACATTCATAGGGTACTGAAACGTACCTCTTGTCTATATTTTTTGTGGGAAGGAGGTCAATCTTCGAGCTCTACAATGGCGGAGGACTTAGTATTGGACACGGCGATTAGAGACTGGGTTTTGATACCCTTATCAGTAGTGATGGTTCTCATCGGAGTCCTCCGCTACTTTGTCTCTAAGCTCATGCGTTCTTCCTCAGTACCCGATCCCAAAATCGTCAAAGAAGGGTATTTTCCTCATATTTTTGCTTTAATAAATTACGATAAAACTTTAATTCCTTGTTTGGTCCTTGTTCTGTGTGTTTACTTGGGTCTTCTTGTTCAGGCAGGTGATCATCAGGGCTAGGAATTTGAGGGCGGCCGCTAATTTTATTCCTGCCAAGTCCTTTCGTTCTCGTAAAGCTTATTACAGCAACGAGGTTGGTTTTTTTATTTTTTGGGTTTTTTCTTGGGCCTAGTTCATGCAACCCACTAAGACGGTAGCGCTGAAATGGTGTCCTTTATTTGGAGATTTGGATTTTTGTAGTTCCTAATGATGCATGTGGGTAGCTGTTTGTTCTTGGGGAAGTTTGCGGTAGAATTTCGTTTAAACATTTAAGTTCGGTTTTTGATGAGGTGGTTTTCTGTTTTTTGTTATACAAAGATTGCATCTCTGATTAGAGTCTGGGCTTCTTGATTTTGATAAGTAAAGGGAATGAAAGTGCCAGGGAAAGGAAGTATGTAATTAGTTGCTCCATGTTTAAAAGATCTTGCAGAACTTCCTTCAGGTGTCTATGATGCTCCTGAGGGTTGTAATGAAACATTTGGATCATGTTGAAAAAGTTTATCCCTGGTGACTGGAGAGTGTTTGCGGCCATGTGGCTCTGCACCATTCTGGTTGATCATATAAAGAAACACTTGCCAATCCTGTTAACACTGAAAGTCTAACAAATGAATGGGAATGTGCACAGTAGTGTTCGTCATCATTTGAGACCACTCTTCTTTTTTTAATTTTGTAGTCTCCCATATGTAATTTCAAGTTTCAACCTATGACATCCGAAAGTGACATTGCAGGAAAATGGACTGTTACATGTGCCTAAAGGCCAAGCTCAAAATGCCCAGGCCCAAATGTTCTCTGATCCAAATATGGCTATGGACATGATGAAGAAAAATCTCTCAATGATCATTCCTCAGGTATTGTAATTAGCATGATTGACTGTTGATTTTTCTGAATAGCTTTTGCTCAATTTCTCATTTTTATTATGTGTATGACTAATGTTGTTCTCGTTTGGGTCTTGCAGACTCTAACTTTTGCTTGGGTCAACTTTTTCTTCTCCGGATTTGTAGCAGGTTCACCCCTATTGACTTCAGTCTGTTTCCTATAAGCTTAATGCACATCTGCCTATGTTATATCCTTGTAATTGAGTTGGGATATGGATCCCATTTTAGTGATGTTGCTCATTTGTCTAAACCATTCGTTATTGCTTGTTTTTAATCCTTTTCTCCCTTTGGGGGTGGTTGGGTTTCATGTATGCTTCCTGGGGCATCTTCTAGTGCATCTTGTCCTGTTCCCTCGTGCATGCATATGCTGCTTCTAAGCTGCTCTATCTTGGCTTCAGCCTTGATTTTCTCCTGGGATTTGAGACTTGTTGTTTCTTGTCTTCCATGTTTAGGATCTGTTCTTAATTTTGTCTTCCAAGTGATATTTTCTATAATTGTAACTTCTTTTAACGATTTATGATGTCTCTGCAGCAAAGATTCCATTTCCACTGACTCAGAGGTTCAGGTCCATGTTGCAGAACGGTATAGATTTGAGTACAGTAGACGTCAGCTATGTCAGCAGCCGCTCATGGTAACATATTGACCACTAGTTATAAAACAAAATTCAATGTCCAAGGCAGGGGTTGGAGCCATTGTGATTTTCTCTAATATCATGTCTGACTGTAGAAATTTGATCCCTGCCAGGTACTTCCTCAACCTGTTTGGATTAAGGGGTTTATTTAGTCTCATTTTGGGAGAGGAAAATGGTAAGCAGTGTTTGAATGTTCTGAATGCTAAAACTTTGTATGTTCCTTCAAATGTTATTAGGTTTCAATGTGTTTTGCCTTGTGCAGCTACTGATGACACACAGCGCATGATGCAAATGAGTGGATTTGGTTTTGATCCTTCAAAGGTATGTTTTTTGGCATTTGATGTTTAAAAGAGGATAATTAATACTTCTGTGATTCTTAAAATTCCAAACAATTCACTTGAGGTACCAGCCTTCTGTAATGCAGCAGACTAACAGTTTTCGTAATGAGCAAAGGGAGCTTAATATAGTTTTCAGGACTTAGATTTTAGTAGTTTTCATCATGAAATCACTCTGCAAATCTGTAAAACAGGCACACTAGTGAACCCCCCCGGAAAAGACTTTGGTTATATTGGATTTTTTAAGTGAGATACTAAATGAAAAGAAAGAACAGTTTACGAAACTTGTAAAATTTGATTTATTTGTTCCTTTTGTTCAGAGTTTGGGTGCAGAAAAAGATGGTCTAGATATAGTTCAGCATGAATGGGCATTGCCGAAATTTGAGCAGCGAGCGGAAGCTGTTTTAAGAAAACTTGTCAGTTAAAATCAGTCATCAAAGGATTTACGTCTATCGCGTTTGCAGCAATGTCTCTTGGGGAGTGTAGTTTATCTGCCAGAAGTTGAATAGACCCTGTGAGAGAAGGTGAAGATTTTCGTGTAATAGAAGTGAGATAATTTCTTTAGGTAGTAATATGCTTCGTGAATGTCTTAATATTGGGTTTCTGGAATTTAAGAATGGAATTGGTAGAATCATGGTATTGGCACTACCTTGAACAAATGCAGTCTGCCTATCATTTTGGAGTAACTGGGCTTAATTTTTAATTGTCCAGAATGATGGACACCTGATTTTCCTTTAGGTCCTTGTATTTTATTTCTTTGGACTTCTAATCTTTACATACTAGGTAATTTCATCAAAGCAATAGGTTACAGTAATCTTACCATTGTGAATCGCATTTTCTTTTCTTTTTGATTGCTCAATGGTTTGAAACTGAGAATGAATTTACTAGTTTTAGGACATCTTGGCATCATAGCATGGATGCAAAACATGCAACAAGCAGAAGAATTCCTGGGTGAGGGGACCCAATTTTCTTTTGTGTTATGCCTTTTTACTTCTATATATTATCTTTTGTAAAATCATGGTCAATCATACTGTCTTGAAACTTGAACCGTCCATAGTAGTTGGTTCTGAACCCAAGCAGAAAACAGTGTTCAGAAAAGCCATTACATTCTGTTTATGAACATGAAAGTGTGTTTTACTAGGAGACAAAAAATGATTTGAATGCTTGATTGTTGGTGTTTTAGTTGATCTTTTTAGAATTCAATGAGGTCACTTTAGGTCAAACTAGAATTTGATATTTGAATTGAACTGAGAAGAGGACCATTTTCTTTATAGCAGAGACTAAGGAGTAAGGATTCTCCAGAATTACTATTAGTAGGACTGTCTATGATAATGGCTAAACCGGACCAGGTAATTTGTAAATTGTCCAAAGTGGATCAAAGTGGCGCAATTATCGGGGATCTTTGATTCTGTACATTGTCTCCGACTTATTTAGCCTGAAATATATCAATAATTACTAGCATCCTTTTAAGGAGACATGAGATCTTGTTTGAGAATCATGAGATTAGTGAAATATTTCCAGCAAACAGTTTGCAGCTTTGCAAATTAATTTAGGAGATATTTGGGCCCTTAAGTGTTGTGATTGATTGTTAAAGACTTGATTATGCTCATCTTTTTATAATTATTCCATTGAAGTAATGATGATTGTATTTGAACCTTCTTTTAGAAATTGGATTGTTCTTCCTTCTTTTAGGATGAGTGAGATTAAAAAAAAAAAAAAAATTAAATTTTCTTTTCACAAGGTAAACGTAACGTGTTATGTGGCGATGATACTTTTTATTTCATATTGCGTTCATAAAATAAATAATTCATGTTTGTGGAACGACATTGTTTGTAAATGTTTGTATTGAACATTATCTGTATAATTAATGAATATTATTATTAGTATTTCTTTTTAGTGAATTGTGTAACAAATTTTCAAGAATGCAGAAGAAACTTCCTCGCCAACCGAGAAAAAGAAGAAGAAATGAACAGAATCTGAATAAGAATAAGTCGAAAGACGAAATGGATTGGTGAAGAAAGAGATTAACCCAAGATTTCAACACACTTACCATTGCTTCACATCACATATGTCAATGTCAACAAATTGATTCCTGGAAATTCTGCAAGACAATAATGGTACTCTCAAAGCCTCTATTTTCCCCAAACAACAGTGAGCAACTCTCAAGCTAGTCCTGGTCCCCTACGTCTAAGGATCAACGCAAACATGGATTAATGATTCCCTCTCAACAATCTTTCTGTTGGGTGGTACATGGTAAAATAATATTCCTTCCGTCTCATTTTGATGGTGTTCTGTATTAATATAAAAACAATACAATTGATTATTGGACTAATCAATATAAGACCCGCACATATAGGTTCTTTCGATGCTTTAGTCGAATTTTCAAGTTTTTCGAGATGGTTTTCAAAGATCATGGTGTGTCATTCACAAGGTCACCAAAGTTGGGTGTTGATTAAAAACATTTATAATCAATTCTTTTACAAAGAAAACCATCATCTCTCTGGTATTTCTATCTACAAGTATCGTATTGTGTTCATATTATTTGGTGTTGATCTGTTCCATCTTACAAATCGTCATTTTTACACCTGCATGTGCCTACATTTGCAAGTGTACAGTTGAGAAATGAACATTCTTTTCCACCCCTTCCCTCAGAACTCAGTGAACACAATCCACTCAAGTACCTTGGTAAAATTGAACAGTAGTAGTTGGATCAAATTCATGGCTAGAATGAAGCACCAATTGAAAATTGAAAGTATGTCGGACCGCATCAATACGAATAGATTCATCTCAATTCCAATTACGAATTACGAATTACGAATTACGAATCTCATTAGAGAACAAGGATCCATTTCCCGCAAATAATCAAAATTATAAACGGGATTCGAAAAGCAAAAACAATAACCCAAAGGAAATGAAGAAAAAAAGTGGATCCAGAGGATTGGTCCGATGTTGAGCTGTCACACGTACGTGGCAGGAGCCCACTTGGTCAGCACAAAGGACGGTCCTATGGGGATAGTTGGGGGCCCAGAATCACCGTCCAACTATCACGTCAGTCGCCCTTTTGATTCTAGCTTTTAGCCTTTTTTTCACAGTGACACAAACACAAAGAGGGAAAAAAAAAAAGATGGAAAAAAATAGAGAGGGAGGAATATACACCAAATGACACGTCTACTATGATGAAAGGAGGAATGGGCGATCCACAAAATTGAGCTCTTTGGACAAAGAATCTCCATCTCTAACTTCCACCATTCCATCCATCCATCATTTTTTTTTTTTTTTCTCACCATTCCTCCTGCTTGCCTTTAGTATTGATATTGTCACTCTATGAGTATTTTTTTCGTTATAATAATAATTTTTGTATATGAAAGGTGTATTAGTATTGACATCTCCACCTTATTTATATTATTAGTAGCAACATTTGATGCCTATTCTCTACCTTGTCACATATGAGTGATTTACTTTCTATTTGTTGCAAGAAAAGTATGAGATGTTTTTGTATTATACTGGGTGTGATGATATAGTTAAATGGTTAACACGTGTTGAATTACTTATATAAATTACTTATGCATAATGATTCACTTACTATTTTAATTAGGGTGATAGTATTAATGATAATGATACATGTGAATCATTTATTGAGTGGCACAAAAATGTCATAGAAAATCCGATACTCTTATTTCTTAAAAGAAATTGGGAGTAATTCATTTATAATTCTTTTTTTTTTAAAAAAAAAAATCAAGTTGTTTATCACTGTGAATAATGATTAATTTAGTAAAACTAAATAGTGATCACCTTTGATTGGCCAGGCAACTAGATTAAACACGAACACTCAACTGTTCTTGGTTAAGGAATATGACTACTAAACCACACCTGGCTTCAACCAGTTATATCTACAAGCCTCACATTTTGAAAGTAAGATTATATTTCAATGAGATAATGGAATCCATGCATTCCAAGATTGCCACAAGTTCTGCTTGTTTCAAATTTTTTAGATGTTTAATAAGTTTTCTCTACGATGATTTATTAATATATTTACTATTATATGTATCTTTTTACATTCTCTTGCAATACATTTATTTACTTATATTCGCAACATTAAGAAAAAAACATATTGAAAAAAATAAAACAAACATTTTTGTTTACTTATAGTATTTCAATATGATTAATTACATGGGTATCACTAATGTCTTGAAAAAAGTAGCGCTAAATTTTTTCAGATAAAACTTGAGGACGAGTTTCAGTCATGCACCATTCGTCACTTTATTTCCCATTTAAATATTTATTTATTTATTTATTTTTTTTAAAAAAAGCACTACAGCGTCAGCATGAATAACACTGAAACAGCTGACATCGTACGTACATGATTTTCAATTTATTTAATATTACAATGACTTAGAATATACTCTCTCAATCATCCTTGGATCTCAAAAAACCAGATTCAAACTCCGATATCAAGAATCATCCAAAACCAAAAAGGTTTGCCTTGCAATTTGCATCCCATTGCAGCCCTCTATTTTTTTTTAGTTTCTGTTTTCCTTTCTTTTTCCCAACATAACTATTGCACTCATTGATGGTATCGAGCTGGTAATCTACTTCTACTGTAATGATACTGAATGCTTCTTATTACTTTACGAGACGAAAGTTCTTTCCCTTCCGTTTTCTCTATTTTCTCTTCCTAAAAAAGATAAATATTACTCAGTTGTAGTATTCATTTTGTCCTCTTTAAATAAATATGAATTCCAAAAATTCAATATGTACTATTTTATTTCTTAAAATTATTGTTTAATTTGAGATTTTATTTGTAATATAATTTAAATAAAAAATAAAATCTAAGCTCAGCAATCATTTCGGGACTGAAAGAATTTTTTTTTAACAAGAGATAGTATATTTTTAGGCGAAAGTGTTAAATCCCCTGCAGTATAATTTTAGGCGAAAGTGTTAAAAGTGTTAGTATATTTTTTTTTTAAAACAAGAGATAGTATTATTTTAACAAGGCTGAGGGTAAAAAAATAGTACTCCTGCGGGGAGAAAATTGTACAAATTCACTATTAGTGAGACAAGCAAATGGGGAAGATGATGAAGATTTTGATCAGGAATTCAGTGGGGATGACTAAGATCCAGCGTGGCAAATTCAGGCGGCACGCACCCTTTGTGGGACCCACGCTCACGAGCTGTACTGCCTGGAAAGCAGATTTTAGGGACCCCACCAGAGCTACAAGTTTCAACGTTCTTTGCCCGAAAGAAGGATCTGCCACGTCAGCATGGATTGGGTGTGTGTGGGATCCACACCACTTCCTTGCCCCGCGTTTTTTAGGGGGTGGGTCCCATCCAGATCACCCCCTATTGATCCAGCTCTTTGGCTTTTTGCCTCATGTCCAGACTCCAGACATGCATTCTGCAAATTAACCTCCGAAAAATACATAATAAACTTTAAAATGGCAGAAATTTTTTTTTTCGTTTTATTTTTTTCGCCTGGTCAGTGAAAAATTACGAGTTAAGCTGGTAATGTACGTGTTAAGAATCACACACTCGTGAATAAAATGGAATAAGTTCAAACCTTTTAATTTCACTATTCATTTCTTATTTTGTGATTCAATTTCATTCTTGATAATACATCTCTCCAAACATCAACGTTAATTTTTTATTTTTTTTATTTTTCCCTGCGAAATGAAGTGGAAAATATGTGTGGGTGTAAATTTTTGACATTTGTAAAGCTTGTCAAGTCAATTCTTTCGCCGACTATGGATCCGTTTAACTGTTTTGGGCAAAAAAGATAATCTGAAAAGGACACACACAAGAAGGATTTTTTTTCCGAAATTAAACCCTAGCTGAAGAAGGATGAAAGATTTGTTATTGTTACTATATAAGAGAGGAAAACAATTCAAAAGCACTATTTCTTCATTCCAAATTACTGAAAACCAATAATACCTCAAAAGATTTTCTAAGAGAAAAATTAATATGAGCGGGGAAAAGAAAAGGAAAAAAAAAAAAAAACAAACTACAGGAATTCATGCAACGTACTGATAAAGATTTGACAAGTGAGAGGCAAAATAATTCAAATTCAAGAGCATTCATTTCTGATACTATTTATAGCTTTTCATGATGAACCCCTTTATTTCATATATTTGTTTAATTCATCTGCTTTCAATGGCCATAATCATCGTTGTGCCCAAAAGAGAGAATTTCTTTTTTTTTTTTAAAAAAAAAGTAGATAGCATATATTTACAGCACAGTGAAGTGAAATGATAATTATAATCTACCACATGAGATTTTTATCAAATGTACACCATTATTTCGCGTAACATTATTAACAAGCAAAATTCTTCGCCGAAGACGTTTTCAGATGCGTGTGTTGATTAACAAAACAATTAACTTTTTCTTTTATTTATTTTTTTGCTTATCTTCAAGGAAGATATTCCTAGTTTAATGAAGCAAAATAAAAAGATGATTGGATTGATAGATGGGGGGATGGATGTACAGAATTTTAGATTAGGTACTGATGGGGAGTTTGGCGTCATGCAACAAATTTTGAGTGTATTATATTATATTAATTTGATTGATTCGATTAAGATGGCAAATCGATAGTGTTGAACATGAAAGCCATGATGGGATCAGTCACCTGTGTACCCTACTGCACAAAACACAGAAATGAGCCACTCAAGAAAAGCCATTATGCCCAATGTTTTTTATAATCCATTTGGCCCTCCACCATGTGGTCATTCCCCCCCTAAATCCAACTGATTAAAGGGCGATTAATTTGGATTTTTAGCCTAACTATTGAAAAGGTAACAAATAATTCGAGCTACTCCTATTTTCGAAGTGAATTTTTGCTCAGGGTTTTCTCTATTGCAGTTAATATTAATTGAAAATTTAAACTGGATAGTAATTTTAAGACAAGAAAATATACGTTCTCCATACTTAACAGAATAAGATGTGAATTGTCAATACATGAGAGGGAAAATGAAAATCGGCGTCAAGAGAAATGCTTATTAAATTCATCTACAAAGTGAAAACATTTACAACTAGACTTCCTAATGTCCATCCTGTCATCGATATGATGCCTAGTGTGTTGTGTCGATTTGGCTGAAAAGATTCTTTTCTTTTAAATTAGTGCTTACATTCCTCTCCACCCTTTTTTTTTTTTTTTTTTCTCCCACGTTAGAATTTAATTAAATTTTTAAATCTTGAGAGCAAACTTATACCTCTTCTCTATTGCTATAAATACCTGTCACATTCCACACTTCTCCTCACCACTTGCACTCTCACCCAATACTCTTTGCTTGCTTCTTCCAAGCTTTTCTTCCAATCTTCTCATTATATCTTTTGATCATTTTTCGCTCCTTTGATTTGCAATGGCCAGCGTTGAGGTATATTTTTTTGTACTTTTTTTTTGCTTTGTTCTCAATCATCATAAATTTTCTAAAAAAAAACACAGAACCTAATGGATCTCTTAATTGTGCAAGATAACTTTATTTTATTTTATTTTTCCATTTTCAATACGAAAGTTGTATTTCACGTAATTTATGCTAGTTTCACACACACACAGTTTTCCTTGGAAACAAAATTTATCGTTGTGTTCCAATTTCCGATCCGAGCACAAACGTTTCATCTTACGCTACACTATACTCATTTTCATCAAGTTTTGTACTTTTCATCCTACGCTACACTACAAATCCTGCTTTGGGACCAAGCCAAACTCATGTTTTTATCAATACCTTACATCTGATTCTGCAAAAATACGAGGATCCATCATATTTTTTTTTCTTTTAGTTTTTATGAAAAAAATGAATAAATTAGACACCGGAAGAAGGATTTATATATATATATATGTGATTTTTATTTTTTATTTTTCAGGTAGAGTCAGCGTCAGTAGCAATCGCAACCGAGGTGGACACCACCACCCCAGCGGAGGCACCAAAGGAAGAGACCGTAGAAGTAGTTGTTCCAACCGAAGAAGATCCGGCCGCCGCTGAGGAGCCGGCTGTGGGAGAAGCGGCTCCACCTGCAGTCATCGCCGTGGAGGAACCAGCTCCAGTTGAGGCAGAGCCACCAGCTGTAGAAGAAGCCGCAGCTGCTGAGGAAGCCCCAGCAGCTGAACCAGCCGCCGCCGAAGAAGCTCCAGTTGCAGCGGTGGTAGCTGAGGAAGCTGTTGAAGTCGCTCCAGTTGCTGCTGGTGCTGCTGTAGAGGAGACTCCAGCTCCAGTTGAGGAAGAAACTGCAGCCGTTGTAGAAGAGGCAGCTCCAGCTGCAGAAGAGGCAGCTCCAGCCGAGGAGGAAACAGCGGCGGAGAAGGCTGAGGAGTAAAATCTATGAATGAAATGAATCATTCAAAATCATGAACTACGATTGATCATTTGCCAGCTTCACTTATTTAGCTATTTGCCCCCCCGCATGCTATAAAGTTGATGGTTTAGCTTGTTTCTTCCTCTTTTTTTTTTTCTTTTTTTTTTGTAATCTTTTCTATTTGCTGTATGATTATTGTTATGAGAAGATGATGAGTATTTGAGGTGAAGCATATTTTGTATGGGGTTTTATGAGCTTCTAGAGTTAATTTGTATTGCCTTCCCATGTTTAATCCCAACACTTTGAAGAGCTAGAAGAAGGGAGCTATACATAGAAGCTGCTGATGAGATTGTTAATTCCCTTCAAGAGAGTTGAGTTTGCTTATAACTAGTCTTGCCATGGATTGATCCTAGTAATGTAATCTCTAGCTCTATAATATTAATTAATTTATAATAATATTGTTGGACATTGTTTATTTTCTTTATATAATAAAAATATATCATGCTTTCCTTTTAATAATTCCACACGGGCTTCTTGCTTTTGGAGATTTTAATTGAGTTTTGCCATCCTGTCGGCGATTTTATTTCAAGTTTTTGGTACTCCCTCCGTCTCATAATTATTGTCCAGTTTAAGTTTTTATTTCTAGTTTAAATTTTACTAAAAGTGAAATCTCAAACTGGACAATAATTTTGGGAGAGAGAGAGTATTTGAGATTTATGGTGAGGTGAGTACCTTTTCACTGAATCGACCACAAAATGACAAACTATATGTACCGAAAGAAGTACAATACAAGGAAACGACATTAACACGTTAAAATGGACATGGATCAAGAGGTGAAAGCTTGAAATGCTTTTCAGAAGTACACATGGATCAAGAGGTTCAAAAAGGAAACTTAAGGTTTGGATCATTTCTGGGGGACTATGGTACTGCGCAGTGGAGATCATGGCCTCAAAGAGGCAAAGTGCAGGATCATAGAGGCCCTTTTTAAAAAAAATAAAAAAATAAAAAAATAAAAAAAATAAAACAAAATTTATCAACTTCTTTTGCACCACCACAAACCATAACAAATATTCTACCTACACATAAATGTACACACTCACAAAGTTGCACTCCTAACTCCTAAGCAGTTAGGAATTGTTGACTCTGAAACAAAAAATTCTGGAACCACCAATCATATTCGATTATAAGATCATCCTCACGGCCTCACCCAAGCTTAGAGCACACCAAAAGGGAGAGAAATAATAATTGGATCAGTATGAACTATCACTACCTCTAACCTCTATATTCTATTTCTACCGCAAACAAAAAACTAAAGTCAGACAAAGGGCAAAGCAAAGTGCAGTTATAATTCTTCTTTCGGCCTAAGTTATTTCATCATTCTGTGCTAAGTATAAACAATTGATGGAGGGAAGACCAAAAAAATCCCTAAGTTACTGGAAGTAAATCCTACTTGACCACACCTCCATGTACTTTCTACAGCCAAAATCAGAAAATGAGGTTTCTTCTTATAATTATGTACAAAAGAGCTGACTAAGAATCTTCCTCTATGCGGGCAGCAGTCCAGAAGTCCTTGCATTCCTTCCATGCATCACCAGGTACCAAAGCTGCAACCTACGTGCTCTTGAGTAATGATATTAAGTCTGTCCCTCATGGCAGACATAGAAGGATATGGAGGAAAACACAACCGGAAAAAGCACGTGTGAGAGGACGGCAGGCGATCGTTAGATTCAGGAGTCTTATATATGTATAGCTTGGAAGCCAACCCACTGAAGCCCTCAAAGGGTAGGTATTTTATGGAAGTCCAGAAGAAAAGAAGAACCTTTTTCTGCTCTGCAGACATTTTCCCCACAATCTGGAGAAATTCCAGCACAAACAAATTGTTAACTGAAGACAAATAAATTTGGATAGTTTTCATGATTTGAAAATTATCTGATGCTCTAAATCCCAAGAAGATTAGATGAAATTTGGAATCCAACATACAACACATGATGAATTGCCCACATACGAGCATCAAAACTAAATAAAAAGCTACTTTTAAATCAAACAATGAGCATCATGACTTCGCTTATGAACCAGTGAGAAACTAACTGGAGGTCATAAGAATATATATATTTCCAGAAATCCCAGAAAAGAGAGAGAGAGAGAGAGAGAGAGAGAGAGAGAGAGAGAGAGAGAGAGAGAGAGAGAGAGAGAGAGAGAGAGAGAGAGAGAGAGCAATGCAGGCCAAAAACCAAGACTGTACAAACGCAGAGAAGTCAAGACTGCTGGCAAAAGAGAGAACAGAACACAATTAGAGCAATAAATAATTCTGAAAAAACTTTTTTCCCTATATCTAAAAAGCCATAACCAATATTATTCAAGTAGGAAAAAGTGTATGAATAGAAAAGGCAAAATGAAATGTAAGAACAACAATGCTGATCCTGTGAGAAATTGCTGTAAGGGAGCGTTGATATTGATGTGAAAATGTCAAACTTCAAAAAATTGATGCAGCACTCCTTCCTCATGTATGTTCAAGTTTATGAGTTATCTAGTCATCTACGCATAATTTAGATATACAACAACAGAAAAAAATGTTGGGGGTATTTCCTACGGCCTGCAAGATAAGTTGCATATAATGTTATTGAGAAAATTTTGAGCCAGCACTGGCATCTCAAGTCTGGACAGCATTGTGGAATAATTTCTGAAGGTTTGTCTAAAGGTCTTTCTGGTAGAAATTTTTGGGAAAAATGAGGGATTTATTTCCAAGAATAAAGGCCAAAAGATTCTTATGAATTTGCATGTTTATCTTCTAGCTGGCCCAATGTTGAAATCTTTTAGAAAGGCATGCTGAAAAGAGTCCCCTTTTTGTTGTAGTGAAGCTAAACTATTCTTGAGTATCAAGCAGTGCCTTTCATTTTGAATAAAGATGAAAACCCCAAATGCACCAACAGCAAAAGAAAACACATGCAAGCCCAACCAGAAAAATAAAAGGGTGGTGGGGAACAGAAACAAAAATGACAACTGTGACAAGAATATTGAAAGAAACTCTAAAGGCCAAAGGAGAAGATGAAGCCTTACCTTCCAAAACCAGAGTATCTGTGGATCAGTCTGTTTGTAGCCATTGTATTCAGTATGTGCTTTCCAGTCTTCCACAGAAATAGCACTCTCACTCCCTCTTAGCATCCAGTTGAGATCTTCAGGAGCTAAGCTTTTAAAAAAGGATGTCCTGGTATTGTCGCACACGTCAGAAAAACCTTCTGCAAATTTAGCTACCTGTTCAGCAATTGATGTGACGAACCGGTGTTCAATTAAAAGTTTGACGTATTTCTTTCTGTTTTTGCTATTCACCGCAATATTTTGACCATCGTGACAAAGCTCGACGATCTTTCTGGATCCCAACTCTTCAACTTCCCGAATAAATGTGAGGCCGAGAACATCATGATCAATAATTGCAGAATCCATTTCCAGTATCTGCTTGCAGCTACTATACAAGTATGGATCTGCATCCTGGACGTCCTCTAAGGAAATAGCCTCTCCAGCTAATTGCAATGTAAAAACACGATCAAAGACTATGCCCACTTGTAATTTATGCATCAAGGCTAAGGCTATCACCCTGCCGGCAAACTTGTAGTAATCACTGTGCATTGAGTTCACCTTAGATGCTGCAGATAAATATGGCAGACAAGCATTATTCGCCTCAGAATACAAAATGACATTCCAACGAAGTTAAATTTGGAGATGTCACTAATTTGGAAAGGAAGTATCACTTCACAAAGTTATTTGGATGAAATTAAAACAAAGACACTATACATAGCAATATAAAGGTAGATTAAAGGTGCTCTAATGCTGCAGCAGCTGCAAACTAAAGGCGAACATAGCCTGGTCTCAGGAATGGCCTAAGTTACAGAAAGAAAAAACTATAGATGGTCAGCCCAGTCATTTCTTCAGAGTTTATCTAATTTAGCAAGTCTACGTGTGTGTGTGTGTGTGAGAGAGAGAGAGAGAGAGAGAGAGAGAGAGAGAGAGTCTTGATATCAAGAATACAATCTAAGCATTTAATAAACCAAAAATGCATTACATTTACTTGTAAAAATCAATCCAAGATAAAATGGCCAGATGGTCCATCCATATACTCAATTTTTTATGGCCGAACAAGCACAACTCCTCACTTTAATACCTTCCATGACAACATGCTAAATTGTTCTCACACTTTCATCTAATGCCACTAGAATGCAAAAAGCCATACTAACAGCACTGAAGTGATATGCATATCGTGGACTCCAGAGTACAGCATTCAACGACCAGGTAACGAGGCCACAAACTCAATCAACAATCAAATTGAAAGTGGTAAAATACATAGGATTACCAGAACAGAACTTACCAGAATTAGGGAAGAACTTTCTATGATCATTCGGACATGCTACAAAGAGCGCATTCTGAGGATTGAAGATTTCTCGACAAACTAAGAAAAACCACTCCCGCAGCACACCAGGGCCAGTAGCTTCCTCATTCTTGAACTCCATAAACAAGCCCCCACGTAATGAGAGAGGATTTGCATTTGCAATGTACTCGAAAGACTCTGCTAATAAATGCGACCTATCAATGAGCATCTCGTGCAGCTCCTCATATTCATCTTTCATCTCAGGCAACAACAGCATTGCCAGATGCCTCCTTGCCTCAAAGTTAATCACTTCCTTGTGACGAGATATCCACATATTATCGCTATCCCTCTTTGCGAACCTGATAACCAGGTTACACAATGCAGCCTTCCTCTCACTCATACGCAACCAAAATATCTCCTCTGCGCCCTTAAACATTTTAGATAAACCATCAAGTTCTCTCAAAATGGTAAGATACTGGCACCAAGCAAGTTTTACAGGAGGTGAATGATGCTCAGACCCGGCTTTCCTTTTATCAACAGTATTACTATCCAAATGTTCCTCCATTTTCTTCAGACACATATCCATCTTCCCCAACAAATCAAAAAGGGTCGTGTTCAGAAATTTAATCCCATCTACATAACACGGCACAATGCGGGACGTACCAGGTCCAGTACTGTTTCTAAGACAAACATCACCAGGAAACGGAACTGCAACCCAAGAGACCACTTGGTCAATAATAGCTTTCCTGTAAGGATGCAAAAAAGCGACGAAATCTCGCACATCACCATCACTTGGTCCAAGGGTCAACTTACTAGTACTTGCCTCTGCCAAGACCCGAGATAACTTACCTGCTAACTCAGTAACAAAAGGAAATATATCTTGGACCGTAACCTCCGGCACAGACGACAACTTGGGCAACATTTTACTCTCCTCATTCCCAATTCCAGAAGATTCTACCATAGTACCTAAGCAACTACGACAAACATCATACAAAGGGTCCTCACTATTCCCATTCCCACGAGCATTATCATTCCCATTCCCATAATTCAGTAACTTACAGAACTCCAAAACAACAGGTGCAAACATCTGGTAAAAGGATTTCTCCTTAACAATCTGAATAAAATATCGAATGCACTCTTCAGCACAATCTTTATTTCGCTTAATAGGGGACTTATAAAGCATTACCAAAGCGGCTGGAGCCGATGACGCAATAAATACCTCAATGTAAGGCAGGGGATTCTGGTCCAGCCCCACTTTGAGTTGGGGAAAGGGAATGCGCAAAGGGGGTTGAGCTTCATTTGACTCTGGCGGCTTGTTAGGAATGTTATTGAGGAATTCCATGAGCGAATCTTTCACAGCTTGGGAGGAGGAAGCGCCCCCCTTGTAAACACTGAAAATTCGAGTGATCATGTTGTCGATGCACCGCCAAGCGGTTGGGTGGCCGGTGCTCCTCAACCGGCTGACCAATTCAAGAGTTGCGTCCCTGGGTATGTTGCATTCGGCAATAGACTTGTCCCAGTCAAGCTGTCTGCCGCGGTAAACCAGGCCCTGTTCCCTCACCGGAATCCCAGTCCGGAGTTGAATTCTCTCGTGAATTGCCCCGACAGTGTCAGAAGGATCTGCATGGACGACGAGGGTCTTACTTCCACCAAAGCCGCCGCCGCCGGAGCCGTTGATCGTCCGGACAAAGAATTGGAGACTGGGAAAAGGGACAGCCTTTTGGTCGTCGTCGGCAGCAGGGGACGAGGAGGAGGAGGAGGCATCAGCCGATGATGATGATCGGGAGCGGCGACGGTGACGGGAGGGGTGGTGGTCGGAGACCTGAAAGCGAGAGACGTCGGAAGCGGTAAACTGTTCAGTGCGCATCCTATTACACAAATATTCATAATCATCATCTAAAAGGCAGTCGCCGCCAGTCAGCTCGTCAAGCTTCCGTTTGGCGGCGGCGGCGTGGGCGTTGGCTAGAGTCCACGTACTCTGTTGAGTACCCTGTCGAGATGACATTCCCTGTTTAACACCCAAAACAAAGAACCAAGGGTTTTCGAGTGATTTTTTACATGAATTTCGCCCAGAAAAAAATCAAAACCCAACCCAGAAAAAAAATATTTCTCATAAATGAGAAGTAAGGATCAGGAATCCATAATTCACATATGAAATTGAGTGTGAGAGTCGATCAGGGAGTGAATTTTGATTGTAATTTCGATTTCACCGGGAAAGAACAAAGAATTTGAAGGATTGATGAAAAGAAAGTAGCGTGAAACTATTTTTGATGATGATGGACTTGGTGAGAAGGAGGAGGGGCAAAGAGGAAAGAGTAGAGAGATGGAATGAATTTACAATTACTAAAGAAAAAAAACGCTACGCTAGACAGAACGGAGTGTGGTTTTGAAATTACTATTTTAGGCCTGTACTACGCGTCGCGTTCTGGGTGCAGCCGGGTCATCCTTCTGTGACTAAACGCTGCGTTTCTGGGAGGGTTGTTACTGTGTTACATGCATGGCAGCATAAGATAGTGATTTGCGCGGTCTAATGAGTTATAGGGGTAAAATAGTAATTATACACCTACCCTTGGTAAAGTAGCTGTCAAAATCTAGGGAATAATTAATGAACGATGCTGGAAAATTTTGATACAGAAATTTGCAAGAAATAAATTTTCACTATGTATCAAAATTTTTTGATACAGAAATAGTAAAAAATAATTTTCACTATCTCCTAACTCTCAAATAGATAATTTTTTAGACGAAAGATATAAGTATTTCCACAGTTTTTCGGCCCTGAAAAGAACTATGTAAAATACTCTTCAAATTTTGTGTGTATAACCAACGATAGTGGTAGAGATAGCTTTTTTCACTTATCGAGAATTGAAAATTTAGCTTGGCCGATAGGTGCTAGTCTATTACAAGGAATTCTCCAAAAACCCTAATTTAGAAAATAAATCGGATAAAAGAAAAACAAAGAATAATTTTATTTTTTTTTTTTGGCTATTTGATGTGTGTCCTTAATTCTTTGTTTTCAAAAAATAAATTAATCAATCACACTTTGTCTCCTAATTCATTTTGGACTCCGATTGATACTCGGACTTGCTCGCCCTAATCTAATATCTCGGCCCACTACTCACCGACTCAGCATGGCCCAAACCTTTATATGGCCTAACGCAAAAAACTAGCCCAACAAAAAGTATAAGCGTTTATAATTCATTGCATGTATAGTTTTTTTGCATAAATTGTTATTCATAATTAATCGGATGGAATGCAAAAATAATGTTGTATAATTGTAGAACAGGTTACCTTTATACTTTTTTTGAATATTTCGATTTTTTTTCTGTTCAAAATAACAGGAAAAAAAATTACATTCATATGATTCTGTAATTTTTTCCGAAGTGTGGTATAATTTTTTTTATGAGTGCTTCTGTTTGTTTCATTATTTGCATGATTTTTTCAAATTAATTTATTAATAACTGTCTCATCGAGCATATTTTTTTATATTTTCAACACATTTTTTTATTTTTAATGAAAGAAACACTTAAAATACACATTAAAAAACATATTACTCTTGCCACTCAAACACATTCCAAGGTCCAAAAAAGAAAACACAAAAACAAAAGAAAGCCGGAGTTGGGGGTGGGTTATACTACTGTGGATTAATTTACCAACCCTTCCTACAGACTGACGATGACAGATAGATTTGCTATGTAGAAGGACAATCCCCATAAACAAAGACATTATCATAGAATACAAAGTCTTTCACATAAGTAGTAATTTTATTTTATTTTTCTGAGAAAAAAAAGTCAAATAAACCCGCAAGATTAAGACACAAAGAAACGTTTCGCAAATTTGATAAAAATCAATCAAGCTACAACCAAGATCCCTGTTTATAGGAGGTTTTGGTCATCCCAAAACGCCCCAAAACCGAAATAAAACTTGTTTTGGATTAAAAGTTCCCTAAAATCAACAATAACTTATATAGTTAAATGATTGTATGTGTGATGATTATTTAAAAATTACTAGAATACTCTAAAATGTATAATTAAGCCTGATATGGCTGTAAATAAAGATAAACAACTAAAATTAAAATTTTTTATAATTTTTTTTTTAAAAAAAAACCAAAAACTACTATACAAATAATAAATTATTAGTACTACATAAAATTGTAGGCTATTTTCATTTAGACAATTAAGAGTATTATTATTTCCCTCGTCAGATGTGTACCGCGTGCATAACGTGATCTCGCCCGAACCAAAACTACCATCATCCCCATTTTGCTAGCTTGTAAACTACTTAACTGTTACTCTCTCATTTTATAACCGAAAAACGCAGCTCAATCTGAGCTATCATCGATAATAAGACTCACGAGAAAAACATGTAATTTTTCAGGTAAATGATGTGGAGAAAAAGAAAATCAGTTATTAGGTTTCATGAATATAAAATGAGAAACTACGTTCCCTGTGTTTTCTTTTGATTTTTGTAGGTTTGGTGATAAAATTAAAAAAAAAAAAAAAAAAACAGGGGACTTGTCGTATCCTCAGGGAAACTGAGAAAAAGGATCAAATGAATATTTGAAACTGATTAATTACATTGCATTAATTGAGTTAATAAACAGATCGTTAATTCAACAGGTGTGCTCAAGCTTTTCATGGCTTCTCCTTAGAAAATTGGTCACGCGTAGTCGGTTGACTTCCTCTCGCGCCCCTATATAACTACGGACCTCCCTGACAATTTTGACACGATAATTGATACTCTTTCCTGTTTTTATTATACTATATTTTAATTTATCCTAAATTTAATCTAGCATGTTCTTCTTTTATTGAAAATAAAATCTTAAATATATATTTTCACATTTTGTAACTTAAATACTTTAAGATTTTACTTTCATTTTAAAAAGTATACGAAATTAAATTATGACAAATAAGAATGTCTTACAATAAGGACCAGAAACAGTATTTTATAGAATATGATCCCACCAATAATTATAGAGTTGGCAAGGTTTTTTATTTTTTAAATTTTCCGGTAATTACGCTTAATCAGACAAGATAAAGGTATTCAATGTACTTGTTAAAATACTACTAATAATTATCTTTGATAAAAACATTTTACTAATTATTCTTTTCGGTCCGTAATATAAGATATTTTCGTTTGTTCTAAATTCCACCTCGTATTAGGGGTGTCAATTTAGGTTTGGACCCGTGAACCCAACACGAAATTAACGAGTTTTGGTTTAGATTTATGACCCAACTAATAAATAGGTTGAATCCGACCCAACCTATTTATATGCGGGTTAGGTTCGAATTGACCTGGCGGATTATCCTGGTGGATTATCGAGTTACCCGTTTAAATAAATTTTTTAGTAATTTTATTAGTTTTCTGGAAACATATTGGTTATTTAAGTAAATATTTTATTAGTTTTTTTTTTGAACATGTGATTTTTTAACTTTTGAATGATATATTATTTTCATTTAGATTATATTTTATCAAGCGTTTGTCGTTTAACGATATTTTATGCGATATTTTGTAGGTTTTATTATAGTCGTGCTTAAAATTAGTTGTGTTGCTTTAGTTTGCATTTTAAAATGAGGAGAAAAAATAGATTTTTATTAAAAAAATTCATAATTTTATCAGGAAAAAAAATTAGTTGAGGACCAATAAATAAATAAATAAAAATATTCGAGTTAAACGGGTCCAATCCGGGTAACCCGCGAAGTAAAAGGTCGAGTCCGGGTTCAAGAATGAAACTGACCTGTTTAAAATATGGGTTAGGTTCGGTTTGGGTAAAAATTAAACAAGTTGAGTCCAACCCAATTCGTGAACCCGGACCGAACCCAAATTAACACCCCTACCTTCGTATGCATTTTTAATTAAAGAAAAAATCTTGAAAATATTTGTTAATATTAGAAAAACACAATGAATACGGAAATGTGTTTTTAAAACTTTTTCGTCAATTAAAAATACACATTAAGTAAAACCTATAACAAATTAAAATAAAATATCTCATATTAAGGACCGGATGGAGTATTATTTACCCCCAACCATCTCTCAACATGCCTTTGTCGGGAAAGATATTGCAAAATCAAGAAGCTTTTTCCAATAAATTTACTAGCAAAGGGGCACATTTTCGCACGTCCAGAATCCTGATGTAGTCTACATTTTCCAATTTTCATCAGCCAAAAATGATTAACAATGGGCCTTCTAGAACAAGGTTAAAGTCCATTAACCATCCTAAACTAATAGATCCAACACGCCTCAGCCCATTACGATTTTTACTCTTAATGTCATCTCTAAGAGGCCCCTTCTTGAAGGCCTTTTTAAGAGCAAACTTAATACTAATTGGAGTCAGCACAAGGAATACCACGTGATTCCAAAGCCAAATCATTATGTTTTTACATGAAAACCAACCGAAATCAAACTATTTTCCAACCAAGTTTCCACAAATGAAATTAAAAATAACAGATACAGATAAACAAATGAAAAAAGAAATAGAAGTACAAGAGTTCTCACTCAGCCAGATTCAGAGATAAATCGATAGCGCAATATTTTCAAGCCATGTGAGTCTCTCTGTCTTTTCCTAATCAGCATATTTGGTAGCAGTCTTTGTTAGAAGCAGATCCATTTTCTGCAGGCCACTTTCTTTAACCAACAAAAAACAAGGGTATGTCTTGTTGGGGAGTAAATTCGCCATTTTAAGTATTGAGGAGAAGTCAATCATTCTATCATCATCAAGAACCATGGAGCAGCAAACTGCGGAGCAGCAAAAACTAGCATTTCTTGACAGCGTTGCGTCCTTTGTTTTCAACTTTGCATTTACTAAACAATGTCAAGATCAGATGAACATAGTGGAGCTGCTTCTTACCTTGTAGGCTTTGAGCCGCATCCTTTTCCACTAGATGATGTCTTTCACAGAACTAGTTTAAATCCCGTGGAGAGAAAACCATCCCTGCAAGAAGGAACAACAAAACAATCAGCCAGATATCATATGTAAAACAACAGCACGATGAAGTTATTTCCAGAGGGCTTTATTCAGCTAAAATCCTAAATAAATAGGCCAAGCTGGCTTCAGTCTAGGTAAGAAGGAAGAAAGCAAATCTATGACAAAACCGGTTAATTCATGAAGGCACAAACACTTCAGCAACCGACCCTCAATCTTCTCCAGTCAATATTCACAGTATTCACAACATGCTGTTTTGCATCACATTAAGATCTGAACTTTGTAAAATTACGATTGACTGCGATATCAAGATCTGATTGCTCTCTTAGATTTTGATCAAAAGAAGACCAAACAAATGATTGGCTCAGGTCAACCCTGCAAGAGCCACCCAAGTCAGAGCCAAAAAAGGGTTCACACTAGCCAAGCCTAGTAACACCATACCATTCATATCATTTGTCAAACCAAATGTGTGTGTTATGCACAATTTACATCAACCAAAAATTCACCAAGCTAAGGAAAAGACAGAAGAATTTCCAAAGAGACAGAGACCAGATAATCAAAAATCCGCACCAAAAACAGATGGGCATTTGTACATAAATGAGTAAAAAAAGACCGAGAAAAGAATAAATGAATAAACAAAGACTTCATAAGCCTTCTACTATTACTCTTTACCTCTTATTACGAATTTCCTTCAGATTTCTTTGCTCTTTTCTAACCGCTCTCCTCTTCATAACCACTTCATCCCTTCCATTTCCACTGCCAAAATTAAATCCACTTTCGAGATGGATAAGGCTATCAACATAAACATCGGCATAAAACCTAAATGGCAACCCATTTACTTGAACCTCTCTAGCAGTTTTACTCTTCAAGTCAAACCAAATAAGCTTTTCATCGTTGCAATTCAACAAAACTTGGTTCCCATTCTTCGAATAAGTAAGTGGAATCAGAAGTGAATGAGATTCAATATCAGGAGGGCCGATTGACAGAAGCTTAGTCCAAGATTCCTTCACCCGATACTCTTTCATAATCCATATGTCGGTCTTGCGTTGCTTCCTAGTAGCAAGTAAACATAAACATCCATCCATTGCATATACGCTTAGATCCGCATCAGGAGATAAATTTTCAGGCTTTGGAAGGACAAAATTAGTGCAATCCCTCAAATCAAAAGCCAAAATGAACCTCCCAGAATAATCTGATAACACTGTGTGCAAAATACCATTCACATGGACACCCCAACCTCTGATTCTAGGCAAAGGGTAGGGAAAATTGTCCACTTTCTTCCACGAATCCGATTTCAAGCTGTAGATATGAGCCTTGGAACCAACCCAAACTGAATCGTCGTCTCTGAATTCCACAACCCTCAAAACCCTGTAATCATCTTCTTCAGGAATGTAACCAAACCCAGACCTCTGGTAATTTCTTTCCCCAACACCGATCCCGTGAGGAGATTCAACGGGACAGTCTGGTAGAGTTTTGTACTTTCTCGTAGAAGGGTTCCACAAAAAAGGTGCATGATTTTGGCCCACGAGAACCAAACCGTTGCAGGAATTTGACACATCAGAGCTGGAAAAAGGAGGTTTTAAGATGCGGGCACAATCGAGTTGGTCTAATTCCACAGAATATACGCCGAGGAAACCCAGGATTAAGCTCCGATTCGTCTGGCTGACCCGGGATTGATTCAGATGCATCTTGACGAAATCCGGGCTGTCGATTAGCGATCGGTAAAGCTTTGAAAGGCATCTGAATCGCATCAAGGACTTGGAAGGCAGGCGACTGAAGATGTTCTCGATTATTTCCCAAGGCAGATTAGGCAACTGGGTCGTCATCATTTCCGGGTTGAATGTTGATTGAAGGTATTTTTTCGTTTCCTATACTTTTTTCAAGGTCTAATTAGGCAGCTTGAAAAACTAATGCTAGGTTTTGGGTAATAAATTTGATAATATATCAATCGCAGAAAAGGAGGGGACAAATACACGTGCCTATGGTATTGAACCTTTGCTTCTCAGGGCAACAGAGCCAGCCGGCACCGAAGGAGAAATGGGGAATAGTGGCTGGACGGCGGCGAATCCAAAGCTTGCAGATTTGAAACGGCAGAGAAGTTTTAGGCAGGAAGCAATCCAAGGTAAGCAATTAATTAAAGGAGATAAAGGGAAATCAAAAGGGGGGGAGAATTCATTACGAGACACGTGGTGGTCACCGCTTTTGTTGCCGATGCAAGTTTACCAAATCCGGCAAATACAGCGCGAGTCTCGTGGCAGAAGAGTCTGGAAAAGCTGATTGAATATTTGAATGGAGACAAAGGAGTGCTTGAAGAAGAAAGTTCGCCACGTATCAGAACAAAAACTAATATTTATTTATCCAGATAATTTGGTGCAGAAATTCGTCCTGGTGCTCATGGAACTGAATTGAAGAAAAAAGAGGGCTGAGAATGAAGGTGAAGAAATGAACGGTTAGCAAAAGGATATTTTTACAGTGGGTTGGTTGCTGAAGATAGGGGTGAAGTTGGTAATAGATAAATTTTTGTTTTTTCCCAGTTAAATTGCATAATGCATCCTCATATCTTGTGTGTTACGAACATTTTAGTCTATGTAAATTGCATAATGCATCCTCATATTTTGTGTGTTATGAACATTTTAAGGCTATGTTTGGCTTCAGAGTTTCAACAAACTATGTGCTCTTTAATTTTCCAACAAACTTTATATATACTCTTTCCACGTTTTCAATAAAAAGAAAATACACTACCTATGACTATAATATTAGAAAAAATTAAAGGTGAGAAATTAAAGTATATGGTGTAAAGTACCACTTGTGACTCCTTTTTTGGGGGATCAATTAAATTAGTAAAGATGTCAATGGAGTGTTAAAAAAAATAATGATTGAATTTTTATCTCTTTTTTTTTTCTTTAATACCTATATTTTCACCTTCAAAATGTTTAATATAGCTGTTTGTGATTATGTGAATACCTTACAGAAAAATGAGGAATGCATAGCGCAATTTACATCTTTTTAGTATGCCTATAAGAGAAAGAAAATCTCCAAAAACTTACTATATAAATACAAAGATAGCACAAAATTAATCAAAGGCAAAGCAAAATATATAAACAAATGAAAAGTGTTAAAGATGCATGTAGAGCCACCAAGCAAAGCCAGATACTTCAATATTCAAATTAGAAAAATAGCAAGTGAACAATATAATCGATGTGTATGGCAATCTTATTTGCAACTTTTCCATTAAATGAATAAAAATAAAATTGTTGCTCCACATATACGTTAAAGGATTTTCATTTCCAAAGAGAAAAGCTAGATCGAATAAGGGAAAACGCGTTATCATTCAAAATGCAAAAGCTCTAGGACACTTTGATGTCCCTTTAGCTGAGTGGCAAGTAGAAACTTTAAACTATTTATAGATAAGCATCATATCTGCTGTAACTCAAAGGTAATTGACATTTGAGGGATTAAAATATATAGAGATAAGAAACGTATGATAGAGTAGTGTGTATCACCCAATTCAGGAACCGAATAATGTGACATGTTGGATCACCATTGAGCATCATTTCATTGAATAGTGGTACCAAAGTTCAGCTTTGCTATCATCACACACATCAAAAGATATTTGGTGCCATTCAAGGTCATTAGCTGTTTTTTTTCTATTCCATTTTTCTTTTTTAGGACGGAAGAACTGCATAGATTAGTTAAATTGCTTTAAACTAGAGTTCAATTATGAAGCACAGATCATCGGCTGAAAATCAAAGTTCAGTCATTGCTCACTTTATAGCAGAAACCAAAGAAGAAAATTGAAAATTAGAGGATTATTGAGGCCATAGTTTCTTTTTTCCCTTATCCTTTTTAAACACGAAATAGGCCTTTTGTTTTGGTAGAATGCTCCTGTCAAATGGCCAGGTTAATTCTCAGTTGCTCAACTTGTACCACAAAGCATTTTGTGTGACTGTGTGTTATTGTGATTGGTGACCGCAACAGAATATGATGTTTGGTATCGAGGATTCGTTCGTTAATAATGATGACATGGAGGACTAGTAGCACAAGGGTCATAATATTCACAGGTCATAAAAGAGGTTTAGGAAAAACAGAAAGACCTTTTATTAGAGTACATCAATCTTATTGGGCCCAGCAATCCTTTCAGCCAAGAGTTGCTTGGGTTGTTCGTCAGCATTGTTTATTGCAGCGTTTGGTGAACCAACCTTGGCCCATGGTCCTCTCGGTTGTTCTCCCGTCTCCCGTCTCAATCCAGTCAATGTCATGTAACAGAATTTAATGGTAGTCGTACACCTGCTAGTTCCTAAACTTGAAACAGAAAAAGAAACTCATTAATTCAAAGAGAGAGAAAGAAAAACTTGATCCTATGAATATTCAGGATGATTTCCCGGTCATATAATCCCTAACGCTACCTTAAATCCAATGAAAACCAAAACCACGATTCACTGCACTAATAAACCTATACATGAACAATTGTGGTAATCGTTCTACTGTGGAAAGTAGAAACCCAAATATGTATACAAACCTCCACAAAATTTAGTAAAGGATCAAATGAAGACAATAACGAAATGACTAATGCAGGAGTTACAAATCATGTTGGTAGGGAATTGAATGACAACCTAGTGGTTAGGTTGCTGTCCTTCTAGGATTCGATTCCCACCAGGAGTTGTAAGAGGGGATTTCACCCACATTTTAAGTGAGGTCCACTGGGGTGAATTTTTTTAGAAAAAAAAAAAATCATATTGGCAACCCAGAGAATCAATTAGCAAGAGATTATACAAGCAAATAAGATAATTACAAAAGGGCCCCATAACATCACCGCCGACTATTCAGCGACGTCAACAGGTAGTCTCCTACATGCTACTAATACAACATGCATTCACTTCTATTTTATATCAGCGTTTTACAGCCAAACAAATGAGATTTATATATATAAATTAAAAAAAACCCTGGAAACTAAAGCACCAAACAGATCAAGTTAACATGCAAAGCAAAAAAGGGGAGAAAGACAATCACCTGATGGTCTTCGATAAGGTCAACTGGGGACTAATGCAGCATTGATGTAACAGAGCGTAGCTAGAGCAACACAGGCCGGCAAACTCTCATGAAGCAACCTGCCACTGTCCACTCACACCAAATAGTAAAATTATCACATTTAACAAGTTGTGACTAGGCACGGAGAATTTCTTCAACTCACTATATACATTATGTTTTCCAAATGAAAAGCTACAAAGTTCTTCACACTGAAAACCTAAAACTAGGGGAAAAAACAGAGAGTTGAATACATAAAGATCAACGCAGAAATAAATGACATTTTTACAGCAAAAAGTTTCAAGCATCATCAGAGAAAATACTAATTCTCCAGTCTCTCCACTTCATTGTTTCCTTTGAAAACCAGTTAGATCCATTCCTACATCTGGTCTATCAGTTCAGCAAGTTTCCTGAATTATAAAAGATTTCAAAACCGTCTTAAAATGAAAACAGCTCCATATCAGTGTAGCTTTAAGTACAATGTACTAACTTTTAAATATCCAATCAAACAAAACATGCTCTTACAGAAATGAACCTCAGTTATCCTTCATAGAAGGACCCAAATGTTAAATGTCTTAAATGAATATGAAGATGTGCAAATTCCAATGAATAAAGCCTTACCAATTTGACTTTCTTGAGTAGATCATCTTTCACAACACAAGCTTAAATCCTTCGGAAAGGAAGTCATCCCTAAAGGAAAAGAGATCGTGTACATTAGTATATATCATCATGAAACTCACAAAAGAAAAAAGCATTACACAGTTAGTAAAGCAGTAAATTATCTTATATACGAATAATTATCCATAGTAAAGCAAGAATATCCTCAACAAAGTGCGCCCATTAACCATTAACAGCTTTTGACAAAGAACTAGTTAAACACATACAACATTGGCTTCCAAAATTGAATTACCTCTTTCTACTGATTTTACTCAGCCTTTTCTCCTGATCATCATCATCTTCTCCTTCCAAGCCATCAGGACGAACGAGACTTGAGACACAAACGTCACCATAAAATACAAACGGCATTCCATCAACAGATACACTTCTAACCGTCTTTTTCTTCAAATTGTACCACATAAGCTGCTTATCATCATGATTCAGTAACACCTCCCGACCATCTTTCGAAAAAGCCAAGGGGCTTATTTTATAATAGGGCTCAACAACCGGCGGAGCAACTGAAAGCAGCATAGTCCATGATTCTTTCACTCTATACTCCTTCATTATCCACACATCTGTCCTATCCTTTCTCCGCGGGCAAACCAAGCATAAACATCCACCCAGAACTTCAACAGTAAACTCAGCATACCCATCCGAAGATGCCGCGCCCGGGAGGTCAGGGATTGGTATGGCTGAATGCATCCCATTACTAACATCAAATCCCATTATTGACCACCCCATGTTACTATTTCTCACGGCTGTGTGCAGCACCCCATTCAAATGAGCACCCCAAACCCGTTTATATGGGAGTTGATAAGGAAAATCACCAATTCTTCGCCAAGAATTCAGCTTCGAACTATAAACCTTGGCTTCCGAAGATATCCAATCCAAATGAGGCCCTCTAAACTCAACAACTCGCAGCACAAAATAGTCGTCATTTTCGGAATCATAGGCGAAGCCGAATGTTTCATAAGCTGAAACAACTTCGACACCGACCGGATAATCAACCGAGTTGGCCGGCAACTCCCTAAACTTCCTAGTAAAAGGGTTCCATATATAAGGATTGGTGGCCAAAACGAGAACCAAACCATTACAGGAGTTGGAAATATCCGAGGAAGAAAAAGGCGGGCGAATTAGGGTGGCGGAGTCGAGGCAATTTAAGTCTATGGAATATATAGCCAGAAATCCCAGAATGATGTAGTGATTAGAACCGGTTTGCAGAGATCTGTTCAAATGTAACTTGGTAAAACTACGACTGTCGATCAACGTACACCAAGGTTTTGAAACGCACCTGAATCGAAGCAAGGATTTTACCGGCAGCCGAGTGAGGATGTCGGTGATGATCTCCGGCGGAAGATTTGGCATGGTAGATTTTTCCAGGTTCTAGGGTTTTGGAAATTTGGGAGAAAACTATTACGCTAAGTTTGAGTGGACTTATCCCATTTCGATTTTGGATTTCGCGAACCTCAGAACGGTTGAAAATTTATTATAGTAAAGTGTTTGTGGGGTTAAGTAACTGACCCCTCAATTGAACCTTGAAATTTCGCAAAAATTACAATTAGTAGCCTCTCTTAATCAATTTTTCATCTAAATCAAGTGTTAAACCAACGAATAAACTGTAATCGTCTACTCCAAGTTTGATAAAAGCATTGAAGAGAATCCCAATATTTATCGTTGTATTTTGCCAAAACAAAACCTTTAATTAAATACATAAATAAACTATGTGTAATTCGCTGAAAATGCACGTCTTACATTAACACAGACAACTGATTAAGCATTAATCAACTCCAAATATCACCATATGCATGTTTCTTGTCCAATTGTCTGTGGAGTAAGACCTAGTTTATTGACAAAATGAGTAATTAAACAGTAAAATAAAAGCGGACCGCGTATTTTGAGTTTAATAATAGGTCGGAGTGGGACCCACGTTTGTTGTTATTTTGACCATCCACTCGTACGCGGTGAGTCAGGGGCCTCAGGGCATTACTAGTAAACAGAGGTTTAGTTAAAATGGTGACATGTATTAGGGCAGCTTCGCCATTATTAAAAGAGAAAGACTAAACTAACGATACAATGACGAGGACAATGAACTTTCTTCTCTTCGTCTCCTTTCAAGTAATACTCCCTCTTGTTCTTATTATAAATCATTTTGATTTCGTCTTATATTTCACTTATAGTATGTCTTTTTAATTGAAATAAAAACCTTAAAAATATTTCATAGTAATTAGGAAACCCCAACGAATATGAAAATATATTTTAAGATTTTTCTTTCCAAATCTAAGACGAAATTAAAATGTCTTATAATAAGGACCGGAGGGAGTACTAATTTAATTTTGATCTCCTTTGCAGCCGTGTCCTATCCCTCCATCTTTTATTATAAATCATTTTTAGTATGTTTTTCCCGATAGTATCTATTATTGTTATATAATTATTGTAAGTTTTATTTAGTATGTTTTTCTAATAAAAAATAATTTTAAAATATTTTATAATGATTGGAATAACGTAATAAATGTGAAATATATATATAAAAACATACTAAATAGAATACATGACAAATTAAAATAATTTATAATAAGGACCGAAGAAGAAATATTTTATAAAGAAAAACAAGAGAGAAAAAAAAGTTGGGGATTACTACTTTTATTAGATGTACACGTCTTCCACACGGGTTTGACAAAACCCTAGAATAATCGGATCCCCATCACGTGAGCGAGCAAAGTAATTCACATATTAAAAATTTACAAATTTATGCTCCTAAATGTGGACAATTTTTTAGAATAGAAGAAGTAGTATTTTTCTATGTTTCAGTTAGATGTAGTCATTTTCCTTTGCTAGGTATTCCAGAGTTTAGTACCAAAAAAAAAAAAAAAAAGAAACTTAGTCATAGTATTTCGTAAAATAAAATGTAATTTCCCCTCCCCCCCCCAACAAGACCTACTCGTTCACTAGTACCTAGTAAGTAGTATTAAACTTGTAATACTGGTATCTGTATATGAAGAAAACGATCAATAATATTAATAGGGCTAGCATTAGTGTGCGTTAACCTTCACTGCTTCACAGTTCACATGCACAACAGTCAGCAGCACAAGTGCTCTATTAACATGTTCGATTACACGGTTTTATGTCGGGAATTTCTCACCACCGATTAAGTTCAGTTAACTTATCTCCAGATTCTCAAAATCGCCGAATCGTGATCTATCCTAGGAGAAAATCTTCTATACAGCTGCTATACCACATAAGATTGTACAGCCAGACACATGAATAGGATAATATTGTAATTTTATTGAGAAAGTTACCATAAATTAGGAAAGCCATGATATTTTCTAATATAATGAACGTGTTGCTGCACTAAAAAAGAAAGATTCACTTAATGTATATAATAATTTTTCCGATCCTAGTAGTACGAAAAAACACGGTTACATTTATTTGTTTGTTTGTTTCTGTTGGAATAACTTCCGAGGCTTTCTTGGAATATGCTGATTTTGTATTTTATAAGCTCAGTTTCCAAAAATTGGTGAGACTAAGATGTTGACTTTAAAATCACCCGCGCGCGGACTAGAAACCGAACGAAATTTACAGGCAGATGATGTTTTTGACTAACTTATAGTTATTGGTTTGAGAAAAATAGGATTTTATAATACGAGATGATGTTTTTGGATCGTATCTAAATATGACTGTTGTTTGAATTGAATATTAAGAAAACGAGTAACTTTGGGGGTTAACGATCAGCATTAGTTCGATGTTTTTGAATCAGACCAGGAAGTAGAGGCAGTAATTGAAGAAGTTGAGGTTTCGATCCGAACAGTCTGTCATCGGCCGCATATTCATTAAATTGGAACTCCAGCCTAGCGTGTACGCTGGGGAAACCGTTATAGTATAAGTTAGAAATGTGGTAAGCCAAGGGGGGTCAAGCAGGTACATAGTAGCGGGCTAATGAAGTGCGGGTACAACATCTTCTGAAGTAGTAGTAGTAGCAGTATTAGAAATATGAAAAAAGAAACGCATGAATAAAATCTTTCCTAAATAATCACTTATATTATCCACGTACTGTACTTCATCTGTTTAACAAGTTCGATGTTTCATAACGCCATTTTTTATTTTTCTTACCCTAAAAGGCTAAAACCATTTCCATCGATGAATGACTATTCAGAGGTAAATAATCACTTCAATAAGCTGTAGGCATATCAACCAGTGGAGTGACTAGTCCAAATACTTAAAAGTGTTTGTTATATGTCCGTGATCAAATTCAAACAATTGATTTATAAATAGAGTATATATTTTACTGAATCACAAGATTTTGGTTATGACAGTACTATAAGAACTTTTTTGGATGCAATCCATGTATTTTCTCAACGTGATATCTTATTACGTACTGCTAATCTTTTTTTCTTATAGGGTAGATTTTTTTTTTTTGTTATCACATATACAGTAAAAAATCTCAAAAATTAATTCTCTATAATATAATGAACTTTATTAAATAATAAATTTTTTGATCCCAACTCAGAATCAGTATAAAAATGAAACAAAATTGATACATTAATAAGATAATATCAGAAAATCCATTTATAAATATAGGTTCCCTGAAAATCGTAAATTAATAATGAGAAAAAAATTAAGAAAGTTAAAAATATAGGAGGCTGGTGAGTTTTTTTTTTTTTTTTGAAATTTACTTATGAGAAAATTTTATCTATGATTTCCTTTCCAACCCGTAAATGAATATAATAAGATCGTAAAACATATTGTTCTTTAAATTAATATTTGATTCCTAATAGAATTGAAAAAAAAATCCTTTAATATTTGCTTCCTAATAGAATAAAAAAAATCCTTTAAATAAATAAAAAATTTAATCTATCAATAAAATAATAATGATCAATTTATCAATAAAATAATCATCTATATAAATTAATAAATTTTTTATAATCCCATAGTTATTAATTTATAGAGCCAATATATTTTATATGAGGAAGCATTCATTTGGGCCAAAAGAGGGCTTCTGTATGAGACTCAGGTCTAGACAGTTTTGTGCTGACCAATTAGGCCAATATTGACGTATTCATAAAGTCGCATGCTCATTTTCAATATTTTTTAGTATTTTTCAGTCTCAAAATAATTGTCTAGTCTGAATTTTTATTTTAATATAATTTATATTTAAAACAGTTTTAATAGAGGACAAATGTTTTAGGACAAATTTGTGAAACCAAAAAATAGAAATAAAAATTCATGACTTCTTTGGAAAATGTCTAGTACCAAAAGAGTTTCAAGGAAATGATATACTCCGTAAACCCATAGAGTCACAAGTTGTAGACTACATAGAGACAGATTAGTGATAAAAACTGGGGCATCAGTCCATAGGGATTGTATGTCACCCGATGTTTTTCGCCATTTCTGCAAAACCAGGAGCTTACAAATCCTCACTGCATGCGTCTAATTCTTCGATACTATACGTATGCTAATTCTACGTATGGATCGTTTTTTTTTTGTGTGTGTGTGTTTTAAGCTGGTTTTTGCATTGGGGATGTAGAGAATTATATTAAGAATGTAAGAAAATATGCTGAGATAGATAGTTAGTATTATTTAATTATTTTAAAATTACCATAAAAAAAAAACAAACCAAACAAAGCCTAAAGATTCTTACACCACTATCCTACACTAGAATATAAAATTTTGTTATGAGATATTTGATTTGATTTGATTGAATATCCATAATTAATATGTATTATTTTATTCACAATGAAGGAGATATGATTTTGTAATATTTAGCATTAATGATAGATAATTCATTTATCACAGTTTGATCCTCTACTTTTAGTATAATAGGGAGCTCATTCATGCTTCAAAATATATCTGAATATAAGTCTCGTATCTCTCTCTACTCTCTTGTCTCTCCTCTTCGTTCTTATGTTTACTTTCATATTAGTAATCTAGGATTAATATTATAACAAATTTGTTATTATTTTATAGTTAATTATTATTTTTCTTTTTAAAATTTTACTGACATCTTAACTCACTATTGGATAAATCCTTCAATATGTCAAAATCTTAGTGAATAATATATAAAGTGACGTAGAATTATTGTATAAAAGATCTTTTGTCATATATGTGATAGAAAAAAAACTGGGGGAACAAAATGGAAAAAAACAGAAAATTTAATGCAAACCTAGTTATGACATTAAATGGTTATATCTCCTTATCATGTTTATAATTCACTTTAGTGTCATCAATTTTACTTGGTTAGTATAAATCTACTGATCAAAAATATCAAAACATGTACCATTAAGGTTTACTTATATTTGTATGATAAAGAAGTTAAACATGTGTATTAATCTTAATTTCATAATTGACAGGTGAATTTTTGTATTCCTTTTATTATGAATTTGTTATCTCCAATTTGAATAGTTTATTTTTAAACACAATATTAAGTCTATGTTTGTTTGGTCCTATTATTTTTTTCTCTTTCCACAGCAAAATTTTAGGCTTCATTTGGACAAGAGTTTTAAAAAGACTTTTAAGGCTAAAAAGTCTATTTAGAGTTTAAAATACGTTTCGATAAAATAATTAGTCTTTTCTAAACATCAATTTGAAAAAAAGAAGGCTTTAAAACAAACTTTTTAGAAAGTAGGTAATGGATATTTTTTAATATTTTTAAACATGGCTTTTTGTCTCTGTTCACGGGTCTAGATCCGAGTCAAAAACGGGTTATAAAAAAAATCGGTCATGAATATAAGTAACAAGATATATTTGGTCCCATTCTCGTGCGCGCGGGGATCTCATTCCCCACCTTCCCATCTCTTCCTCGTCTGTTCTTGGCCCACTTTTCTTTTTAATTTTTATTTATTTTCAGTTTTTTTCTATTTTTTTCAAATAATTATATCTTTTAATATAAAAATAATTAGATAATGTATTATATAATAAATTAATCTAAGCGAGGAAATCTTTCTATTATGATCCATTGTTAATATTTTTGAAATTAAAATTTCATTCAAATTTATATATCAAATCAATGCGTATGTTGTTTAACTATTATGTATATTAAAAGGTAAATTATTATTTTTTTACCGAAAAAAGTAAATTTTTATTTCTTTTCTTTTATTTTTAGTTTATTCTTCACTAATTTACATTTTGAATTTTTTTTTGTAATTTTTCATTATTTGTTTCTTTTTAATATATATTTTTTGAAAAATATTTTTCACAAATTATTTGTCTTTGAGTGTATAAGAATTTAATTTTCGTTTTTTTTAGTAAAATGATACTTTTGTATCACTTTTTTTAACAAAAAATACTTTTGAAAAAGACCTAATCCAAATAGTTTTTTCATATTTTTGACTCGTAAAATGGTTTTGAAAAATTCTTGTCCAAACGCATTATTTTTTCAAAAATTACTTTTTCAACTTTTACTTCAAATAGACTAGTCTGAACAAATTTTCAAAACTCTTGTCTAAATGGAGCCTTCCAACTCATCCTTTTCTTTTTTTTTTTTTTTCGCATTCTTCAATTAAAATATTTTCTATAACAATTTGGAGGATTGAAAATTAATTAGTTTTAGACTAGTGATCTAGTATTTGACTTCTTGGAAGAAAAAAAAAGGAAGAGAAAGAGGAAACCTCCACCGATAAAAGGATTGGAAGGTAGGCTAAACAAACAATGTAGGACATCCTCCATTGATGCATTTGACCTCAAATTTTCCAAATTTAAACCCACGCCACCCGCTTTACAAATAACCCCCCACCCCCCAATATAAAAACAAACCGCCATAATAGTGTGAGGACAAACAAAACAAAACAAAACAAAACCAGTTTTTTTCACCCAACAAAAACTTCCCCTCCCAAGTCCCAACATAAAACTTCCCCAAAATCAAGTCCATCCATCCCAAATCAATCCCAAAATGGAGATGAAGAAGATCCAACTCAGGGCCCCTCTCGCGATTGCAATGTTGATGTGCCTGATTATATCCTCCTCCGCTGCTCTCCTCGGCGGGTTTTCTACGGCCGACCCGAAAGATCCCCAAGTTGTGGATAGCGCCAAGTTTGCGGTAACGGAGCACAACAAGCAAAACCACACGGATCTGGTGTTCAATAAGGTGGTTAAGGCGGAGCGTCAAGTTGTGGCCGGAACGAATTACCGGCTCGGGATTGAGGCTACCGATAACGGAGCCGCTCATCGCTACATTGCTGAAGTTTATGTGGCTTTGAACCAAACCAAGTTTCTTACTTCATTCAAGCAGCTGGGCAATTAATTAAATTAGTTACACTTATATTCTTATTAGAATTACGATATTTTCAGACGTTTTTTATTTTTTCTTGGGGTAATAATCGAATAAATACTGCTTCCCTGGTGTGATGTAGGTTTTGATTTTACACGAATTCATCGTGAGTGTTTTCCTTTTTGATTTGTATGTCCTGTAGTATTTGTTTTTTTTTTTTTATTGAATAAATGTTTTGAATTTTTGAGTAGTTTTTACGTTTTGATGATGTGTTGTGTAGACCTATCATGGTTATCGAATTTTTTTTATTTTTCTTATTTTTGTTTTTAACTTGTTTCCTAAAATCTCTTCAACAATTGCCATTAATCTTGTAGTACTGCGACTGGTCTACTAGCGTTAATTATAGTGTCTACCCGAAGTTGGGCACGTCTTAATTACATTATAAATCTTACTCCCTCACTTCCAAAATAGGTGTCGTTCTAGAGTTTTCACACAGTTTAAGAAAACATTAAATATGTTAGCTAAATTACTAGAACATCTTCAACCAACCCCATTAAAATAAATGTTCACCAATAATATTATTTTTTTTGAGGGTATGTTTGGAAATTTTTGAGAAAAAATGTATTGGAATCTGAAAACGACACTTATTTTGAAACTTTTTCATTTTACTAAAACGACACTTATTTTAGAATGGAGGAAGTACCACTCTTTTATGATCCGATTAGTAGGTCTGCCATAGTATGCCTACATCCAATTAGTTCGTGCTCATTTATGTTGGAGCATGAAATTTCCACATAAGCCCGCCCCGAAAATTATTGTGTGTAGCTGTCCTAATACATAAGATTATACAAACAGACATCATAATTATGGTAAATTAATAATTTTGGGAAAAAGTAATAATTTCAACAAGAGTACTAATACTAGCTGCACCCAATATTTTTTCAAGCCCTATACTACAGGATAAGATTGCGAACAGACAAAATATACTCCATTTTGTTCAACACGAAAATATTGTATCATCTCTTGTGAGGGTTGCGTAGTTACCAAAAAAATATTTTAAAAAGAGAAGAGTGTTTTAAACACGGATTTCTCCAGGTCAAAGATGAAAAATAAAAAAATGTATGCAAATATCCAGGCCGTTTGACCGTATGTTAGGGGTCAGGTCTCCGCCGCGCCGGACTTCTGCGTGAATCTGGTGGGGAGAGATCTGATCAAAATCAAATGACTCACGTTCGAGTGGACTCTCTTGATGGTTGATAGGAGCTCCCATTATATATTTATTACATTAAAAAATTTAATTAAATTCATGTTTGTTCCAATTTTATCAAATGTCTTGTCTCCAAACGAATAATTTCTTCCATAATAGTAGTTCCCTTGATAAATTTTGCTATCTTTATCTTATTGTTCTCAAGACAAATTATTATTTAGTTATTGTGTCACATTCCGTTTATATAAAATTAAATTAAAAAAAACGTAAATAGTGAAGTCCGCCAACTAGTATAAACCTTCAATAAATGTATTAGGACTTCTCAAAGACCAAGTATAGTTTAAAAAAAAAAAAACACCAAAACAAAATAAACGTGCACGGGGAAATGCTGACAAAAGGTAGACAGTGCTTGATTCACGTGATCCCTTAATCCCCGCGGCCACAAACGGCTGGTTGTAGTACTCCTATAAACTGTAGAAATCGTTTGCTAAATGTAACTTTATATACTAATGGAACAAGCTCTCAATTTTTTTTTCTTTTTTTTTTAAACAAAATTTTTTTTTTTATAAAATTGTTTATGAAAAACAAACCTATTACAATGTGACTGTATTAGATTTCAACCAACATATAGTACTTCTTTGGTTGATCATAAAAGAATCGGTTGCCTCTCCGACGCAAATCAAAGTTTCGTTCATAAATTTTTGTTTTTGTGTTTCGAATGTACTTTAGACTCCGTTTGATTAGATTGAATTGTAATTAAATTAGAATTATAATACTATTGAATTGAAAATGAGATATTAATATTGCAATTCAATCATAATTCTTTCGTTTGGAAGATCTCAAGAATTGACTAGAATTAAGGTTCTAATACCAATTCTTGTGTTTAGATCCATATAAATTTATAAAATCTAGAATTAGAAGTAGTTTTTTATTATCTAACTATAATTTAGTACTTTATTTCATTGAATAAAAGAAATACTTAATTTTATAAATCAAAGCAATTTATTACTTATATATATAAGATAAAAAAATAAATTTATTATGTACATTTATATTAGAACTTTTATTGTCTTAGTAATATATATCAATTTTATAATTTATAGATACATACATACTTGTGGAAAACTTTTTTTATTATTATTACGTAAGAAATATTAATGTGATGATTGGAATTCTCACAAGTAACATGTAGAACATCCTTGTTCCTCTCCTTTTTATTATTTTATAAATTTTTAATCTTTAGTTTTTTTTTGGGTTTTAGTGGAAAATTTTTATATAGTTGAAAGTAAAGACCATTCATTTATGTATAGATTAACATTAATACATAGTGCTAATTAATTATTTTTATTTTTAGTATATAATTACATATGGAATAATATATATTTCGACTTCTTGAAAATTTACAAAATTTTTAGTAAAATAATTTCAAGTATAGTTCAAAAATTATTTATACATTTGATAAAAAAAATTGTTAACCCATAATTAATAGCTTTCATTTTTTAAATAAATTACTGGTATGGTTATATATTTGATAGTTTTTGTCAAAAAAATACGAGTAAAATACTAATTTTAATGTGTAGATCTCATTAATAATTATCAATATAATGTACACCTCTTTTGCACAATAAATAATAATATATGTTAATTTAACAAAGAGCAAAAAAAATAAAAATAAAAAATCCAGCGCTGAAAGAAAAGGGGTAAAAAACGAAAAAGAAAAAGGAAGCGCATCTGCAGCGCTGAAAAAAAAAAAACTTCAAGTCTTCAAACTTAAAAGGACCCGTTTCGTTATAACCCGGAAAATGATCCGCATGTGACCCGCGTTTTTTCTTAAGTCCCTAGAGTTCGAATTGCAATTATTTGGTCCCACAAAAGAATTGAAAATAAAGAATTGAGCCTCATCTTGAATTATAATTCTAATTCCGGAACGCCTATTTTTGTCAGTCAAATACAAGAATTGGAATTGAGGGCCTCCAATTCTAATCCATGGGTCCAATTCAATCCAACCAAACAGAGCCTTATAGTATTTAAATTAAAATCAAACTAAGGAATTATAGTCGGAAGAATTCATTTTTGTACCTAAACGTCTGCAAGGAAAAAAAAATAAAATTCTAAACTATTTTATGGAAGTGTAGTTTTACATTGCACATAATACCAATAAGTGATAAAGTAAACAATGAAATTTAACTGTTACTAGCAATTCAAAACAGATGGCTAATTCACTCTCTTTATGGGACATTGTGATGAAACCTCAATAAAGACTACCATTTGACAAAGTTTTTTCAGGACGTCCAATAATACCATATATCACGTAAGATTTTTCTAAATTTTATTTTCTTATTAATTTAAGTTTTATCTTATGAAAATTAATTTTTTTAAAAATTTATTTATATTAAATTTTTTCATCATTAGTAAGAAACTAAAAAAAAAAGAGCAAAACCACTTAGGTAATAATATATCATTGGGCGTTTTATTGACAAATTAATTTCTAAAAAAATAACGTGGTATTTGGACAATTTGACATGAAATTAATCATGGCGGTTTAAAGCATGATTTTTTTTAAAAAAAATTAAAGAGTAGTAAAATTAAAATTGAACCGTAAAACAGAATTGTGCGATCGGATCGGTTAATTATGACAACTCTTAAAACAAAAATAAAATAGTACTCCAACGAGAAGAATGTACTAGTGACTAACATTTGTAACAACATAAAATGAAGTCCTAAACTTCCCTAATTTTTTACATATCCATTTTGTCAGGATTGTCTATATCCAGTATTCTAAAGATAACGCAGATCATCATCATCATCATCATCAACGCCAACATAAAACCATTCTCATTCTAAACCCAGATTTCAAAGAATTTCACCCACAACAGAACACTTGATTATCACATTTATCCATGACCTATATTATTATATTTTCCCCCTCATACAAATCCCTCCATCGTCAATTATTGAAAATCCGACATAACAATTTAGTAAAAGAGGGCTAGAAAATATGAGTTGAAAATTTCTGGGTAACCGGAAGAAAAGACCCAACAGCATTTTAATTTCCTTCTACTGCCACCACTAATCCAGTAATAAAAACCTACTGTTCTAATTACTCTCCGTATTCCCCGAGAAAGATTTATTTTTTATTTTTTTCGTATATTTGTGTATTAGCATTTAATTTCAATAAAAAATAAATATTAATATCGGAAAGAAAAATCAGCAAAAATAGGGATTTGCTGGTCAGGTGGTGGCTCAGCTACGACGCGCAAAGCCTCGGCGTCGTCAGCGGTGGTGGTTCAGAGGCAGCCGTCCTTAGCGGCAGCGTCCGACAGCGGCGGAGACAGCAACGCCCCAAAGATGAAGGGCTTGTTTAAGTCTAAGCCCAAGACCCCTGCTGAAATCGTCCGTCTCACTCGGGATCTCCTCGTCTATGTCGATCGAACTCCTGCTGATGCTCGCGATCCCAAGCGAGAAGAAAAGGTACTTTCATTTTTATCAGTTTTTTAAACATTAATTTCTTATTTCGCTGATGAAGGTTTATTTTGTACATCTGGGTTTTTTTTTGGATCGGAGTTGAATTACAATGTGCCATAGGGTTTTCGCTGTGATGTAAAATTATCATCATTATTTGTTATAGAGACTTAAAATTTTGTGTGTTGATATGGATTTCCCACCTATTATACCAGTTTCTAGGATTTAATCATTACTGCTGTGGATGTGTATGCTGTGGATGTGTATAATGTGTAACAATGTAAGTTGTTTGAGCCATGTCTAATATATATTCAGATTCTGATACTTGAGCCTCCCATTTATTTTTTTTTATGTTCAGATGCTGGAGCTGAGCAAACTTATTCGGGATTTGAAGTCGATTCTTTATGGAAACAGTGAAGCTGAGCCTGTAGCAGAAGCTTGTGCTCAACTGACGCAGGAGTTCTTCAAGGAGAATACCTTGCGTCTGATAATTAATTGTCTACCGAAGTTGAACTTAGAGGTACTTGTGTTCTATTTAGTTACCAGTGTACGTGGTGGTTTTAGGTTGATTGGATGGAAGGAATATTGCTCTCAGTTTTTTTTTCTTCTCTACCCGAGGTAATGACAATAGATAACCTTTTTGCAGACCCGAAAGGATGCTACACAAGTCGTTGCAAATCTTCAAAGGCAACAGGTCCAATCGCGGCTCATCGCTTGTGATTACTTGGAAGCAAACATAGATTTGATGGATACTTTGATAGGCGGGTATGCTGTCGGTAACCGTCGGCATGTTTTCCCCTTATCCTTTTTCAAATAATTGATTTACTCATTAATAGTTTTACATTGGATATCAGTTATGAGAATCCAGACATGGCTTTACATTACGGTACAATGCTAAGGGAATGCATACGCCACCAGAGTGTTGCAAGGTGCCCAGAATTGTTCCTTTTATCACTTCTTTTATCTTTTTGCTTAAGTGTCTCCATTTGGTTTTTTTTCTTGATATTTGTTGGTTAGAGCGCTTGGAGTGTCCAACAAGCACATGTCAAATTCTGTTTTAGTAATTAACATTCTTGAGTCCTAAGAATCTGCCTTGATCCTGCAGATATGTCTTGGAATCTGAGCATATGAAGAAGTTTTTTGATTTTATACAGCTTCCAAACTTTGACATTGCTGCTGATGCTGGTGCAACTTTCAAGGTAAGGTTCTTTAGAAGTGCCCATGGAATGACTTGTCTCATAGTCTTGTGATGTGATCCTGCAATCGTGTCGGGATTGTTTTACATGTAATGCACTTGTCCAATTATCCTGAGTCCTGACTTCTGTGAGTTTGCCACTCACTGGTGCAGGAACTCTTGACGAGGCACAAATCAACTGTTGCTGAGTTTCTCTCGAAGAACTATGACTGGGTAAATGTTTCCAATGGTTTTTGGCCTTTCTTAAGTTTACTTTCTACAATTGTGATTAGGGCTCTGAGGTGGACTTTATTGCTCCTTTATAATGGGGAATTCTAACAACCTTTCTCTAGGTCTTACTGTGTGACACTTGTTTTACACATATTGTAAATGATGATTGATGGCAGTGTGACCGCTTTCAAATATTTCAGAATCCTCTGTGGATGATTTCTTTTTGATATTCTGAACATGTTTTTGTTGTTTGAAACTTTCATGTCACTTCGACAATTATGCGGATTTGGCATTCTTGGTGTTCTCTTTTCATGCAAACAAACCTTTTGGGCTGTTAAACTGATTTGGTATTCTTGGTGTTCTCTGTTTATGCAAATAAATCTTTTGCTTCATTACTCGAGTAAATGTCATTCTTTGTTTTACTTACATTTTTATGGTGTATTATTGACTCCATTGTGATATGGGTCCGTGTTCTCTTTTATTGTTTGTGGCTACAGTTCTTCGCAGAATATAACTCAAAGCTGCTTGAATCTCCGAATTACATTACTCGAAGACAAGCTGTGAAGGTAATGGCAACAAACTCTTTTTCATTTAGATTGTAGCGGTGGCCACTATCATTGGCCGATTCAATCTAATCTCTGATGATCATTTTGGTTGATCACAATCAATTTTTTTAGTTGCTGGGAGATATGTTACTGGATCGCTCTAATGCAGCTGTGATGACTAGATATGTTAGCTCAAGAGACAATCTGAGAATTCTGATGAATCTTCTCAGAGTAAGTTTCCTTTGTGGTGTCACGATTTAATGTTTTTATGTGGATCCTTAAATCATGAGCCTCTTTCTAATTTGGTTTTTCAACAAAAGGGTGAACCTGGTGTTCTATACTCTGTTATTTTTAGTGTTGTAAACCGAACTCATAATCGACCCACCCTCTTGCAGGAATCCAGCAAGAGCATTCAAATTGAAGCATTCCATGTTTTCAAGGTAGTCATGATCCTCATCTTGAACCTGGTCTTGTACTTTGCCTAGTCATTGCCTAGTCAGTAATTAAATTACCATAATGTTGTTCTAGTGACTCAATATTGGATTTTCTTTCTTTTTACAGTTATTTGCTGCCAACCGAAACAAGCCTCCTGATATTGTTGGCATCCTTGTCGCCAACAGAAGTAAACTTCTGCGCCTCTTTGCCGATTTTAAAACTGAAAAAGGTAAGACAATTGTTGATTGTAACGGGAAAATGTGGTGACCTGATTGCAGCAGATTTTACATCTGATTAAGCTCTTGTTGTTTCGGCAGAGGACGAACAGTTTGAAGCTGACAAAGCTCAAGTGGTGAGAGAAATTGCTGCACTAGAGCCCAAAGAGGGCCTATGAACTTCTTTCCTCGTCTGTTTCGATTATTTTTGGTAGCCGAACTGGCGATGATGTTGTATGTGTTATATTACCGTGGGAGTTGTTTCTTTCTTAGCTCTGATTTTATTTTCCAGAAGTAGCTTCGATTAGTGCTTAATTCCATGTCCGTTTGTGGTGATGGAAATATGTGAATATAGCATTAATGATCAAGAATAAAAAATTTACACTATTTTTGTATCAATAATACCAACTTTTCTTTTTAAAAAATGTGGAAAACGTGTCATAATCGTTATTTAAGTTTAATCAAGTTTCCTTAGAATCTGAATGTTTATTTTCTCCTTACTATAATTTTGAAGGTACTTTTTACTAAATTACTCCCTCTGTCCCATAATTATTGTCTATTTTGCCCAAAAAATTTTGTCCCAAAATTATTGTCCAATTTGACTTTTTATGGATCAAGTTACACATTTGTTCTTAGTAGAAAACATTATCCACTAAATCTTTGTGGTTAAACAATTATGTAGGGGTATATCCGGTTGTTCAATGTAAAATATAATTAAGTTTGACCAAAAATAAAATATTTCATTTTAGTAAAATTAGACAATAATTATGGAATGGAGTAAGTATAAAGGAATGAGGCATATATAAGTCTTACACATTGAATTAAAATATTCTGATAGTAGATGACGCGATAAAATAACACTCCAACCAAGGTTACACTACAAATAGATTTCATTGCAAATAATTTGTCACAAAATTTGACTATGTGAAACCGAATATATTAGGCTTCTTTTTAAAACCACATCTGGTAATCATCAAAATCTAATCTAAATTATTATATTACTCCGTAACTAATTTTACTAAAGTATTTTCATGGTATAAGAGCACCAAATAAGAATTGGTTTAATCTCGAACCCATCCCCATTTTAGGAAATTCCACCTGAGAAAAAAAATAAAGACCGCATATTATTGGCATATTCCCCAGCCTTATGTACTTTTGTTGTCTACACTGCACAGCGCAGATTCTCATCGGTGTTACATTTTTGGTCCATCGGTCTCCAAAACGAAACTACCTTTATTTGTAAATTTGGAACGGGACAGAAACTCTAGAATTTAGCTTGTGTTAGTGGTTGATTAATAACCCAATTCTTTTATTAGCTTTCCCATTACTCAGCCATTCAGGTCCATAGATTGGAGATGGTATAAATAATTGGGCACTATCTGATTTGTTCCTTGATGCGTTATAGTAGGATCCAAAGCGTCCAATTGTCCAACCCTTCCTCCCAACATTCTCCGATTCTCTCCCCCTTAATTCTTTCACCACATTTTTTGCTGCCCGCCAGAGGAAATGGCTCATAACGGTAGGATCCCATTTGATTCAACAAGTTTAAATGGATGTGATCTTTAATTTCAACTTCTTGGTTTCACGAACTTTGTAATAACATGTTTCATGAGGACTGAAAAATTGTCTCTTTGATGGAAATCAGTGGAGGAATTTTTGACTGTGGCGGTGGATGCGGCGAAAAAAGCAGGAGAGGTAAATCCTAAAACCTCAGCATTACGCTCGCGGTTGATAAGTTAATTAGTATCTGCCACATTATTTTTGTAAAGGGTTCTGATTATGTGATGTTAAATCTTGTGCTTTTTCTGTGTCCGCAGGTAATTCGTAAAGGGTTCTACGAAACCAAGCAGGTGGAGCACAAAGGCCAGGTAATTTAGTGTGCTGATTGTTTGTGCTTCTCTGTTGTGATTTTTAATGCAAAAATGTTTGCCAGTTCCTCGTTTCTGGAATTAGTTGTGAATTCAAGTTGATCACTACATTAGTAAAATATCCGTTTGCTGCATTCTCTCTGGGGTATCATATTTTCTAAACCGAAGATTCCCAGAAATTTTGAGGTCCTAGTAATTAGCATCGTGGCAAGAGAGTCTTCTCTGTTCAAGTCTTATGCAGTTTCAAGTGTTGGTTGCATGGACTTGTAGATGATGCAAGTTTGTTCTGAAGGTTCCGAAAAAGGACACATGAACCAATATGTTGTTTTGCATACTGCAGTTTGCTGTTTATACGTGTTTCATTGTTGCTAACTAGATAGAGGATCGGCTTCCTTTCCTTGCTGTACTATTGTGATGAAGGTGGACTTGGTCACAGAAACTGACAAAGCGTGTGAAGACCTCATATTCAGTCACCTAAAGGAGCATTTCCCTGGTCATAAGGTAAATTCTTGAAGATTTTTTGTTGGTTCATCCTGGCTTCATATGTAACAACGCTGGTTATCGGAAGTCTTGTTTTCACAATTATGGCTCCTTTTGGTCATAGTTCATTGGGGAAGAAACTACTGCTGCGAATGGTGTCACTGAGCTGACTGATGAGCCGACATGGATTGTTGATCCACTAGATGGCACTACCAACTTTGTGCACGGGTGAGAAACTAGTTCTCTGTTTAACACCCAGGCTTGGGAACCTAATTTCTCAAATGTGTAAAGTTATTCTAACGATTTTTATGTGACTTATTATAGGTTCCCCTTTGTATGTGTTTCAATTGGTCTTACAATTGGAAAGGTTCCAACTGTTGGTGTTGTCTACAATCCTATCATGGATGAGGTGAGCTGATTTAGCTGAATCCGAAACATGGGAAACCGAGGGAATAAAAGGAGAAAAAGTAAATGTTTGCCTAACAAATAATATGTATTGAAAGATGAAACAATTTCTGTTCTAATGTGCAGCTTTTCACTGGAATTGATGGGAAAGGTTCTTTTCTGAATGGGAAGCCAATCAGAGGCGAGTTCACTTTTTGCACATAGTTTTGCAATATCTTAGTTTAGCCTTCAAAGTTAAAATTTCTGATTGTATCTATTCCCACACATGCAGTTTCTTCTCAGTCTGAACTTGTGAAGGCTCTCCTTGCCACAGAGGTATTCATCTATGCATGCATGTGTGTGTTGATATTTATGGATACTTTAAATGTTTTTATCACTCGAAACTTCAAATGTTACACCTGTGTTCCTTGTTGAATCTAGAAACAGAAAAAAAGAGGCAAAAAAGTTAAAATTAAGTTGTATTATTTACTCATTATTAATATCTGAGAAATCCGAAGCTGTTGCTGGTTCCCCTTTTCCTTCTAATTGTAAATTGTATGAAGAGATAGTAGTCAGATTAATGAGAACAAATGGTTGGATACTGATTCCATGGATGCAAGCAAGATGTTAGTTTGGGATACTGTAACGTTTGATCTCTGAACTTGGCGAGAACTAACATAATGGATACATAACTGAGGTTCCCTTTGGTCTTTTGCATAAAGTTGGTACATGTGTAGTTTTTAGCTGCTCACAACATATGTTATTAAGGATACATGTAACATAAATTAGTTTAATCTAGTCAAGATTGTCCCTAATAATTTTAAGGCTCCTTCAACATCTTAGTTGGATGTAAACAAATTTGTTTCTCTTAACCCTCTCCTGTAAGCTATGTACTACCTTCTCGTCACATGCCTGCATGACTACTTTTCTTTCATAGACCTTTGCCATTAAAGACTAACTGCAGTGAAATTGTGTCTACTGAGAACAGGTTGGAACAAAGCGTGATCAGCTCACTGTGGATGCCACAACAAATAGAATCAATAGTTTGCTTTTCAAGGTAAACCTAATTCCTTGCATCATCAGCAGGAATTCCACACAGTAGCTCTCCTGCTGATGTTACATGTTGATGGACAATCAGGTTAGGTCTCTTCGGATGAGTGGCTCCTGTGCTTTGAATCTCTGTGGTATTGCTTGTGGAAGACTTGATCTCTTCTATGAACTTGGATTTGGCGGTCCGTGGGATGTGGCCGGTGGTGCTGTGATTGTTAAAGAGGCAGGGGGAGCTCTGTTTGATCCGTGAGTGTTTCCAACATATGAGGTCCTCCTTGATTAGAAAGTTAAAAACAAAAACAAAAATGGGTAGATGTATTGGATATGATGCAGCAGACCTAGATAAAAACATTACATCTTGAGTTGCAAGTGGTGAAAATCTGATCAAATTCGTGGTTTTATCATTCCAGGTCCGGTGGCAAATTCGATATCACCTCACAGAGGGTAGCAGCTTCAAACCCTCTCCTCAAGGATGCCTTCATTGAGGCATTGCAGCAAGCAAAATGACCAAAAAAGAAAAGAAACCTGAAGACTTCTGCAATTGTTGCTCTCTTATTATTTAGCTGTGGAATACAGCACAACCAAATGACCATGTAGTCACTTATTGTCAACACTTTTTAGGAGTACGAAAACGTGAATCTAGCTTTTGAAGTTCAACTCAGCTGCAGATTTTTTACCTGCACCCTTGATCCAATACTCTGTAATTTGCAGTATGAACAACTATCCAATAAATCCATTTGGCCCCATTTAATTTCAAGCTTTTAAGTATGGTTTGTTTTCCTTTCATTTGAAGCTTATTGTGGTTCTCCTTCGGGTTTGACCCGAAGAAAACTCTTGTCGGTTCTCCTTCTCTTACAGCTTTCGCTTATTTGTTCAAGGTTTGGAGTGAATCTTCGTTGTCTGTTGGTTAACAAGCTTAAACTATACTGAGATGAGAAAAACTCACCAGGCATTGGCATAGAATAAACAAATGGTAAAGCCAAGTATACATCCAATGAGTTCTACGATGGTAGTATCATTTAAAAACGAACTCTTTACAAAAATTTAAAAATACAAAGAAAAAATAAGTGAAAAAAAAAAAAGAAAAGAAACAAACATCAGATTCTGACAAAATGAAAGCTAAGCTCTGTAAGATCCATAACCATTCACTCCATTAGTCCCATTGACCTTCCCAAGATTGGCACTGGCATTAGAAGATCTCTTCCTCCTCAAGACAATGATCCAGGTAATGACTTCCAAAGTCACAGCAATAGCAGCAAGGATGACCAGAACAGCAATGTAAGCTCTTTCCCACTTCTTCCCAGGATTAAGTATATCCAATCCTTTGAAAATGTTGATGATTCCCAGGATAAGAATCGTGTACCCAAAAGAGTGATGGTAGACATTCCAGTAAACCCTGTACTTGTGATCCTTCTTTGGCCTAAGCAGCAAAGCAGAGAACTGAACAGTTGCAAGACAAAAGACTAGAATTCCAATGACCCTGTGGGAAGTGTAAGTGATTCCGGGAGATTGGCTTCCAAGCCGAATGCCGGTAGCGAACCCGGCAACACCAACAATGTATGCAGAAAATTGGCAACAAACGTGGAGATAGAACCAAGCAGGATCAGCAGAAGGGAACACTTTAACGTATCTAGCAATGATAGCACCCAATGGCATCAAAATCCCCCAGCTTATAGCATTCAGCAAACCATGAGCATTCTTCTTCTTGAGTTTGGAAGAAATTCCAGCTCCAGTTGCAGAGACCTTTGATTCTCCAGAAAGCAAATTGAGGGTCCCCATGGATTGAACATTTGGGCCTGTGGTGGGATGCATTCCAGGGCTGTCATTGGAAAGAGGGCCTTCTTGCCAAACCTGATTGACTGTTGTGCTGATGTTTTGAAGCTTTAATGTAGCAAAGATGGTGATTTCATTGTTTGAGAATGTAGCAGATAAATCAGAAACAGGAAAGCTGAGATCCCTTTCTTCCAATCCAGTCTGATAACTGTTGACAGGTGAAGTGTAGGCTCTCATTGTGCCATCTGATTTCTGGAAGGCAACAAGGGCTTGGGATCCAACCATTCCAGGTGAAGTTGGATTGATGGCCCAAGCAACCCATCTCTGTGATGAACTGGTTGCGTGCCTGAATGCAACCTGGAGAGTTTTGGAAGATGGGCTGTAGGACCAATGAAGGAATGAGTTCAGTTGCGGAAGATCACTGCAGGTGCTGTAAATTTTGTTGCTTGCAAATCTGTACTTTGAACACGATGATTGAGCCGAGGTTGATGATATTCCTAGAGTTAACAAAAGGGTGGAAAAAATCAGCAAAAACTTTGGCAAATTTCCCATGTTTTCGAGAATTCTGATAAACTAGTCCAGGAGATGAATATGGTGTGCTTCTTTTTAAGGTTTGTGAAGAGAATATTGTCTGAGATTTTTCTTGAGGAGGAAAGTAATGGTTAGGGAGTTGTTTGTTGTGAATTATATAAAGAGAAACTGAAATGAAGATGGGATTGGTAATTATAGGTGGAGAGTGGGGGCAAGATTAGGCATCTGTTTGGTGAGGATTTTGGGGAGATTTGTCTTGTTGAAAATGGTTAACAATGACAAGATTTTTCCTCTTTTTTTTTTTTTTTTTTCGTTCTGTGTAAGCGAATCACAAGAATTTTATTGTTGCGGTTTTTTGCGTATGTTTCAACTGCCTGCCTTCTTTTCACAACTGTTTGGACTCCAAACTTCAACCACAAACTAATTAGTACTACTAATTAACGGATGATGAAATCTTATGAACTCATGACACGAGAGCAAACCATAACTAACGGGTTAAGCAAGCACTACTGATGAAGGCCAAACTTGTACTCCCTCCGTTCCATAATTATTGTTCGCTTTGTCCAAAAAATTTTGTCCCAAAATTATTGTCCAATTTGATTTTTTATGGATCAAGTTACACATTTGTCCTTAGTAAAAAATATTATCCATCAAATCTTTGTGGTTAAACAATTATTTATGTAGGAGCATATCCGGTTGTTTAAGGTAAAATATAGTTAAATTTGACCAAAAATAAAATCTTTTATTTTAGTAAAACTGGGCAATAATTATGGGACGGAGAGAGTACTTGATTCCAGCCAAAATTAATAGTTGTATTTTCTATTACGAGATTGACCTAATTGTTTTAAAAATGTTATTGTGATCGTAATAATAATCGTGATGAAACAAAAAGACTGATTCCATAGAATGAATGAATCTTTGAGGAGGATAGAGGAACCGTCCAACAAGTACCAAAACGTTAGAGATGCATCGCAGTTTTTTTTTTTTTTTCTTTCTCCCCGAAAGGAGAAAAAGAAAAAGGAAAACAAAAAAAAAAAAAAACACTTGGATCGAATTGAACAAAATTCTACATCTGTCGCTGTTGTTGGTTAGTTTGTCTTGATCAATTGACTAAAAGTCAAAACCGTCACAAAATCTCACTCAACTGATTCTCACGAATCATCGACGGGGTTAACTTTGAATTTTTAGTAATTACAGGGATTCAAGATACTAGTGTAAAAATCCAAATATCCAAAATATTCAATGGGGTACAGTTTTGGGCTTGGAATGTTCAAGCACAGAGGTAGGAGAGGAAAGATGGACGGACACATGATGAGATGGTGATAGTAGTAAGTAGGATTAGGTTTATGATTTATTAGATTCCAGAGACACCCTGTGTTGGATACCAACCCAACCTGGTCAAAACCAACTCCAACCCCTTCACAACAACATAATCATCAATTCTCATTCCATGAATAAAAACTTCCTTCTTTTCTAGTCTTTGATTCTGTCTAAGACTGTACCACTCTCCCATCTTAATTATAAAACACAAATTTAAATATTTTTATAATCTCAATTTATACCTTATAATTACACTCAGAAGAAGTAATAAATATGAGTACATACGTTTCTAAAGAAAGCTTCTGACGTTTAAAATTTTACTCCCTTTGTCTTAAAATTATTGTCCAACTTGAGATTTTCTTTTTAGTACAATTTGAACTAAAAATAAAAATTCAAACTAGACAATAATTATGGGACGGAAGGAATATATAAAAAAAAATAATATGCTGCTTCCCAATATACCATCTCCCCCACTGGCACATGTTTCCAGTTTTAATGCATCGTATTCAAATGGTTCCAGACTGCATATTTTTTTTTAATGTCGTTTCACCATTGGCACCATGCTCCGATTTTCAAACCCTACGATCTACCATCATAAATTTATCAAGTAGTATTAATTAGGCCATTAAAGTTTAATCAAATACTAGAATATTTTCTATTCCTTTTTTTTATTTAAAAGATCAACAGACTGTAATGTAAATACTATATAGCTATCAGGAAAGGAAAGAAAAAGGAAAAAAAAAAAAAGGGTTTTGCAATGTGGTGAGTAAGATTGATAGTGTTTCCCTCAAATTTGCTTTAATAAAGGGAAAAATTAGTTTAGTTACACAATGTATACATACTCCTAATTTGTAGGCTCTTTCTTCATCCATGTGTTCTGTACGCCAGCGTTGTCCACGAAACTTCCATTTTGTCCATCATCAATCATATTAATTCCTTCTAGAATTTAAATTATGAACAGATTCTTCTTTGTTTTAAAACAAGGTATGAACTGAAATCAGACGTGCCGTGAGGAGGAGGAGGATGTGATAAACTGAAAGAAATGAATGACTTACAAAAATTAAATTAAATTAATCAGACGCGGATACACCTTCCTAGCTACAAATTGGACCATATTTTTTGAGAAAGATGAAGTAATATATATATATATATATATAGTAATAAGTACTCCTTCCGTCCCAAAATTATTGTTCAGTTTGAAATTTCATTTGTTGTACAATTTGAACTAGAAATGAAAATTCAAACTGGACAATAATTATGGGACGGAAGGAATATGATTTTGGGAGAAAGAGAACATGATAAAACTATAATTCCCACCAAACAATTCAAACGTTTTTCTACTGGAGTTATCACTGTATGTGAAAAATTCGACGGATTTTACATCAAACAGAAAAAGAGTATTTAAACGGTGTCGGTTTCAAACTGCTCTCAAATCACTGTTAATCAATTCTTCGGTAGGATTTCTCGTAAAGGAGCAAAAATATCTGATGCTTTGCCCTCAAGTTAGTCAACATATTCGAATTAATTTTTCGGGGGTGTCAATGATTGGAACCATTTTAGTCACTTGAAAGCACTTTTTGGTTAGATTTCTGGAAACAAACAACAGCAGTTTCTAACGTACCAACTCCCAAAAAAACCCAACCCATCATCCATGTGGACAAACTGAAAAGGAGACAGCAATACAAATAAGCGGGTAAACTGCATCTTGTTAACGTACCTAACCAAAATGTGCCTACCCCCATGTTTGTCTTCTTCGTTTGTTTCCATGTCATTCTTCTTCTCCACTTACGTGTCTTTTTTTTTTTTTTACGTGTCTTTTTATGATCAACTCCAGACTTTCTCTATTCACTCCAAATATAAAAAATATTTCTGTAGTCTATGAATTATTGGATGGAAGCCCATTTTAGCTCACGACTTTAAACAGCCCATTTGCTAACACCTTAAGGATAAACGATCTTGGCTATTTGTTTTACTAGTTGGGCTACACTTTTCTACTCCCTCATCCGTTAATTATTGTTCAGTCTAGATTTTCATTTTTAGTACAAATTGAATTAATAATAAAAATTTAAACTGAACAATGATTTTGGGAAGAAATACATTATAGGAATATATTGTATTAAGGCCTTTTTAATACTTGCATATTCAATTTTCAGAGTTTATCAAACATAGTGAAATATGTTCATAAATTTTGTGTTTCAGTAATTCAAATTTAAAGTGATTATCAAATAAAGTTAACTCTCACAATCAGTACGAAATAGTCTGCTAATTTGACATTCGATTTAGTAAATGATGCATTACCCTGTCTGTCAATTTATCAGACTGCTTTTGTAGTTATATAATCTTTTACTCCATATATTGATAGATTATTCATTCCGCAGTTTACAATCTATATGGTTTTATTTAACAAAAAAAAAAGAAAAAGAAAAACCCTTGCCGCAAAACATTTTCCTATCTTACAAGTAACAAGTACTCTCTCTATCACAAAATGATTATTAAGTTCAGATTATAATTTTTAAGACAATTTTCGTTTAGACCACTTTGGCTTTAAATATTGTTAGACAAATTGTGGGGAAAATCTGCCTAGAGGCTAGCATTGTAATGTATGGCGTTAAGTCATTAAAAACAAATAAACGGTGGAAGAATCCTTTTTTTTTTTTTTTTGGTTGGTAGCTGAATCCTTAATTTTGATAGTAATTTTGAACACGCTCAACAGGGATCATTTGCCGCTTGATTCATCTGCCTCATCTTTCCATTTATCTAGCCGTTTTCTTGCTTTCTCCACCTGAAAATCCACCAAAATTCACTACCATAAGGATCACACACACACACACACTCGCGTATAATTTTAGGCATGTAGTATTTAATTTCCTCTGTCATGTATGCAAACGAACTTGCCTCTTGATCCCAATTGGTTCGATAAGTGATGATCCAAAGCAAGATCAAAGTTTGCATGCCTGTTCCCCCTAACATTCCACACCATATTCCCTACAAAAGTCATTTACATTTCGAGGCATTATAACAAAATGAAATTCAGTTCATTACTCTTTTAAAAAACATTGGTATCCTTTTATTAGGATGTTCTTTTTTTTTCCGTAAAAAAAATAATAATAATAAAACAAATCACCTTAGCACCAAGGCGGAATTTGAAGGCAAGTATTGAAGCTAATGGAACTCCAACTAAATAATAGCATCCAATGTTCACATAAGCCACAAAACTTTGCCATCCACATCCAACAGCAACCCCTGTTACGAAACGTAGATGTATTTGTCCATTTACCATAAAATACAAATTGTACACCAATTATTGGGGTTACCTCCTACATATTTAACTCCTTTTTAAGTACTGTTTAAATAGAAAAATAAAAACAAAAACTTGCCATTGTTTGAATAATTTCGTTTGGAAAAATGATACTCTAGAAAAAAAAATTATAGCTGCATAACTAGTACGTTAATTACTCGTTATGAGATGGTTTACAAATATTTTATAAGATTTTAACTAAAAAATAAATGAATGTCACATAAGTGTCTCTATCATTTATTCATCATTATTGCTTACCAGAAAGAACAGGTTGAACGCCGAAGAGGATAATAGAAACTGCTAAGAGGGGTGTAAGATCGGAGGTTGCAGCGGCAACATGTTTACCACCGGTAAAGGCATAACTCAAGATGTGGCGATACGCCACCACGAATATGGCAATTACCAATGCAATCATCAATGAGGTTGAAGTCACAATTATAACCGCAAATGCTGCAGATTTGGAATTTCCAGCTCCAAGTTCATTGCTTATCCTCACACTGTATAAAAAATTAAACTTATTATATCAGACTTTCATATATATCATCTGACAATAATAATTGTTTCTCATTAATAAACTAATAGTAATTAATGCTTTTCATTTCGAGACCACTCGTTAATATCATATCAAGTTGAGATCTGTTTTAAGTCCTAATTCACTGAAAAAGTCCTTTTAATTAATATTTTACTTTTTTAGTAGTACGCATCCCAGTGTCGTAACTCATTGAAAAAGGTTTTGATCTCAAGCAGGTATGTAGGTTCCCAACTTTAGTTATCACTGATAGAAATTTAGAATATTATGATCATTAACCAATATTTTTTTTTTGTTTTTTCCCTTCTAAAATATATGTACTGAAACTGGAGAAGGAGAAGTTCAAATATTGCACCTTGCTGCTGCATTGAACCCTGCTGAAATCATGAACACCAATCCAATAATCGTCAAACTGCATACGAAAATTCTAGACTTTGTATGAAATCGGATCTAGCTACTTAAACTCTAACAATTTTAGTAGCTAAATATTTTGGAAAATAATTAACTAAGAATTATTGCATCTTCTTAAATAATTAATAAACTCTATGAAAAGGTTACCAAATAGCTAACGTGTCCAATGCAACTTCAGGTTCAGGGAGCAAACCAGCAATCAAAATCAGTATTTGCAAGTGCCACAACTCAAGGCAAATCATCACGGCCGAAGAGGACGACAACTTGAAAAAATCCCACAGTCCAGAAAATGCCTGAAAGCTAAATCCAACCCATGATTGCTTACACCGATCGCTCACCAAAATATAGATAAAATGCGACGCCACGATTAGTATTCACGAGAAACTCAACAAAAGCGACGCACCCAACAAACCCCAACTCAGTTTGAACAACGCGACCCCGGTTATCAACAAATGTACGGCAAGCACAACAGCGGAAATTATTGCACTTGGGAGTATGATGCTTTGTGCTTGTAAGAACTTTTGGATGGGGAAATAGGCGGCGTACGCGAAAATCTGAGGGATTAGGCCGTACACGAATGTCGCAGCCGCGGAAGCGACATCGTTTTTTTGACCCAGGAGGAGTAAAATAGGCTTGGAGAATATGTAAACTAGTACAAGAGGCAACCCTGTGACCATGAGGAGAACAGTTGATCTTTGCAAATAAATTCCCAACATGTCATATTTTTTTGCTCCATATGCCTGTCCGCAAAGTGTTTCCACTGCACTCCCCATTCCAAGCTGCCAAAACAAAGGAACCGTTGAGAATGATAATTTTGAGCACAAACACATTTACAAATTAATACTAATGTATAGTAAAAGTCCAGTCTACACCATGTGCGCTAAAGTACTCTCTGTGACAGAAAAAATATCATATTGAGATTTGAAATTTTTTCCGTTCATAGTATAAACTTCAAAATTCAGTGTGAACCATGAACTATTTTTCAAGAATGGAGAGTGTAAAATATAATTGTCTTTTTAAGATACACCTTGTCCGTTTCATTTCAAACGTCCATTTTTATAACAGTAATCATTAAACTAACACGTACGGAGAGAGCATATTAAAGAAAAAAATATAACCTCGTGGCCATGGCCTAGTGTTAGTATCTAACTGGATACTGAATATTACTGGGCGTGTATATATATATATATATATATATATATATATATATATATATATATATATATATATATTGTGTGTGTGTGTGTTTTTTTTAATGAGAATGGTTCATTTAACTAGCTGGTTTACATTTCTTTCCTATGCGATCGAGGAAAATATTTTTATGATCTAGACCATGCATCTTTTGCCAATAAATTGCAACAAGGTGATAAATTTAATGATATTTAAGTTCTCATTTTTACAAATTTTGTGAAGTTGGTGAGTCTACTTTTATTTTTTTTCCTTTTTTTTTTTGGAAAATTGGGTGTGTCAAACATCAACGTAGACGAAAAAAACAACGGAGAGAAAAGAGGAAGAAGTATATATCGCAACGTCGAATTCATGCACGTTGCTGGACGGTGGACGTGGGCCTCCGATGAAGGCCGGCTGTACTTACCATGAGCCCAAATGCCAGATTCTGAATCCCGTTGTTGCCCAGCACAGCCGCGGCGAGCTCGCGGTTGCCGAGGTGGCCGCAAAACACCTGGGTCGACGTCGACGTGACGTTGTTGAGAAGGTACACTATGCATGCCGGCACCAAAATGCGGAGGAGCGTCTTCAGTTCCATTCGGGCCGCCCGACGGAGTCGCCGGGTCCTCGGCAAACTATCGTCGGACAGCAATTCTTCCAGCTTAGAACGGCACTTCAGCTTGGACTTTTCTTCATCGTCTTCCCCCACCGACGGCGGTTGCGTTGATTCACCAACTCCAATTTCTGACTGATTATTATTCTCCATAATTAGAAGAGCAAGTTTGAGTCTGCTGCGATATTTTCAGCAAGGAGTATGTGTCTATTATAAATACACATACCCCTTAAAAAGAAACTTAATTAGGATGTTGTTTTGTCCCTTTTTCTTGTCATTTAACGTTGGTTCCTCAGTATTAGTAACTAACATACGACCCTTGGGTCTCCGATATTTAAAATTTATTGACTTTAATCTACCCTTTAGTTTTGCAGGTTTCCTCTATTTTTCGTATTTCATTGTTTGAGATTTTAAACTCGTAAAACAATCAATTCTAAACATCGATGATGTTTGATTCGAATGATGTTCACGGATAATTAATGTTGCGATAAAATGCACACATTACATATATAGCGTTTTCTGGTCCAATTCTTTTAAAACATAGGATTAATGGATGAGAATGAGACCTATTCGAATCAGTAAACATGTTTTGACTGAACCAATTGGTATCTATACACGCGAATTTCACATGGCCTTTTTCTTGGAATACCCGGCAAAATATTGAAGCTTATAGTCTCTTCTCCTTTGTTTTTTTTTTTTTTTTGTTTTTCTTTTTGGTGGCTGTTAAAGTATATAAGTACATTGGACTCTCATCTTAAAACCAGTTGGTGTGATACCTTTTGAAATTTATATACTGAGTCATTTCTCTTCACGGTGGCGAGTAGGACGTATATTATACTTTAACATTGGCCCCTCATTGAAATTTTTTTGTTTAAAATTAAAACAACAACGACAATATTAACAAAGGGTGATACAATCTCAATGTCTTAATGTAAGCACATTAATTTTCAACAAAACAACATAGTAATTATAAGAACAGACAAATTATGATGAGATCACTTGTATAATATACTCTTCAGTCCCAAAATTAATGTCCAATATGAGATTTCACTTTTAGTACAATTTGAATTAGAAATAAAAACTCAAACGAGATAATAATTATGGGATGGAGGGAGTAACTAGTAGCAATTGGGTATAGATTTTACGGATATTTGATTGGAAAAAACTGCGAAAGTAATCTCACAATTTACAGAGAGGTACAAAGTCAAGAGATTCATGATCACATGCATAGATGTATTAATTACAGTGGAAGTCAAGACTGTCCTTTTGGTTCCTCCTATAAATTGCATGGTAATTTAATAATCACGACGGTTTAAGTTAGAAACAAATCAAAAATTATCATTTAGCACGGCAAACCGGCCGTACGTTATCCGTTGATTAGGACAACTTTGTAAATCAAGGTAACGTGTACGTCGATGGGAGTAGTTATTATCTATGTTTGTTTCCAAAAGCTTGTCGTAAGTTTTGTTATTTTATTCTACACAAATCGGTATTGGTTTTCGAGTTGTAGCATATAGCATTCCGACGACTGAGAAGTAACGTTCACTGTGCACCATTCTTGTGAACCTTAGATAAAGTCGATCGACATATTGTATACTTTGAAGACAAGAAAAGAAGTGCAAATAAAATGTGAACTTATATAAAGGGATAGAATTAGTTATTTTTGTGGAGTGTAAAAAATATCTTATAAAAGAATAGGATCAATATTCTTTTTAGAGAGAAAATAGAAACTATAACATTGTAAAATAAAGAGATTTTACAATATTCTTTTGCAAATCTGTTTGTGTTTATAATAGTAAATAGCCATTTCAAAAAAAAAAAAAAGCCAATAAAGTTCGAAGTATTAATTCGTGAAATTATTGTCTAAAACAATACTGGATGTCTGGGATTTTTCCCGCTACGCGATTTGATTACCTGCAAATAAAATATTGATGAGACGCTTTCTATCTTTTTTACCATCTGTACGTAGGCTGTACAAACCTTGCTTTGTCCACCACTCCACCTTAAAAAAGAAAAAGTGGAAATTAACCAGGCCAATTAACTCAACTTTCCTCGAAGTTTACTAGTAATATTCGATCTGCTAATCGGCTTGACCGAATATTAATGAATGAAGTAGTTCAATGGACTGTTGGCGTATTCCCGTCGAAACTTAGGGTACATGACATACGAATACTACAATGTTCAAGCATGATCACTGCAGGTAAAAAACAAAAAGAGAAATTGAAGAGCGTCGTCTATATTCATTACCAGCTAGCTTCGATAATTTAAGTTTTCCTTCAAGATGCAGTAGATTTTTTTTTTTTGCTGTCTCTTAACTTCTTAAGTGGAGTCCACTTAAGATTCATTAAGCTATAAGTTTATACTCCCTCTATCCCAATTTATTGTCCAGTTTGAAATTTTACTTTTAGTACAATTTGAACTAGAAATGAAAACCCAAACTGGATAATAATTATGGGACGGAGGGAGTATTTTATCTAGTATTTTCCTTTCCATTTTCATTCTTCGTAACAGCTGAAATGATCATATGTGAGTTGCGATTAAGATCATAAATCATGTTCATTGAATGAATCATAAGTTTATCACTCAAACGATAATGTATGCGTACGTAGTGCTTAGAAGGATTTAAAAGTCATTCTACTCAAAACTTCAATTATAAGATGGAACGCATGCTTAGTTTGGACAACCTTTAAGTTTAAAGATGGACTCATTGCTTCACCAGTTGGCTCAATAGGGAAAATTCCACTAATTTACAACGAGATGACATTCTTATTTATTTATCAATATTAATGATACATACCGAGAATACTTTACAGTGAAAAGTACGAAAGAATAATGTGAAGTAAATTAAGTTTATTCATTTTTATACTTTGCATTTGAACTTCATGCATTTAAGTTTGTGAGAAGGATTTCAATGTAGACACATCATTTCCTTCTTATTATCTTTTTTTTTGTGAATTTTTTTTCTATATCTACCACTATTTTTTTTTATTTAGTTACATACCTAGATATTTAGTTACATACCTAGTAGCCTTTGAGGTTTAGTCCCATCTATCTTTATCAGATTATTTATTACGAAGAAAATCAATAGGATGGTTCAAGTTATTTATTTGTGCGTTTATAGAGAAAGTATCAAGGATATGCAGAAAATATTGAACAACAATTGATTAGTAGATTTATAATTATAGTATTTTACCTCCCATGTGGGGTAGCTTAGTTGATCGTCAACTTCATGGTACCAAAAAAAAAAAAGAAAAACCCAGAATGCAGTTGATGGAGTGGAAGTTCAAAAATCTCCACAAACATGTTTCTTCATGGAAACAAAAGATATGGGCTTTTCTTCTGGGATCCCCAACTTCAATGTCATCCTCACGATTAGCCAGCCCGCACTGTTCAACAAGAACAAGACCAAATATAACTCTCACAATGAGTTATGGGCCGAAATATCCCATTTCATCAGGTTGGAGAAATTGGGAATCTATATGAACGGGGTTTTTTGAACATTTCGGCCTTTTTCTATTTGATATAATATGGCGATTTAAAAATGTGACTATTATTACTATAAATTATAAAATTATCCTGAAAATCAATTTGGTGATGTAAAAGTACAAAAATTATTTTGAGCTCATTTTTTATAAATTATTATTGGCACCCAAAAAGTAATAATAGTCGAAAACAAACCTTTAAGATAATGGTGAGATTTGAAATAATCCCCCCAAAAAAACTACTCTTCCCGCCTAAAAGTTCGTCCACTCTAAATACTAATAGAACTTGAAAAAATCTATTCAACAATCTCTTTTCTCTGCGCAATCGTAACATTCCAGAAGGTCAGTTCCTCTCTGTCGTCTCCTTTTTTCTCCAACCAAATTTCAAAATTTCAAACCCTAAATTAAGTTGCGATCTAGTTTTCTCTGCTCTTCCTTTACAGGTTCCGGAATATACCGCAGTGTTTGAAGGTTCTATATTCTTTCCCTCATTTCTCTTCCTCAATTTACTGATTCTGCTGCGCCTTTTTTTTTTTTTTTGAATTATGATGAACTGAATTTACGCCCCTGATTACTATTAATCTTCCGAATTTCTTAATTTTATATCTGTTGGAATTTCCAGTTTAATTTCCTTACGTTCTGGAACTATTTGCAGCGAGCGATACTGTTTCAATTTGAGATGGAAACCGAAGAATTAGGCCAGAAAAGCAAACGCTTGAAATCTTCGGTACGAACTTTAGTTATCTTCCTGTTTTGCTTTTTGGAAGAACGAACGCGTGAATTAATGCCGACACGATATATTTATTTTTCTGTCTGGGTAATTAGAACGAACAGTTAGAGTTGGTTGTGCACGGTGCCGATGATGCAGCCTTAGTAAAGAGTCGAGAGGAAGAGATTGATGAGATTGGCGTTGGATCTGAAGAAACCTCAGCTGAGATCGCTCGCATCTATGAACAGATCCAAAGCTTTACTAACATGGTATATTTGCTTAATCCCTGGACAGAAAGAGCCTTGATTATGGAACGATTAGTATTCTGTTTGTTTTTTATTCACTGTGAAGCTGTGCTTGGCTTTATGCATATGATGCTTTGATATTGAAGGTGTGTGATCTGCTGGAATCAGGAAAGTCTATGCTGAAGGATCTGAGCAACGAGTTTGAAGAGAGAATGATTTCGTGAGTTTTGTGAAAATTTTTGGATTTTCTTTTAATGACTGAATCGAGGTTGTATGTGGTTATGTTTATTCTTAATGGAAAACTTTTCTTTGTTTTAGAATACACAAGGAACATATTCAGAAGTGGGAAGAGGAGATTCAAACAATTCGCCTTGTTGATGCCTCGAATGCACAGGAAAGTGCTGTTTTGCAAAATGCTAAAGCCATGCTTCAAAATGTTTGTGGTGAATCCTGAAGGTAATTTCAGTTATTTATCTTTTTGCTGTTTATAGCTCTTCTGCATTGCACCAGCTTTAGGGAATATTAATACTGGACTATCATTTTTTGGCAGGCTTTGTTGTCGAAGTTGAGTAACTCATTGCCTACGGAAATCTTTGATCTACTGTTGATAGGTTACTTTTGTGGATTGCCTTCTGAAATTCCCTGATCATACTTGTACATGAATTTATAGGTGGATTAAATGTTTACTTATGGCTACTACCTAAACTACAAGTGATGTTGATTCCATGCAATGCTTCTGTTTTGCTTTCATGGATGCACGTGGTGACTCTGATATGTTGTACCTCTGGTTCAATGATTTTGTCGTGGAATTTTCTCGATTATCAATTATCTTGTAGCTTAATAATGCGGCTCAGTCGAAACAATGTTGTTTTTATCATTCATCTTTCACATCTTAGCCATTGTGGAAATGCTTAGTATTAGAAGAAAGTTTCTCTTTATAGGTTGATCTTTCCACTTTACATGGGTAGCATAAAGAAGAAAGTCCCACAGTCAAATCACAATTATGACTTTTGATAATTTAGTTATCTGAAGCTGGTTTTGACTGCTTTTGTCCAATAGTTATGGTAATAACAAATTGCATACTTAGTGATAAAGCACATCCTCATTAATTGTAAGAACTGAATCAAGGTCATGAATTGGCTTTCCTGTTTCTCTAGTTACAAACTTTCTGGTGTGTTGTTTAAGGGAATTGGATTTGCATTTTGTGGACTTAGTTTGAGGGACATTTTGAGGATTATGGTTACATTTCACTATGGAGAAATCACTCGAGTTGAAGAAACATAAGATGGACTCAAGATAGAGTTATGCGTGGTTATAGTAAAACGGATAAAAGTCAGGAAAACAACCATCATTTTGATTATCCGCTTGTGGACCTCAGCCCTAGTCATATTGAGTTGACATGGCTGACAGTTTTGTACTTTATTCCTTTAAACATTTTTAGTATCTCTGAAATCTTGGTAGGTTTTGTTTTCCTAATCTTAACTTGTTTCATTTGAGTATTTACTTCCATTCTGTCATCAAATACTTCAGATACCTGGGTTGAAACTTGAAAGCTCAGCAAACATAATCATTTCCTCAGTTGTCTCCATGTGGGTTATTAATTGAAAGATGAATGCTGCTCAAAATGTAGTTACTGTATTGTAGTACTACCATGTAGGACAATACATACACTCCTCTGCTATGATTTAGCTGGATGTTTGTCTTGACTCGTAAGATATGTGAAGCCCACACCTAGCTTAGGAGACCTGTGGTTGATGGTTTAAGGAAATTAGAACCTAGGAAAGGGAAAGTGAATAGAGTAGGTAGTGAGTTCTAACGTCTTAAAGCACCAACCAGTTAAGCAATGCTAAAAAGGAAACAGCTAGAAGCCTAGAACTTACTGAGAGTGCTTGCAGGTTGATACAGTCCCCCGAAGGATAACCTTCTGCTTTGGCGATTTGCCGGTCAGTTAGACACTTAGGTTAGTCATTCTCCTGATACCAGATACTACTAAAGGGTGAGACTGAGACGGTGTGATTCTATAAGCATAGAATCTAATCCAAAAGTATTATATATGTTGACATTTATGAAACTTTAACAATACCTATTAAAAGATTTCGCAGTTAATATTGATATGACATGGTGTGGCCTTTATCAACATTTTAGCTCTGTCTCCTTGAGAAAGTACTGGTATTTTGATACGTAAACAGCCTTTCATCATCCCTACACGAGGTAAAACTCGATTGACACATCCTTAGATTTTGGGTAGAAGTCAGAAAAGCTATCTGCTGTAGAGTGCCCTATGCTTGCAGATATACTAGTAACTTTGGAGGAGCCAAAGACGCCCTTAGGATACATACTACCCTTAGCACAATTAAGTCAAACCAGCAAACTCATTAAACTAATGGTTGTTAAGATAAAGATTATTCGAGTGGAAAATTAAAAAGCAAGAACACATGGTTCCATGTTAGATTAAATTGTCATAGATTAGAATAATTAGTAGGGGACCGATGTGAGAGATTAAGGTAACTTCCCAAATGATTGGACAAAGCTTTTTGTCTTAACTTTTGATTTGTTCCACTTAAGGGGAATGATGGTTTTAAAACATAAAGGTAAAGCAGTATCTAAAGGTTGAATTAAAGAATGCAACGTAGTGGTTTAAGGTTTGTTTTGTAGTATTAGTAAAATAATAATCACAAATGATAGAACATTGTGAAGCGTATCTTAGGAAAGCGAAAGATCACCCTCCTAGCCCCTATACCATTATTAGATCTGATTGTGATGGGAACTAAAAAATTCCAATACATTTCCAAATGAAACCTTCTAAGCATATTTTATTCAATTAAATTAATGATTTCTTCACCACGTAGCTTTGGGTGGCATAATTTCTCTTACTGTTTCCGGCATATGAGTCTCCCATTGAAGAAAGAGGAAATCCAATGGTACCTGAAACTTTCTAGTAATCAGGATTATATCCCTAATTATTATGGGGATACAACATGTGTATTGAATATGTTTCTTTTCGAAATGAACGATTTTTATGAATATAGAAATGTAGTGTTTCATGAGACATTGGACTCCCATCTTATTATAATCACGTAGCTGATTTTGAAATGCTTGAACGTTGTTGTCGAATTGTTTATCAAATCAAACGGTCAAAATATGTGCGATTAATCCTGACAGCAACTTTGAAAGGAGTCCTTTCCTCAGGTTGTCAAATAAAAGATTTGCGAAGTCAAGAATATATTAATTTGGCCTTGGAAATTGTCTCATGGAGTCTGACTGTAAGCGATTCTCTTATACACTAATCATCATCTATATATTTCCTTCTTTAGGGAATGTAAATGGATACACTTACCTCATTCATAGTCGGAATTTAACACCACATAATGATGAATGTTGGTGCATACTAAATGAGAAGTTTACACACTTCTTTATTGCCAATCTACATATTCATCCTCTTTAATGATGTGTGCTAGTTTTAGTTTTACTGACACTTCTCACTTCTCAGGCCATATAGAGAAACCGAAACGATTGATTTGGTTCATCTTTTTTAGGTCAGTATACCAAATAGGTCATAGCGCCTGTAAGCACAAATTCCAGGATGGCTAAAATCCTTAGCTAGTAAGTGAAAAATGCTTTTGCCTTTTCTTCTATGTGCAAGTATATTTTTATTTTTATTTTTTTCTTTCCCGGTACCATGAAAATGATGGTCGATCTGAACTATCGTGGCCATTGAATTCCTTTCACAATCATTATCCTCAGGATTCCATTACTTCACAAATTGGGTCCCAATCACCACATGTAACCCTCCAAAATCCAATGGTTTGTCATCCATGGCCCCGACTCCTTACAAAAAGGCACAAATGCTCCAAATTGTCACCGACACATACTGCACACAACCCACTCCACGTTTTATAACAATTTCAACCCCCAAATAATGCTGTAACGAACCACACTTTTTCGTTCTCTCCGCAGTTGATGGTGCTAAACGAAATTGCAGACCATGTAAATGGCAGCTTCGCCAACCATATTTCATTAGGCTTAATTTACTTAAGGCGATACTTGCAATTTGTTGTTGAAACCTCAATCCACTCGGGCAAGTTACAACCAAAGAAACTGAAATGATGTACAATTCCACATGTCAGATTAACATTACTTTTAATATTGCTAATATTACATAATCAAGTGACAGATTTATTAGGATTCGAATGTCTTGCATATCACGTTGAGGTAAATTTGTGTAGACAATTTTTCGGCCAAAATCTTTGATCTTAAAAGGGTCATGATGGGCAAAATATATACTTGGGACTTGCATATATATGCTTGTAATGATGTTCCCCCCCACCCACCCCCCCTATGATTGACTAGTTGATCTGCCAAAGAACATCCACATAATTAACCTTCTCATACAAGGATCAAATTATCAGATTAGATATACGTATATGAATCTCTTGATCGAAGTGCTCCTTCAAATTTTCCATTTGGAGGTTACTATGTATAGCTTCCCTTTTCTTTTCCCATTTTTTTTCCATCAAAAGAAATTTTTTTTCTGAAATGATGACAATATACGGATAAACCTTCAAATACATACATCAGTTGTGGAAGCCACGCACGTCATCGAAAATTTTCTCGAGTTCATTGTGTCTCAATCTAGTTAAGAAATAATTTGTTTCTGTAGATGTATTGATGAAAATCTTAAACAATATTTATATGATTGTGATGTATACACTTTACCATTACCTGTGACAAAATTAGTCTTAAATATTCACGAGTCGAGTACACATAAAATTTATTTTTTTCAAAATATTTTTAAAAATTCAAGTCATTTTTTGAAAAAAAATCTCCAACCGCAAGGTTGGCCAACCCTCTGCTGGTCTCGTCCCTGAACATGATAATGTGAATTATTTTTAGACAGAAAGTATATAATTAAAGATTCTTGTTTAATTTCTTTAATTATTTACAATGCAAGCATCAATGCTTAAAAAAAATCCAATTCTAAATAAAATTATCTTAATTTGTGTCTCTTTTTTATAATTAGGTGTACCTGATAATTGAAATAAAATTATCCTAATTTGTGTCTCTTTTTTATAATTAGGTGTAACTGATAATTGAATGGGTAAACAAAATAATGATTACTTTATGCAGTAATAAGTTATTAAAATTAATATTGTACCTTATATTCATAGATAGATAGAGTGAACTAGTAACTTATAATTATCATATTGCAATATATAAGTTATCCAACTTTTTTTTTTCAAAAAAAAATCTCATTAGTAGATTAACTCGAACCCTCAACACTTAATTTTACGGGGAATAAGAATGATAAAAAATGAAATCGATTTCGTCTGTGTTTAAGTCGTGGCGGTTGTCACGAAATGATAACCTCGAAATGTCTTGCTTTGATATAGATCCGATCTTCCGGCCAGTGAATAAGAAAATCACCATTTACTTCGATGCTAGTATGTCCTTTTGGAACAGAACTGCAGGGCTTGGTGTATATGTTGTCTCTCCAGATGGCGCTTTCGTCCAAGCTTCTGCTTCTCTTGCCACAAACGTCTTGGATTCAGATTTTGCAGAATTAATGGCACTCCGGCTAGCATGATCCTTGTAGCTCGTGGGGATCTCGACAGTCCCAACTCAGCAATTCAAGCTGTTCAAGAAATTAAGCACCTTTTACAGTCTTTTCCTAACCTAAAACCTTTATTTGGATTCCAAGGTTGGAGAATTCAATTCCTCATACAATAACTAATCATGCTAAAACTTGTATCATGAGAGACACTGTTTGGTTGTCTCCTCCAAATTGGTTATCACTCAGTACTGGCTGATTCCAGTTTAGTTTATAAAATTAGTTTTTTTTTTCAAAAAAAAAAAAAAAAAAATGAAATTGAGTTCCCCCTTCCTGATGTTCTCTTTACCGCAAAATGAATTCAACTTATTAAATTATTATAGGCGTACACTATGAAGATGAAAGGTTTTTACTTATATTTATATTATATTTTTTCGGTCTCAAGAGAAAAAAAAATTACATTGAATTTTGAGATTGTATTAATCTCAAACCTCGATATGGACTATTACACATACTTTACTCTATAAATTTAGTTTATTGTTCTAATGTGACATCATGCCAACGTAACCTAAAAGTTTTATGATATTGTGAATAAATTAACTTCTTGGAGATGCTATGGACAAAAAAAAATTAATATGTAACAAAGTGTTTTCTCTCTACAAAGAAATTCCTTATAATGGTAAAAAATTTCATAAATCTATAACAGAATTCGTTAGTTTTGGTTACTGTATATTTATTATTCGTTTAATACTGTACTATTATGTACTCTTTTTTTTTTGGAAAAAAAGTAAGAAAAAAGTTGAAAGGTAATTTTCTCTAGTATCGTTGTATCTCGATCTGTTTAAGAAATAATTTGTTTCCGTCATGTCATCAAACCTCATGCAGAAATTAATGTATTGATGAATACTAGAAAATCTTAAACAATATTTATTAATGTGCGATTGTGGTGTATACAATTTAGCATCATCAGTGACGAAATTAACCCTAAATATTCACAAGTCGAGTACACATAAAATTTTTTAAAAAAATTTAAGGTATTTTTTGTTTGAAAAAAAAAAATCTCTGACCGCAGGGTCGGCCGATCCCGTAGTCCTACCCTGAGCATGATAATGATAATGTGAATTATCTTTTAGACCGATAGTACATCATTAAAGAGTCTTGCTTAATTCCCTTAATTAGTTCAATGCAAGCATCAAACCTTATAAAATCCAATTCTAAATAATATTATCCTAATATTGTGTTTTTTTTTTTTCATAATTAGGTGTAGCTGATAATTGAATGGTAAACAGAACAATGATTACGTTATGCAGTAATAAGTTTTCAAGATTAATATTGTACCTTATATTCATAGATAGATAAAGTGAACTAGTAACTTAAAATTATCAGATTGCATTATATAAGTTATCCAACTATTTTTTTTAAAAAAGTTCTCATTAGTAGATTAACTCGAACCCTCCCCTCTTAATTTTATGGGGAATAAGAATGGTAAAATATGAAATCGATTTCCCATTCTTGATGTTCTCTTTACCGCGAAATGAATTCAACTTACTAAATTATTATAGGCGTTCACTATGAAGATGAAGGGTTTTACTTATTATACTTATGTCTATATTGTATTTCTTCGGTCTCGAAAAAAAAATTACATTAAGTTTTGAAATTGTATTAATCTCAAACCTTAATATGGATTATTACACATGCTTTACTCTATCAATTTAGTTTATTGTTCTAATATGACATCATGCCACCATATCCTAAAAGTTTTATGATATTGTGAAGAAATTAACTTCTTGGTGATGCTATGGACAAAAAACAATTAATATGTAACAAAGTGTTTTCTCTCTACAAAGAAATTCCTTGTAATGGTCAAAAAATTCATAAATCGATAACAGAATTTGTTGGTTTTGGTTACTATATACTTATTGTTCGTTTAATACTTTACTGTTTTGACTTAATATAGTTTGTAACCTTTTTTTTTTTTTTGGAAAAAAAGAATAAGAAAAAAGATGATAGGTAATTTACATAGAATACAGTAATGTAAAATTTCTTGAGGAAATGTTTGTATCTAAATTGAATTTGTCTGGAGGATCATGGTAGTAAATAAGAAAACAAATAAGTCATTTTTAAAAGTTTAATAATGTATCATAATGAACAGTCGATGATCATTTTAGAAAAAGAAACTAGTCATATTTACTGTATATATTGCAAAAATTTAAGATTCATATTAAATAAAAATCTAAAAATAAGATTCTTTTAGTATCCAAAGGTATGAGAAAAAAAGGTGGAAAAAATTACTCCAAGATGTACATAGTAGTAAGAATTTAATTAAAAAAAAAAAAGAAAGAAAAAGAAGATACGTATCCTATAAAACTCGGCTCCGTTACAACAAAGATGCCGTTACTGAAACCCTTTTGAAGGCTTTAACGTCAAGCGGTTAAGCTTTAACCCCAAAAAAAAGGGGAAAAAGAGGTCAGACTCCGTCACTGTAACAACCTAACAGCGGTTTGAGTACGCAGGAAAGGAGGCAAAAGCAGAAAGAAAAATTTTTCACACAAAGAATCCAGCGGCCAGGATAATCTGGTCAATTCACATCGTCCTCCATTACTTCCAGCTTTGTCTCACTCCCAACACTCACTAAAAACACTATGACAAATGCCACCATTCTCACTCTTTCTCTCTCCTCACAGGGATAAACTCTAATGAAAACAAAGCCCACCGTTTAGATTAAGCTTTCAATTTCCAGATTACCCAAATCCTTTCTTTTCCTGTATAAAACCACCCTCAATTCCCCCTACCCAGATTATCCCATCTGAAAAGCAGAACCTAAGTAAACTACTCTGAGTGTGAGAAAAAAACAGAAGAAAAAATGAGTGGAAGAACTGGGTCGCACCAGCTGAGCAATGGGTTGTACGTGTCGGGTCGTCCGGAACAGCACCAGAAGGAGCGGCAGCCCACAATGGCTTCTCGGGCCGTGCCTTATACCGGCGGTGACGTCAAGAGGTCCGGTGAGCTTGGGAAAATGTACGGCATTGAGACTTCATCATCTTCGGTTGGCGGTGGGGACCACCACCTCCACGTTGGCCCACCTCCAATTAAGACGTCGTCCCGGCATTCCTCTTCATCCCAGCATAACAGCGGATCCATCAGATCCGGCCCGAATTCCGGCCAGCTCGGTCCGAAACCCGGCTCCAGCTCAGTCCCTGCTCACCCCAAGAGGTACAACTCCTCCTCCTCTTCTGGGCCCATGACTCCAATTCAGCCCACCGGCCTCATCACCTCTGGCCCGTTGGGCTCCAGCCGCAGCGGCCGCGGTGCAGCTAATTCCGACCACCAACCTCCCGTGCCCACCAGCAAGCCCAGTTACGGCTCCGCCGTGACGGTGCTCGGCGATGATGCCAAGTACGGGTTCAGGGTCTCGAAGGTGGCATTGTGGTTGTTTCTCATTGTGGTGATGATGGGTTTGCTGGTTGGGGCTTTTCTGATGGTGGCCGTGAAGAAGGCGGTGGTTTTGGTGGCTGTGGCCGGGGTTTTAGCTCCGGCTATCCTGGGGCTTTTCTGGAATTTCGCTTTCAAGAAGAGAGGTTTGCAAGGCTATTTACGCAGGTACCCTGATGCTGAGCTCAGAGGGGCGGAGGACGGACAGTTCGTCAAGGTCACCGGGGTAAATTCGCCCCCCTCCTCCCATTTTTTATTTATTTTTTACTTTTTTGCCGCATTTGTTGTATGATTGAATGATGTCTGGTTGTGTTGTCATTTGAATTTTGTTTTATTTTGTGTGTGAACTGAAGAAATTTGGTTAGTTTTGTTTGTGTGAAGTGATTGGTGTAAAACCATTCTCAGTCTGAAGTATGTTTGGTGGTATAACTTTGATCATATACCAATTTTCTGCACGTTCATGATGAATTGTTAGGTTATATTAAAGGACATTATGAATCTGATTCTGAGTGTTATATGAGAAGTGCCCATTGTTCTTTCATTTATGAATTAATTGTGAAATGCTTTGGGAGTTTATGGATTAAGGTTTCAATCTGTTCTGCTTGTACATGCTTTGGGTGGACTATTTTCAAACTGTATCCACTTATAATTTGTCCAAGGGTTTTGGTTGGTATTGAACAGAACAAGGGAAAGCAATTGATGTTTTCTGATATGTATATTTGCTATTTGAAATGTCCGGAGTATGTTGGTTGCCCATGTTGGCTGTAAAGGTTCATGTTTCGTGTCAGGGTGGATTTGACAATTCATTTATTTACACTCTTCATTATAAACTTGACTGTAGATGTTGTCCCAAGTGACAGAAAAAGGTAAGCGTATTTATTTATGTTGTTGTGAGTTGCCAATTAGTCAAATGGGTATTATCTGTATTAGGTTTGAAGGGAATTTTAGGGATGTGGCATCAACTGTGATCCTTGTGTGCTGTTGTGTATTGTTTATCTATCTTTAGAATATTGATGGACTCCATGTCATTGTACTCTTTCAGTACTGAAAACTACGGCTAGCATTCTCATTTGAGAGTCATGTCTTTAACCAATGTTTCTTGTGTTCTCTGTGAAAGTAATTGATTATTTGCGGAAATTATCTGCTCATGAGTTAATACTGGCTAGAAGATTAATTAGATAATGGAAAGGACATGACGAAGACAGATGACCTGGGAACTTCAGCTGGTTTCCAGTACTGTGAAATTGTATACGTGATTGAACCAAGTGTGAATGTTTCCTTATAAATCTAGATTGCATGTGAAGCCTTTTTGTGATGAATTTAATGTATAGACCACGTGGTGGTTTGTTATGAGTCTGAGAGGGTTCAATTGATCTTTTATGAACTATACCTATAACTATTTTATTTGCTTGTCTGTAATGTTACTTCTTCAGTACGTAAATTAACTGCTGAAAATAATACTCCAAGGTTACTGATATTTGCTTTTTAAATTTATGAGCTTCTTTGTCATTCACTCAATTTTCTTAGGCAATATTCTTTTTTTGGCTGTTCATTTTAGGAGTTCTTTCAGGTTTTGTGTAATATAATGGTTATAGTTGAGTATCATTGTAGGTTCTTTTCTGTCAACTGTGGAATTATCATCTTATATCTGCTGAAATATCAGTCAACAACATCAAGTGTGGAATTATTATCTTGTGTCTGCCGAATTATCATTCAACATCCGGCACATCTTTGGACTCCCCTTCCATGACTTTTGTACCTTCTGTGAAACTTACAAGCTGTTTTTCAAAATTTCTCTGTAGGTTGTTACGTGTGGAAGTGTTCCTCTTGAATCGTCTTTTCAGAGGGTGCCGAGATGTGTATATACTGCGACTGAATTGTATGAATACAGAGGATGGGGTGGAAAGTCAGCAAATCCTCGACACCGTTATTTGTCGTGGGGATGTAGAACTTCAGAGGTTCGTGTGTTTTTTGAGTAATACTCCACATTATATGAAAGTACTTGTTTCACTTCAGTTGCTGTAAGATATAAGATACTTGTGCACTGTTAAAAGATAAAATGTTAGTGCTCTCGCATATTCATGTTGATGTTGATATTGCGATACTACAAACACACAGAAAGGAGTAGCAGACTGTAACCTTGTTGACTTCTGTTTTGCAGAAATATGTGGCAGACTTCTACATTTCGGATTTCCAATCTGGTTTAAGAGCTCTTGTGAAAGCTGGATATAATCACAAGGTTACTCCATTTGTCAAATCAACTACAGTGGTTGATATAACAAAAGACAACAAGGATTTATCTCCGAACTTCCTGCGTTGGCTTGCTGACCGAAGCCTCTCTACTGATGACCGAACTATGCGCCTGAAAGAAAGGTAACTTCTTTTGTCATTTACTTCACTGGATCGTTATGTGCTGCGTTTGTTCGGTTTTGTATAACTTAATAGCTTGGGCTGTAAGTCTTCACACATAACCGTATTTTGTGAGTCGAAGCCTATTTTTTTATATAATTATCGTAATTGTGGAATATGAATTGCGCCCCCTCGTACATTGAAATGTTAATTGGTCATCAATGTCTATGGTGGTTAAGTTTTACCCATAATTGATTCTACAAATTTGATGATGCTGAGGGTTTTCTCTCTCTCTCTCTCTCTCTCTCTCTCTCTCTTTCCTGAATGTTTTTCCTTGTATAACAGTTACATTAAAGAAGGAAGCACTGTAAGTGTAATGGGAATGGTTAGTAGGCAAGACAATGTGCTAATGATTGTCCCACCCAGAGAACCCATATCGACAGGTTGCCAATGGATCAATTGCCTTCTCCCAATGTACATTGAAGGTCTGGTGGTGTCGTGCGACGAAAGTCCGAATGATGATGTAATCCCTGTTTAAGTATATCTCTTCGCCTCTTCTGTTATAGTTTTGTGGAAAGGGTGAATCTGAAGCTGATAGTGAAGCCTGAACAACCATACCGTTTATACTTTGCTGTAGATTTCAATTTACTACCATTGCCGTATAAGGAGACTGAAGACCTTAAAGACCGAAGATCTCACCATAAGTGAGTGTAAATTATGGAAAAGAACCTTGTTGCTCATATATATGTATACATATACATGAATATGTGTATGTATGTGTGTTTTGAGGATTTAGACATGAAAAGTGACCAGAAAGTAGAAGTAGTAGTTCAAAACTTATGCAGCTGGGTTTTTGCAACATTTTAACCTTCAACTGCAACTTTTGTATATAAACCTTCGAAGATGCCTTTTAGCTTTGAACCTTTTCATGTGTATATATTACCATATTTTCATTCAGTAGTTTACATACATTGTCAGGTTGCTGAGTGTGTCTTGAGATTTAAACTTGAGATGAATGCGTATACTTTATTGTCTGCAATCTGCATGTAGTCTGATCTTGATAGGCTCGAAGATGATGCAAGGGTGTTTTGGACTTTCAGTTGGGTAGCTATAGGGCATTTTGGTCAGCAGGTAATCTAAGGGCTGATCCGTCTTTGGATCGCACTTGAAAGTTCAAACAATTGGAAATTTGAATGCGTTAGTATTCAATTTTTATTCTCAGGCTTCAAGATAAATCATATTTCTTCTGCTCGGGAGAATGATTTGTTAAAATTGTTTTAGTTCAAAGAAAATGAGATTATATATCATCAATTTGGTTCTTTTAGAGGTGAATAGGTGATGTTCAAATTATTACCGGAGTATCTTATTACAACAAAAACGTAAGTACAATGAAGATCATTTTATTAAAACTAATGAAGTTATATATTTGCAATCAAAAAATCAAAGCGTACGGGGGAAAAAATTAGACGGAATTAATCATTGTAAGAATATATTTTTTGAGTGGTGAAAAAGAGAATTTTAGTTTGAACAAATAAATCAATTGTCCTTAATTGAATTGGAAACTGAAATTCAATAATATTACATTACATAGAAACGACCAATCCTTTTTACCCTATTAAAGTAGAAGACATGAAACTTATGTGGCAATTACGTATGCATATGTTTTGGCTCCAATGCACCATATTTCAGATTTCAGGAGTCTTTTTGCCACGTGTAAGTCTCTTTTAATTAGAAGCTATATAATTCTTTTTAAAAAAAAAAACACATGTTTTAAATGTGACACTTATCCAATGAAAAAAATACAAATAAGAATCAGTTATTTCAAACGAATGGATATATTAATTCAAATTCAAATGTCCAATCGTACAGTTTTGCAGGCTTAATATAAACAAAAAATAAAAAAACTTAAATCCAGTAATTAAGAATAATGCATTATAAACTAATTATTTATTATTCCCTTATAAACTCAGATTTATAGGTATATTTGTTTTAGCCCCAAACCATAGCATAAATGATATATACGCCAAATTAATTCCTCAAAAAAATAGTAATTCAATTAGATTTTAATAAAATAGTAATTTAGAAGGGGCGTTCGGACATCTGCCTGGGCCAAACATCTAGTTATTATTATAAAAGAAACATTCGGGTGAATTTCACCACCAACAAAATAATATGGAAAGAAATGGTAACGATGAATTGCATGATTAAAGCCTGCAATGATATCCTCCGGTAGCGGCCAAAGTTTCGCCGGTGATGTAAGAGGCATCATCTGATGACAAAAATGCAAGGGCTGCTGCTATCTCATCGGTGGTTCCCAGCCTTTTCAGATATGTCATCTCCTTAAAATAGTTTCTCTGCATAATTTTTTTTTAATAAAAAAAAAAAGAAAAAACGATGCAACATCACCCAAATCTAAAGAATTATAGAATATTATGTAACTTTATGCAGAAATTATACAATTATTATCACAATTTTATTTTTTTGGAGGTAACAATATCAAGAAGGAGAAAACAATGGCAATAGGGTACTTAAGTTAATCTTACGATATCAGAATTGGCAGTAATAAATCCAGAAAATTGTGTAGGTATAATGCCAGCCACCACACAGTTAACGCGGGTATTTGGTGCCATTTCAGCTGCAAGTGCCTGAAACAAATGAAACATATATATATAAACCTCTTGATTAGCACATTATATACATGATGTCATATATTGTGAAGAGTCCAATTTATCAAATTAATTAATAATGAAACCCTATCTAGCTAACAAGGGAAATGAAATTAGAGGTAAAAAAAAAAAAAACCTTGGTTAGTCCAAGAAGGGCTGTCTTGGTGATCCCATACAAAGCCATGGAAGGCCATATTGGTTCATAGGCAGCAATAGAGGCAATAAATGTCACAGAAGAACCCTCTTTTAAGTGAGGAGCCGCTTCCTGTCAATAATTGAGTGTCAAAAGATCTAGGTCTAGATTACTGATGCACTGCTAAATTAATGAGATAAATGAAAAATAAAATTGTAATGAGTTAATTATAGAAAATGTAATCCCACTTTTTAACTAATAATTCTATGGTTGTCTGATAAAATTATACGGTAATGACTATAAATGCAAAGATGATTAGGAATTTGGGGGAAATTAGGAAGGAGAAATTTTGTGTTTGATTGATGCCATTCTTACCAAAATACAGACACATTTATGACTAAACCCTACACACATCAACTAGTTTGCCACTTGAAAGCAGAAATGCTTGGTTTGACGACATGAACAGAGGAAGCATAGAGGGACCAAGCCAATTTATATACTTCACCAAATTATCATTTGGCTTCATAAGCCGATCGTGTAATAATTGCATGGCCGACGATTATCTTACAGTATTTTTTTTTTTTTGGTCTAATTTGATTTGGTGATCAAACATTAATAAACAAACCAAAAAAAAGAAGAAGAAAAAGTATGATAGCTTACTTGTAAAATAAGAATGGAGGATTTGACGTTGACTTCCCACATCTTGTCGAGTATTGATTCTTCCGTTTCCAAAATTCTACTTGCGGAGGGATTCACAGCCGCCATCGATACAATCACGTCTATCTTTCCATATTTCTGTTTTTGCCGGAAAAAGATTTTTGCAAAAATCTATTTAGAGACCAAATTAAAGTAAGCCGATTTTATTTAGAAAAATATAATTCAGTCAAAGGAACAGCAACCAGTTTGGTAATGATAAACAAACAAAGCGTTCTCTTTCAAGTCGATAAATATTACTCATTCCTTCCCACAAAAATAGTCCACATTGAGTTTTGAATTTTGTATTATTTTTAGTATAAATTTGAAAACTCAAAATAGACTATTTTTTTTGGGACGGAGGTAGTACTAGAGATGAATTGTGATTGGAGTTTCTTATCTTCGTGATATATTAATTTAAGTAGCCAGTTCAGTGGATCAGTAATGCAGTTTTGTTTAACCTGGACGGTTTTGTCTATCAAGTCCTTCCTCTGCTGTGCATCTGAGACGTGGCATACAACTCCATAAGCTTCAATCCCTTTGGCCTTGAGTTTTTCTACAGCTTGCTCAACATTTTCCTACAAAACGAAAAGAAAAAAAAAGCCCTCGTCAGATGATCTGAAAGAGAAGCAAATAAAGTGTGTTGAAATTTGAAAAATGTAGTACCCAAACTTTCATATATAGAAGGGACTGACAACGTAGAAGAACTTATATTGAAGGGACTGACAACGTAGAAGGGACTGATATTGAAACTTATATAAGTTTCAATATAAGAACTTATATTGAAACTTTCATATATAGAAGGGACTGACAACGTAGAAGAACTTATGTTGAAACTTCATTGAAAAAAAACTCAAATTCAAATTAGGAAAACACACTTAACCATTTTTTTGTACCATTCTATTTCTACCCAAAAAGAATAATAATAATAATAATACTCCCTCCGTCCCATAATTATTGTTCAGTTTGAGTTTTCATTTTTAGTTCAAATTGTACTAAAAGTGAAATCTCAAACTGGACAATAATTTTGGGACAGAGGGAGTATATAATAAGAAAAAAACTATTTTTGGACTTGCCACATTCACAAAAGTTAAAGGAAAAGCCGAAAAAAAAGAAAGAAAGAAGAAGCAGCCGGGACACACCCGTGGAGGTTAACTTGAAATGTGGTTTCTGGGGTGCTTTGAATTTTACTAAAACGTTCAAAACCCTGGTTTAATGCATGTCCTTTTGTAAATCAAGCAGCTGGTAAGAGCTAAAAACCTAATGTTTAATTTATCATCGATCAGCCATTTAATAATTATAATATGCATAAGGAATTAATGTGTTTTCGAGGAATCATGGAAATGTTAATACTAGAAGTAGTAGTAAAAAACAGGTGAGACCAAAAGACTTGCCTGATTGCGAGAAGAAACGACAACAGAGGCACCTTCTAACCCGAGGCGCTCCGCAGTAGCGAAACCAATGCCCTGAGTTGAAGCTGTGAGAAGTGCCACTTTCCCTTCAAATCTTCTCTGCCCAATATTCTTCTCCATTTTAAGCTGCCTACTATTGTCTTTCTTTCTATTATTAGTAGTAGTCCTTTGCTTAGTAAGTTTTGGTTGTCCAACGTGATACACGAAGCTTTATAATGTCACATAATATCAGCGCTGTTGTCGTTGATAGTGTCCCACATCTTACTATATTAAAAACAAAAACCATACTTAAGAAAAAATAACACCATTTGACATGTGGCATTTCCACATCATATTTTTAAAATAAATTTTTATTTCCACATCTCCTAAACTTAAAAGGCAAATGCAGTCCAAATTTATTTCCACCTCCTATTTTCGTCAAAACAAACAAAAAAAAAACCACGGGTTCATAAAAAACCCAAATCCTCATCACCATCACCACGAGAATCGACTCCATAATCAATACATTTTCCACAATTAAAAAATAAATAAATTCCTCATCAATCATCAATTGAGAATATGTGGTGAAATATATTCCTTTCCTATTAGCATGTTCAATCTTTTCATTAGTGATGATCAACTACATCCTAATCGGATAAAATTTTAATTTCAAAAAATATTCTCTTTACCTCTCTATATAAACACAAAGGAAAAAAAAATTCTCATTGATTTTGCTTCGGCCGTTGTGGTAGTGCCATTACAGGTATTAAAATTTAAATAATTTTATTTCCACAGATAATTGGTTTGGCTTTTATTATTTTTTATTTTTCCCGTTCAAAAATAGTGTTATTACTATTATTTTTATGCGTCCATCCGTTACAGCTACCGGAGCCGTTGTCAGGTAGTATGATGTGATTTCTTATTTGGTTAGTTAGTCTAGAATTTTTGTATGATTTTAGTTATGTTTGGATTGAATTGATTGATTGGGTTTTTATTACAAAGTGTGATTTTTTAAATTTGTTTTTTTATGTTTCATTCAATCAGAGTGGTTTTTTTTTTTAATTATGGAGTCTCAGGTTTTTTTTCGTATATGGCCAGTTATGAAGTGTGTTTTTTCTTTGTTTAATTGCTTTTGATTTTGTTTCATACTCCCAGTTGACCAATTATTATTATTATTATTATTATTATTATTATTATTATTATTTTATTTGCAAATGAAGCACTTTTTTTTTTTGTGTTCGGGGTTTCAAGAATATACTTTTTTGGATTTGGTTTTTGGACTTTTTTTTACGTACTGTTCAACTCCATGAGAGTTTGAAATCCCAAATAATAGCTTCAAGCCCGAAATTGAAATCATGGCATTGAAAGCCTTTTGGCATTGGGCCAATGCCAATGCCATCTTATTTTTGGACAGCCGAACACTGGATTTTGCATCAGGGGCCCAAATTCCAAATCCAACCCCTAATGCCATGCAAACGAACAGAGCCTTAGTTCTTCATCATATAAATAGTTCAAGTCGCTTCTTTTAACTAATTTATGGGGAAACCTTTTATGAATTTGAGGTGGAGAGGGAAGGAATGATGTTTCTACGTTTATTTGTATTTTTATAATCATTTTTACCTACAAAAAAAAATAAAAATTCTCAAATTTTAATGGGCTATCTTTTACTTTTTGTTTTTATTTGCCATGATGAGGTGAGTTCTTTTTTGCTATATTTGAAACCTATGCAAATTTACATTATTTTCATTCTCATATTTGTGATCAACCAGTTTCAACAATTAACCAGTATCAAAATCATATTTTTGATATTTTACTACCTATAAACTTTCGGAAGAAATAGTTCCAACAATTAAGCATATACCCTTTGGAGGAAGCTAACTACAAATCTATTATAAATCTCCAAAACTAAGTATTGAGTTGGCACAACCAATGGAGAACATCAATAAATTATCTTACTAATATTTAAACTTATTAGGATGCTTTTATATTTTTTTTTTCTAACATTTACTTCAAGACATATATTTGATCAAGTTTATTTATATTTAATAAGTAACACCTATAAAACATTTCTAAAATCTTCAAACATTTCTAAAACGTACCGGGCCAAATACAATTTATTTTTATGTCAAATACAAACATCACACTTATAAAACATTTCTAAAATTCTTCAAATATTTTTAAAATACATCGGGCCAAATACAAAATATTTTTTTTTTCAGATACAAATATTTATAAGATCTACAAATATATTGGGTCAGGGTCTGGTCGCGCAAGACATCACTAGTCTCAATAATAACTAAGGTGGTCTAACCCATACAAATTTGTTAATATTCCCATTTTATCTAAAATGAAGAATATAATAAGTATAAAAACCATCTTCACTGTTTCTTTCTTTTTTCCTTTATTTTTTCCCAAAAAAAACCAAAACAAATAGTAGTAGTACCAAAAAAAAAAGAAAAACAAGTAGTAATATAATACTGTTGCGGTACCGAGGCCAATAATTTCCAGAAGTGCAAATATAATTAATATGGTCCTTCATCCATCCGGATATTGTATCACATGATTCCACCTGATTATGTCAACATCGAGCCAATTGTCTTTGCTTAATATTTTCGACTCCTTTTCTAAAATATCATACTCCCTCTGTCCCAAAATTATTGTTCAATTTGAAATTTCATTTTTAATACAATTTAAACTAGAAATGAAAATTCAAACTGGACAATAATTATGGGACGGAGGGAGTATTTGGTATATCACATGTAGATATTTTCTCACCCTATTAATCCCATATCTTCTCGTTCGTTAAATAATTTGTTAGATATTTGATTGCATCCGTACGAGAGGATTGTGTTTGGATTTTTCTAGCTCGATCTCGCTTTCCAATTGATTTGGTTGGACCGTTTGTTTTGTTGAAGAAATTAATTTAGAGGGTGTTGATCCGCCACTAATTCAGTAGGAGTCTTTGATATCTTGAAATCAGTCATTTCCATTGTGAGTCTTTCGGCGTGGGATCCCTGTCTAGAACTCTATGTTACACAATTTAATAATTTGGTCATTTGTGTTAATATTCATACGATTAATACTTATTTTTAAAGTTATATATTTTAGAATTAAGTGTTTACTCTTTTCGGATTCATAATTATTCTATTTATTTAATTTTCAGAGTTAAAAGATTCAATAAAAATTATCAATTTTGTTAAAAATATAACATTGATATGATGAAAATTATAAATGGATTAACACAGAGTATATTATGAGAAATAATTAGACCGTATTTTAGAGGATGTAATAGTAAAATGTCATACTTTCTGGTGACGAGCCTTTGGTGTAAGTCGCCCCTAGTGTGTGGAAAAGATATTAAACCGATAAGCGTGTGTGTGTACTGTGTAGAATTAGTATGATCTCAGTTTTGCTAATCTTGGTGATCTTATCTGGTTGCTGATGCGACTTTGTACTATTGAACAATAGCATGATTTCTGGCAATGAAACAAGGTCTAAGTTTGAATTAATATTTTCATTTCATTGAGGATGTTTTCTATTTTTCGATCACATTTTGTAGATAACTTGCGGCAATCAGCCAATCATCACCTTATAAAAGTCGAAAATACCTCAAAATAGTACTACTCCCTCATTTTGATTTCGTCACAGATTTATCTACGATGTATTCTCTTAATTATTATGAAATGTTATTAAGGTTTTTATTTCAATTAAAAAGACATTTTAGGTGAAAGTTAGGACGAAATCAAAATGCTTTATAATAAGGACCAGAGAGAATTGAATGACAGTCTAGTGGTTAAGTTGCTGTCCTTCCTAATAATAGACCAGTGTTCGATTCTCACCAGGATTAGAAGAGGATTTTACCCGCATCTAAATAGAATCTATTAGATTGGATTTTTTTAATTTTTTTTTTTTAAAGGACCGGAGGGAGTATCAGCAAAGATTCCAAAGAACATGTATGTTTTGGAATTCCGAGAAGACGACATCACACACTGTATCCAACTTGGTCTTACACAAACATGACGATTGACGACACAGCATTATATATATTCCACTTGTTTTTAAATAGCACGAATTTCCTAATTCGAAACAAGTCCCATTGGAGTGTTTGGTTTTCAATCAACATCGTTCACAAAACATGTTTCAGGCCAAGCGAAGGAAACAAACCAAATGGTAAAATTAGCATTCATCTACGTATATACTATACTTATTTATTGTTAAAACTATTAATTAAAGAGACTAATCGCCAGATTAGGACAATAAGATTTTTCTGTTAGCAAGAGTTCAAAATAGCCGACATCATCATCTTGCTGTCCCAGTTGGAGCAAAACACGCTCACAAAACATTTGACACATTTTTCTTACTTTTAACAATCCTCTAAGCGGCAGCAAGGTTATCCTAGTTGTATAACTCATGAACGAAAATCGTCCTCATTTCATTCATTGCAAGTATTAGGGTAAGACTTTTATACCACTGAAGTATGGTTCTTACCTTCAGAAAACCAAAGGGAAAAAAACACAAAGTGCACATTTTATTGGAAATTTTGTGACCTATGAGTCATTGACTGTTTGGTGTGGTGTAGAATGCAAAACATAGATATGAAAATGTGGGATCATGCAATGTTAAAGGGGACTGTCTACACTAAAGTCGGGAAGGAATTCCTCCGGCAACTACCACAGTTTCGCCAGTGATGAACGAAGCATCATCGGAAGCCAAAAATGCTGTGGCTGCAGCCATGTCTTCCACAGTTCCAAGCCTTCTGAGCAATGTCTTACCTTCAATGTCACTTCTCTGCGAAACAAGCCAAAGTACCATTGTTCAGTCCCACGCCAAAAGGCATGCATTAATTCTTCCAAATCAAGAAGTCAAAAACCAATCCATGGAAAAACTTAAATGTTAAACGAATCTTACAATATCAGCGTTGGAAGTGATAAAGGAAGCAAAGTGTGTCGGCACAAAGCCTGGTGCCACACAGTTTACTCGAGTTTTTGGTGCCATTTCAGCAGCAAGGGCCTAAAGATGCATCATATCGAATTCCATGTCATTGTGGATATCAATGAATTAAATGCACCTCTATAAAGGGAAGTCCAGAAAATAAAAATGTAAGAACCTTGGTTAGCCCAAGAAGGGCTGTCTTGGTCACCCCATACATAGCCATGGAAGCCTGGGGTTGATAGCCAGCGATAGAGGAAATCAGAACCACAGAAGAACCTGCCTGTAAGTGAGGCGATGCTTCCTGTTCAACGAAAATGCCTAAATTAATAGTCTTCTCTACACAAAATCTTCTATAATCTAAGGCATTCCAATTAAGCATCATTAGCATCAGTAGTGCAAACCACCCGGGAGAACAAAAACTACAATAGAGAGTGAATCTGACAGACTTACTTGTAAAATAAGGATAGAAGATTTAACATTTATTTCCCAAAGTTTGTCGAGAACAGTTTCCTTCGTCTCCAAAATGGTATCAGCTGAGGGGTTGGCTGCAGCGTTTGACACAATGACGTCTATCTTTCCATATTTCTGCCAAAAGATAATGTTGCAGGAACTAGTCAGAAAACAGACCAAGGGCATAGTCATTTGATTTAAGCGTAATAACTTGTTAGACTAAAAAATTAATTAAGAACAGAAATAACAAGGGTGAAATAAAAGCGGATATTTGGATTCATAATATTAGAGTTAAACTTCATCCAACCAACAACAACAACATATCATGAAAGCCCCAATAAAAACAATCTCCTTCATCAAAATTCTTAATCTTGACAACTGCCTATGTCAAATAACATTGCAGATACGCTAAAACTTTCAAGTCCCATCTAGGTGGTTTTGCTTCGGCTGTACTTACATGTTACCAGTCATAGAAGTAAGCTTTCAAGTCATATATGATGCAGATTAACATATAGAAACCTGTTGCCAACATCAAATTCTGCCTGAGCAAGATTGAACCAGTTCTCACTTCTCAACACACTCACAAGAAGAGAAAAAAAAAAATAAAAAAATCCTCTACTTCAGTAAATTATGATGAAAGCTTAATATCACAAGAAATGGCAAATTAAACCAGCGGAAGCATAAGAGATGACCAATTTAGAACCAAGGCTATCTTGATTTCAACTCAATAAAAATGGCTGCCATTTTCATTTTATCAAGTTAAGACATTTTTCGTTCTTTCATTGGGATTGGGGATAATATAGGGTTAAAAGTACCGGAAATTTTGCTTCACCTGAACAGTCTTCTCTATTAGATTCTTCCTCTGCTGGGCATTTGACACATGACATACTATTCCATAAACCTCAATCCCTTTCGCTTTTAGTTTTTCCACAGCCTCATCAACATTCACCTGGAAAAGAAAATCCAACCAAATCAATCAAAAACAAGCAAATTTCCAAATTCCGGTACGACACAGAAAGAAACAAAATTAGCTGCAAGATCACGTTGGTTCCCTGTACAGGAACCAAACGCCCCTGAGTCAATCCAAGTTTCCTCAAGAACCCCTATGAGGAATTGAACAAATCCTACCAAAAACGTTCCAAATCAAAGCCCAAAACAAAAAGAAAATTAAAAAGACTTGCCTGTTTGCGAGATGAAATAACCACAGAGGCACCTTCCAATCCGAGTCTCTCAGCGATGCCGAAACCAATCCCCTGAGTTGAAGCTGTTACAATCGCCACTTTCCCTTCGAATCTCTTCCCAATCTTCACCATTTTTCACCGAATTTCTTATTTTGGCTTTCTTTTCGAGTAGAAAATTTAGGTTCAGACACGAATACAATGTAATGTCAGCTGGGGGTTGTCTAATTTTCCTTCCCGGTTTGGGGACGTTGAGAATGTCAACAAATTATGTTGGGATTCACACTCACTAGAAGATAAAATTAAAAAAATTGTTATATCGGTGACCAGCATATCATATTGCTTCCCCCTCCCTTTTGGGACTAAAAGACACCTTTAATTGTATTTTCTCTCAAAAGACCCCGGTGAAGTTTTATTTTTCTCTCAAAATTATATTTTTACTCTTAATTAATACTTTTTCTGTCCCAAAATTATTGTGTTAGTTTGAGATTTCACTTTTAGTACAGAGACAATAATTTTGGAACATTTGTACTAAAAGTGAAATCTCAAACTAGACAATAATTTTGAGACAGAGAGAGTAAATAGACACGTTTAGTAAGTGGATAGTGTATTTATCTTCTCATTTATCACTATATATTTTCACTCTATTTAGTCACTCACTAGATGTATCATTGCTGAAAATCTTATATGGACTCTTCGACGTTAGATTTAATTTGTATCATTGCTGAAAATCTTATATGGACTCTTCGACGTTAGATTTAATTTATAAACAATTCATCTGATACCAGTGATGAATGATGAACTTTCACAATTTTGTACATAAAAATTATTTTGCTTCATAATTTATGAATTTTTTTTAAAATGGAATACTATCGTTTTCGTTTCCACCATAAACTATATACTTGTTTTGGATTGTGAAGAACAAATAAATGGATATGCTAAGGAATGATGCACTATTTTTTTGTGAATTCCAATCGAGTTAAATTTGTAAGATTCAAAAGAGACGAGAAAATGACGTTGATGTTTGAATATGACATGGGAACAGATCACAGTTTGACCCTGCCCTTGATAAGCAAAATACAAATGCAGAAGAAAGAAGCAAAAAACCAAATAGCATACTTGTACCATACCACATTTTGGCCTAATAAGCTGATAAAAAAGCAAAGCAGGTTTCTCTTCACTTCAAGCCATCTTGAAGTGGCTACATGTTTATTTTCAATCGCCATTTGCAAACTCTAATCATAAGGATTCCTAAATTTCTTCAAAAGCTCAGGAATGTCATACCCAAGCATGGTATCCACGGACTGAATCAATCTAGGCTTCAGTTTCTCAAATTCATCGATATGGTAGCCACTTTTCAGAACCTCTCTAAAGTGCTCCACACTTGGAAAATCTCCTCCTGGCAAATGGAACTCTTTCTCGACCTGTTTCAGATTTATCCAATAATGTTAAAACTTAAAATGGTAAAAAGAAAACCATTTGATAAGAGGCCAGATACGCAACAAGAAAGACAGGTTGTTGAGTTTATAATAACCTTGGAGAACTCTTGCTCAAGATTGTTAATCAGTCGCTGCTGAGCTTTCGATTTGCCCATCAATGATGGCATTTCTTTCTTGAGATGGCTCATTATGTAGGCATGAATTTTCGCAGCCCTTGCTCGCTTTACCACTTCATTGATCTGAAATACAAATTTTTTGTCAAAAAGAAGTTACGACTAGAAACAAGGCAAGCAAAATGTTTGATGCCAATGCATGCATGCTAACAGAAGAATTGAGCAACCTTTCGATCACAAGCTTTCTTAGGGATGTCCATCAAGTCCACAAGAAGGTCATCTTGCTCTCGCTCAAATAGATCTTTCCCCATGGGACCTATAGCTCCTTCATTAACAGGCTTGTCATTGAAGGAGCTTCATTAAAAGATCAAAAAGACCAAAAAACATGAAGTGTTAATGAAATACCAACAGTCAAACCTTCCTCGCAACTGCTGACTGTCATATGCAAAATGACTGAAGCTTTAAATATCTTTGCACAGCTTTGCTTATATCTCAGAAAAATCAAAATTATTTGAAAATTTGTACAAGGAACATACCCAATATAGACACGCACAACTTCTGGTGTGTTCAAAATCTTCCCGAGAGACCACATTAATGCACCATAAACTCGCATCAACTGCAAAAACAAAAGATAGTTAAAGTGTTGCAGCCTAGTCTTCCAAATATCGGATAAGAACTGGTGGAAGAACTAAGAAATATGCTGCCTGAAGGTCATTACTTGCTGCGTATCAACTTGGTCTGCTTTGTTTAAAACAACACGTATCTTGTCATCATTCCCACGCAAGCTTGAGATGACTCGATTGAATTCGTCACTGATGTCTAGCTTGTGTGGATCAAAGAGGAGAAGTATAAGATCAGCCTTTGCAGCAAACCATGAGATCACTCCGGTAAAATCATAGCTACGCTGAGTTCGTTGCTTCTCCCCGGATAAAACTCCAGGAGTGTCCACAAAAGTTATATGGTCAAGCAGCTAAAGGTAATAGAATGGCAAGTCAGTAAATTGCTTGATTTTAAACCAAAACCTAAACATTAATAAAGCCACGGAAAGGGTTTACAACTCACAGGATGTGGCATTTGGGAACACTCAAACTTTGACAAGAAAGCTCCCCCAAAGGTTGACAGTCCAGTAAATGGCATTTCTTCATGAACAGCTATTGTATTCCCAGGAATACTTCTCTCATCAGGCCCAGACTGAATGAGAAAGATATTTCTAATTATCACAACTATCAAATGATAAACAGTATCACAACTTGAAAGTCGTCGATAATTCCTTTTATCAGTTACTGATAGAAGTGGCAAAAAATCATTATTCTTTTGACAAGAGACAGGCAATAACCAACCCATCCCTCAAAAAATCACTTGAAGTTACCCCTTTCTTTCCCTTATTTCATTTACTTGCATTTCTTTATCAGATAATTCAAAAATGTATAAACAAGAATCTTAGCAATGGCATATCAAATCTCAATTACCATAACCGCGATGAATCTATCAGTAGTTGGTTCAGGTCCAATATGAGCTCCTGCCAGGGAATAACGAATCTTAGTCTCGAAGAAAAAAAGAAGAATTAAAACCTCAGATATACAAGAGGTAGAGAGTAGAGACGAACCTGGATAACTACATCCCAGCAAGTGTTTTATAAATGTAGTTTTCCCAGTTGAATATTGGCCCAAAAGCATGACCATCGGTTTAGCATCAAAATCACTGCTTGTCTGCATTAAAGGGTAAAATATTAGTGAATAGCCATATCAAATATCTTTAGGAAAACCACAGCATCAAAAAGTTCAGGCCATGTTTCCCCAAACTTCAAGTCCTAAGAGTTCATTAGACAAGAATATATGAGATGGTTATCCACTTACCAGTGAAGGAGATCCAAAATCATTAAAACGGTAAGTGACTTCCAAAGGCTTTAGCTTTTCGAAATATAATCTTTTCAACCCATCAACTACTGAAGTAACTGGGGCAACAGAGCTGAAGGACTGAAACAATAAAAAACAAAAACCCATCACTGAAAAAACCATAACTAAGTCACATCTTACATTGAATAGTTATATGCATCAAGAATAAAAGAAAAGGAGGAAGCAACTAATATCCAGTTGAGGAATGTCCGTAGGATATTTTTTACTAAGACTAATTTAATATATAAACACATCAGAGTAGTGCTCAGGTAACAACACATTGTGATAAACAAATACCTTCTTTGCAGATTTTTTCTTGGATACATTGACTGTTGGTGGGGACTGTGTCTGAGGGGTCCCTGTATATTTTCATAAGGTAGTCTCCGGTAAGGATGATTCTCATTTTCAAAAGGAAAAAAAGAAATGTCAAGCAAGAAAAACAATGCTATACCAGTTGATTCCAGCTTTCCCTTGGCTAGCGATCCCTTGCTTTTCTAGACAGTGAGCAAGAATGAAGAACCAGTTGTTAGAAGGTTTTACCAAACATTGATCAGAAATAGTAAAAATTTGAATGCGGAATGTCATCAAACCTGAACTGAAACTTACCTCTAGAACGTCATCCAACCCTACCATGACTGGGAGATTTTCACTCTCTATGTCAGCCAGAAGAAATGCACAAAACCATTAGTTGAATGAAAAATTAGATAAGCTTAAATGTCCGATGAGCAAGCATCAGAAAACAAAGGAAAAGACCTATTTCTGTGCAGTAACTAACTAAAAGTCTCAATTTCATGAAAGTCATGTAGTCAAGGACAGACACGAGGATGTTCTAGAATATTACATGAGGTTCATCGGTCGCTACTCTTACAATCATCCGATTCACCAATGTGGCACTTACTATGCATCAATTTTATAACAATTCCACTTCAAACAAAAACTTGCACCAATACTGACATCACAGACCAATATGTTTCCAAGTTTCTATCTCCATGTTAACAGACACGTCAACTTTGAGGAATATTTGACAACAGAGAAATCGCAAAATGTAATGTGAGCCTAATTTACTGAAATCATCATCTAAATTTTATCATCGGCACTTTTTCTCCCATTGAAAATAATAAAAATAAAACCAAGCAGATATTGAATTATAGTCAGAAAACAAAGAGATTGGAATTTTCTAACAGAATCAGCATTCTAGTTGGCATAATATGGCATCGATGGATGGAAAAATAGTCGGCTGAATCCACCCACCTGTTTCTCTCAGGACAGACGAGCTTAACTGGTGACCTTCTTGCGCCAGTGAGATCAGCTATCGCACATAAAACAACAACAAGAAAATTGCAGTTAGAAATGGTACAAAAATCCAGCTTAGATAACAGCCAATATGTTTATCTAAAAAGCAAGAGGTGTAGTTAACCTGCATTGCGGTAATGAACTCCGTAAGGCCAAGAAAGCCTTGTCTCTTGGAATCCGCCAAGGCCCAAACCTTCAAAACCACAACAGGTTGTAGAAAGTATGACTAACAATATGGTTGACAAAGAAAAAAACTGAAATGTCAGGCGCGAAAGAGTTTCCAAACTAATTGACCTAATCAATAATCATCGAACAATCAATTAAACATTCACATCAAATTAACCTACTGAATTTTGCAGAATAACGCATACACAGAATCTCACTTCCGACCTAGAGAACAGTAAGAATCAAAATTTAAAGCGAGATAAGAAAGGAGAAAACCTGTTTGAGTTCGGGCCTAGAAAGATTGGACAGAGAAAAGAAATTGGCAGCGTCATTTCCAGTTAAGCGGCCATCTCCATCTGATAACCAATACAAAATCGATACGTAAACAAATGTTAGATGAATAGTTAACCGCAAATCTAGAAGAAGATTTCTCCAAATGAAAAAAGAAATACAAAATTATTACCGGAATCAGCAAAATTGAACCACTCCTGATAGATTTTGAGATGCTCTTTGGAACAAAGAGGACCTGAAACCACCATACTTGCGATTTCTCTCTCTCGCTAGTTTTTCTCTCTTTTGGTTTTGCTGGTGGAACACTTGCTTTGTTCCGTTCTATATTTGAAATTTGTTTCTGTTCAGAGATTTTGAAAATCCTCAAAAGAGGGAACTCATTTTTAACGGATTTTATCATTTTCAAATCTTTGAGGATTTCGCCGTTGCGAGCTCTATTTTCAAATAAGATTTGTTTATCTTTTTCATTTGAAATTGTGCTTACGTGGTTATACAGATACGTTTACAGCTGTCTTTGTACGGAGCGTTCCTCTATACATGGAGAATTGAAAACGGCACACAAAATATTATTTATTTTATTTTATTTTATTTTTTTTTCAGTTTTTCACTATTTAAGTTACCCCATGGAGTTGTTAATTTTTCATTACAAATTGTATTATCAGATGTATTCATTCAAAATTTGTTTAAAAAAAAAAAAAAGAAAAATGGGAAGGATGTAAGCAGAGCCAAACCATTGGTTACATTTGCAACATAAATCAACTACTCAAAAACATTGAGTAAAAAAAATATATTTGTATTCTGGCGACCTTAGAAATGCAGTTTATGGTTTTGTTCGACCAAAAAGGAAAAAAGAAACAAAAATCATACTGCAGTTCCAAAAAGGCCAACATGAGCGCAATCAAAATAGGCAGCAGCGCATCTGCACGCAAACGAATAGAACACATACTATTTAGTAAAGTAAAATGTTACCAGAATAATGGAATATGTTTTTTTTTCAATCTAAAGGGGGAAAAGACTAGTACCTTTGAACGAGGCTTCCTTTTATGGGTCTCAGCTTCTCCATTAGTGTTGCCAATTTGTTGAGACTGAACTGCGGATGGGAACTTTGCAGCTGCTATCTGTTTTTCCTCCTTCACCTTGTTGAATATCACAGTAAATCCTTCTGCAGATTTTGGGTCTCTTTCATCCCACGCTCCGAATTTCGGCACAGATGTCGATTTATAAGACTGTTTTATACAAGAACAAACGCACCTTATATGAAGTACTATCAACCAATTATATAGAGCGGATTGATGCAATTCATCATTTCCGAGAGGCCAAAAAAAAAAACCTACCTCTGGACCAAAGTTTTTGTCCAGTTTGCATTTTCGCTTTTAGTTCAATTTGTACTAAAAATAAAAATTCAATCTGTACAATAATTTCTTGATAGAGGGAGTAATCAGCAGCTTACCATGTCATCGCTTAGATCACTTCCACCCCTTAGTCTAGTGTGTCCAGGTGACGGAGATTTTTGGAGAAAGCTATTGCTATAATTATTCTCAGAGTTGCTCTTCTTGTTTTCGGATTTTCGGCGCTGATGCCGGTTCCAGCTGCTGCCTTTGTCGCTGCTCATGGATTCCGCAGAAGTTATGGACTTGTGTTGCCTGTGTCCTTCAATTTGGTGATTTGATTCTGGCGTTGCTGAAAACAGGAAAGCATCTGGATTTTCTTCTGGATCATTGGGGTTCATTATCCTGTGGCCAGTATTAGTACCACCTTTTTCTTTCCTTGCATTCTCAAAATAGGCTGTGTATGGCACATTGTCACCATCCCAGTTCCCGAATTTCGGAACATGTGATCTTTGGTGCTGCAGCACAACCAAAGATTGAGGATTTAGAATACACTTTTGATTATAACAATCAAATTTCAGCGTTTGACATCACCACGTCGATCATCTGACATCCTATATCAATATAGATATTACTGTGCATCATTATTCGACCAATTGACACTTTGCCTAACTTGATTTACTTTCCAGGCAAATTGGAGTTTTGACTGTTAACAACTTGAAAGCATTTTCCTCATGGAAAAGGCACCCAAAGTTCATAAAGCTGTATACTGAATGAAATGCGTCTTTTTAGTTTTGTTTTCTACCCAAATGAAACTGAAATCCTAATGCTAACAAACCAACAACAACAATTGAACAAATTAATCCTTAGGTATCCAGTGGATTCATTCCCCTGGGATTCTGAATTTATGTCAACAGAGCACATGGAATGGAGTAATATTTTCAGCCACAGCAACTAGATTGAGGACTTAATAACGCAACACCTTAACTATGCAAATAGAGGGAAAAAAAAGTTAAGTTAGGAGATAGGTTTGATATAACTTACAGCCATTGTTGTGGGAGGACTTTGCCAAATACCGATCCTTTTGGTTCAAATCAAATGTACAAGTGCGATGGTTCCAGACCTGAGAAAAACGCCTCTGATGAGCCTAAATTACAGAATCGGCTCGAAGATCCCAATGTAGGAAGACTTGGCCCTGATGGAAAAAAAAAACGATACTATTAATCACAATACATAATTAATTATGACATTTGGAATTTTTGATTGCTTAAAACAATCCAATTAAAATCCCATGTAAATACTCCTATTCTGGATTTTTGCTCGGGACTGTATCTTCCTTGTCTGATAGTTTTTGATGGGCTCCACCTATGTGATTAACTTCGCACGAGAATGCCAAGTAGAAACTAGAAAGGTTCCAAGTTACGTAATTTGGAGTTAATCAATCACTGGCCGGCATGAGATTTAGATCAAAATGTCACAACAGCTCAACCCGGAAAACTCTGTTCTAATCAGTCATTTTAGATGGTTTTTTCAAATGTACAAACAATGATGAACCACACACATATTCTTTAATCGATAGAGTTATCGATTATAATTGTACGTCCCGTTATAACTTTTGTGGTTTGAAAGAGCTAGTACTCCTTTCCTCCCGTTATAATTGTACGTCAAAGTAGAGTAGCATAATTAATATGGGAGAGTAAAAATAGGTCAACAACTAGATAAATGATCTTTTTAATCTCCAATTTTGGGAAATCAGTGGGAACAGAACAGTGGAGCGAACTACGTACATATAACAACAAACACCCTTTTCAAAAAAAAAACAACAAACACGTCGACAAAGACTAAGAGCCAGCCTAAATGACATCCTCATCCTTCAACAATCACTTGTTTTTTTTACAAGAAAAAGGGTAATTAAAACGGTAATTAACAAACTCATACTCCATCTCCAACATTTAGTTATTAAGAAACAAAACCAAAAAATCAAATATATGCGAACTGTACTGATGTACTCAATTTCTACTAGAGTTGGGCAAAAAATAAAAGATGCAAAATCTGAACTAAATTTCTCGATAATCAACGTGAAATGAAGCCGAAGAGTGCGCTTAACAAAACAAAAACAAAATTTAGCACTTCAAGAATACTGATCTACCGAACGTACCTGCTACGAGAGAAAAAGTATGCGAGGGTTATGGTGGTGTTCATGTATGGTGCATAAAAATAAACAGAACAATCTAGGGTAGAAATACCCAAATTCGTATGACACAGGTTACAGTGACTTACCTTACCGAAGTCGTTGGTTGCTTGATCTTCAAGTCATTTGGCCCATATGTTTAGGGCTGCTAGCTAATCGGCCAAATCCGACGAACCGCCCGACCCGAGATTCATTTAGTCAATTCGGGTCTGCTAATCGGTTAAAGCGGGTGAATTTCGACTATACCCGACAAGCCGATTAAACTATACGGTTCGGTTTCAAATTTGGAAAATATTATTCGGGGCTGCACGAATTATCCGATTAATTAATTTTTAATTATTTTTTTATTAGATATATATACCGTCAGTTTAGGGTCTTGCTTCTTCTTTCTTTTTTTTTTTCCTTCCTGTTTTCTCCTTCCTCCTTCTTCGTTTCTTCGACGCCGCCGCCCTCCAACCAAACACCGGCATAGATTCAACGATTTCCACCCACAATTGACAATCCCACCCTCACCTGCACCTCTATGGCTCCATGACCACACCTCCTACTTTACACCACCACAATCCACCAATTTCTTCAATCAAAATTTCAGATCGATCAAGTTCTAACTTCTAAGCCTCTAAGTCGATTCGTCAGAGCTGAAGTAGATCTCGCCGGGCATCTACCAAATTCAAAGGCCACTGGAACTTACTGTTGTCTGCTGAAACTCACCGAAGCTTACTATTAGGATTCCTCTGCCTAAATCTGTTTCTTTAAACCCTAGGTTACATCAATGTCGTTTCTCAATCTTCTATTTCGGTGTTCTGATTTTTTTTTTCATCTTTGTAATGGTGATTATGTTTGTTGAATGAACTATTAGATTTTTGGGTTCTTGTTTGTGTTTCTTTTGGGTTCACCTGAACTGTGTTGATTTTTCTTTTGGCTTCTTCACTTAGGAGGTTCCAATTATGTTGTCTCATTGTTCCCTGTCTAAGAACTGTGTTTCTTTTGGTGGGTTCACCTAAATTGCTCACTGTTAGGAACTTGAGAGGATCATGGGTGTTGACTGTTGAATAATGTAGTTATTGGTTGTCAATTACTAGCTATCGAGATGATTATGATACTGTTTTTAGTCGAATTATGCATGTGATTTAGAATGGCATGTATAGTATACTAAGTATAGGCATATAAACTGTAAAATTGGCTAGGAATATGATTTAGATACCCTGTTACAGAACTGAATAACTGATGGCTGATGATTTATTTATAAAGCAAGTAAACAACTTGTCTTGATCACTTTAGTCTTATAATACATGATGGCTTGATAAATATTAAATATTATGTTCTGATCTTTTCAAGTTTAACTTTTATTTGACTTGTATTTGGTAACTTTATGATATGATTCCTTACGGATTATTTTATTTTATATAAGTGCAGGGCTGACTGACGGATTGTTTTGAAGCTTGATATTGCTATTGTGTTTAAGGTAAGAACTAAGAACTGAATGTTGAATATTGAGTATTGTTGATGTTTGTTTAAAAATGAAGTTAGTTCAGAGTTTTTTTTTTGACCATATGAATCATTATTGACTGTTTTTGTTTTCTTTTAATGCAGGACTGAGAATTGAAGTTTGAGACTGTTAAGCTATCTTTCAGGTACTATTTTTACAATTTCTGTATTTTTGGCTTGTTGTTTCATGATTTTGAAACTTCAAAGTATTGTTCAATTGTTGTGTGTTCTTATGTGGTACTGGTAAGTGGTGTTGTTGTGCTGAGTGTGGCATCAATCTATGGGAGGGTTGAATGTTGTTCATCAGATATCATGTGTTGTTGCTTATGCATTGTGGACTCGGTTAAATGAATGGAGTGGTATAATGCTAAGGCTGGTTTAGTTTTTTCTGCCTCTGGTGTTCTGTATTTTAGTACTTCTTATGGGGAGATAACTACACAACACACTTGTTATTCATGTTTTTTAGTAATGATGATCGTATGATCAATGCAAGATTACAACTGATCATCGTCTATCTGGTGCTTTTCTTTTGAGTCTGATTACTTATATAGTTATATTTAGAGAGAAGATGATAGTATGATCAATGCAAGTTGAAACTTTGGCTTGAGTTATATATAAAATACTTGTTGCTGCCTGCAGTAGGTAACTAAAATGCTTTTTTTTTCTCCTTTATTTATGTGTAGATGTCAGAACTAGATTTTGAATTTGATGACAATGTCGAGGATATTGACGAGATTGAGGAGATTGAAGTCGAGAAAGGTTCACTGCCTCCTCTGCTAGATTTGCCCAATGCTGAAGGATTGATGATAGATGTAGATGTAGAGATTGAGGATCGGGAGTCTGAAGCTCAAGCTGTCGTTGTACCAAAGCCCTTGAAGTAGCAGCACAGGGTAACTCATAGGCGCTCTACGGTATGGCCTCACTTTACTACTCATAAAGATGCTAAAGGTATGTTATGGGCTGATTCTAAGTATTGTGGTGCTACGTATATGGCTGATAGTAAAAAACATGGGACTAGTAGTCTTCAGGCTCATTTGCAGGTTTGTAAAAAGTTCTTGTCTTTGAAAAGTGATCCTAGTCAGAGTCAGTTAGTTATTAAAACTGGGGAGGAAAAACCAACGAGTGTAGGTACTTGGAGGTATAATGAAGAAGAAATAATTAGGGCAATGATTTACATGATAATAGTTGATGAATTGCCTTTTAGGTTTGTTGACAGAAAAATAGTTTAGATATTTTCTTAGGAAGTTGCAGCCACAGTTTGTGCCTAAGGGTAGGCAAACAGTGGCTGATAACTGTTATAAGTTGTATTTATCTAAGAGGGATAAACTGAAATGTGAGCTGAAAAGAAATGTTAGTAGAATCTGCTTCACAATGGATATTTGGATTGGGCATTATGTGGATAATAATTTGACTTTGAAAAAGAAAATTTTAAGTTTCGTCCCTATTACAAGTCATAAGGATTTAGATATTGGGGCTGCGATTGAGAAATGTTTGATGGATTGGGAAATTGAAACTGAAAATGTGTTTTCAATAACTGTTGATAATGCCTCTTCTAATGATGCTGCCATGGAGTATTTTAAAGAGCAATTTGCTCACCGAGAAAAGTGTGTGTTGAGTCTAAATGGTTGCATGTTTGTTGTGTGGCTCATGTGATAAATCTGGTTGTTAAGATGGTTTGGCATATATAGTTAAGTATATATGCAAGTTTGTTGATAAAATTAGGGCTGCAGTTAAGTATATTAGGCAGTCCCCTAAAAGAATGGCAAGTTTTAAGAAATGTGCTGAAATTGAGAAGTGTGGTAACTCTAAGAATCTAGTATTGGATGTTTGTACTAGGTGGAATAGTACATACTTAATGCTAGAAACTGCTCAAGTGTATGAAAGAGCTTTTAGGAGATACGAAACTAAAAATCAGCACTTTAAAGACACTTTGAGGTTTGATCCTGAAGTGCTAAATTCTGGGCCTGGACTGCCTATTTCATTAGATTGGGTAGAAGTTAGGAGGGTTGTTGGTATTCTTCAGCATTTTTATGAGATAACCTTTAAATTATCTCGTACAAAAAGTGTCTCTTCGGATTCTTTCTTTACTGATGTTCATTGTATTGATGTTTTGCTGAGGAAAATCATCAATAAAATTGATGATAATGGTCAAAAATTTATGACTGAAAGGATGAAAGATAAGTTTGATATATACTATGGTTATATTGCGTCGATAAATCTTGCTGTTTTAATGGCATGTGTTTTTGATCCAAGAAATAAGTTGAAATACATTGAAGTTATATTTCAACAGGTTTATGGGTTAGTGGACGGAAAAAAACAAATACAACTTTGTTAAAACCGCAATTTATGAGTTATTTGCGGATTATGTTAGAATCCATGCCCCTAAACTTAGTTCTAGTAGGCCTTCCAATTCTGATTCCAGTTATTCTCAAGCAACTTCATCAGGGAAAAGACCTTCCCCGATTGATATCGAGCCTTCAAAGCTGCTTAAAGATCAGTTTAGATGGAGTTGGCGAAGAAAAAAATTGAAGAAGCTGGTGGGGCTTTAAACAGAAATGAAAAATTAGAATTGGACAAGTATTTGAACGAGGATGATGATTCGTGAACTGGTGGAAGGTGAATAGCCCTAGGTTTTCTATTCTTTCTCTGATGATTCGTGATCTTTTTGCCGTTCTTGTCTCAATTGTGGCTTTGGAATCATATTTTAGCAAAAGTGGCAGGATGTTGAATGCATTTAGGAGTTCTTTAACTCCGAAGACTGTTCGATGCTTGATAAATTGCACTCATGATTGGCTTCGGGAGGAAGTTGAAAAAGAAGGTGTTGAAGAGAGTTAGGAAGACTTGTTAGCATGGAAGAAGGTATAGTGATTTAAATTTTTAAATACATTTGTGATTTTTAATTCAACTGTTTAACTTTATTTCAGTTATTTGAATACTGACTGTTTTTTTTTTCAGCTGCTGAAAAGAGAAAGAAAACTGGGATGTAAAAGGTACATTGTAGAATATAGGCTCTACTTCTTTTTTCTTTTTACATGTTCTTCAATTTTCATGACTGTTAGCCTGCTTGTCAACCTGAAATATAATTGGAATTGTTGAAGAATGTTGCTGTTGAAAACTAAATGAGTGGATGTTGCTGACTTGCTGTTGCCTGTTGCATGATGTCTGCTACTGCTTGCTTACAATTGAACTGAACTGTTGAAGAATGTTGCCTGAATGTACCAAGTGCCATGCCTAGTTGAAGATTTACTACTTGTTGCTCAGTGCTGAAGAATCAAGTGAATACTAAAGTTGAATTGCTGCTTCTATGTCTCTGATGAAGATTTACTTCTTGCTTCTATATCTCTGTTGATATAATCTAATGATGTTGATCTGTTGAGAATGTTATGATTCAAATTTGATTTTTACACTGTGTTGTGTATTGTGTAATGATGACCATTTTCATTTGTGTATTGTCAGTTGACAGTTGTGACCATTTGGCATTTGAGACTTTGAGTTGAAGTTGATCATTTGTGATATGTATTATCTAGTACTTACTGACGTAAGTTCATCAGTCATCAGTTGATTAGTTCAGTCATTCCTTTGTGTTCATATGTTGTAATTCAAAGATGGTTTTAAGTTTGAAAAGTCACTGTGATTCATAAAAAAGTCATTCCTTTCTTTTTTTTGGTGATTTCTGATTTGTCAGTTTCATTTATTTCAAAACAAAAAAAAAAGAAGCATTCAGAAATTTTGTTAAGAAATGTCTAATTTCGCTTTAATTGGCCCTCGAACCGAAAACTTGACTGCTTATTCGATTCGGTTCGGGAGTGTATAACCCTCAGTTCGGTTTCGATCGGGTGAATAGAAATGAAAATATTTGAATTAGCCGAATTGAATTCGGCCGAACCGCCCAATTTAGCAGCCTTACATATGTTGTAGGCACTCAACCGATTATTCTCATTAATTGTGTTTTTTCCTCTCTTTTTTTTTTTCATCAAAACATCAGTCGGGTTGGCATTCTTGATGAATAATGATTTGAGGCTACAAAGCTTGGGCCATGTTCGTTTTATATTTTGAAGAAACAAAAGCTTCATTTTTACTTTTTTTTTTTGTGAATTTTTATTGTTAATTTTTTTACCTTTTCTAACTCACTATTTGACATCCTCCCTTATTAACTTTCTCAAAAAGTAATTACATATCCAGATGCAAGGAGACTTCGGCCAGTTTTCCATGGCCAAAATTTCCGAGCTGTTTGTGAATGCCCGAGAATGGGATCGCCCACCAGGAATCAATTTTGACCATGCTGACTGTAAACTTTGCAGTATATTTATTTGTTGTTTGTGCGTTCCAGAAATTTTATTTTTACTTTTTTTTTGTACATTAATTATGAGAATTTCTAACGACGTATACCTCGCAATAACACTGCAAAAACCCACTAATTTGAGCAGGTTTTGTAACAAAAATACACTAAGGTGAGTTTCTAGCCTAACAGGCTTTACGCTTTGCACCTCTGGTCATAACAAATTGATCAATTAATTTTTTCTTTGTATTCTTTCTTTTGGCATAATCTCTCTCTTTTTTCTTTTCTTTTATTTATTTTTTTCTAATGGTGGGCTGGGTTCTAAGGCATGATATTTGAAGGTGGCACCGTCATTTTCTTTCACAAGTTTTCTTGATGCAAAGCTTGAAATAATGGAGAAAGAAGCAAGGCTTTCTGGGTGCGTGTATTTTTTTTCTTAGTAATATATATTTTTCCCCATAAATGTAAGGTGTCTATATAAGCAATGCTTAAGCCTTCAGTAATGACCTGAGCATAGAAAACAAATAAAGATTAAAATCATAAGGTGATCAAAGTGAACACTATGTTAAATATAATTCATATTTTTTACCTATATTATTTCTCTTATCTGCTACATATTGCCTAACAAAGCGAACTAAGACCTGGGGTTGCTGCAAAATAGAAGTAATAGAACTATGTATTTGAACAAATGTTTCTTTTGTTCCTATTACTTGCTACCAAATCTTTAGAAGCTTCGAGAACAACTTGGAAGATTGATTAATTAACAAGAATCCTCTCTTTCTTTGGTTTTTCCAAGAGAAGAGAAATTAAAAACTTATCTTTAGGAGTTAGGACTATAAGTCCAAAATGATACTTACTCCGTCCCAAAATTTTTATCCAGTTTGAATTCTTACTTTTAGTATTATTTGTACTAAAAATGAAAAGTTAAACCGGACAATAATTTTAAGATGAAAGAAATATATTACTTGCCCACACAAGAGGAAATACTAAAAAATAGATAGAAGACAGAGTGCAATGCCCTTTCAGCAAAGGAAAGAGGTTCCAGGTCCCTTTCTCCAAATGGTAGGATATTCAAATTTGTCGCTTTCTAAGATTGTCCTTTAGCAGAGGTACTAAGATAGCCACATATTTAACCTAAACAAAACATAATACTAAGCTTAATCACTACTTGAAGAAAAATAACCAGATTCCATGTTTCTATGCCAACACTCATTCTCCAGTTTATATATATATATATTTCATTTCTTAATATACAAACAACTCTTCACAATTTCGATACATTTTCATATACTTTCAACCCAACTTTTTACATTAGTCTACAACACTCCGTAGTGACAATGAGGTTTGTCCTACGCCTGAAAATACAAAGTATGTGATGGACTATTGCTATAAAATAATAGCCAAAATCCTTGTATGCACTTGCTGATGTACTGTAAATAAGAAAACCTTTCCTTGTCAAAGTTTAATGAATGCCAATTGTTTTGTTCAGTATCCATAAGGTGAGTGACAATTGGATGGCAAATATGGTGTGCAGCCATGACCTATCCAGCATGAAGCCATAAACTGTAATTCCAGCCCTGTTGTGCTCAAAATATGTCACTGCAGACCAAAAAACAACTCTCACATGCTTGTCTTCTTGCTATTCAATCAAACTAACTAGAAAAAAAGGGCAAAATGGATGGTAAAACTTACATAGTGCTTGCCTCTTTTGGTAAGAAAGGGCATGCAGAATTGGGAGAAAATGTGTGTTATCAATTGCATCATCTCCATCTCCTTCTTCGCTATCAGTTTCTTCATAAGCATTATTCAGAGAGTAGATCACGTGATCTGTTGCAGCGTGAGATCTTGGCGTGTCGCCTTCCACTTCTTCAAATGAATTAATAGTGGAACAAACATGCCACTTCGCTGCAAGAGATGTAACAGACTGCGCTTTGTGCGTGATTTTTGCTGCGCTGCGCAAGCAAATGAATAGCCCTGTCACCAACGAGATGGAGCACAACTGCAAAAAGAAACAAGGCCACCGGACTCACAATACATTAGAATATGCTACAAAACAACAGTACTGAACAGCTAGCAGAACAAAATCATTCTTCACTCAAAGTTAAAAACTGTTTTTAGACTCTTAAGATGAATAAAAAGTTGGCCATTTGACACCTAGTTTTGTGCAGAAACTAAAAGAGGCAGAGATAAGAGGTTATGGTATCATACCGCGAGTTCTCCAGCTGTGAAGATATCAACAATGGACCTAGACTCAGTTGTTCTTAGTAAAGAAACAAATTGACTGCCAGTAACAAGGATCAGGGAGAACAAAATGAATTTTCTGAATCTATGGCTTATGATCCGAAGATTTCTCCTAATGCTTAGATGGTCTAACAAGATTGATGCAACATCAGAATCTCTCTCGAAAACCTGTGCAAAATCTTCCAGCCTCAGGATCTGAAGAAAACATATCAACTGGAAGAGAACACAAACGAGGAAGGAAATCGATATCCTGTACAGCCAGGAGGACATTAGCAATATGCAGGCTATGGTGTGGCTCAAATAGACATTGTAAAAGTAGGGAATTTGGGTTCCACCCGAACTGAACCACCATATCTTGTACGCAGCATCTGCAAAGAAGCAGGGTAGGACAAAGGCTGACAAGATCTTCATTGACCTCTGCAACATAAATACAATACTAGTATAGAATTAGTCCATACATCCAACTGGGGCAGCGCACAAAAGGTTACACACTTACACTTTATTTCATTCATACAGAAACGTCATCATTGCATTCATTCTGCACTTTATCACGCTGACTAAACTAGATTGCTTATGCATAATTCAGACCAAAAAAAGACAGATGACAGGTGAAAACTTGACACTGCTAATCTAATAGGTCATACTTACCAACACATTTCATCAAAGACTAGTAACAAGTAACAACTAGAAATGCAATATTAAAGAGTTGAGGGGAAGTAGCAATCTCAATTATCAGCATCGATTAACCGGGGAACAACCTAATAATGTAAGACCATCTATGCTAGCCACTAACGAGCCGACATTAACTAATGCATGGGATCCATCAAAACTCGAGAAGCACCGGGATTTTCATACACCTGGATGCCTTGATCAGTACAATTGATTGAAGTAGTAAACACATCATGAACTTCGAAAAAAGAAGCATACACAGGATGTTATAGACAGAGTAAAAATGGCCAAATAAGCTATTTTGTCCGTTTAGACAATACCAACCAAAAGAAAAACAACCTTTCTTCAAATTACAAATTCTCACCAAAGACAAATTAAAATTAAAAACCTAACAACGAATGATGTGAAATTAAAAGAAAATTATCATAATAAACAACTAGAACCACTCACATGAATTTCCTGAGCATAGCCTTGTTTAACTTTCTGACTCTCGTGACTCAATTTATCAAGAAACAGGAATTTCCGGAGCCCATATTTGTGAGTAAAAGAAGATAGGCTGAGAAAAGACAATATGGCGAACAGAGAGAGGGAAATCTGAACAATTCCATCGAAGGGTCGGCTATGATCCTCATCACAACGGCTGCCAGAGGAAGAAGAGGGAGAACAAGCAAAAACGAAGTGGGAAACGAGAGGGACACAAATCGTGAGCAAGAAAAACATGGACCAAGAAAGCCCAGACCGCCATAAACTGGACTCGTTGTCTATGAAGAAAACCCAGCCCAGGGTTGATTTGATGAGCTTTTTCAGCTCAATGCTGGCTTCTCCTTCGAATGAATCCTGTTGAGGAAGAAGTGACGCCTTGAGTTTGGATAATGAAAACTCTGTCACTGTTTCTTCCTCTTCCATGATTATAGGGGGAAAGAAATTGCCGGTGGGGGGGAATGAATTAGTGGAGGGATTTTGATTGAGATTTTAAAGGGTGGGGAGATGGACCGATGGAGGAATGCGGGAGCCAAATGGTTGTGAGTTTATTATTTACAAATTCGGCAACGCAGCGACTCGTGTATTTTTCTCATTAGTTAAGCACATGATGGAAATGAAAGAAAGGGGGAAAAGAGGTAAAGCAGTTAGATTGATGTAAAGAAGCAATTGGCTTTTTTTTTTTTTTTTTGGGTTTGGGGTTTGGTTTTTGGTCTGCTTTTCATTTATGATTGGATTGAACTACCATGAATATGACTTTTCTTGTCGATTTAGTAGTAGTATTTGATGGATTAAATCATCATAATCATATTATGGTTTAGTTAGATTTAAGTTTGAACATTTTATTTTAGTATTTAATATTTGACTAATAAGCTATATATTTGTTTCATAAATAATTCATTTTGAAAAAGAGTAATAAGACATGCAGGAAAAAAATTACAAGAAAAATTATTAAAAATAATGTGCTAAACATTTAAACTACAGTATATACTAACTTTAAATGCTTAAACTTTATGTGAAATTTTTTATAAAAAAATGAAGAGGTGTGATTATTTCTTATAATTTTTTCCTTTTAGGTATTTTTTTTTTAAAAAAAACATCTTCTTAAAAACACATGTACTATTACATTTGGCAGGGAGACTATTATGTACGGGTCAGGATTACAAGTGAAGACTTTACGTGAGCACGTCTTCATCTGGTGTTACAAATACTAACTTATAAATTTGACACTTAAAAGTGTCCTTAGTATCATCCGATACTCCAAATAATCTATAAATTTGACATTTAAAGGTGTTCTTAGTAAAAATCGAACTTGGATCTCCCAGATTCCAAAATTAGTATCAGAGCTCAAACCTCTTGAGGCCCATGTACGTACGCATCATTATTCTTTGAAAAATTACGAATTGGAAATCAGATGAACCTACGCATTCTGACTAAGATGACACCATATGCGCATAAACGAATGTAAGAAGTCAACAGAAGAACACGCACTTGGAACTCCTCAAAGAATACTGTATATATCACATCACAAATTGGAGGAAAAAATGGATATTTCATTCCTTTTCTTCCTTTAAGAAATGTATTCAGCAAAACATTAAACTTGTTTAGGGAAAAAAAAAATCCGTCAGATCTAGGGGATTGAAGTGTGAAAATATTTATTCACGTATTTGTGAAGAAAACGTTGCCTAATCAAATTCTCTAGCGAAAATATCAATTCAAATAAGTAAACGAGAAATCTCTGGCAAACCTACGTGCTTGTTTTCCTTTGCTCTTCTCTTTTGTTGGGTTGAATTTGTGTCTCTCAATTTTTGACTAAGGTTCTTTTTTTCCCCAAAAAAAATGAATAAAGTCAATTTTGGGAATATTATAGTCAGTTTCAAAAGCCAAAAATAAAAATAAAAAATAAAAAATTTCGGTTTGTGCTGTGCCACCCAGCATCCCAACCGAGAAGGCACAGTCCAAAAGGTAACAAGAAGGGGGCAAGAGAACTGAAATAATGACTCTAAAATTTGTACAAAAAAAATAATAATTGTATCAGGAGAGGAACTTTGTTTATTATTAATAAAAAAAATTTACAAAATAGTAATCAATGATTTCCATATGCTCTATTTTTTGTTGACAAATTTGTTTATAATGAGATTGAAACATAACATCCTATTTATTTCAGAATAATTTATTTCTCTCAAGTTCACTCTTTGTATAGTTTGAACTAAAAATGAAAATTAATTTGGATGATTATTTTAGTACAAAATAAGTATTAAATGAAATGGTTGTGAGATGAGTCTCCAAATAAACCCTTGGGCTATGAATGGGGTATAAGAAAAGGTATTAATGATTTTTATATCTGGTATAGGGCTGTATTTTACTCGTTCAATTTTTTGTTCACAAATGTATCAAACACAACTTTTTCCATTCTCAGATATTAACATTTTTTTTTTTTAATTTTGGTGAACCAGATACTACCGTTTGAATTTTTTTTTTTAAAAAAAGGTAAGCCCTTTTTTATGAAAAGAAAACAATCCATCAAAACCTGTATTTTTTTTTTAATTTTCTTTTTAATTTATTTGGTTAGACCAACGGAGAGAAGTGCCGTGGCAGAGACAAACTTTTTGGGAAGGTGTTAAGTTCACCTATTGGCTATTGTTTTTGGCTTTTGGAGGGATTCACAGATTGCACGAGTGAACAGAGATTTAGAGAATAGAGAGAGTACTACGTGTGAATCAAACAACGGTTGACCAATTTGTTTCAGGGCAGTTAGGATTCCCGCGAATTCATTCACACGTGTCCTCGACTTAAACGAATCAACTCACTACTACTACTATTTCATTCTCCCCCAACTTCCACATAATTTTACTTCTCTCGACAATTGAATGTAAGTGCTGATAATAAACAATTAAATTATTGACTACTTATCCAAAATAATAATACTGCTATCTTTCTATCCCATAAAAAAATTCGTACTTACGCATTTTAAAAGTTAATTTGAGTTCCTATCCCAAGAAAATAATCAAAATTTTTAAAATTTATATAAAAAATAGTTAAAATCTCAAATTCATTCTGGATTTATTTTTGTTGATACGGAGGACAGAAATTTACCACTATTATATCTCTTTCCCGATCTCCTTCTTCCTGATACGTTTTGACTTTTGAAGTTTCTTGCTAATTTGACAAAGTATATAAATCTTGAATCATCTTACCTTATTGAGTTTTGGTCGTTGTCTAAGCCCAGTCCAAATTGACAAGGTCCGGTCCACTTTAAGGCGATTGGTTGATTATGCGGACTTGATCTGTGGTAACCTAAATGTCAATTGTAACTCTCGATTCATTCAATGTGGTGATTTAGACATAGTAGTACAATTTTTGTACATCTATCTGAAAAGATATTTGCATTTTGATTAGAGAAATTATGGATGCATTTGCTACATACGTTGTTACTCAAATCAAAGCTAAAATCTCACTCGGAACTCAACAAGCATCTATTCATGCGTATTGCTGTGCGTTGGTCTTGTTTGGAGGGGATAGAGAAATCTAAGCCTAAAATTTTATGCAGTGCTTTTTTGGATGTCAACTTACATTTTATTTTGCCACTTAAAAGTAGAAAGTGTTTCAAATTGAAAATTAAATGAGAAATAAAAATGTTGTTTGGATGTTGGTTTTGAAAAAAAATATTTTGAACTAAATTTTGAAATTATCAAGTACAAGTCATCACTAAACAATTAAATACTGTCAATTATAGTCACTGCAAAAAAGAACTTTTCCGAAAACAATCACTCAACAACGGAATTGTGCCAAATTTCTCACTAAACTATTTATAGTTCTAAAATGGTCATCACACTAACAAAAAGTGTTTCAAGTTGTAATTTAAAATGTAAATCAGAAAGTTGTTTGGATAATGTTTTCTTTTCCATTGGATTTTGTGTTTAAGAGGTAAAAGGAGTGAAAATGTAAAATAAACACATGTCCAAACAAGGCCTACCTTTCTCGTCAACTTTACTCTAGTACTATCAAAACTAGCCTAGTAAAGCTAATATGTATAATTCCTAATATGTACTTACACTTTCCAGTTTTACAGTTTACAAACACGGTAACATTTGTACACACGAACAAGACGAAATTCCTATCGCAGACCAAAAATCGGGTAAGAACCAGTTGTCAAGGACAATCGTGGGCAAGTAGTTTTGGGCTGTCATCTAGCTAGCCCAACTACGAAGTTTATATTGGACTATCTAAGCCCAACTTGCAGAAAGAATATCCGCTAGCGCTAACCGCCATTTACACGCCCACCGAAACAAACAAAACCCGACTCCGCTTAAAATATCTGCGGAAATTACTTACAAGTACAATAAAATAAAGACAATTCTAATCCAATCCCTAATGCTTTCGTTCCTTCCCCAATTCAAAGTCCTTTTCGTTATTCCATTCCACCGCAGTTTTCCTTGAAGTTTTCAAATTCTGGTCTCCAATTTCACTTTCCCCTCCGCCATGTATATAAACAGATAGAAACTATAAGGATACTTTTTTGCAGCTGTGGATCCATGGCGACATCTTTGTCTTCTATGGTGGTGTTTGGAGTGACATCATCATCAACTTTGAAAGATAAGGGCTTCAGAAATGTGCCAACTCTGCTTAATTCTCACAGACCATGCGGTTTAAACAGCGTTGTATTATCACCTCATCATTTTAATGTTGCTTCTCACCGATGGCCCTCCAGGTAAATTGCGCTTACGGAATAATTTCCGCTGTTTTTCTCTGGAATTCTGCTTCCTTTTTCCCACTTGTAGGTATTCGTTTCTTTTTGTTTTTTTTTTTTTTTTTTTTGTAAAATAATGGGTTCTTCTTTGCTTCATAAACATGTTCAGCTGATGATTATATTTGTATGTTAGAAAGTGAACTGGAATTCAAGAAAGTTAGGTTTACAGCTTAGTGTCATTCAGTTTCTTCAATTTGATTTTTCTTGATTTCTCTTCGGCTTGATACGGGTTGGGACATTCGATTGATATTCCTTTCTTCTGCTACTATAATAAGTCAGGATTAATATAGCCGATCCGATGGATGAAATAAAGACTTAGCTGTTGTTATTGATATTGATACCGGTTAAAGTTAAATTTTACAAAACCAATTGTACTGTGAACAAACTGTTTTGGAATCCGTTTACTGATTGCTTAATTGGTTTATTTTGATAGGATTTCATTTATATCTATTCTAATTTGTTTAGTTTCAAAAATATCGAGGATACAGAAGTTCATTTAGTGTCCGAGCGACTGTGCTCCAAGAGGACGAAGAAAAATTGGCTGTCGAGCATTCATTTCCTTCAAGAAGTTCACCTGGAACTGGAGGGCGAGACGATGGGGACCCACCAGAAAATTCCTCATCTGATGGCTTGCAGAAATGGGTGATAAAGATTGAACAATCCATTAATATCTTTCTAACTGTAAGTATTGCCAATGTTGAGGAATGCAGTGATCTTATATTCAACATTCTCTCTTTTTTTTTTTCTTTTGTTAGGTTACTAATGATTTTTCTACATAATGAGATCTTTTGCTGTGAAGTAGACTTCTTTTTTTTGGCATTGTTGAGTGATATTGGTGTTAGGACTAATATTATATGCTCAGGCTGCTAGCGCTTTGATAATAAAACAAGTTCTGCAGTTGTTAAGTTTAATGTTGAAGGAAGAACCAGACCCTAAATGATGAAATATGCCAAAATTTCAAAACTCTCAAGCTTTCTTCTCCCAGTTCCATCTGCTATTGACATGTCAGATGCACATTGCCTAATGCTGACTAAGTTCAGCTCATGTTTTATTATGTATTTTTAAGGAAAACTCGAGGAGAAATTATGTTACATCAAATTTGGACAATCAACTTCAGCTTGATTGCTGAAGATGCTATACTACAACGTTGTATTTGTTTTTCACAATTGCCTATTCCTGGTGTATATCTAGTTGTTGGATTTGAAGGCCTGAGTTTTTCTTTAGTTTCCATATTTTCCATCCTTATTTTATCTTCTGTACTCCAGCAATTAATGCTCTGAAATTTTCTGTATCATGCAGGACACAGTCATAAAGATTCTTGACACTTTGTATCATGATCGGCATTATGCAAGGTTCTTCGTTCTGGAAACTATTGCAAGAGTTCCCTACTTTGGTAAATCTTAGATGCTATTCTTTTGTTATCAAGTTTCAGTGTGCAATTGCTACTAGCTAAAAAGGTCCTATGCTTCTCATTTCAGCTTTTATGTCTGTACTTCATATGTATGAGAGTTTTGGTTGGTGGAGAAGGGCGGATTACTTGAAAGTACATTTTGCTGAGAGCTGGAATGAGATGCACCATCTGCTCATAATGGAGGTAAGGCTAATCCTACAAACTTTATCGTAAGGGTTACTGCTCAAAAGAAAAATTCCTTACTTTAGAGTTCAGTTCTATCCATTTTCACTTACAATGATTTTAATTTTGATGGCAGGAATTAGGTGGAAATGAGTGGTGGTTTGACCGTTTTCTTGCCCAACATATTGCAATCTTCTACTACATTATGACTGTCTTCATGTATGCCTTGAGCCCAAGGATGGCATGTAAGTATGAGAATCATTGGTTTGAATGGATAAACGTGTAATTCTTGAAACATGCAACATCTTCATTACTCATTAGTTTGACTATGATAGAAGACATCCGCAATGGTAAAGGTAGTATGTTGTTCCATATTATGCTACCTGCGTGATCATATGGCCAAGTTAACCCAGAAAAGGTCGTAATATTGTCATGAAACTCGGGGAAACAATCTCTGAATTGCCTTTGTTTGTTTTCCCTGTATGATAATATAGGCCATGGAGCTAATCGATCAGTCTGATTTAAAACAGTTGTAATATTGTCATGAAACTCAGGGAAACAGTCTCTGAATTGACTTTGCTTTTCCCCTGGAAGATAATTAGATGGCCATGGAGCTGATCGATTAGTCTGATTTAAATCAATCTGTCACCCACCTCAATGCTGTTGCTTCAGTTTTTGCTAAGAGTTCATAAAACATGCCATATTACTCATCGCAAACATGAAATCACTGCAGATTGTTTAGTTCTCAAAATTTGGGTTGCTGATTTATATTTCTGATTCTTATTGCTGTTGCAGATCATTTCTCAGAATGTGTTGAAAGCCATGCATTTGAAACCTATGATAAATTTATCAAGGATCAAGGAGGTAATACTAGATATTCTGATTAATTTTTTTGATATTTGAAGAATGCGTTTAAGTTGGGTTTCATGAGTTGACTTAGCCATGAGCACAACACAAAACTCTGAATGAAAATCTTTCCAGTTTCTAGGCCATTTGGGTAGTATGTTTTCTAAAATTTATAAATTTCTTTTTCATGAATCCAGTTAGAAAGTGTAATTTATCTTAATTTTCCTCATGCAGAGGACTTGAAGAATCTACCACCTTCAAAGGTTGCTGTCAAATATTACACCGATGGTGACATGTACTTGTTTGGTAAGTTTCTTAAAAATTGTTCTTTCGAAATGGGGACCTCTCCACCTAAAACCAAAATCAACTTAGGTATGGAAACTCTAAACTATCTGGATTGTTTTTGCAGATGAATTTCAGACTGCTAGACTGCCAAACACTCGAAGACCAAAAATAGGTAAGGGCCAATTCACCAATCTGTTCATTTTTATCGTATTTTTCCCCTTAATCATAGCTTGAAATATTCAACTGCATCATAATCTGCCATCATTCACAACTATAACTAAGAAAAGCAGCACATGAATCTGATGACTTGGTTCGTAGTCATAGGTGGACCCCTTAGAACTTAACAACTTAATGTATCTTTAATGCCTGTTTCGCAGAAAACTTGTATGATGTTTTCCTGAACATCAGAGATGATGAAGCAGAGCATTGTAAGACCATGAAGGCCTGCCAAGTCCATGGGAGCCTCAGGTCTCCTCACTCATATACGACAGGTGATGCCGTTGAGGAGGATGATTTAGGTGGTTGTGTGCTGCCTGAGATTGACTGTGAAGGTATTGTAGATTGTATAACCAAGTCTGTTTCGGACTCCAAGTAAACCCGAGCGATAGTAAATAGTCATACGTAATATTGTAAACCGATCAATGTAAAAATTGACACGGAAATACAACAATGATAGATTATGTTAAACAATACAGAACACGATAAAAGTGGAGTTCTTTTTCTTAAAGAGATGAGGCTGTGCTGTATTTTAGTAGTAGTTTGTTTTAAGAGACTGCTCACATGATATTCGCATAAAAGCAAGACTTGGTCGGGGAACACATGTTGTGCAAGTTGCTAGGAACGTCATTCTTTGTATGTTTTTCATGTGAATTGGATGAACCATTTTTCCAGCAACGTGTGTTCCTGTCAACCTTGAAAACTTTGTTACTTTTACCAGCAGTTTGAAGTTTCTGGATAGATTTCAACCCAATAGAAAGAAGATCATCTGAGTATGATGTATCGTCATTTCGACACACAAAGTTATTTTATTCAAAATGTATGAAACGGAGCATCAGTTTTTTTTTTTTTTTTTTTTGGGCCCAAACTTGCCGCCTCTAATACTCTGGTTTTGGAAACTTTCTCCAAATCTGGTAAGTTGTGAGGCGTTTCCAGCAAAACGTACGTACACGGTCTGGGCACCCGCCCTGGTTTGCTGACAGCCGTAGTTTCTTTTTCTGGAATTCAAAGACTCTTTGTGTTGACAGGCAAGACTTGCCAATGGATTTGTTATCTTGTTTTGTCGTTAGTTATTTAGTGACAGCAGTCAGCTACGTGCTAGTACTATTACCTATGCTTTACTCTTTTAAAATGCCAAAATATCCCAAAATATCCTACAACTTTGGACCCCGCACAGTTCCAAAAGCCGTAAAAGCAAAATATCAAACCACTCCCAAAAATGAAAAATATCTTGTCATCCATGGCAGAAAGTCTGAAAGACTGAAACTGATAAAAAATTTGCCACTTTTTCTGTAGGGATGGATGGAGAAAACAGATTAAAGAAAGTCAAGAATGAAAAACGAGTTCATTATTAATTGATTAATTGAATGAACATCATTTTAACTCTTAAATTAATAGACGTTGTAGCTCCAGTATAACCATAAGCATGTTTTTTTTCCCCTTCTTTTTCTCCTTTTTTTAGAAACTTTTATTTATTTTTTTTAAAAACCACTTTACAAGTGACGAAACTATTACATTAATAGAGTCTATGGAGGAAAGGGATACTATTACTGGGAAGAGACTCCATGCCTCCATGCCTAGCCACTTGATTCTTTAAAATACACCTTTTGCGACTACTGCTACTTCTTACTTTGTAGGAAACCTGGCCAGCGATAAATCGTTACTGTAAAGGTTCGAACCCGCATCGTCGCGATTGGATGCCAGGGCCTTTACCACTAACTCACCCCTCGTTGGCCTTTTTCCCCCTTTCAAAATGTGATCAGAAGACTAGGACTTCTGTTTCAGGGTCAAAAAAAAAAAAAAAAAGAAAGGGGAACAGAAATTTGCTAGCTCACTGAACGAAATATGAATAATGATGCGGAGGGGTATTGTGCCAAGAAAATATGAATGTTGACATGAAAATGAGGTCAATAATTATCAAATGGGAGGAGTAAATTATCCAAGGAGTGGAGTGTGGACAGCAAGGTTCAATGGGGTACATATCAAGCTGATCCAACTTGTTGCATTCAGTTGTGTTGGTTTCTTCCTTTGTTTGATGATGCTTGATATGATCACTGTCCCTTAATTGCTTTCCTTTTTGGAAATGAAATTTTTTTTTTGACATGATAGGATGCTGAAATTCAATTCCGTTAGTATGAATGTTGTCGACAGACAATGAATAGTTATTTCGTCACATGGCCCTATGGTCCTAGTTCGACGCATTCCCTTAATTTAAGATTACAGGAGGAGTAATCTATAACTTGAAAGAAATCTAACACAAAAATGTTAAAATAGTACTACTACTATACAAATTACTGTAATATGTTGTTGGCGGTGTGATATATCCGATAGCCATAGAACCAATGAACTATCATGGGTTGTTTTTTTGAAATAAATCATCTCTTCTTTATACAAAAGGCGTGCCGTTGGAACGTTGGATGTAATAATAATAAGAACAAAATAATATAATAGTAATAATTAAAGTAGAATAATAAGGGAAATAGCCCGCGCAAGTCTCATAACCGACGTGGTCCGTTTGCGCCCTTACAATACCTTTCACACCTTAAACCCACTCCACCACCAGGCACCACTCAAAAACTCCAAACTCCAAAACCACACCACCTCCACCACCTCCTCTCTAGTCTCTTCTTCACACACTCACACACTAAACCAGCACACAAGTTTCTTTTATGCTATAAAATTGCCAGTACTTATCCAGATCCACCTCCATTTCTTTACTCTATCACTCGATCGTCGTTGTTGTTGTTGAGAATCGAGATCACTCTAACTGCGTGACTCTGTGGGTGCGCGCGTGTAAGATGGGAGGGGAAAGTGCTCCTTCGCTGGGAGCGTTAGTTCCGACGGTGAAGACATCCTCGGAGGCGGAAAATGCTGGGGGAATTGTTGAGCAGCAGGAGCAGGTGGAGGAGGAGGAGGAGGCCGTTGCGGCCGAGGAGGAGGATCGGAAGGAGGATGATGAGGAAGCCATGACCGCCGCTACGACGGCGACGGTGTCGGTGGAATTGGATAAGGATATGCTGTGCCCGATTTGCATGGAAATGATCAAGGACGCCTTCTTGACATCCTGCGGCCATAGCTTCTGTTACATGTGCATCGTCACGCATTTGCAGAACAAGAGCGATTGTCCTTGTTGCCACCATTTCCTCACTCCTTCCCATCTCTACCCTAATTTCCTCCTCAATAAGGTTCTTTCTCTTTTGGTTCCTCAATTTTTGTCTATTCAATCAATTACCCCCTCCGCTCCTACAAAACACTATCCAATTGTGCATGCATGAATTTCATTTCATTACCGTGTCACGTTGATTTTTGGTAATTTTGTGATTGCGATTGAATCTTATTTCTGAACCTCCTAAGCTTCTTCCGACTAAGTTTCCAGTAATGGTTGTTCTAATCATTAAATTGTCTGGCTAGCTTAGATAGAAATTTTGATACCTGTGGCTTTAGCTATCTTTGGGTGGTGTTTCCAAAGTTTAGCTGTAAAAAATAAGTGTTGTCTTGTCATCTGATTAGTATGGCTTAATTCTAAGTTTTGGCTTTATTGTTGTTAGTAACTTTTAGTGCGTCAGATGTTGAAGTGTTGATTTTGCCTAATTGCTGTATGAGGTTGGTGTTGGACTTTTACCTTATGAATATTTCGTTATATTAAAGGAAACTTAAATTACATGAAAACTTGTCTTAGCACTTTGCCTAGGCTCTTCTTCTGTAAATTGAATCACTACTTTGTGGTGTTTAAGAAACTTTCTTTAGGTATTTATGAATTGTCTTAGTTTGCACAATGCAAAAGTGACTTGAGTTGGCAACCTTGGGCATCACACAATCGGGATTTGTTAAGGATCTTAAAGTTCTATGTTGTCCCAATTTTCATTCTCCTTTTGGCCTTTTTTCTTTTTGGATCAGCTTTCATTTTGGAAAGTTTCAGGAGTATGTTGTATCAATGTAATTGAGATGTTAAAGGTGGTAATCTGTTAAATTGTTTCGTGATACTTACGCCTTGTTTTCGTATTTCTTTGGGCACGGCGAAGTTGTGGATTATGAGTTAAACCTTGAACTAAATGTTTTCCTTATCTGAAAATTTGTCCCTGAACTGATCTTGTATATTTGGATAAATTCATAATTGCGGTTTCATTTATCAGTTTAATGGAGCAGAACTGCAACTGACTATAATGCGTAGCATTGATCTAATTTTTGAAATTAAGCTATACTTACTCATTCTCATATTTAACAAATTGACTTGGCATACTTGAGCTTACTGTGAATTTTTCTACTATTTTAGCTTTTGAAGAAAACCTCTGCTCGCCAAATAGCCAAGAATGCTACACCCATGGAACAACTTCTGCAGGCTTTAAAACAGGTTAGTCTTTCATTTGGGCGGATTTCTTGTTATCCTTGCATATTATCTGTTGGATAATAATTCTAGTCTCATTCTTAGACAGGGATATGAGGTTTCAATAAAGGAGCTCGACACTCTCGTGTCCCTTCTAGCTGAGAAGAAAAGGAAATTGGAGCAGGAAGAAGCTGAGACAAATATGCTAATTATGCTTGATTTCTTAAATTGCCTGAAAAATCAGAAACTTGATGAGCTCAACGAGGTAATTGAACCTATGTGTGTTTAAGCATGTGATTTCTACTTTTACTTTTTTTTTTTTTTTTTTTTTGTGCTGTATAACTGATTGATGATTGTTTCTTGCCTTCTCCAGTTACAAACTGACCTTCAGTACATTAAGGAGGACATAAATGCTGTGGAGAGGCGTCGAATTGATATGTATCGATCACGAGATAGGTATTTATCAAACCTGGGGATGCTTGGTGATGATCCTCGTGCAAAAGCAGCACGGTCCTCGTTGATTGAAAAACTTGGTGGCCGGAGCATGATCCCTAGTTTTCCTGGTCAACGAAGTCAATGCCGCATGGGTTCCACGACCCCGCATATCTGGAAAGCTGATGAGAGAACGCATTCAGGATTGCAAACAACTCAAAGAAAGGATGTTTATAGTGATTCACAACAGCTAAGTCAATCAGGACTTATAGCAGCCAGGAAGAAGAGGATCCATGCACAGGTTACCCTCTTGTTTTACTATTTGCATCTAGGATATAATGGTCAGAGATTTTATTCTTTTACGAAAAAGAACAGCTGGATCCAAATAATTGGTTCCATGTAATTTAGCTATATTTTTGTTGAACAGTTCAATGACCTTCAAGATAGTTATTTGCAAAAACGACGGTACTGGGCGAGACAATCTCCAAAGACCAGTGAGAGAGACAGCCATAGAAGAGAAGGTTTCAGTGCTGGGCTTGAAGACTTTCAGTCTGTTCTTTCAACCTTTACGCGATACAGGTCCTTTCCCCCCTCTTCAGTAGTTGTAATTTGTCTTAGATGGAGATAATTATTCTCATCTTGGAGATGGCGTTTTCTATTTCAGATAATGTTTTGTAACCTTGTTTTTCCATTTTCAATAGTCGATTGCGGGTGGTTGCTGAACTTAGGCATGGGGATCTTTTTCACTCAGCTAATATTGTATCAAGGTAATTGATAGTTATTGTTTCATCGGTTTCTAATATTGTTCTTCAAGATAGTTATTGTTTCATACTACGAGTCTACGGCTTACCTGACTTTCTAGGCAAGAGTTTAGCCGTGCTTTGAATTTTTTGACTAGTCCTTATTGCTAATGTCAAATAACCTAGCTGGTTATGCAAGTAATTTACTTGTTTGGAAACTTTATTGGGCTTCTGCATTTCCTTTCTTGGTGATAGTCTTTACACCTAAAAGACCTTCATTTCTCAGAGGAGTAGCTTTCAAGAAAGCATAACAGTGACTCACAATGACAGTCTTCTTCATTTGAGGGATGAATTTAAGTTGATCCGGCTGTTTTATTGTCTAGTGCCCCGATGCTAATTAGCTTCTTATTCTTCTATTAATTTTTGTTCTGTTACCCACCTATCCAAGCCAGCATTTCCCATTCTCGAGTCTCCTGAGTATTATATCATACTTTTGTTTAGGTGGTTATAGTTATTTTTTAGAACGCTGACACTCGTGTTATTTTATTTGAGGGTAGTCACGTGTCTGCTTATTCTTAAATAAAGCTTTTCTTCCCTGATTATGTGGCAATTGCAGTATAGAATTTGATCGAGATGACGAACTCTTTGCTACAGCTGGAGTATCACGGCGGATCAAGGTGTTTGAGTTTTCATCGGTAAGAGCTCAAACTAGTTGGGTGAACATAAAACCTGCTAACTTATAATTCATTCTAATGGTTTTCTAAGTGGTTAATTCTTTCATTATTAAAATCCAAGATTCAGTTTTGTATCTCTTCCATGTGTACTTACAGATGTAATTTAAATTACAAGGCTTTCCGATCTAGTTTTGACCTATTCTGATGATAGAATTCTAAAGAACATGTTTTGGTTTTTAGACTACCTCATTATTCTGTACTGCCAAATTTGGTTTCATCTTCTTGTATTTGTTTTTGAGTAGAGTTCTCATTCTAGCATGTTTGGCTCCCATATTCCTGAACTAAATTTCACGTCAGCGACTGGAGCAGTCGAATCAGTTCCTCAGGTTGTATTAATATTTTCTTTCAGGTGGTTAATGAACCTGCAGACATCCCTTGTCCTGTTGCTGAGATGTCGACTCGCTCCAAACTTAGCTGTCTGAGCTGGAACAAGTATACCAAAAATCACATAGCCAGTAGTGATTATGAGGGCATTGTGACTGTTTGGGATGTCACCACTCATCAGGTACTAATACTACTCCAGTTTATTTCTTATGGTTTTCATTATTTCGATCCGGCATTATATTTGCAGTCATTTCTGGTCAGAGTGTAATGGAGTATGAAGAGCACGAGAAGCGAGCTTGGAGTGTCGATTTTTCACGTACCGAACCTTCAATGCTTGTATCTGGTAGCGATGACTGCAAGGTACTCCAGATCTGTGTTGCATGTGTTGATAGGTTTATACATATTTATCAATATCAGCAGTTGATTTAAGTTTCAAATGACTACGAAACTCTTCTTTATTCTGTTTTTACTGTTACTGTTTGTAAATTACTTGTCGGTGTTCGCAGGTCAAGATTTGGTGCACAAAGCAGGAAGCTAGTGTTCTCAATATTGATATGAAAGCAAATATATGTTCGGTCAAATACAATCCTGGATCAAGCGTAAACATAGCAGTAAGTTGTTATCGCTTCAGCATTCATATTGCTTATCACCAGCTAATACATTTGGGTTGTAAGCTTTTATGCTTTGGCCTTGTAGGTGGGTTCAGCGGACCATCACATACACTACTACGACTTACGAAATACAAGTCAACCTGTGCATATTTTTAGTGGACACAGGAAAGCTGTTTCGTATGTGAAATTTCTGTCCAGCACTGAGCTTGCTTCTGCATCTACAGACAGCACCCTACGGTTATGGGATGTAAAGGAAAACGTTCCCGTAAGTCTCTTATCTCATAGTGCTAATATCCATCTTGCTTCACACACCCTTTCAATTTGGAACATGATAAATGGAAAATGTGCCTTTTTCGCCTATGACAGATTATTCATTACTTGATTTTACAACTTCTATGCTCTTTGTTCCATGTCTGTGACAAAAGTTGTATAAAGTTTTTAGACAGAGAGAATTTACTGCCTTGCCTTTCAGGTGCGAACATTTAGAGGGCACACCAATGAGAAGAATTTTGTAGGCCTAACTGTGAACAGTGAATACATTGCTTGTGGCAGCGAAACAAATGAAGTATTCGTTTATCACAAGGTCGGTTATACTCCCTCCGTCCCAAAAAAAATAGTCCACATTGAGTTTTGAGTTTTGTACTGTTTTTAGAACAAATTTGAAAACTTAATGTGGGCTATTTTTTTTGGGACGGAGGTAGTATTAATTAATCATGATTTCACGACTTAATCCGAGGTTTTTTGTAGCCTGTCTAAAGGCAAGGTTGGAAATGTTTGTTGCAGGCAATTCCAAAGCCAGCTGCATGTCACAAGTTTGGTAGGGATGGGGAAGAAGGTGATGAAGATGCAGGATCGTACTTTATTAGTGCAGTGTGTTGGAAAAGTGACAGCCCAACAATGTTGACTGCTAATAGTCAAGGGACAATTAAAGTGCTTGTCCTAGCTTCCTAATTCATGGACCCTCTACGAACAAGAGGGTGAGAACTGGGTATCATCTCTCACTAATTTGTAGGGATGCAGAAAATGATGCTTCACATATAATGATATATTTCATGTATAAATATAATCTATTTTGATAGTTATGGGGTGCATAAGATTAATTACCAAATTCCATCAGTCTCCCCAAATGTATCTCCTCAATTTATTGTTAATATAGATACAAGAAGAATTCATGACAATGGTCTTGAAGAAACTCTCTCAAGAGAGGAGAGGGTAAAATCTCAAATATCACCATGAAAGGATGACGCTCTTACGAAGCCTGACCAGAAAATTTTGATACCTAGAAATTGTCAAATTGGAAATAAGGACATGTCCAAAAATAATTTGCTCAGTCCCTGTGGTTGGTCGTGTTTTGCACTTCCATGCGCGGCCAAATTCTTTAAACCCACCCCCTCCCCAATTCGGTTACTGGATAATGTTTACGAATCTTATCTTTACTAATCTTGTTATGCAATTCTCTACTAATTGTAATGATTACAACAAAGATGCAACCATTTTGGAAAGAGATGAAAGTATATAATAATAGCCTCTAATATATCCCATTACGGCATTACCTTCCAAAACAACATTTGTCCAGCTGAGAATGACCTACTGTGATCCACTAAACAAAGTAATACTAACAAACCTCTTCTTCAAAAATGGTATGAAAACAATGCCAGGGATGTGGGATTCTAAGCAAATTCGAAAAGTTGCGAAAGAAGTGCAACTTCGCTTTTTATTTCCCGAAACGAGTGAGTATAATGTGATCTGATAATGACGAGCTGACGATGATTGATGAGTCACGCGGTTTTTGTTTCCAAACAAAATACATTAATAATATTTAATACCTTGAAATATTCCATCCAGTTATCGGATATTCTATTGATAAATCATCATCCTGAAATGGTAGATTCTATTCGTTTTTAAAAAATACAAGTAATTTAGTATGGCTTGTTTTTAGTTAAATAAAAAAGACTGACACAATTGTGGAATAATAAATACTGGTCAAAAGAGTGTATTTTCACCTTTAACACAAGTATTATTCACTTTGATGTAATTTCTTTTTTTGTAAAATGAATCCCGCATGTAACATAAAAAAAAAAAGGTTTTAACAATTGGGAACAAATGTTAAGAAAGTACCCTCATTATTTCCGGAACAAATTGAAAGTACCCACAATGAAAGGGTTGAGATTTTTCTTATATTAAACCTTATAATAGATGCTTACTTTAACAATAAAATTAAAAATAAAACCCTAAATAAATTTGCATTGCAATGGACATAAAACGCTACAAAAGTCATATTCCCAGTCTTACCCCTTCTCGTCTGCCCCCATTTTATTTCCAGAAAGAAGATAAAAATAAAAAAAAAATCCCACGACAAATTGATTCTCTGGGTGTTCATGTGAGAATATTTAACCTTTATTTCCTTCCCTTTCTTCCCTAACGTATTCGATTTGATTCCCTGGATCATTGCCAGTTCTCCAGTAAATACTCACTTTTCTCATATTCCGAAACTGCATTAGAATATTCAAGAATTTTTTCCCCATCCTTAATTTTATAGTAATTGTTTTTTTTTTTTTTTTATTTGAACTAGTTTGCTGATTTTGGCGCCAAAGCTATGATAATCGAAGAATCTTTTCTGAGCGAGACGAACACCACCGCTCCATCATGCAATAAGGCGATCGGAGCTGACGTGGTAAGCAATAATTGTACCGGAACCGACGACGGTGGTTGTGGCGGCGGAGTTGGAGGAGAGCTGCTAGCGCCGCCCCTTAATTTTTCTATGGTTGATTACGGCGTTTTCCGCTCCGGTTTTCCTGATTCTGCTAATTTCTCCTTCTTGCTTACCCTAGGCCTCCGTTCAGTCATGTGGTGCATCTAGCCTTCCTTTTTTTTCCCTCAATTTACTTTTGTTCATTGTTTAATTTAAATATTTAAGTTTGTTTTCCCCTAATCTGTATGGAATTGTTTCTGTAGATACCTATGTCCGGAGCCTTATCCTCTAGCCAATGCGGAGTTTCTGAAGGCAAATGGAATTCTGCTTTTTCAGTTCGGTATCGAAGGATCTAAGGTTAAAATATTTTATTCGAAATTAAATTACTGATTCCTACACTGAGCGTTTGTGATTCACATATGGTTGGTCCACTAAAGTGCTTTTTTTTTTTATAGGGAACATTTGCATTTGGTAGATTGTGGTAAATATTGGGGAATTATTTATGAATCTGGTTTAAATTCAGTGTGAAATCTTATAGCGCCACATAAGTAGTATTGACATTGCAGCATTAATGTAGTAATTTCTGCTATGATGTAGTGGGTTCGTTTGTTTATTTTTTACGATGGATATCATCTTTTGGTTGCTGAAATAGAAATTGATTTGTAGTCTTACACCGCAGTTGCCTAAGAGTGTAAGTATCTGATACACTTTTATGTGCTGAAGATTGAACTATTATATCTCAATGAACGGCATAACTGAAAAAGAGCTGTTGGCAATTTTGGCTTAAATGACTTTTAGCATTAATTTGCAGGTGAAGCCAATGTTTTAGATTTGCGATTGTTTCTGCATTGATAAGTGGGCAAAGCAGTTGATGCAAATGGAAAATAAAAGTTATCTCATTGATAGTTCTGAAATTATATAGGAATTTAATCATGTGTTGGGTAATTTTATGGAGGCTACAAGTAAGTTGCAACTGCCATTAGTGACTATTGAAGAGAATGGCCGAAGGTTTGGCGTGCCTAACTAATATTTGAACATGTAATTTTCCATTGCAGTAGCTCATTAGCTGACCACCTGTTACCCCCATTTACAGTGTATCTGAAGAGAGTTTGTCTCTTCACGATTTAGAAGTGAAAGAATAGATATACTCAGATTAATATTTTTCCCGTAAGACCACTTTCTTTTATGAAAATTTCTTGAAGAGAGTAGCTCTCCGTCGTAAGTGAATATGCCTTGTGATTCAAAGCATATTTTTTTCCTGACTTTTGTGAACTCCAATCCCTCTATTCCAGGCTAGCGGCTTTAATGTTCTCAAAGAGAGTAGACTGCAATCATAATACATTGTGTAGAAATAAAAACATGAATTTACCTTTTTCCTGTTTTCTTTGAACTCCAATCCATCTATTCCAGGCCATAGCTTTAATTTATTGTCCTGAACTCAGATATGTAGAGATAAAAGTCCGTATGGAAGTTGTTAGAGAAGTGGAAGATTCAGTTAACTGTTGTCTTGAGCAATGGTTTATAGGTAAATGTTGACTGGTCTGGGATCATCCAATTCTCTGTCTTCTTTCCATGGTGACATTCTAGAGCAACTTTTTTCCAGATTCAGAGTGTGGTCATGACTTATCTTATTCTTTTCCTTTGTTTTTCTTTTTTTTTAATAATTTTCTTCTTATTATTATCTTTGTTTGAATACTACTATGCTCAAACATATGCATCATTGCACTTCATTTTTACATAAGTATGTTCGTCGTGTGCTAGTATATTAACCTTTTTCACTCCGCTGAAGATACATTTTAGTGGGTGTAAGGAGGTTCTCTCTACTACAAATGTAATGTGGTTTATTGGTTCGAGCCCATTTAATTTTCATATCATCTGGGTACAAGCGCTCCGTAAATTAGGTTTGCAAAGTTTCCTTTACACTGCTTTCATCCCGTGCCTTTCTTTCAATCTGCTGAAGAGACATTTTGAATGTTTACATTTCAAACAAACGAGAATATTGCTTACAGGACTGAGTGTCTAGTGTTGTGCTTTTGTTTTTATTTTCTTCAGAGGGGTTTCAGAAATTGTTATTTTCTTATATTGTTACGCGTCATGCTTCATGAGTGCTCATGGCCGTCTTGATTTTGCTCGTCTTGTTGGATGGACTATTCGTTCTTGCCACTTGCTTATTTTATTTTATTATATTTTTTTCATCCAAATTTTTATGTTTACAGGTTTTCACTTGTTTAGTTTAAGTTTCTGGCACCTCAGCTTTTCCAAAATAAAATGTAGATGCTTGCGAGTTTAGAAATTGAAGAACCATGCATTACTCAATTCATTTCATCCCATGCTTGGGGGTTAATACTCATCCCCAGCATAATCTCTTAGATTTTGTGGAATTTAAAACTTCTATTCTGCATGAATTAGTAGGACAATTTGCAAAAACTTCACCACTCTAAGAGAATGTGAAATACGAGTAAATAATATGCATTTTGTCGTGATTATTATTGTGTTTGCTGCTCCTTTTCAATGAAGACAGCACTGTTCTTTGAAGCCTGCGATCAGTAATGTGTACTTTACATATGAACTGAACTGGTGATCTGTTGTCAAAAATGGATCTAACATATAGACAGACGAGGTTTAGACAGTTCTTCCGTCTGTGTTATGCTAGACATTGGAGCATTTCCAGAAATCAATTTTAACTGTTACTTTTAATGTATTGCTTTTGCAGGAACCATTTGTAAACATCCCAGAGGAGTCAATACGTGAAGCGCTAGAAGTTGTATTGGGTAGATACATACTGATTGATTTCTCCTCCGAAGTTTATTAGTTTGCAAGTTGAAATAGTAAAACATTTCTTCTGTAATTTCTCATTCTGCAGATGAAAAGAATCGGCCACTTCTCATCCACTGCAAGCGTGGAAAGGTAATATTTATTTTCAATTTTCCCCTCCGGCATTTCTCTTTTACGAATAATGTTGTACATTCATGCATGCAGCATCGAACTGGATGTCTTGTTGGATGCTTGAGAAAATTACAGAAATGGTGCCTGACTTCAATTTTTGACGAATACCAAAGGTTTGCTGGGGATAAAGCTAGAGTATCTGACCTAAGATTTATGGAGTTATTTGACACCTCTACCTTGAATCAAGAATTGCCGGCATCTATTCCGACTATAACAAAACAGTGACCACTGTTGGCAGTCGCAAATTCTGCATTCAGCAAAGGTACTTGTTACTAGCAGAGTTTGAAGAGCTTTATTTGATAGAGAATTAATATTTTCAAGTTTCAACTTTCAAGTATGGAGGGATGATGATTCTGTGACTACATTTGGGGAATATATAAAAGCATTCTTTCGTTTGGCCTTCCCTACCTTCCATTTGTATGTACTTTTGGATCATATCTATTCCTCCTCCTGGTTATGAATGGTCTTGCCAATTTTTGAATTTCTGATTGTTAATCCGAATTGTGGATTTTATTATTGACGCTCTACCGTGTCAATCTTACCATCCTGATCTTGCCAATTTTAATCCGGATTGGGAATTTTGAATTTTATTATCGACTCTCTACGGTGTCAATCTTACTATCCTGATCACGATTATGATAACTAGAGTGCAAAAACATTGAACTTTGATTATTTTCGTGGACCTTACAAACATCCTGGTGCAAAATGTAAAGACAAACTATTGACCAGTCTATGTTTGATTGTCTCAAATTTTACATGAGAGGAACCACCGAGTGCGAACATCATCCTAGTCCAAAACGTAAAGACAAACTTTTGATCAATCTGTGTTTGTTTGTCTCCAATTTTCCTTCAGAGGAACTACCCACTACGTATATTTAAGACCTAAAAGTTCACCGGGGGTTAAAATTTTTTTGATTTAAGACTCAATGGCAAGCTGAACAATTTCTCAAACTTTTGATTGACTTTTTATTGCCCTTCTAATTACATAGTCAAAATGGTACCCCATTTTTCTTAATTTGACATACTCTAAAGAGTATGGACTATAGATATTGAGTCATGACATTTTGGAGTGTCCAGAATTAGATCACAGTTACAATTTGGTCCAGAAGGCTTTTGGTGCTTTATCTCCCAAATAAACATTGCACTATTGGGGCAAGAAGTATACAAGATTAACCATTACTACTGATTTTAACAATCCAACGGCCTACCCACAACATTTAACACAATTTTATTTCTTACAAAATCAATTGTTGGTCAATAAACCAGCCAAAGAGTGATTCTAGAAGATCTCCTAACATAGGAAATCAAACAAGTGGTTTTAAATTTATAGCTCAGGGTTTTGCATATTCTGGTTATTGTGGATTTCACCAATAAATACAACCACCAGAATCAATAAATTCATCATCAATAAATTCAGAGATGAGAGATGGACGTAGTAGACAACCACCATTTTATTGGGCAGTAATCTGTGGATCCATCTCAGCGGTTGTCTGGCCGCCGCCGAGTTAACTCGGCATTTACTTTATGCACTTTCACATGGTAGCCTTTACCAACTGATTATTCAGTAAAAGCAAATAGTATTTCCAGTGCAAAATCAAACAAGAGAAGATTTACACGAAAGGTTCTAAGAAATCTACCCACAAATTACAGCACAATCTAAAATCAATTAAGAAAAAAGCCGACACACCTTCGAGTGCATTAAAAAAACTGATTAAATCAGGGGAAAATCTGAGAGCATCAGCGGATATTAAGAGAATCCTCACAGAATTTCCATAGAAATTCAATAGGTTCAAAGTGAAGAAAAATTAATTTTATGCATCACCTGCACCGACTTTCCACATAGCGTGCATCTAAATCGAATACTTCCATCCAAGTTAATTTCAAAAGTAAAAACACACCGAAGTAAAAGATTTAATACGTATAGAATAGATGTGGACGAGCAACAATCGAATCGTCAATCAAGAAAAAGGACGACTGAAACGATATCTCGCCATCATTACTGTTCCTGCTGCTCTTTCCTATGACGGATGGCCTGCAATTTCGCCTCCTCATGTATCAGATTTAACGAGCACAGGGAATTCATGGCAAAATACAAATCTGAGAAGCCTAAAAAGAAAATGAGAGACAAAATCTATGAAATCTCGAAGCAAAATTCGAAAACCCTAACAAATTTGGGGTACCACTGTGTGACTCGGTGTTTTTAGCGAGATAAGTGAATGAGATTGAGAGATATCGTGCGGCGCCAATTTATAAAGCAGCATATAACCGGCTGAACAACCCTAAATTAAGATACAATTACGATATTGACCTTCTTGGGGTTGAGTAAACGTAGTATCAGTTATGTTGTTCTCCGAGTCAAAAGTCAAAATGCCTGAGGCACGGCAAAGATAATTAATTACTGCATTTCGTGTGGTTATTGTAGTTAAACCGTAAAATCTACTTTTGAGTTTTTATTTTTTTTCTTTCATCTAATTCCTAATATATAACCACCCAATTTTAAAAAAATATTCTTTCCATCCCCTTAATTGTTTAAGCCCAGAGAAAACGGGCATACCGCCCAAAAATCAACTGGGACTAGCCCAAAAATTCATGACTTTCCACGCCTACAATTTTAGATGTATCCTAAGGACTATCCTTTATTATTGATTCCATCAACAACTTTTTTTTTTTTTTTTTCCATTATAGGACATCTACCATTGAATTTTTTCCTTAAATATATGTAAAAAAACAAACCTAGACAAAAGTAAAGCTCTTTAAAACTTTGTGGACAAATTTATATGCCCCGGATTTAGGAAATCCGAATAGGGGAAGAACTCGGATTTAGGAAATCCGAACCCAACCAAACTCGGATTATTAAAATCCGACTTTGTATTACGTAAATCTGAAATTAAGTTAATGACAAAAATTAGTGTAATTAATCTAAATTCGGATTTTATAAATCCGATTTTATGAATAAAATATTAATTTCCGGATACTATAAAAAAAATGTATTGAAAAATTAAATTGGCAGAACTCGGATTACAAAATCCGAATCGCTCTGTTTTCGAAAAATGGTGACTCCCAGTTGGCCACGGACTCGGATTTCGAAATCCGAATCCTTTAGAAAAATCTGGTTCGGATTTAGCAAATCAAGTCTTTGTCGAACGAAAAAAATTGGGTGATTTTCACCATCCTAAAAATGTTCTGACACCAACAACAATGAAACATTGGAAAATAGGAATTTAATAACAACAAAACAATAAACGGCTTTCAATTAACAACAAAATAAATCAAGTTTCATAAAAGTTCAATACAAAAACTACAATAAATGTCCAAAATAATGAAATGTCTCATTTTTCCCTTTTCCTTTATTGTGCGCATCCGAGTGTATTTGTTTGGGCCTGTCGGATCTGTCTCCCTCTTAAGATATGTGAGTATTGAACTTTGGTGTGGTTGCATTGTCCACCAAATTGAGACTCGATTTGGGGTTGAGATTGGGACTCCCCATGGTGATAAATTTGATTCTCGGTTGTGGTTGCGGTTGTCCACCAAACCGAGTCTCGGGTCCACCAATGTCAAACCGAGTCTCGGGTCCACCAATGTCAAACCGAGTCTCGGGTCCACCAACTTCTTCAAAATGAGTCTCGACACTGGATGCGCGAGCCTCGAGAGGAATGTGCTTGATCCTCATTTTGTTGACCTCGGTTCTTTGTTGCGATGTCCGAGGAGATTGTGACCTTTCGCTTTCTTCCTCCTCCAATCTTATCTCTTGACCACGGTTTCGCTTTTTACCGGCGGAGGTTGTGAGGGAAAAAATGGATCTTCATCAACCAGGATTTGGGTATCATCCACCTCCATCTCATCATTTGCGCCCAAGGTTAAAGCAGCATGTGTTTGATTGATGATATCGTCCAAATGCTTGCCAAGTTCTTCGTCTAGGAGATTATCATCTTCTCGTTTTTCTCTAAACCTCTCGGTACTCACGCGAATGTTGTTCAATACTTCACCCTGAAAAGAAATTGGGACGTTAATTAAGAGAGTAAAGTTCTAAAAAAAAAAAATACAAAAAAAATGGAAACATAAGAAATAATAAAAGAAATCTACAATTAACTCACATATAATTTCACGCGGCTCGAAGAAGTCTCGTATCCTTGAGGTTCATAATTACCGGGATTGGATATCAATCTGACAGTGTTCACCATAAACCATTCATAGTACCCCTCATATACGGAACCAGGATCTCCTTCCTCCAAATCTCGTAGCACGAACTCTTCTCTCCTATTCCAATGACGGCGTACTGCGGAATGGTGATCCTCCCAATTATTGCTAGGATACCCAGACATACTGTGGGCGTGATCGAGAAGAAATGCTGCGTTATCTTTAATCATGGGGCGCTTGGGAACATCTTGTATGTATCCAAATTGTCTTACGACTCTGCCCGACTCGTGGGGTTCCCTAATAGCCCAACAGAACATCCAACACCTAGTCGTCCAAATGGCTTGGCCTTGTGTACGTAAATCGGGAGTCTATGGAGGACATGTGCATATGGTTGCCACCGAAACCGCACGAAAAAATTTCATTAGATGGTACAACCGAAACCAAAAGAAAGGGGTAATTGATCTCAAAGTAAATATAAATACCAAATTACAAGTACTTACATCTTCAACACGCAGACTTGTTAATTGATCTCTAAACGGTGGAGTCTTGCTCCTTGGGGCGTCGCCGTACGTGTACCTACATTCCCACCTTAATAAACAAAGGGGTACATTTGAATTAGTGAAATAAATGAATAAGAAACAAATAGAATTAAACGTTGAGTTATTTTGAACTGAAAATACGTACCATTGAGCTAATGGAGCGGTCTCATCAAGCAAATAATCTACTCCTTTTCTTTGGGGCGCGATCCTCTCGATCCGCTCATACGCCCATACCTAGTAAATTGCAATAATAATGTAGAAACTTCAAATTATAACGTCGAAAGCGCAAAATAATTAAAGCACAATATGAAAACTAATACGTACTGTAGCAAATATAGACACCCGGTGGCGTCGTGCATGGTATCTTGTGATGCCTCGCATAGGCAGTACAACCCGGCCAGCAGATGCGATCCCCAACTGTATCGACTACACCGATCCAAATCCTCAACTCAGGCCAAGAAGCGTAGATTGACAGTGTTACTGCGACTTGTTCGGAAACATGAAACTGCTAATAAAATGCAGTATAATTGTCTGGCCCTTTGCTCGAAT